CCTTATCTTGAATCTTTGCCTTTACATTTTCAATTGTGTCCGATGGTTCAACCTCTAAAGTGATTGTCTTTCCCGTCAATGTTTTGACAAAAATCTGCATACCACCTCTGAGTCTTAAGACTAAATGCAAAGTGGACTCCTTTTGAATATTGTAATCAGAGAGAGTTCTTCCATCCTCTAATTGCTTCCCTGCAAAGATTAAACGCTGTTGATCAGGTGGAATTCCTTCCTTATCTTGAATCTTTGCCTTTACATTTTCAATTGTGTCCGATGGTTCAACTTCCAAAGTGATTGTCTTTCCTGTCAAAGTCTTAACAAAAATCTGCATAATTGTATTTTTTGAACAATCCCTATAATCAGAAAGTGAAAATTAACAGTCAATCAAATTCCAACTCAAAATTATATGTAAAAGAATGAAAGTTGCTGTGATCTACTATCCAGCCCAGATAAAATAGAATTCCACTGAGAATCCCCTTTACCAGATTATTTACAATTAAAAAGATAATCAGTAAATGAGGGAAAACAGGAAAAATTGGTGTTTTCTTCAGTTTTAATTCCTCATTCAAAAGTGCTTTTGAACTCTAAAATAGAAGATTCAAACCCATAAACAATATGTACTCATTTACTTAAACATATTTCCTCAATTTATACGTACCCCCACACCACACCCACATCTTTAAGCATTTGAGGTTACAAATTGTTACTTTTTTATCCAATCAAAACATTTAACTGAGAAAACAATATAAAAATACATTCTGTGTGTGGTTTGTGTGTAGTTTCTACATCATAAAAACTCCCATTCGAGCCCTCATCTAATTAAACCTAAATATGCGGCTCATAGTTTGATCTTTACTCAGTCCACACTGCATTTCTCACACATTCTGACATTATCTGGCAAAATTCCGCCTTCACCAGCAACCAATCATCCAAATACATCCAAACTTACCTTATTCAATGTTATTTTTGAAAGATTTTTTCCTTTCCTTACTTAAGCCAAATTTTTTGCCCTAAACACAAGTTGTATTTATTTCAATCAACCTCTCGACACAGACATTGTGGGCAATTCTGGCGGGCCGTTTTGTGGCGCCAAACTCCTCATTTTGCATGTAACTACCGGTATTGAAGCAAAACATACGACTGATTACGTGTAATAAGAAAATGATTTGTTTTTCGTAATAATACACGTAATGAACAACAAAAAGAAAATAATTTTAAATTAACGTAAAACCTAAAATATTAGAAACAAACTATTTCTTATCGGCCAATAAAAGTATACGTCTGGTATATTTTCTCTGGCAAGCTCAAGTCCATCTAAAAACTTCATTTTCCTTTTTTTTATAATTATTCATGTTAATTACTTAAGACTAAACAATTGTGAGGATCCTGAACCTCCTGAAATTAATATTTTGTTATTATCCTTAGAAATTGAAATACAACCTAAAAATTTATGTAAAATCCGATTATTTAAATATTCTCATTTACTAAAAAAACTTACTTGGATCCCAAATAGAAATTGGAAAATTTTTTCTTTCCACAAAATTTAGCATTAACTCGTCAAATTTATTGCATTTAAGTGTTTGGTCCCATGAAATTGAATAGAGAATTCTTCTAATTGGGTCATAACAAAGGTCTCTAATAGAGGAATAATGAGCATTGGGAACTGATAAAATTCCCTCCCCCAAAAAACTATCTTTTTCTTCGTCTATCATTATTCTTGAAATTGAAATCTTCTGGTCATGTCCAGATGATGCAATTATTTGATAATCCATATTTTGTCCCTCCAATATTATTACGGAATTTACTCCAGAACTATGAGGTTTCATCTCAAACTTGGGTACTAAATCTAGAATATAATTGTCTCGAGGCAATTCTAAATTTGAGCTCTTAAGTATGTTAATACTCCCATTAGAAAGTCCTACTAGTACTAGAATTTCTCCTGAGAGATTCTTTGCTGTTATTGAAAAAGGTACAAAAGATAAACCAAAAGTAAAAACCCTTTTCAAATTCAAATTTATTTTTTCTCCCAAATCTAACAATTCGAAGGAAAATACTAAAATCTCCCCCTTGCTTGAGCCTACTATTACAAACAATTTATAACTTTCACCAATTGTAATTGGGTAAAGTATATAATCCAATGAAATAAATCTGCAATTATTATGTTTCTTGTCATTATTATTTGAAAAAATTGTTTTAATTATAATATCACTCTGACTCTTTTCCTCCCTGATTTCAAAAACATGTAACATCTGTCTCCCTCCAGTTATTATTAAAATATGTACGTTTTCTCTTATATTTCCCACCTTAAGCCTCCTAATGGGGTCCAAAAGCCGAATTGAATGTACTAAACACATTTTAGAGCAATCTGATACATCATAGAATCTTACAATGTGATCCTCCCCTCCAAGTACCACTATTCTATCGCTTATCCAAGCTGAAGAATGGGTTAATCTGGAAGGAGGATTAACGTTTAAAGAATTTGTCATTGATAATGGAGCTAGAGAATTATTTTTAAAACTTTCAGTCTCTAAAATCTGGGTAATATTCAGCTGATCAATTCTAATTGATGGTTTTTGACACCAAATTATCTCCAAAAAATCCTTACTATCGTAGTTTCTTATATTAATTTGAAATGAACGTTTAATACCTCCAAAACTGTGTGTTAATAGCAATATGGGAGTGGATGTAACATGATCTTTTGCTAAATAAAAGAATAACTCGTGTTTTACTGCTCCAATTATCATCCAATTATTGCTGTTCCTTAACTTAAAGCATTTAACTATATATTCACATTGTGAATTCCATTTATGTGACCACTCCAATATGGCTTCTTCACCCATAGAATATTGATTAATCTTTCCATCCTGTCCCGTTGACAAAAATACCATATCAGTATTCATATCACTAATCCAGCTAACACTTGAGACATTCCCTTTATGTGAAGCACTTAATACATTGGATAACAAAATCTCTACTGTGAAAACTCTTTCAGTAGCTGAGTCAATCTCTAAACCACCCGACCCATTCTCTCTTTTCAAAACTTTAAAGTCTAATATGAATATATTTCCATTCACTGTCCCACATACTATTTTACCTTCTAAGCCATCTTCATATTTTAAAATATCTAAACATTTCAGTTCCCCATATTTAGGAGTACCTTTTATTGGTACTATTGATGTAACCCATGTGTTTTTAGATTTTTCTCCAGAATAATTAATCATCTTTTGGGAAACTGAAGCTCCAACAAATCCCCTAGAACAAGAAGAGAGTGCTAAGTAAAGTTGGTCTTCTATCAATGTAAAGTATTGAACAAATGTAATGTTTTCTGTCCAATTCAGAAAATAAAGCTCCTCTCTCATCTCCATATTCTTTGTAATTGGACTTACCAATCCATGTATAATCTTCCCTCTAGACGATCCCAATACCAAATGTCCAGTATCCAAACAAGAGATTGAGTATACCATATCTCCTATATCTTGAATAATAATACTTTCCCAATCCTTTGACAGATCTTGAAAACATTTTGTCCCAAAGCTTAACTTACCTTGTCTGGTGACTCCTATAAAATGGTATTGATCTATAAAATGAACTCCTTGATACCAAGAAGAATTTGAATCATTAATTTCAAGTTGATTATGTATATCTGGGGAAATTATTGACTCAGAAAATAGAAAATGAGAGTTTTTGGAATTCAAATCAGCTTTTTTATTTTCAGCATTAACTTGATAATCTATGTAATATTTCCAAATCTTTAAATCACCTCCTTCACCTCCAGTAATAAAGTTCCAAGAGCTTTTCTCATTTTCAGTCAAATAGCCCAAAGAATGAATAATTCTTCCTCCTCTTCCTTGGTGGGCCTTGGACATCTTTGAATCTGGACCATTAATGCACTCTATATCATTTCCATTTATGATAGAATATGATTTTTTACTTACTTTATTTAAATTCCAAACAAATAAATCCCCATCTTCTGAAATAGATGCTATTAGTTTTTTTTCCCATAAACTATCTATAGACCATATAATGGCCTCATGACCAATTAATATGTATTTAGGGCAAAATTTGAGTTTCTGGGTGTTACTAGACATTTGAATACCGTTTTCTTCCCTCATCCAAATAACAATCTTTCTGTCATCAGAGGAAGAAAGAATCCCAACTCCATCACTCAAAACTCTGACATCGTATACAACTCCATTATGAGCCTTAAGGATTTGTTCCTGGGATATAGTTGCCTTATCAAGGTTTAAGGTTGAAACATTGACAGTGGAGAAAGCAGATCCTGATACGATCATGGCTTCTTCAGAACAAGTTGGAGTAAAGATCTTCATGCAATATAAAGTTGGAGATTGAGGGGCAACTAGACTTCGAATTCGAGGAGTGGTAACTTCTTGATTTTGTTGTTCTAATTGACAAATCCTAATTTTGCCAGTAGAACTGCCAACTAACCACCTACCTTTAATATAATTACTAGATTCAAGAAAAAGATCATACTCATTTAACTCTCCAACTTTGATACAATGTATTTTCCCACCTAAAAGTTTGGAGATGTCTTGGTCCGATTCTCGAATGTATATACGACACCATACTACCCTGTTAAGACCATATATAGCAACCAGATCATCCGACTTGCCGTATTGTATCCCATATATATTATGGGAGTCGTGGTAAAGAAATTGATCGTGAATAATTGCAAAATCTTGAGAATATATTCTCAGCTCATTTCCAAATCCTGCAAGAATAATATTGATATTTCGAAGCTTTAAGGCCAGAACCGAGTTTATAGGCTTTAGTGAATTTAAAGGGTGGATTCCAGGTATTTTTGTATCATTTTCCATTTTGTAATCTGTTGGAAGTTCCAGATCAATTAATTATGTTAAAATAACATATTTGACATATTTCATGTCACGTCTAACCGAGACAAAAATGGATTTGAAAAAGTTATAAAATGAAGGGATATAAAGTCAAAGTGGACTGCTCTAGTTATAGAATTGTAGCAAAATGTTTCATATTCGACTTAGATACAGGTATGCCTTATCTTTTGTTGAAGTTTTTAAAGATTCTTTTCTAAATATTTCGTGTTTTGAACAAGTTGTAGTTTAACTTTAATTCACAATTTAGCAATAAGTATTAAGAGCTACAGTAAAATAAACAATTGAAGAAAGAAATATAGGATTATCTTTAGCATAAAAAATAAGAGAAAAAAATTGGGTTATACCTTTCGGCGAATGAAACCAGCCTTACGCAGGGGTTTGCTAATCTTCTCTGTTTTTAAAGCCAATTTTAGAATTGGGTTCCCGCAAGGAGAACCCAGTTATACCTCTTTCACTTTTTATATTAAAAAAAACTTTGTTCCACTTCAGAGTGACGTTTATGGGATTTGGCGCCTAATAGGGAAATATTGAAGGCCGGTATAAATAACAGGTTGCATAATTTGCATGCAGTAACAAGAAAAAAAATGGTTTGCATGTGGAAACGGTAATTGTAGTGGAACACGGAATAATGATAACAAAATTTGAATTAAAAATGATATTTGGTGATTAAGATTGATAGGGGGAATTAAGCAAGGAATAAAAAAAAAAAAATAAAAGAAAGGATACATATATTCGAATATTCATAAACAACATATAAATATAAAATCAATTAAACTAGCAATACTGAATGTGGTAAAGGTTAGAGAGGAATAGTCCCAATAGTATAAGGAAGCATAATATTACCAGGAGATGAAAAAAATCCAGAAGAGGAGTACTTTTTAATAATGTTGTTATGAGCAATGTAGGGGAGTGAAATTTGGTTAATAATTTGCAAGAGCTCAGCTTGCTGGACGGAAGTTTGTCTATCTTTAAAGAAGGACTGTTGGAGACAAGAGTTTTTCCATTCTTCACTCCTATAAAGTTGGTTGAAGTTGGAGAGAATAATTGAAGACTGGTTTGGGAGATTGGGAATTATAGTATCTTCTTTAACGATATCTCTGAGGATTTTCTGAAATAAGATTTTGAGTTCAAATCTTCTTAGCGCAAGAAGCCGGATAGTATGAGAAGTGATTCCGTAGAAAATCATAAATGTTAAATGTGAAGCAAAAACTCCAAGAGATGCCCATGTGAAACATAGAGTGAGTAAAATTCCCCTAGTAACAAAAATAAATAAAATATCTCTATAGAAAGTGGAGAGTAAAAGGTCAATAAGTCGAATTCCTTTAATTGTATCTGGACCAATGAGAAGCTCGTTCATGCTTAGTGGTGCAATTCCAAACCTACAATTAAGAAGAAGCAAACACGATCCAATATTAAGGTAACCAACCTCATCATCTCTGGAATTATTATTGCCTTCTTTTGGAATTTTGTTAATTTCAATCTCTTTGGTCTTCTTCTCGGTGTTAACAGGGATTTGGTTTACAATCCATTGTTTCTTTGAGAATGGAGTTGTAAGCCTAAGATGCTTTCTTCCAAGAAATGCGCTGGAAAGAGGGAAATAATTAAACAACATAGTAAGTACCGCAGGACAAACACAAAGCAAAACCAGAATATTTCCTATATCCACATTTTTCTCAGAAAGAAAAGGATCAATGAAGTTTGCATTTCTTATACTATGTATTACAAAGAAGTAGGAACTGACCATCACAAGTTGGTAAATTGCTCCGCAAAAAACTTCAAAGTAATTCGCCATTCCAAACCACAATATATTGTATGAAACGAAGTTTATACACATAAATGAAATATACGTTGCATTGCACTTCATTTTGTAGAATCCACCTTCTTTAGTTACATCAGGGAAAAACCAATTTATATTACACTGTACTTCCATGCCACCTTGATCTGGGGTTCTACAAACAACAGAAAGTGCTATCTGGGAAATCAGAGGGATAATGAGCGCAAGAGAAAGTCTGATATTTTGGAATTGAGTAACATTCAAAGTATTATCAAGAATTGAAGATAAATATGAAGACTGGCCACTTCTTTGAAACATGAAAATAATCTGCTTCAATATTGTCCCAAATGAAAAGCTACGAGCCGGAATTTTTCTACTAGAGTTAATATCCTTAATTATGTGGTCAAAATTTCTTTTAATTGTAGAATCAGCCTCTTTATTGGTTTGGTCATTTTTATTTGAAAGATTTTGTGAGAATTGGTCTGAGCCGTTTTCTTGGTAAACTGCCTCATCGTTATTTGGGATCCTTTGTCTAATACTCATATTATAGGATTTCTGTATGTTCACAGTCGAAAAGTTATTGCTACCAATATTCTGCATACTGGAAGCTTCATTTTTGGATGAGAAATTATGCCTAAATTGTGATGAATTATTATTTAAGCTTGAGCTATTGTTAATATCAGAAGTCAAATTCAAATGCTCATTGAAGTCATCTTTGTTCTGTATTATTGGAAGCTCTACTGTACTATTTCTTGTGTCAGAACGTTTATTGTGTATTACTTGAGGGCGCTGGCAATTGTATGAAGAAATTGTTCTTTTAATTAGGGGATCACCTTTTGTTCCATCCCTATTCACAATACTGGAAAAAAAGTTTTCTCTTTGAGATTTATGAAACCTCTCCTTTTCAGCAAGTCTACATTGGTTTAGTCTTACAATTTGTAATGGGATAAAAAGTATATTCTTCATTATCCATGGGTTAAACCCTGGAAATACTGGGAAATGAAGCCAGATATAAATTCTAAGAATCAAGAGTGGAATATCAACTAGAAATATGCCAACCAAAGCTGCATGCTTTCTTACTATATAAACATCTCCGCCTTGTCTTTGAGAAATAGTCGGCTCTCCACCACTTGTGGGGAAGGATAAACCGTGGAAAAATAATACTAAATTCAAAACAATACCTGAATACATATATATCCAAGTTGAATTTATTAGAAGACTTGCCGGGTACTGCTCATGCTGCATTTGAACAAGAATGTCAATTAGGTCTAAAAGAACATGTGTAACCAAATCTGAATGTAGTAAGCTTTCTGTTGAAAGTACATAGATTGGTGAACCGTATAGCTGTGGAGCAGCTCTGAATGACAAGAGGATATAAATTGCCGGAGTAATAAACAGTATTGTTGGAATAATTGAAGAAGGAAATACTGTGTATGGTAGTCTATCAATTAGTGAAGTTTCTGAATTTGTATTAAATGCTTTATACCAAACTAAAAAAACCATTTTAAGAGTTAATATCAAGCTATACCAAAACCACTGGAGACCTCCAGAAATGGCACTATTGGATTCGTGCCTTCTAAGTAAAAAGTTCATTAATAATGGTACATCCCCTATTAAAAACATTAAAAACAACAGAGTGTTCTGATACATCCAAAGATACATTATTACTGCTTGCACTGCAAAAAGTGATGCAGCAAATGCCAGAGAAACCGTGGAAAACCTGAGAGCCATTTTTTTAATTATTCAAATTTGTTATTTTATAATTTAAAAAAAATCCAAAGTTTAATTTATCTTTTGGGTAACGACTTTTTAATTTCCAGGTAAAATCAGTTCAAGAAATTCCAGAAAAGTCATTCAATCCGATATTTCAAGTTTCATATAACATAATCATCCCCAGGTGATTATTGAGTATTCTTTTAATATATTCTGTAATTCCTATACTATTTTTATTTTTTTTCTTCAAACTTCACACTACTATAAAGAATCTGGACCTCACATTTAGGCGCCAAAATATTTGTGAATTAAGGTAAACAAGTATAAGAATTTGTCAAAGGTGAAATATAATTTTGGAAAATGTTGATTATAAAAAAGTGAAAAATTTAGACAATAAGTAATCGTTGGGATTCAATGTTTTATACTTTGGTGTGTGACAGTTTAATTTGGGTGGATGAGACGTTATTTTGAAGGCTAAGTTATATTAATGGTAAATAAATGTCAGAAGTTGAATTAGTACACAGGATGAAAAGTGAAGAAATATGGGCAAGGTATTAATAATTAAGGTATATATACTTTTTTTTAAAATACATAATTTCATAAAAAAGACTTGATTGAAGATTAGTTAACTCTTGGACTTTTCAAAATCTGTAATTTTTTCAATGAGCTCTTTTTTTGCAGACATGAGAATATTATCTATTTTAGAATTTCTGCTAGAAGAATATATTATTTCAACTAAAGCATTAATGGTTATTTAGATTAAATTAAATAATTAAAGTAAATTGGTCAAAAATACTAAAAGAGAATAAGAAGAAACTTACCCAAGTTTTCCTCATTACTATTAATATCATTTGAATCAACATTTCCCATATCAGAGTTTATTTTTGAAGTGGCTTCAAGGTTATCCCAGGTATAACCTTCATACAGACTGAACCTAGCCATTTCATTCAGTGCATCAAATGCCTTTTCCATACTAAGAAAGGCTTCTGCAGTTCTGTGAAGAAAAACATTACTAAGTGTTGGGGCTTCGTAAATGGTACCTGATAATATATAGTAGATATTGAGAGGAACTTCACGTTGGAATTCAATGTAAAATTTTTGTATTATAAATATTCCGAATTGGTTTGGGGTATTCCAAGTAGACCCAGGTGGTTGTGGGACATTTCCAAGACCTTCTTCATTTATATAAGTTATTCTATATTCAAATCCTTCAGCTGCGCTAAAGATGTGGAATGGAGTGAATTGGGATTTAAGAATACATAATTAAAGCGTTGAGTAATTAAAAATAAAAATGACGCAAAATTCGGAAAAGTAACTTACTCAGTGTGTTTCCCAAGTTTTCTTTGGATATTTAGACTATTTGGGTCGTGGAATGGGGAGAGATAAAAATATTCCAAGGCATTCTCTGGTGTTAAAGTAAACCTCCCGAGCCAGAGGTCATCCCTAAATGAACAGAGGGGAACTCCTAGGATGTCAGTCATAACAATAGGGTAAAAAATATAGAGATTTACTCTTCAAGATCAAATCAATATTACTAAAACTTTTTCAATTTTTATTATTTTCCCACTTGGAGAGCCTTGTTAAAAAGTTGTTGCAACTTTGGCGCCAAAAGATGAGGTAGAGTTTTGCACAGGTGGGGGTTAGGGGCAGGGAGGAAAGGTAAAGAAATAAGGCGGTAATAAAAGAAGGTAATTTGTTAATAGGGGAATTTAGGTTATATAAAAGGATTGATAGACTCAATAAAGGATTCTGAAAAGAAGGTATATCTGTGGATTTCTGTATTTAATGGAAAAGTATCAGAAATTGGAGAAGGTTGGTGAGGGGACTTATGGGGTGGTTTATAAGGCCAAAGATAGTCAGGGTCGAATTGTGGCTTTGAAGAGGATTCGATTAGATGCCGAGGACGAGGGAATTCCTTCTACAGCAATTCGTGAAATATCTCTTTTAAAGGAGCTTCATCACCCAAACATTGTGAGCTTGGAAGATGTCATTCACTCTGAAAGGTGTTTAACTTTGGTTTTTGAGTTTATGGAAAGGGATTTAAAGAAAGTATTGGATGAAAACAAAACAGGATTGCCGGGAAATCAGGTAAAATTATATTTATATCAGCTTCTGAGGGGAGTTGCTCACTGTCATCAGCATAGGATTTTACATAGAGATTTGAAACCACAGAATCTTTTGATTAATAGTGATGGAGCACTTAAGCTGGCAGATTTTGGACTTGCAAGGGCTTTTGGGATTCCTGTTAGGAGTTATACTCACGAGGTCGTAACTCTTTGGTATAGGGCTCCAGATGTATTAATGGGTAGTAAAAAATATTCAACTTCTGTTGATATTTGGAGTATTGGATGCATTTTTGCTGAAATGATTACAGGTAAGCCTCTCTTCCCCGGCTCATCAGACGAGGATCAGCTTCTAAAAATATTTTCGATACTTGGTACTCCAAATCCTCGCGATTGGCCACAAGTTCAGGAGCTGCCATTGTGGAAACAAAGGACTTTTCAGGTCTTTGAAAAACAACCTTGGAATATAATAATTCCCGGCTTTTGCCAGGAAGGAATTGATTTACTTTCTAACATGCTTTGCTTTGACCCAAATAAAAGGATTTCTGCGAGAGATGCTATGGACCATCCGTATTTTAAGGATTTGGATCCACATATTCTGATGATCTAAATATTAATCTGTTTAACTTAAAAATAGCTGGGTTTACTCCTCAAAACCTCGGGATTAATTTTCACCAATTAGTTTGGTCTTTCCAAGCTAATCCACCTATCTTATTTCTTTTTATTATAGAAGATTCATTATGTTGCGGGACCACATATAAATCATTAAAGGTGAACAGGGTTTAGAAAAGTTTTTTTGGTTTCTTCAAAAGTCTTAGACATTTTTTTTTTCTTCCTATCGCTATTTTGAATTAATGTTTTGGTTATATCCATTTAGTCAAATAATTGAGATTAAATGTAATATTAGATGTATAATCTTTTTTTTTTTTAATGTTGATTTACTATATATATCTCTATTTCTACTTCTTTCTATGCCTAAAATCATTAAAGTTAAAATAATTGAGTGTAAATTTCAACTACTAAAATTGAAAATGTTTTTTTAGAGATTTTTTATATCACTTTTTGTTCAATTTATTTAGAAATAAAATTGCATGAAAAAAATCATTAAAATTTATATTACCGGTATTGAATCACTGTCAATATACCGGTGTATTTAAAAGTAACAGGATAGGCGGCAAATGGCAGTTTATGAAAATTGTACACAAAAGTTAGAAAATAAATATTCTCACAGAAAAAAAGTGATTTTTTTTTATGAAAAAGTTAGAAAAAGCAAGTAATTAGCCACTTAGTCTTCATTTAATAGAAAGTTTTGTATTAGATAGGAGGCTGAGAAAACCAACATCCTGGACTGGGTGCTGGCCCGGCCAATTATAACAAAGTTATTATATGAAGAGTTCTAGAGTGTGGAAGCTTCGACATCGAAGGTATGAAACAAGAATGCAGTGGGAACAAGTCTCAGAGGAGACCCCACGACAACACTTTTTCAAAGGATTTGTATCCTTTTTTTAAAGAAGGAAATCTACAAGAAAAACAAAACGATGTTTCTCTTCAAAGTCTATATATTTATAATCTATACAACCCTCAGCTTGTGCTTCTGGACTGTAACGTGCAATTAAATCCTTTTGGTTGTTACATGATAAGCGAGAATGCCCCAAGAAGTACAAAAGGAATTTGGAGGAAAAACATTCTAAAGGACTGGTTTGGGCTTGAAGGAGAAAGCAAGTCATCGCATGGGTTCGATTCCCATGGATTACGACTTTTGGCTCAACCAAGTAATGCAAAGCATTTCGGAAGTGGTTTCACAAACCATGATGGAGGAGGGGGTGAAAAGGTTCAGAAGTATGTATATTCTGGGATAAAGAATTTGGGAGCAACGTGTTATATGGGGTCATATTTGCAATATTTATTTATGAATTTAGATTTCAGATCAACTTTTCTGCGTGTGGATTGCAGCCAAGTTCCTGGGCTAAAAAGTATGAATGGTAGCCAAGGCTCTGTTAATTCTCTTACAAGAGCTGGAGGAAATAAACCGATGGAAGGAGAAAGTCTTCTAAGTTCAATGATTTTGCCGAATATAGATACAAATGCAAACACAGATGCAGAAAAAGATGTTGGGAAGAATTTTTCTCCTTGTTCTCACCCTTCTTCATTTGATGTAATTTTGGAACTTCAGAAGATTTTCAGACAAATGGAAACCGGCCGAATTTCTGTGGTAAATCCAATAGCTTTTGCAAAGACCCTGGGTATAAGTACAGAGAATCAGGAGGACGCTACTGAGTTTGCAGTGTTGTTACTCAGCTTATTGGAGTCAAAGCTCCAATCACTTTCAAAGTTATCTATTAAAGGGGTGGGCTCGTCATTGGAAAAGGATGCGAGCAGATTTATTCCAGAACTCTTTAGAGGTACTTTGAGTTACACAATAGAATGTATTTCCTGCAAGAATAAGACATCAATAGAGGATCATTTCTATGAACTCAGGCTTCAGCTTTTGATTAACAAAATTGAGGAGAAGGTTGATTTTGAGGACTCTGCCACAATAGTTGGGAGAAAGGAGAGAGAATCTGGGGATACACTGACACAACCACAAGAACACGAACAGAAGCAGGAACAAGAACAGGAACGGGAGCAGGAACAGGAACAAACAAAGACACAAGAACAGGAGGAGGAGAGGACAAGACAGAGGTCAAAGGAGAAAGACTCTAATCAGAAAAAGGCCACTTCTGGACATTCTGTGAACAGTACTTTGAGGTTGGAGCAAGCATTTGACAACTTTTTCAAACAGGAGTTGCTTACAGATGAGAACCAGTATATGTGCGAGAAGTGCCAGCATAAAACGGATGCAATAAAGAGATGTTTAATTGACAGACTTCCTCCATATCTTCACGTTTGCCTTCAAAGATATTGTTACGACTCTGTTTCTCGAGCTAGAAAGAAGGTTTCGATTCCCGTTGACTTCCCTCACATTTTGAACTTAAAAGAGTACTATAGTGGAGAGAGGAAGCCAAAAGAAGGGAACAAGGATGAGAGTTCTCAGGATGAAGAGTTCTATGAGTACGAGTTCATTGGGATACTTGAACATCAGGGACAATCTGCAATGAGTGGACACTACACCGCATCTTTGAAAGATTTCCAGTACTTGAGTGACACAGAGATAAGCACTAAAGATATTTCTCCGAGACAGGGGGAACCCAAATTAGATGAGTCGGAGCCCAAGACTCTTAGCACACCAAATTCTGGGGAGGAGCCAGTGGTCACTAAGAAGAAGAGGGGAAGAAAGCCAAATAACCTCAAGAAGCTCGAGACAATGTTTGCAAAACCTCAAAGCGAGGATTCAAAGAGATCCAAGCCTGAAGATGAAGCCTTTCCCGTCTCTCCGTCACTAGATTTGATTAATAAGTATAGAATTGCTCAGCTACTTGTCCAACAGCAGCAACAACAACAACAGCAACAACAGCAACAACAGCAGCAGCAGCAACAGGAACAACAACAGGAACAACAACAACAGGAACAACAGCAAAGCTTCATCTTTGGAGGAGCACCGAATGCAGAGATGAGGGTAACAGGCATCTCCATGGGTAATACTGGATATTCCTCTTTGGAAAAGAGTGATGGTTTGAGTAAAACGCCTGTAATGCATTCAGTAGCTACTCCGGTAACCCCAATGACGACTTTGAACCAAGTATCGCCGATTTCTCTCACTCCGTTGGCTCCTTTGGGAGTTTTGAATTCTATGCAACACTTGGGCACGGGAGTAACTCCATTAAATGGATTTACTGGCCTAAGTTCTCCTATAGTTCAGCACCAAATACAATTGCAGAACCTATATAACTTGATTTACTATAATAAACAGCGAAATCCACACTCTCAGTTAATACCTAGCTCTGGAGGTGGGAATCCAAACTTTATTAAGAGTGAAGAAAGGAATATTTTGGTAAATAGGGAGGTGCCAAAAGGAGGATTTAAAGCCAATTCTATAGATGAAGCTTCTGACGATTCAACCTTGGTCAAATCCTCTCAAGGTTCCACTGTAGTAATAACCCCTTCAAAGGTCCAGGAATCCCAGTCATCATCAAGCATTTCATCCACTCCAAATCTGGGAATTGAAACAAATTTTGTTGTTGAAAACAATAGCAATAACAACATAATGCTTAATCAATACATTCAGTACTTGCAGTTCATGCAAAACCAACAAGTCTTGGAAGCTAACAAGAACCTTATACTAGGCTCACTATTAAATACTGGAAACCAACAACAGAGCCAACTTCAAAATCAAATTCAAAACCAACTTCAGCTTCAACTCCAACTCCAAAAGCAACAGGAACAGATGAGGATGCAATTACCATCCCTTCAGCAGCCTTTTGTAAATAGCCAAGCTGGTAATACTGCATTCTTATTGGGTAAAACGGAGCCAAACCAAACCCATCTTAATCTGATTAACTTTCAAAACTCCCAAGAAAGAGGTCTTAAAGGAGGAGCAGTTTCAGCCACTCAAACCTCTAAGTCAAAAATCCCCCCTCAAAAGCTTGACTGCAGGTTAGACTCGAGCACCACTGAATTTTGTGTCCAGTCCAGAAAGAGGTGGAAATGGGTCCACTTTGATGATACTGAAGTTCAAGAATGGACTCCTAAGTTTTCCCTCTGCAACAACTCCAATATCAATAGAATGGTCACTAGAACTGGATATATGCTCATTTATAAAAGAAAAGATTGGGCGCCACACAAAACTACATGCAATACCGGTATTGTGAATACATGCACCCATGTGGACACAAATATGGGGCCGGTGCCAGGAATGACATTTGGCGGAGATTTGGGTGCACAGGAATGCGACAGAAATTTAATTTTGAAAAAGCTGAGTGTTTTGAATTTAAGGAAGCAGAACGTAACATATTTAAAGAATGTTATATTGAGACCATCAATTGATAGATGGCGAGAGGAGTGGACTAAGAGACTTGAAGCTTCAAGGGACGACGATAATGAATTGGTAAAGAGCTACCTGTTTGGTGGATTCTTAGCGATTCCTAACGAATGGTGGATGTGCTATGTTCATGGAGATGACTTGGAGCAGATCTTGCGTCATAACTCTGGCGGATTCGTCAAGTTTTGGAGTTATGAGAATTTATACTGCAAGCATTGTGGGGTTGTTGAAAATGAAGAGAATAAGCGAGAAAAGCAAGCTAGTTCAGGGTGTAACAAGTTTCTGGACCCATTTTTGTTCTGGGAAGGCCGAGTAAAGCTATTTCCTCCTGAACTTCTTAGCGCTTTGGTTGAATGTGTCTCTAAAGAGAACTCTTTGCTTAGGGAGTATTATTCTTTAGATATTGGCGGAGACATCATTGAATCAGTTAAGCAGGAGCAGAAGGATCAAGCAAGGCAGTTAAGTTTAGAACCAGGATCAGAGATTGAATGCTTAAATTTGAGTCGAAGTATGTGCTTAGAGTGTGTTAAAAGCTTGTACGGGATTCTGGATGTTTCCCTAAAACAGTCCAGGGTAATTTACGAAATGATGAGAACTAACGTTGCGAAAGAGAAGGAGGTTTGCTTGACCAGCACTCGTATGTTTAATAGTTTGATAGTTAAGTTTGATTTAAAACACAAGAATCCTGCACAGATGTTTCAAAGGAAACAAAACCAACTAAAAAATGACGAATTTGGTATTGTTAACGACAGTGAAAACCCTGCAATAGATTTTGACTATAACTGGAGATCAATATTCACTGATATTAAGAGGGATATTCAGAAAAATGGGATTCTAAATGAGCAAATTCTTCTTCAACTTCAGAAAGCACCTGATTCATCTTTCTCTCAAGTTGGAAATCTTGAAAATGGACCATACAAATCTGCAAACAGAGTTCAGGACTGGTCAAAGGATATTGCTTTAGGCTCAGCAAAATGCCCACATGGTTCATATGTAAGGTCAAAGGTTTCTGGGAAGACAGTGATTCTGATTCCACTAAGGCTGTTGGATGAATTTATGGAGTTGGAAGAGCAGAGAAGCAAAAAAATAACTTCTTTTGTACTGTTCAATAATACCAGAAAGGATAAAGAGGAGATTATCGCTAATATCTACAAGAACTACTTAAGATACAAGTGCAGTAACAAACTACTTCCGTGTAAGCATTGTAATACACAGTAATATGGCTGGTTTTGGTAGGACAAAAAAGAGCAAGCAGAACAGGCAGACAGATAAACAGACGGACAAACGGACAGTCAGGGTGACCACACGGCACGTAAATTTAGAAAATAGTTTGGAATATTCAAGTTTTGGCATTTTATTGGTGTTATATATACAGTAATAGCATTTAGGTATTTTATTTTATTTAAAAGCATGTTCTTCTAAGTACAAACATACTTTTCTATCTATAAGTCATGTATATCCTATCTTTCGCTTAGTTCTTTCTTCCTTTCCTTTTCTTCTCTCATAAAGTTTCTTATTACTCTTTAATTTACAGTTATATGATAAAGAAAATACAGTTGCTAAAAGAATAGAGTTTTAAGTAGAATGATGTGGAGGAAATTAGGGATGATTATGCAAGAGATTACGTTTGAGTGTGTATGAGTTCTGTTTCCATTAATGAATAGAGAGTTATAAAGAAAAATCATATTGAAAAGAGACGATATAATTAGAAATAACCAGTTTAAGATGTTTTGGTTAAACAGAATAATAAGCAGGATCCCCGGAAAATACATCAAGGAACTATAACCATATATTGTGAAAATCAAAGTAATTGGAAGTGTCTCTCTATTATATATTAAAATTCCATAAATAATAGAAGAGGTTATAACAAGGCTGGAAAATATATATGAGAAGGATAAAGTAAGACGAGTAATATCGGGGTTTAAGACGTACTTGGATCTTAAGTGAGGAAGAATTGTTGAATATGCACCAATTAGCATAGCCAGAGTTATGTTCAGCCATAGAGGTCCATAAAGATCACTACGTCTATTTTGATCAAGATTTTTGCAGTAAAAAAGATCAAAACCATTTTCAAACATATCATTCCCTCCTTTATGAGGAAAAACAGAGATTCCACTTATTGCAGGATTTTTTGCATTTGTAACAAATGTATTAATATTCTTCAATATACTTTCTTTTGAAAATGCCACCAATGAAATGTTAATTAATCTTTGCTTAATTTCTTCAGTGGTAACGTCAAAGTGACCTTTGAGAAACTGCCAACTCGCGGGATTAAACCAATCAAGGAGTCTGGAAATAAAATCCTCACTTTCTGTTCCTTTGATTTTCTGATTACCCATAGGCAATGGCCCTATTTCACCTTCTATAGAAGCTCCTGGCTCAAATTCATTTAATCTGCCTAAATAACCAGAATTATTTAAAGGCTGAGATTCAATATTAGCTTTTCCACCAAAAGTCTCAAATTCCAGCTCTGAGTCCAAATTCACAGTTTCTATATTAAAATTTAAGTCATCTAGATTCATCATTAGCAAAAAATTAATTTTATACTGAAGATAAAGTTTGAAAAAGAATGGTAAAAGATATTAAAAGTGATTCAGTATAATTCGAAATGGCTTGATTAGTTTTATATAAGGATTTTTCCAGCTTATAATGTAATTCACAATAATTTTGGTATTGGGATTATACTTCCAGTTTATTCAAATGTATTAAAGTATCTCAAACAAATTTCTTTAATTTGTTTGACGGGAAAGTATCTATTTTCTAGAGATTTACTAATTTCTTCTTTCTTTACTTAAACTAATTTTCTTTCTAAAAAGCCGATTTTCAAACCAATTATTTAAATTTTATTATCTCAAAAAAAAGTAATTTGTTGAATGATTGACACGTCATTTGGCGCCAAATGTGGGGTACCAAAACAAAAGTACACGTAACATAAAGAAATGCATGCATATTGCAAGTGGAAGCAGTTTAAGAAAATGATTGCATGCAAATAGGAAGGAGAAAAAATAAAACTGAATACAGAAAGTTATTAAGTAGTATTATGAATACAAATAAAGCAAATTTGGTGTTAGGGTAAAGAAAGTAAAATTCCAAATGTGGAAAACAATTCTGAGCAGTGTTAAAATAGATAAATAAATATATTGGAATAATACATTATAGTCAAATACTGGCCACTATAATTAATACATACACACAAAAATAATATTTTAGTTAAGATACATGTAAGTTATTTAAGTGAAGTTGGTTAGATTATTAATATTGGAATTGCTGTTATTATCATTATTAATTCTGGTTCTGAGAATTACTTCAATTGTGTCGTTCTCGGAAACATTGTAATCGTGGGGTGAAAGATTAAGGTCAATTTCAGAGTCCTTATATATGAACATAACATCAGTGACAGAAATATTAACATTTCTCGAGTAGCTTTCTGCCAATCTAGAGAAGGGAGTGCTCATAGATGCATTAAACCTGAGTTTTGGAAGATAAGGAAAATGTACAGATCCAACAAGGAAAAGAGAAATCCATATTTTCTGAGAGTATTGAAGTGTTTTATAACCTATTGCAAACAAAACAGTTGGACCTCTTAAAATGCCATAATCAATTGGAGATAAATCTGGGATAAGTCTATCTTTGATTCCATATCTAAGAATGTACAAATCAATAATACCTTCATGAATAGCTGCAACATCTCGAAAGTACCTAATGAGTTTTCTGAAAGGAGCCGTAATTGGAATTCTGAATAGACTTGTTGGGAGACTATTGGACGATTCGATACTTCCAATTATATGGATTTCTATTAGACTTGGTGATACTAAAGCTCCACTCTCTGGGTATGCTTGCATATTTAATAGTAAAGTTTGATCAGCATTGGAGATTTCGGTTTCCTGTGAGCTTTGACCTGGATTGCTTGATAAATTCGAATTTGAGAATTGAGTGTTTTCGCTTATATCATTGCTATTATTATTAATACTACTTCCACTTCTACTAATACCTCCCTCTCTATTAACATCACTACCATTATCACCTGTAATACTACCATTATTCGGCTCACTTGGGATACTGCCAGTTTGATCGGAGTTTTCTAAAGAGTGGATGATCTCTTGACTAATTTGCTCCTCTCCATCATTTTCATGGTTTTCATCAACATTAAAATTAATTCCTGTAGGTTGATGGTTATTAAAGTTTTGGGAAATTACAATAGTTTCTGGCTTTCTTCCTGAGGCTCTTGAGATGATTTTTGCAAGGTTAGCATTTGAGTGGTTTGTAAAAATCATCTTCTTCACTTTGGGAGTATAGGCAGCCAGACACTGAATCGCAATTGGGGGGATTCTGTAGGAATGGGGATGATAATTCGTAATATAGTTAAGATCAGAATTAAAAGTTTCAAAGTTGAACTTCTTATCATTCAAGGTTTGGATAACTGAAATGGATTTTGCTTTTGATAATAGTGGGTATAGCTGACCAAGAATTGGTAAATACAAGTCAGATTCGAATAAAGTTAAGTTTTGCACATATGAATTGAATATTGTACGGCAACAATGAGTTCTGCATACCAATCTGAAGTTCGAGAAGTCTCTAAGAGGTAAATAACTGCATATTTGAGAAAGAAGGTTTACTGATATATTTTTACTTGGACTTTGCTTATTATGTGAAATCCCTAAAGCAGAACAACCATGTATTTGCGAATCATTTATTTTCACGATATTTCTGGATCCAAAATATGGAACCATTGTATATTTACTACAAACTTTAACTAATCTGGTGCTTCCTATGGTAATATCATTTGGAAAGTCTTTTTTTCTTTTATATCCACAACAATTTGGGTCTTCACCGTGGATTTTCTCAAAAATAAAGTCCTCCAAGTTCTCCTCATACAATTCAAGGCTCTTATATTTGCTCCGAAAAAGTATTTCTCCTCCCTGAGTCCATTGTTCAATGCCTTCATTTAAAGATTCTCTACTATCAAAATTGGTCTGATTCTCAGTATTAATGTTACTATTACTGGTTCTTTCATATTCACCATCATTTGCATTGCCAATCAGTTTGGCTCCGAGAACCATAGAGTTGGAGTTGACCAATCCAATCAAAACTTTTGGATTGAATGCTCCCTTAGATGTGATTCCTGGCCAAATTGCTTCACCTGCATAATTAGTTGGCATATTTTCAGCAAACTCTCCAGTAATCTCAGCACACTTTGGGACTACCTTCCTAACTTTTATATACTCCTCATGAGGAGACGAACCATTAAGAAATATTCTAACTTTGGTTTCTAAGGAAAGAATAAGCATTTCTTCATCATTAAATACTTTTTCAATATCATCAAAGTCATTGGAACTTGAAGGCTTATTACTCATATCATTGGAATTAATAAGTCTAAGCCATGAAAAGTAACATGAAGGACAAGAAGTAGAGTTATAAAAGGGGTTAATGAAAAGTGGAGTTTGAAAAAGCCCAGGATTCATTTTAAATAGATTCATGGTTGAGATTTTTAAAGTCATGAAAAGCCCGACACGAAGGGAGTTCATTGGAAAGTACTTATTCCAGTTCTTAGATTCAATCAGTTTCACTTGTTCAGCCTTTTCACTTGTTTCAATATTAATTTCACCACCTTCAAGATTTTCTCCAACTAAACTATTAAAGTATATACTCTTCTTTACGTGGTTCGAGAATTCACAGAACTTTTCAGTCAACAAGATAACCATTTCCTTTTGGGCAGATACATTTATTCCAATTCTATCCTTATCTTCATGAGTACATGAGTGCTTGAGTCTTAGTGGAAAACATAAATAAAACATATCATGCAAATGAAAAGAATCTTTTACAGTATGGAGAATATGTTCGATATCTTCGCAACTAAGCCAGTTGATTGGTGTAGATAATGGAAGACTGTGACTATTTACACTTACTGTTCTACATGTGAACCACTTAATTTCTTCTTGGGGCTTAATTTCACCATTAAGAGATGATTCTGATGTTAAAGACGAATATACTTTGCTGTCTTCACAATTTGTTTCATCTATTTTGGCTTTCTTACATTCTCTGGAGCTTTTAAATGCGATTTTCGAGCCAATATTGCAAGAAAAAATATCATTAATCTCAACAAGTTTAAGTAACTTCTCAAATATCAATCTCAAAAATTGAGAGACATACCTGTCTTGTTCTTCTCCACAGTAAAGAGCCAATTCTCTTATATCACAAGGAGTATACATTACACTATATTGGTAACTTGAGCTATTTTCAGGGGTCACTTTTGATAATTTAAAACTTTCAGGAATTTCTAAAGACAAGTAACCAGTACTAAGAATATTTTCTGTAAGTTTTTCATCCAAAAAATTCCTCCATTCTTCAATTTCTGGTTCAGTATACAAATTATTCATCATCAATTGGACTAGTTAAGTTTTTTCTTTAACTTTCAAAGTTCATAAAAAGGGTGTCAATGTTCAATATTTAATTCAACCAATACTTATTAATCTACTTGCAACTATATTGGTAAGAACTAAAATAACCAGATTTTGGTGTGTGAGATTTGTAGATCACATAACTTTCAGATTATTTAAATTGAGAGAGAGCTTTATTCACAACTCCAAAATTTTGTTCCAGATCTCAATCGCTACTTCTAAAACTTTCAAAAACAATGCAAGCAAGCTCTCTTCTTCAACCTATATGATCTATCTATCTATCTATCTCACGCTCAAAATACCTTTTTATATATATAGTTTATTATATATATACATTTAATATGTAACGAGAATAAGTCAGAGTCGATTTGGCGGGAAATTAGCATTTTCGAAATTCAAAGGTTCATGTACAAGAATATAAAGATGAACCATGTGAATAAGATGAATATAGGATAGGAGGGAGAATAGTGGGAATAAAGAGAAGAAGAGGAAGTAAAGAGACAACAAAAGAAAGAGTTAAAGGAAGAAAATGGTGGCCGAACTACACAAATATAAGCGATTATAACGATTGAAACTTATCATCTAATGGCATCGAGCTTTCCAGTATAGTACATATTATTAATGGTAGTTTGTCTTTCAAGCATTTCCTTGTAATCTTTAAGTCGACTACAGAACTCATCCTTAGTTTTTCGGTCTTTATTAAGCTTTATATGATACTTATTATATAATGCAAGGAACTTGTGATGTAAATAAGAATATTAAAAAAAGGAATAAGTACAATAGGAAAAAAGGAGTGAATGGAATAGAAAATGCAAAATTTCAGTTTGGTGTTAAAGGAAAGGTGGTTTTAATTAATGGTAAAATAATGGGAGATTTCAACTTACATTTCTGTCAAAGAATGAGCGAAGGTTCGGACAGGGAAAACGCTGAATAATTGTGCTAATTTCTTTGGTAAATTTAGTTATTTGACAGCTCATGTATTTGGTTGAATTCTAATTATTATTAATCCTGTTCATTGATTACATTATAATAAAATGCCATATTTTTTCAAACAAAAGAAATTTCCCGCCTAAAATTTATTTATGGCAAATAAAGGATATGTAAAGATAAATGGAGTGAGGTTTAGTATTTGGGGATAAATTTACACTTAGTAATACTTTTTGGAGCTAAGAACAAAATACTTAAATTTGAGATTATGAGCAAAAAAAAGGTTAGGAAGGGAAGGCAAATAATGAAAAAGACGGAAACAACAGAAAAATATTAGTAATTTGGTACCATAGGAAAAATAATTTCCTGTCTCAAATTGCATGCATGCAATTTTTATCAAAAATTTAAGATGGAATAAAATAAAAAATGTTGGATTCTAATTCAAAAATAATTTTTTTCAAAGCATAAAAATTGTTACAGTTTTATTTTTAATAAATGTGAGAAATACATATATTAATATATAAATATTTAAAGAGATTATAGATCCAGAAAAGGATGAAAGAGAAGTAGAGTTTACTATTGGGCTCATTTTATGATTTAATTGCGAATGACAAATAACCTGTGTGGCCCCTCATGGGAAGTTGATACCTTAGACCTTTTTTAGGGAATTTCTTAGAAGATCCTCTAACAATTCCCCAAGGTTTATAAAGTACTTCAAAAGTACGTATATGGATATATTTGAGTGAATTTAATTCATTACAATTTTTGGATACCTGTTCAATGCACGGTGAGAAGATGACAATACTCGCTCCTTTTTGAAGGACTTGGTCAGCATGTTTAATGGCAATCCAAGGTGAGGGAAGATCAAGAAAAACTCCATGAATAGTAATTTTTGTAATATCTAAAAGGGGCGAAATGAAACCATCCTTGCAAACATCTCTATGTTGGCAGACAATATTGGAGATACCATATTTTTGGAAGTCTTGGATAGACTCTAGGTGTCGTTTTTGATCATACTCAAAAGTATAAATGGTTCCACCTGGATTTGTTGACCTAGATAACGAAACAGTGAGCGATCCACTTCCAGTTCCAGCCTCAATTATATTTTTTCCGGGAGATGCATCCAAGAGCACACATATTAATGAAATGTCAGCCTGGTAGAGTATTTGAGTACGATGATTAAGTGAAATTGAAATAAGTTCAGGACAAAGTTTCAGAACTACCATCCATTTGGACTTGGAAGTATCAAAAATTCGGCTCCCAAAGTGCCTTCCAATAATCTCATTATGCAGGAAGACCCCATTTCTGGTCTGGGTTTTTCCATTTTGTTCCAGTAAAATTTGCATGACCATTTCATATCCTCCAAATAAAACCACTAAATCCCCATTTTTGCACTTTTCATACCTTCTCTTCCGGGTACAACCTTTCACCACTATGTTACTTCCTTCAAAGTTTTCTCCAAAATCCTCAAGTGAGACCGATATTTTCCCTAAGCTTGCCAATTCAGTTCTTCCTTCTTCCTTCATTCAGCCTTCCTTACTAAGCAAGTTTTTTCAGATAGCTGGTGATAATTAGCTCAAGAATACCCAAGCCACGGAGAAGAGAGTTGAAATATGTCCAGTTCTACCTTATTTTCTTACTTTATTTCTTGTCGTTATCAGTTTATCAAAATTGACTTGAAATAAAATTCAGACGTGGCGCCAATTTCCCGCCATTAAAGTAATTATAAGCAAAGATGATATATAGAAAAAAGAAGAGGAGAAAATTTGGAATAATAATCTAACTCTGCAAGATCTTTAAGGAAAAATAAGGCGGATAAAGGAGGTTTGAGGATCGCAGAAAAAAGTTTGTTTCTTCCTTTGTGGAGTTAGAGTTTACTCAACAGGGCAGAATAATAGGAGAAAGACAAAGATATTATTTGTTTGGTGCAGTAGGTTGGTAAAATGGGAAATAAGGATTGTGACAATATTGATGAAGATGAGTGGTATGCAGGTTTAGGAGTAGTTCCTTTATCATCCGAAAAGACGTCTTCGTCAGCTCCTATTCAGGGTTCTACATTGGTAGCTGATTCTAATATGTTTTATGAGGCTGACCATAGAAACAAAGAATTTATAAATGAAGATACGTCAAAAGATGGAGTTATATCTGGAGGAAAATATCACGGTATTGAGGATGTTCCTATGTCCGATATAAATTTGGGCCGGGAGTTAGGACACTTAAATCATAACCAAAAAGAAGATAGTACTACTAATGTCTACCAAGAAAACTCAATAACGAATTCAAAACTTGGGCAATGTTTTGACTTAGCTTCAAGGCCAGGAACAGGTGGATCTAAATCTAGATATGAAGGAGAAGAGTTTCGGGATGAAATTCAAGAAAACGAGAAAGAAATGGCAGTAACTACAATTGTAGAAGAGGAAGAAGAAGAAGAGGAGGATTTAGGAGGAGTAATACTTGCAGAGGAAGTTAATAGCAAAAGCTACACGAATATTCCATATGGTAAAGGGGTCTCAATAGTTTCAAAAGGCAGTAAGTCTATATCATTTGTAAGAAGGGATCGGGTAGTCTTTCTTGGGTCTCCTCCAGAATTACCTGAGAGAGTGAATCCCGATCCAAGTACAGGAGGAGCTATGACACGAGTAGGGTCAATAGTTGTTATTTCCAACTTAATGTGGTGGATTAATGATATACATGTACGCGAGTTAGCTGCAGAATTTGGGGCTATACGAGCAGTAAGGATTATAGAGAGACCTAAAGATGGAAGATCTTTAGGGATTTGTTTAATTGAATATGTTAATTCAGATAGTGCTCCAAAGGCTTTGCAAGGTATCTCAGCAAGTTTTGCAAATAAATTTGAGGGCCGTCCATTATATGTGGTCCCTCTACCTCTTCATGGAGAATTACATATTGCTTTGGATAATATTACTCCACATTGGAGCAGGGGAGGAGTTATTACAGAGGAGATTCTGGCGATGATATGTCAATTAGTTGGAGTAGATGTACAAACAGCAGGTCTGGAGATACAACCAGAGACTGGTACTATTATAGGTCTTGTACAACCTAGATTTGCTGATTATGCATCATACTATTTCCCTGACGGTACCCCATCTTGGTTTCCTCCATTATATGTGGAAGCACTTAAGCACTTGAGGGATTTAATTCCTCCATCTAGACTTCAGAATAGACCAGCAACAACAACTTCAACATCTAAACATTCCTCATCCAAGGCAAGATCAAACTACATTAGTAATGGTATAGGCGCATCTTCAAACTATGCAATTATGGAGAGTGACTCTGACGTATTAAATCACTTGGATGAGGACTTTGGAGGTGGAAAAAATGGTGAAATTAAAGATTCTACATCATCTTACAACAACAGCGCTCATATTGGTTCTTCATCGGGAGATCATCCAAATAAGGCAATAAAGAAAGGCCATGATAACTCAGGATCAAATTTTAGTGGAAGCCATGGTAGTAATAATAATCAAAATATAGAAGAGAATTACCAATATATTAGCAGTGGGCGTGGTTCTAAGTCTGCTAAGTATGACCAAGGTTTATCTGATCATCATTCAGGAGGACCAGGTGGAGGAGGAAGCAACAATGAAGATCTGCTTACATCACTTAGGGATGATGACGACCATTTTTCCACTACTGGTGGAACAGGATCAGGAGGTGGACAAAGCAACAGAAGGTTTGCTAGCCAGAGACGAGATTATAGAGAAAGAGGAGATCGTGGTGAAAGAGGAGACCGTGGAGAAAGGGGAGGTGAGCGGGACCGAGACAGAGATCGTGGAGAAAGAGTAGATCGGGATAGGGACAGAGATCGTGCCGAACGAGAACGAGATCGAGATCGGGATCGGGATCGGGATCGTGATCGTGGAGAAAGAGGAGATCGTGATCGAGACAGAGATCGAGTAGAACGGGGAGAGAGAGAAAGAGATAGAAATAGGGATAGAAATAGGGAAAAAGGCGATAGAGATCGGGCAGATAAGGGTGATATCAAGTCTGAAAGAACAGAAAAGGAGAGGTATAGGGAAAAGGATCGTGAGAGAGAGAGGAGCGGAGATCTTGAGAAGGGTTTAGCAAATAAGGGATCAGGAGGAGGAGCATCGGGGGGTGTGTCTAATATAAAAGAAAGTTCTGAGAGAGTAAATGGAGGAGGCAACCAAAGCAAGAAGCCATCAGGAGGTACTGGGAATGTTATGTTTTTAGATCACGGAGCATCTACCAAATCTTCCTCTAAAAAGCATAGATCTTCTAGTGAGAGTTCTAGAAGCAGGAGTCCTCAAAGGAAGTTGTCTTCAAAGCATGTTAGAAAAGATTTGAGTAAATTTTCATCAAATTCGACAAAGGAAAAGCCATGGGAAGGTAGAGGCTCAGGTGGTGGTAGTAGTGGTAATAGTAATAGTGGCTCGAGAGGATCCAAGAACTCTTATAGAGAGAGTAGATCATTAGCAGAGAGAGGAGGATGGGAGAGGAAAAGTAATAGAAGATGATAGAAACCAGTGCAAGGTTTTTCATTGTTAGAGAATTAGTGTTATATATTAATGGGTATTGATAATGAATAGAAAAGATGTATTACTACTGCCACCGTCCTAGTATTATATTTATTTGATTTTTTAACAAATTGATTAATGTAAAATATTCAGTATTTGAGAAGTCTAGTGTAAAATTCTCCAATGTTACATAAGTATTATATATATATATATATATGTATATATATATATAAAGAAGTATTATAGCAGCTTTAATGTTAGGAATTAAAGCTTAGCCATTAGATTAGGTTAAGTTTACAAGTATTCATTGTTAAATATGTGAAAGTGTTTTTATAAGATTTCAAAGCTTCAATTCTTTGTGTTGAATGAATTTTACTTGACTCTAAACGCTCCGGTAGTTCTAGATATTAAAATATTGTAAGATGATAAAAAAGCAGGAAATTAAAGGACAAATGAAAAATATCGTCTCTAATGCATGCAAACAACTTGGCGCCAATTCAACAAAGAAAAAACCTATAATCCTACAACCAAACCCTATAGAATGTTAATAAATAGTACATAAGGAATTCCAATACAAATCTTGTACCGGTTTAAAGGGACCGAAACAATCTTAAGATGTTGAGCATTTGGAACTCTTTCAATTGGTTGGGCCCAAGAGAAATGAGCTTCAGTTACAGACAAGTCTAAAAAGTGGGAAGCTAAAAGCTCTTCACCTTCTTTAAATAAATAGGAAATCTTAAGTCTGACCCAAAAGCACTCCTCCGATAAATTCGTTTGGAAACCATTTTTTAAAAACCCATAAATTTTCAATACAGGAACAACTTGGTTCTCGTTGTCCAAACTAAGAGTTTCAGAGGAAATTCCAGAAGGATGACCAGCACAATCTTTGTTGTTCTGAAAACCCAGAAGTTCGCCTCTTAAATAAACATGTGGAAGCATTTTCTGAATAAGTAAGACCGGCGGGAACCTCCCCACATATTTTAAAACATGCATGCATGCGTATTTTAGTGTGTCAGAACTGACATTGTGCCAGAGTTGTGACTGTAAGTCCACAGAAAGAACGTTCTCGGGGAATTTGGAGTGGTTTTCAGATAATGAGGAGGAGGGCGTATTGCCTTGGCCAGGAACTAAATTTCGAAGGTATATGAGTAAAAATGATGATTTTTCTCCGGGTTTGCGAGAATTTTTGCAAACAGAAATTAGCAGGTCGTTAGGGTGTTTTCTCAAATTATGTAGAAAAATGTTCGGAAGATTCTCAGAACTGACTTTTTTTGCTACTATTTGCCACTCTACCTGGGAAATAGAGTTAAAATCCAGAAATTTGAAAAGATGGATAGCATTATCAATAAAGCTTTTTTCAATAAGAATATTAAATTTGGGTATTTTCTCACCCAATTCACAAAGAAGAATTTGTTTCAATAACTTTAAGTTTTTCTCAACAATTTCTTTGTTATTTGACCCATATTTTGTATTTAAGGAATCAAAAATGCATTTTATTTGGGAAAGAATAACTTTCAGAGCAATCTGTTTAAGTGACCAGTAAATTTGAGTGATGATTTGGAAAGTTTGCAAGGAAATCAGCTTTGCAATGTTTGCAAGCCCAAATATTGTTTTAAGTACACCCACTAAATGGATAAGAATTTCGAAGTGATCAATCTTCTTATCAGATTCTGTATAGAATCCAGAATTGAAGCTTTTTATAAGGAATTCAGTAATCTTTGAGATTCCTGAAAAGTATAAACTTGAGAAAAAGCAGTTATTTGAGTTATTAATAAATGTAAAGTTCGACTCTATGTTGTTTAAGTTGGATCTGAGTTTTATAAAAAGATTTTGGATTGATAGAGAATTAACTTTGTTATTAGAGGCTTCCTCAGACCTTAAAAACAACTGAATAGAACCGTAGATTTTGGTAATATGTACCAATATATTAATCCAAGCACAACTCTCTAAAGTGTAGAGTTTTATGGATTCGAAGATTGCCGTGGATATCTTATACCTCCCTATAACTGCAAAATACTTTGCATATTTGTATACATTGGTGAAATTTAAATTTGGTAGGCAAGACAAAATCATTTCTTCAATCTTCTCTTGGAGCTCTATATTGGTTAAGACTTCTCCTTTGGCCTTGGAATCTAGTCTGTGAAAATAGACACAACAGTAATAAAAGTTTGAAAAGAGTTTGCTAATTTCTTCCTGATTAAGATCATGATTGATTGGGTACTCAACCGGTATATCATCCAAAAGGGAAAATCTGTATAGGTTTCTCAATATTGTCAAAAACACAATTTCAGAGTTATTGGTAGGAATTAATCCTATTCTTTGGTTCTTATTATACTTAATAACCCATGTAGGGGCTAAGTCAAAATATACAAGCTTTAAAATGAGTTCTGAGCATATTTTCATAAATTCATCTCTTTGTAAGCTGCTTTTACAAATGACCCACTCTACAAAACTGGAGCTTAATTCTTTAACTAAGCTATTTTCCTTTGTCTGAAACTGATGGTCATTACAAACTATAACAAGTATATAATATGATTTACAAAGTATATAGTTAAGCAAGAAGTAAGATTCTAGAAGCTTGGTATTTTTCTTTTGAAATGGTTGGAATAGTTCAAGAATTTTAACTTCCTTTAAAAAGTGAGCTATTGAAAATGCCAGGTCTATTAAAAGTTTCTTATTACATAATTTATTGGTATTAAAAACTTTTTCATTACGGAATTCCAAACCAATGTTAATTATGGCGGAGAGATTTGAGATATATTCACAAACTTGATCATTTGAGCAAAAAGAATCTTTTGGAAAATTTACAACAAAATTAATAAATACTTGGAATAACTGATCTAAATTCAGGATAAATATGGTTTCGTCTGTTATAATATTGTTATCAATCTCAATGTTAATATTATTTTCTTTCAGTTCAAAATTCCATATAAACAATATCTGACCCTTATCCAAGTATAAAGTTAATATAGATTTAATTACTTGGTTTAAAATTATTAAAAGCATAGACTCACGCTCAAGATATTTGTTCAAATTGTCTCCCAAAACCTTAAAACTGATTAAATTCCATATAGTTCTCATCCATTTCATATGATCATGTGAAACCAAAGGATGAGAAGATGAGATTTTAGTAATAACCTTAAAACCATTTTCAATAAGTGTATGATATGGATAGTAATTAAGTTTTACAAGTAATTCCTCATTAAAAAGAAGATTCAGTTCATCTTTAATCATATTATAACAGACAATTTTGATATCTTGGAATTTATTGGGAATATTATCAAAGATATCAAATATGATCACAAGAAATTCTTGCTTTGAATAGCTACTTGATTTTTGAAAATAATCCTGAGAACTTTTACTGCTTTCAGTTTCTTTTTTAATTTCATTCAAGCTCAAGTTCTTTTCAAGTTGGCATAACTTATCTACAATACTTTTAATGGCTTCTTTGGAATGAATATCTTTAATTGCAAGTCTAAATGATTTAAGTATCTTCAATACTACAAAGTAAAGCTGACAGTTGTTATATTGTATCATCAAAGAAAGCAAATAGTTTAAAATTTCAATATCAGAGTTGATTAAAGAAGATAAGACATTTGGTTGACCTGGAAGAATCTTGCTTTTTGCAATTGGGTATTCATCCTGAAGAATAGCTTCCATAATCTCCAATTGAATATTTGCATTCCAATGATATAAAAGTTTAATTACGCCATTACTTATCTCAGAAAGAATTAGCTTCTTTTCAGAAATCCCATTCCTACCATTGAGAATATATTTTATATTTTGGAATGTAATATGTCTTACTGTGGGGTGGTTCGTTTGGATCAGAATTTCAATCAGTTGTTCCCAACCAGACTTGATTTGAGCTACATTTTGGTTTCCATCTACAATCTCAAATGTCAAACAATCTCCTAAGGTGTTAATCAATGTACATAGCTCTGAAAGCTGCAATCCTGGCTTCCTCAGCTTGGTACATACTTCCGAAATTGACATTTTGTTAATAAGAATCAAAATTTCCAAGTCTCCGAATTATTTTTCCGTCTACTGATAACGAGCTTCCTGGTTAAGTCAAATTAAAACTATTCAACTATTCCCATTTCGCTCTATCGCGTAACGGAACTTATTTTCAATTCTTTTCTCTGCTCTGGCGAGTTTTTTGGTGATTACTAAAAGGCGCCAATACCGCCACATATGGTCCAAAGTATATATTAACGGCATTATATATACATACAATATTAATATTAAATATTTAATAAAATGCAAGGCTAAGGTTTTAGTGAAGGGAGACTAGAAAAGGATTGAAACAGGTTCAGATTACAAAACAAGCTGAGAAGTAAAAGAATGAAGAAAGTATTTTCTTTTTTCTCCTGAAAATGAAAAAGTTTGACGTTAAAATGCGCATATACCTGTGAGCTAATTAAAAAATAAATAAATAAATATATATATATATATATATACAATATAATAAGAAAAAGCCCGCCTACATGCAATTATTATATAAATGACAATAAAATGCAGGTAATTAGTGGGAACTATTGGCTTTATGTTTGGGAACAAAGACAAAGTCATTGGGGACTTTCCCAAGAATCATTTCTGAGATTTTAATCCAATCACTAGAGTTACCAGATGCCAATAAAGTTTCAAGGTCATTTCTACCAATATATTTAGGCGTTCTCCAATTAAAATTTTGGGTATGAATAGGTTGCTCAAGAATACCAATTGGGATATACCTATGAAAAAATGAAAGGAATTCAAGCAGAAATCTTCGAGTAAGAGCAATTCCTCTTTTATCAGTACCCCAATGCTCAAGTCCAAGGTTAACATATTGCTTTAGAATGTCAAATCTTTCACTGGAAGAAATATCCCAGTTTCTAGTTTCCTTGATTTCAGTAAAAATCCAGGGCTTCAGTAAAGCTCCCCTTCCAATCATTACAGAGTCAACTTGGTCATTTTGAATATGTTTTTGATAATCTTGAAAATTGATAATATCACCACAGCCAATGATTGAGGGACAAAAAGGATTGGTTTTGTTATTAAAGTTATTGCTTTCGATATTGTTGACAACCCTTTTTGAATACAATTTCGAATTCAAAGCTGAGCAGTATTTAATATAAGACCAATCTGCTTCTTTAGTATATCTTTGAAAGGATGTTCTTCCATGTATAGTTAAAGCATCAATTCCAGAATCACAAAGGATGCTCAAGATTTTATGAGTCTTCATATTATTATATATTACTGGCCAATTTTCAAAGTTTTCAAAGTACTCTTTTTCAAAGAGATTTTTATTAATAGGCGACCCTCCGTGACTCATTCTAACTTTAACAGTGACTAGTTTGTCGTCTATTACTTTTTTCAGACCCTTAACCATGGCCTCAAGTTCTGAAACTCTATCAACAAGAATACTTCCAGCGCCTTTATCATGAAGAGTTTTTAAGGGACAGGCAGCATTGATATCAATAAAATCAAATTCACAATGCTCATTGATAAATTCACCAGTTTTTATAATGGTGCTCTTGTTACCACCAGCTAATTGAATACCAAAGTATTTCTCTTCTGGACTTCTTTTAAGCAGTGCTAACTCAGAAGCTTTTCCAGAAAGAATTTCATTGCATAATACCATCTCACTTACAGTGATATCGGCTCCAAATTTTAAGCAAAGTCTTCTAAATGGAAGATTTCCAACGGTAGTAAGAGGAGCAAGAATTAATTTTTCTCTGAAAAGTTCATGTTTGAATTTTTCCCTTTCATGTTTGGAAATCCCAATCATCATGTCTTTAGGTGAAAGCTTGAATTCACTGGGAATTTCAAAATTTGGTTGATTTTCAAGATCAGAAATAATATTTGGTTCTTTTTCAGACATGGATTTTGATTGATCAAGTTTGTTTAAGCTTAATAATGGGTTTTCAAAATTTTGGCCTTTTTTACAGCTTGATTTTTGATTTCTCTTTTCACAGTCTTTGGAAAATTTACTGATACATGAAGAGAAGTTATCCAGAAATTGTTGAGTTTTTGGGAAATTGATAGTTTTTTGCCTCAATCCGGTTCTTAATTGGATACCAATAATATTCTTCTCAAATGACTTAGAGAATTCGTCAAGATTTTCAGGAGTAACTTTTTCACCATTACTATTAACATTTGCCATCATAGATTCATTAAAATGTGAAAGTCCAAATTCACAATTAAGTCCTAAATGACAGATTCCATAATTTTCAAAAAGAGGACAGGACTTTTGTACTAAAAGGGATTCTTCATTATTGTAAATTCTTGATTCTGCTTCTTCATGTTTAATTTTCAAGAATTCCTCAAGATTATGACTTTTTTTACAGATGTCCTGGCCAAGTTTACATTCTCCAAAAGTTGCTATGTTTGAACAAAGTCTATCTAAATTATCAATCTTTGAAATGTAATTCAAATTCTGGGATCTTTCACTGGCTTTAAAAGACCCTCTAACACTTCTTTTCTTTGAAGAATTGGTTTCATTTTGGCCTTCTTTCAATTCCCCCACTTTCTCTTCAGAACCAGTCTCAGTTTGACATTTTGTAGATGTTAAAGGACTCAAGTACTCCATCATTATTGGGGCTTCACAATTTTCAATGCATTTCTTCACATAGTCCCTTCTTTCTTCATCTGTTGGGACTTTTTTAAGTGGTTCTTCCATTTTTAATCAGTTTAAGACCCCAAATATTAACTCAAATTTTAAGAAATAATATTCCTATTTTCCCAGAAAACTATATATATATATATATATATTATTTTTTATGGCTCTAATATTTAAATATATTTTAATATTATTATTTGATTACCCAGTGATATTGACCATTTGTTAATTTAATGACATGTTTGGCGCCAAAAAAGATGTCGGTATAAGGACCAATAAGTACATAGAGAAAAAAGATGTTATTGCATGCAACAAAAAAATTAAAGATGAATTTACTGGAAAATTGCATAATTGAACAAGATAATAAGTAATCAAGATACAATGGTTTAAAGATAATACATTTGTGAATAATTAGATGAATTGTGAGAATATATATATGTTAATGGAAAGACGAAGTTTTATGGGAGAATATTGATAAGTATTTGAAAAAATGGAATTACTACTTTTTGGTTTCATTACTTTGCTGAGCCTTAATATGCTCCATAAGAATGGAATTAATGGCATCAAAGATTTTGTTTTTATCATTGAGTGATTTAGAAATCTTTTCTATCGATTTCTTGATCATTTCAATTTTTTTATCAAAATGGGTTTTGGCTTTTTCAATTCTCATTTCAACATGATAACCGGTACCGATATCAACCAATACTTTTTCTACATCACAAATTGTGGCATCTACATAAATTGATTGGCTAATTGGTGCTAAAATAGTAGCATCTTTATTTTCAGGTTTGAATTGCTCTAATGCTTCTTTGGAGCCATTGAATCTATTTAAAACAATATTCAGTTGTTGAATTCTAATAGACAGCTCATTCATCTCTTCTTGGGTTTGGTCTCTAAGTTGAAATAATTTTGCTGGAGGAAGTGAACTAAGTTGTATGGTTTCAACTTTATTAGCATTATTATTTGATGTATTCGATAAATTTGAAACTGTCATTATTTCCAAAAAACACTGGGTAAAGAATTTAAGTAATTATTAAATATATCCAATTTTTTATCTGGGTTTTGGCTTGGAAAAAGTAACAAGGAGCTTTAAACTTCAGATAGAGTAAAAGGAATTTGAAATTACATGAATAAGCAAGTTAATATTGATTTTAATTATTGGTGATATTATTTGTTCAAGATTACCCACAGAATTTAAGTATTTAAATACAAACACTGTACGATATATCTACTTGGTTATAAAATTAAAGTTATATGGTAATAATAACAGTGAAAGCTAATTCCACTTATTATTTTTTTTCTTTATAATGTTAACAAAAAACTTTTTTTCTTTTATTAAATTTTTATTACAGACGCATTTCTTGTCTCCGCCAACAAATAAGGAGAAAGAAAGCTAATAGAGAAAATGCATAAATAAAAATAATGTAAAATTAGAATTTGAATTGATTGGTATCTAAAAACATAAAAGTAATATTTTAGAATGACAATCTATTATTGGACATAAAATGATGAGTTATACTTGGACTTACTAAGTGAGAGGTTGCATGTCAGATTGTGACTAGAACAAAAGGAAAGAGAGAAGGAAAGTAAAGGAGAAAAAGATAGAGGAAAGTTAGAATGAAGAAAGAAGTGGAAAATTACTTGGGTACAAAGATATGGGCAAGAAATCAAAAATGGAGTTGTACTACATGGTATTGGGAGAATTATAACAACACCAAGGTTGCCATTTTTAATACAGAATTTCAATCGAGTTAAGTAAAGTCAAGCCCAAATAAACTTTTCTCTATCTTTGAAATTCATCTTCTTTTACATAATACCAAATTTCTTTAATTACTCAAACCATTATTTCAACCTTTTAAATACTTTAATAATAATAATTTGAGTGAATTCCCCACGCTACAAATACCGCCCGAATTCTCATAAAGACGCTGCAAAATTGGTGTAGCGCCGGTACTACCATCATGCCCGCCTAATGTGAGGAAAGGGTAAAAAAAAAAAGGCTTTGCACATACTGTGCAGATAAAATCAAGCTAATAAAGAATAATATAATTTGAGTATTGGCGGAAAAAAGTGGAATGTAATACATATACATAAACATACATATTTGGAAATAAATACCAATTTTAAGGTCACACGGAAAAGTATACGTAAGTAAATAATTTGGAGTTAAGTATATGAATTTAAGTCAAATTTGTGTATTTAAAAATAATTAATTGGACTTAAGTGTAAAATAGGCTCCAAACTTTAAGTTGCAGAGTTTAAGGGGAAAATTAGTAATGGTGATAAAGCTAACAATATAAAGTGAGGAGAAAATACATTATAATATTAAAGCAAAGCACAATTAATAAATAAAGGAAAAATACGTATTGGTAAAGCTTTCAAACTTATATTTTATATAAATTATAAATAAACATAATACGTAATAAGCAAAGTGTATATATTTTAAATCACGCTTTTAATAATTTGTGTGAGGACAAGGCAAGTATTGGTTGACACAACTGACTATATTTTGCTTAAAAATTTATATAAGTTTTGGTAATTGAGAATGTAATAAGAAGGAGAACTAAATTCTAGATTTATAAGAAAGGGATTGTTTCTTTAGTAAGAGAAGGCATTATTTGATTAACATTAAAAATCCAACTATAACCAAAGAACAAAAGTAGATTACATATCTGAGAAATAATACATAATATATTTAATGAATATGTATAATATATTATGTATATGCATATTTACTTATATATATTGACACGTGTATAAACATTTATAAATAATATTATAAAGAGAGCCAGATAAAACGAAGAAAAAAAGATAAAGTAAGGAATTAGTTGTCTTTTCTGCATGAAAAGTGTAAACTCCGAGACAAGAACTTATTAATCATCCGAAGAATTTAAGATCTTACAGGGATATTTTTAGTTACTTATATAACAAGAGAGATGGAGAACTCAAGTATTTCAACACAGAGTTTGAATCCTGTGATTGCTGGATGCACAGGTAATGTAAATAATAATGTTGGTAATAATAACAATGATAATAGTGGAAGTGGAGGATGCACTACAGCAGTAAATACATCACCAGCCTTGGGATTTCAGAATGGGTTACCATTAGTTGCAGGACTGCTGGGACAAGGGGGTGGCATTCCAATCCAAGGCCCGCAATCCCAGATGACTACAGTCGCAGCAGCTAACCAATTCATAGCCCAACAAATCATGATGGGAGGAGGGAATAATTCTTTTCCTTTTATCTATGGTAACCTTCCAAATACAGGAGGTGGACATCAGAACCAGAGAGTTGAAATGGGGGAAGAAGATGGTACCAAACCGTCAGACTCTTTAAAAGCTGCTGCAGCACAGATGATTCTTCACGAAATCAATAAGAATCGTGGCCAACCACAATCTAATACAGCTACTGTAGCACCTGGAGGAACAGTAACGGCACCAGGACCAGCTCTTTCGCATCTACAACCAAATGGGCAATTTCGGATGCTCGGCTTAGGTGATGAAATACCTGTTCCGGCACAGGTAGTACCTCCTCAACCAACATTGGCGCTCACTCCTTTGGGATTGATCCCGATACTTCCTAAAGTTGGTAGTGGTGTTTTTATTGGCGGTAACGGTAGTAATAATATTGTTGGTAGTAACAACAACCAGAACCACCAGAGTTTAAATTCCTCTGTATCTCTTTTGCCGACCCAACCAGCCAAACAACAAATCACTCACGAACAGTTGCTTCAAGTTCAAAGACAGATTCAGAACCTTCAACATGTGAATAACTCTAATTCAAACTCAAATCCTCCTATTAATGCTGATTTTGACTCTTCAGCCCACCCCCCATTTTCGGAGACAATTAACTCCAACTCTGAGCTATGTATTCTGTCCGATGCACAGGAACCCAAAAATGAGGAAAAGCCCGCGGAAGCTGAAAATGTTAAAACACAAAAGGCGCCAGGTATCATTGAATCAAATAAAATAGCGGATTATGGGATTAAGGAAATGGAAATTGACTCTAAAATTATGAATGAAAATGTTTCTAACAAAATTGAGCTCCAGAGTCGACAAGAATCGCATAAAGAGAAACAGGAAGAATCTCCTCGGGATTCTAATATCCAGGAGGAAAGGCTGGGAGAGATACACAGTCAACAGTTCCAACAGCAACAACAGCAGCAACAACAACAGCAGCAGCAACAACAGTTCCAACAGCAACAACAGCAACAACAGCAGCAACAAATGTACCAACATCTTCAAATGCTTGCACTTGCTCAGCATCAACAGATGCTGCAAAGACAGCTACAAATGAAGGAGTGGGCCTTGGCTGCGGCTTATCTAAATCAACAACAGCAACAGCAACAACAACAGCAGCAACAACAACAGCAGCAGCAGCAGCAACAACAACAACAACAACAACAACAACAACAACAACAACAACAACATCATTCCCACATCCAACAGCTACACGCCCTCCAAAATCTCCAGAATTTGGCGCCACTTCAAAGCATGCACCACATGCAGGCATTCCCACACATTGCCGCGCAAATGCATCCGGCTGGCGGGTTGCATTCGGGTTTCCAGCCGGTACTACATCTTCAGCAACAACTTCAGCTGCAGCAAATTCAGCTGCAACAATCTCTGCAGTCAATTGCAGCTTCTGCCTCGAACTCAGCCTCAGTTTCTGTTGGTGTTCCAGTTCCAGGTTATATTCCCTTAGTTGGTGGATGCGGAGCCGTGGCAACAGGTGCAAGGCAAGGAGGAATTGGAGATGTACAACAACTTAATCACCAGCATCAACTTCAACAACAGCAGCAACTGGCCAATAACAATAATAATCACCACCCATTAATAGGAGATGAGCTACGTGCAGTTTTGGGTCTGAGTGCTTCTGCAATTCGAGGAGTTAAGGCAAATAAGCAGCAGGTTTCAGAGGAGGCGGCCTCCAACAGGAGAGGTGGAGAGAATCTGCCAGATGGCCATGGTACTCATACTTTGGATCTGATTTCTGGGTTGGGAGCAGCTGGTAGTATTGGAATTAACAATAATTCGTCCAGATTAATAGCTGGCGCAGGAAGTGGGGAGATTCCGATGGAAGATTTGGAAGGAAAAGCTGGAATATCAACTCTTTCTTCATCCTCATCTCTGATTGGGCCTGGAGCAGCCCAGAATTCTGTGGGGAGGAGAATGAGTAAAAGAGCTACAGGTAGAGGAGTATCTAAAGGTTCAAGTAGATTTCAGGCTTCAAATTTATTATCAATAATTGAGAATGAACAAGCTATTAAAAACCTTCAGAACTCAAACCCAAACCCTACATCTAGAGTTGGACAAGATAGTAGCCGCTTGAGAACCAAGTCGGAGGAGGGAGGTTCTGTAGTGGGTGAGGGAATGGATCTCGGGGACCACATTGTCTCTAGTTTGAGCAATAATAGCAGCAATATCTCCTCCAATACTAATGGTGTTTCTGGAAGATTTGGAAGTCGTATTCATGCCTCCCAAGTAATTTCTCCTTCGGAAATCAGCAGAATTGAGAATCTTCATTTCTGTGCTGAGACGGTACCTCATTTAGTTAAGAATTATGTCCCAGCATTCTCTGGAAAATTTGCCTTACTTCCACAACCCCCTCTAGATGGTTCTTCCTCTTTTATAGGGGATTTTTCGGAAAGTTATTATATTAATAGTAATGTTAACGGCTCACAAAACCACCGTTATGGAGGAGATATTCAGGGAAACCAACAAGAAGGAGGAAGTGTTTCTCAAGGACTCAGATCTAGGAAAGTTAAGAATAGTAACGTCAGTTGCAGTACTGGTAATAACAATAATAATGAAGGAGAAGATGTTGTCATGCAGTCTGAAAAGCATCCTTCAAAACTACTTCCGGATGTGTTGGCGAGTATTTATGGAGGAGAAGGACTTAAAATGGTAGCAAAAGAGAAGCTTTCTTTTTGGATGGACTTACCATGTAACATGGATAGGAAGAAAGCTAAGACTGGGCTTGGCCCAAGCACTAGAGAAAGCTTAAGAAAAGAACTTAAAAAACAAGGGGAACTATTTAGACTTGTCTCCACAAAGGATGAGTTCCTTTGTGATTCAAAAATGATAAGAGGAGCTGATATTAACAAATTGTACTTGGATCTAATTCAGAGATCACAAGCTGTCAAGATTTGTTCAGAAGATGACTCCTGTGAAACTTCAACAACCACCAAAACTAATACTATTGTTACTAATGCTGCAGCCAATGCTAGTAATAGTACTAGTACCACTGCCTCCACTACAGCGGTTTCCTCGCCATCCCTTCCTTCTCTTGCATTTCCCCCTCCAGTGATTAGTGGAAACCACTCTGTGAGTGTTATTAGTAGTAATTGTCTACCACCATCTAATCAACAGAATTTTATAACTAAGGTGGAGGAAGGACTTAAGGAAAAGCTAATTCACCACTTTTCTCATTCCAAAGTTACTTGTCCTGGGATCTCCGTCTCCTCGTCCACAATTGAAACCAACTCCCCAACAAGAAGACTGACCCAATCAAGTATCGAGAATTCTGATCACAGTGGAAATAGGACGGAAAACAGTGATAACACCAATAATACAAACAATATCTGTGAAAACACTTTGGTCAAAACTTCTCCCAATCTTTGCCAACTTGATAAAGGAATCACCAAACCCCCAATTACACCTCCCAGAGCAATCCCTTGAAACTTTAAAAGGGAAATTTAAGGGGAATAAAGATAGGAAAGGAAATGAAGAGGTGATTTTTCGTTTTAGTTACATCAAATAGATGGTTTACAATAATGGTAAGAATGATTAAACCTCTCACAAATTATTACCATTATACTGCTTCTTAGTGCTCTTATAATTTATGTATATCTCATATTTCTTCCAAATCGAATTCTATTCTATTTCTCTTAATCATCAAAAATAGCAATTGAGTAGTCTTACCGCTTAGTAGGTAACGCATGCATGCATGCATGCATGCATGCAGTGGTGTAATTAAGGAAAGAACAGAAAATCAAAATTAATTAAAATAATTACTAAAAAAGTAATGGAACGTAGTTATCCAAATATAATCCAAAATTTTTTAATATTTGACGCAATATCAATTGAGATATATAAGATCCTTTAACGTAATCGTTTGTCAAGATTGCTATAGATAAATCAATTTCTGGAAAACAAAATGATAAATTACCACCAGTATCTGAATGACCAATTCCTTTGAGACATGAATTAAATGATTTATTTTCATAATCAATCATTTGTTCTTGTTGAACATTATTATTAATTTTGCTACACTCTAAAATTTGAAATCCCAAAGACCATTTTCTTGGGCCTCCATATGTTAATATTAATCCCTCTATAGAATGGTCATACATAATTGATTGACCTTTTGTAATTTCTTTCAAGAATTCATTTGTTATAATATCCCCCTTACTTAAATGAGCATATAATTTCGCTAATGATAAAGATGTATATTTTCCATTTGTTGGTGGTATCCATTTATTTATTAGGTTTTTTGAATTATATATTAGAGGATCTAGTATATATGGTTTTAAATAAAAGCATTCTAAAGTTGATAATTTTGAAGATTGGTCTCTTCTTGAATAAAAAGTTGAAGAATGAAATTTCTTTAACACATTTTTAAAAGATATTGAAGGAAAATTCATCCTTCTACTTATCATTGCATATCTATCAGAAAACCAAATCCAATCTTGTTCTTCATAAATACATTCATCTGTTTCTTCTTGCTTTTGAATACTTTCTTTTTCTCTCTTTTTCATTCTTTCTGGAGTTAGCTTTTGTATGATTATTTCTTTTATTTCATTCATTATTTGACCTCCAGTGCCATTCTCCAATTTGTCCTTTAAACTTGAAGTTGAGGAACGTGGAGAAAAGAGAGGAAACAAGAACATACTATTAGTATTACTATTGTTATTAACACTCTTTTCATTAGCTTCTTCAGACATACTAATATTTATTTCTTCACTTAAATTACACTCTGGTATATATATCTTTATACCATCTTGTAAACCAAGTGGGTTTATTATATTTTCTTCAATAAACTTAGTGGTTGGTTGATTAGTTATTAATGTTATTAATTCTGATAATACCCAGCCTAGAAAATATGGATTATAACGTGTAATATGATTTATTGGTATTTGAGGAGCAGAATCTTCAATAATCCTCATCATATTTTCATAATTTAATAATTCATTTAAACTAAAATCTTCAGGAAAAAATGAAATAACACCAGATCTATGATTAAGTACATGCCTTAATGTTATGTTTCTTTTTCCATATCTTATAAAACCATCCCAATAGTGACAGATTGGATCATCCAATGATATATAACCTCTTTCCACACATATTAATATTGCAATAACCAAAATTCCAAGATTTATAAAGAAACCATTAAATAATGTATTTTCATCAATCTTATTTCCATTAAGTTCTCCTTTGTTACCTTTTGAAATAATTGCTAAATTCTTTCCATTCTTTATTACAGACACCTGTAATCCCAGTATATCATTCTCCTTCATGATCTTTTCTATATAATCATTTAACCTTCTTTCATACTTATTTGTAAATCCTTTAGTTAATGGATTACTTAATTCCAAATTGAAAGACTTTTCATACAAGAATTGTTGTGCTCTTCTGGATAATATTTTCAATAATGGTATACTTTCATTCAACTCTAGGCATATCCCATGTATTAATGATATAATTCTTACAAAAAATATTAAATCTTTTGGCCATTCCTCTACTGAATTCAATTCTTCAATTTTCTTACTTTTCATATAAGAAAACTCTGTTACTGTTTTATATGCTGCATATCCTGATTCCTATAGGTTGAATTAATAATATTCTTCAAGATTTAATTTGGATAAACTAATCTCATTTTATCTGTCTCAGATAAAATATATAATACCCAAAATACATTCTCAACTTACCCTTAATGAAACTTGCTCAATTGGATCCATATCAGTTTCTTTAAAAACTATTCTCAAAGCATCCATATATATCTCTGGATCTTTAAAATTTTGTTGGTCTTTTTTGAATTGAAATCCCATTTCCTCAAATGATTCAATAAACCCCATCAAATTTAATGTTGAAAGGCTATATACCATTCTAAAGAATAACCAATAGAAAATATTTAATTAGTTGAACAATTAAATTTGTGAGAGAAAAGTAAGTAAGAGTTAATTAGCCAATTTAAATAGAATCTTTACTCAGAACTTACTTTGAAAATGCAATTTGTTTCTTTTTATCAAAAATCTGGACAACTCCCCAATCCAATAATGCCGGAATATACTTCTTCTTGAATTGGTCATACACCACAAAAATGTTACTTGGTTGAGGATCTCCATGGAAAAAACCCTCAATGTGGATCTGGTACGCAAAAGAATCACATAATGTTTCCAGCAACTCTTTTTTATTAACTTGAAACTTTTTTAATAACATTTTATCTATTATTTTAAACCCTTGAATATATTCCATTGTTAATATCTTCTCATTACTATACTTTGAATAAACTTTTGGAATCATAATTTCTATTTCTGAATCCTTAAACATTTTATATGCTCTCTCTTGATTTTTTAGCTCATTTTTAAAGTCAAGTTCTTTAGTTGCAGAATTTTGCCACTCGTTTAATATTGAAATAAAATCAAAATCTTTCTCTGCCAAGCCAAAAGCCCAAGTTAATTGCTCTAAATTCTTCATATCCTGATTCAAAGTTTCCTGAATATCTGGATACTGTATCTTAATTACTACATTTTCTCCTCCGTTCAATATTGCTCTATGTACTTGTGCTATAGATGCTGCTGCTATTGGTTTTCTTTGTATCTCTTTAAAGATTTCGTCCAGGTCCGGATCCAATTCCTTTCTTAATATTCCTTCAGTGACATTCCACTCCATCCATGGCATCATATCTTGTAATTTACCCAAATACGTCACATACTCTTTCGGAAATAAATCACCTCTGGTTGATAGAAATTGACCTACTTTAATCCACCACTCTCGTAACTCTGATATGTTTCTCCATATTAATTCAGCAAATTGATAGTGTTTATTATTCCAATATGCGTATCTTATTTCCTCAGGCAAATTTCTTGTGTGTATCTGAGCTCTTTTGTAATGCACATAAATATGAGTCCAACACCACAGGGTTCTCCACTTTCTATTCCATGAGTCCAACTCATTCATCTATCACTTCCAGATTTGCTTGGTTTGTTTTCTTATTTACAAAAACTTTCTTTTTTCTTCTTTAACTTGTCCCTACTCTCCTTAATTTTTGAATCGTTACTTTTTCCTCATGAACTGAAGGAGTGTTGCCTATTTCAAACTAAATTAAAAGCTTAATTACTCGATAAAAAAAAAAGAAAAAAAAAAATTAATTAAATAAAATAAAAAACTAATTTAATAATATTCATCCACTGCCTGCCTCAAGCACACTATTGATATTACCGGTGACAATATTTACATGCACTTTATCTATCAATTAGTGGTAAAATTTTACCGCCATACGTGTCAATTTTTTTTTTTAGATAAAATTAATTAAATTATAATAATTAAATAAAATCTATACTGTAAAAACGAGCCACACAAACTATGAAATGTGAATCGCAGAGAGAAGAAAACCTGAAAAAATGGGAAGATTTGCATCCATTGTAGGGTGAGTCCTCTGGTCAATAATTTGGTGCTCTCTAATAAAAGTTTCTTCAAGCTTAATACCAATAAAAGGGTGGAATTTTGAATTTTCAACTCTTGTCGAAAGAGATAAGTCTTGATGTATTTGGAGTAGCTCCGTTGTCATGAAAGGAGTAAAAATGAGAAGCTTGCCTCCAGGTTTGAGATATTCTTGGGTAACTTGTATCATCTTTTCCATATCAAAATACATTGTTTTTTCGTATGAAGTATGACTAAATTCATCATTATCTTCATGAACCTTTTTCTCATTATTATTAATATTATTGTTACCTTTATCGCCATTTCCAATAGAATTTTGCTTTTTGTCATTTTGTAAATTGGTAGTTGTTTGCCATTTAACCTGATCAATTACTAGAATAACTGTATCTACTCCTTCTGAATATAAGTTTTCAAGAATACTAATTCTATTATAAACTCTTTTTTTTTTGTTCTGAGATTTTTCATCGCTCAAATCCCCTTTTGAATGCGTGTTAATTTTGTAATTAAGCCATTCATGTTGTATATCTAGTTTTTCAATTAAAAGATCTTGATCTTGCTCAAATAATTCATCAGGTAACTTCTCCATTTCCTTGTAAAATATTTCAAGTGCTGAAATTGGAATTGTATGATAATGTGTTTTTGTTTTTCTATCATTAACTATAGCCTCAAAATTAATCGGTAGCTTACCATGGAAATACCCATCAAAAGTATCAAAAGTTAATCTGTTCATAGAAATTTCGTACAAACTTCCAATATTGCATAGCTGACGATATATTGATCCTCCAACTACACCATTACTCAAATTATCATATAATAGTACTTTACTTTCAGAAAAAACATTACCGTGAGTTAGTATATTTCCTATTGTCTCAATCCTAACAGTACACTGGCCCCATCTTGGGCCAACTGAATTTGGGCTTAACTTGTCAGAACGAATTTTTGGTTGACAACTTGAAGTTTCTATAATATTCAATAGTGTACATGGAAGCAATGTAATATGTTTCAAGTACCTTAACTGCAATTTCTTAATATATTTTTCCTTAGAAAAGTTAGTCTTATTTTTAAACGAGCTGCTTGATAACGCCAATGACCTAATCAAATTACTATCATTTGCCTTGTTTAACAATAAAATCTCATTTCTCTTTCTTTTTACTTTTTCTAATTCATCCCGTTCATCTAAAGGTTCATTTTCATGATTTGAATCATCAGAATCTACCTCCACCTCTCTACCTAAAAGCTGGTTATATCTTGTCCTTTTCCTTTTAAATTCTTGAACTGAATTTAAGCTTTGTTCTTCATCTGCTTGATTATTCTCGGTGAGAGTTTCTGTATTCAATATATCTTTTAGTATTTCCTCACTATTCAAGATTGAACCAATTACCCATCTTCCATCTTCCAAACTCAACGTACTATAGTAGCTTTTACCTATAATATCTGAGCCCTTAATACTATATTTTCCCAAGAAAAAGTTTTGACTATTTTCCTTTATATGGATCAGTTTTTGTGAACCTGTTACCTCCCTTATTACTACATAATCCCCCAAATTTATAACATTTCCTATCATATCCAGAAAATCCTCTAATTCTCAAATTAAAATTCTTTCTCTTTAGTATATATCTATTTAATTTTTCTCCACCCTTTCCTGCTTTATTTGACTAATATTCACTTACAGTGTATTAATTAAAGTCTGGCGCCAAACAGACTTTATTTTCTTTAGAATTAAAATTTTTATTTTCATAGGCATTCTCAATATAAATAAGAACAAAGGGTAAGATATAACTAGAGAGTGAACAAATAAAAACAAAAATAATTAAACCAGAATGTATTTATTCATTTATTAAGAGTGAGATTGATGTCATTCAGATTCTGGGAATTTAACTTAAATTTAATGTAAATCTTCTTAATCATTGTTTAAAGAAAAATTCTTTATTCATTGGAGCTTTATTAATTCATTAATTTTAAGTTTTTAAAATGGTGAAAATAAAAAATTGTAATAATACTTTAAAAAATATTTAAAAATTTGCATGCACATTTGCAATGCATGCAAATTTACACTTTTTTTATTAATACCTTAAAAATAATATATACTTGTACATGCAAAATATTCTAACCAACAGTTAAACATTACATATAATAAATTTATTAAGAAAAGTTAAAGAATTGTTTAATGAATTCAGGAAAATAAAACAACAAATTTGCATAAATTTTAAGTAGTTAATTTCAACTTTTTATAATTTATTTATGTAATTAATACTAGTCAGTGTATAATAGGAATAATAATAAGATACTTTCACATTTTAAATAAAATGAAAAAAGTGTTGTTTTTATCTTTTAATTTAATACGTAATTGTTAAAAAAAATTGCCAGTAATGGCGCGTATTTCTCTTTAGGTTTTATGTAATCTGTAAAAGGTAATAAGCTAATTTAGGGTGAAAAAATAATTAAAAGATTGAAAAAGCATCAATATGGATGATAATGCTATGGGGTTGAATGCTGGTGTTTCTGGAAAAAAGAGGCGATTTTTTTCCGACGATGATGAAACCCCTATTAAACAATCAGAAGCAATTGAAATAACTCAAGTTAAGAATACATCTGAAGTTTTGGTAAAAGAAAATCTTGACGTTTCATCCAAAGATTCTACCCCACAAATAATTATAAACAAATCTGCAAGATCAAAGAGAGTTCTCAGTTCAGATAGTAGTGATGATCTTGAGTCTTCAGGTGATGAAAGTGAAAAGTCGATAAATAACTCTCAATCACAGCAATCAAGTTATTCAACATCTGAGGATGGGTCAGATGATAATTCAAATGATGAGTCAGATGATGAGTCCGATGATGAATCGGATTCTTCCTTGTCTACAAGAGGAAGAAGAAAACTCATTAAAACTGAAAATGGCACTCCGATCAGATCAAGACAAGTTAAAAATGAAACTAAGCAAACAAAAAGAACATCAACAGGCACAAGGGCCTCCACTAAATCAAAGTCTGGTGCAGATTCTAAAACTAAATCTAAAGCAAAAAGTACCGGTGGCAGAAAAACAAAAACTGTGGCTAAAAAAAAGCGTGCCTCGGAAGAAAATGTATCTAATTCACAAGACAATTCTTCTGATGAAGAAGGAAATACTGCTTATGTTCCCCGGAGAGATCGTGACCATAAACAAATATTAGTTGCAGCTATTCTGTGTAGGTGGTGGCATGCACTTCCAGACTGGCCTCCACCAGATACTGATTACCAAGCTTTGCTCAAGGAAAGAAATCTAAAACTTGTCTCAATTGATGATTGGGAGGAAGCTCCAGATATTGATGAAAATGGATTTTCTAAAGTTTATCAGCTCTCCGAATATGCTGGTGTTTTTAGGGATTCAAAAGGTAATGCTCATGATTTAAGACCTAAGGATAATAAACCTTGTTATTCTAACTTAATTAAAATGGAAGAGGGAAAGCTTTATGAACTATTAGTTACTGCTCTGGAGAATCAGATAAAAACATTAGAAACTGATTCTCCAGGAGATTCCAAGCTAATTAACGAATTAAAGGTTGAACTTGTTGAGGCTCAAGCCTTATTGAGCCGTAGAGTATCCAACAAAAAAAAGTGACCTCCTCATTATATATATTTGCTAATACATTAATTCTGCGTATATTTTCATTTTAATTTAATTTCTTTTTTTTTTTATACATTAAACCTAATTTGTGCATGCCATAATTTAAAACTTTAAACAGCCCCTATAAATACCGCCAATTGTTTAATGGCTTTATTATTAAATGTTTGAGCGGTAAAAAAAAGCGAGACGTAAAAAATAATGAAAATATGTTGGTATAGGAAAAAAGTTAATTTTTTAAGCTTTCAATATAAAAAAGGCGTCTCTTATGTAGATTAAGTAATAAACTTAATTAAATAGTAAATATTAATAGTAGTAATAATAATAATATAATAGTATTAATAGTTAATACTATTACAATATTTACGTATAGGTTATTATTTACCTGGACAACTTTATATAACAAAGTTAAGATCTTTATAATCTTAATTCAATTTAGAAAAAAACTCAGTTTACAAATAGCTTAAAACGCTTTGTTGGTTAACATAATAATCCAAGATGGCAGCTGTTTCAATGAATGAATTACCAAAATCTCAGGTTCAAGAGTTGATCTGCTCTTATGCAGTTTTGACATTATCAGACGGTGGCGTTCCAATTACATCTGAAAACATCAAGAAGATTATTTCTGCAGCTGGTGGAAGCGTTGAACCATATTTCCCAGGTTTATTCGCTCAAGCTTTGTCTACTACTAATGTCAGTGACATCGTTGCAAGCTGTGGAGCTGCTTCAGTTGCTGTACCAGCTGCTGGTGGTGCAGGCGCATGTGCTGCTCAAGATTCTGGAGCTTCAGCTGCTGTTGATGACAAGAAGAAGAAGGAGGAAGAAGAAGAAGAAGAAGGTGATTTAGGTTTCTCATTGTTCGACTAAATTTTACTTTAAATAAGCTAAAGGGAAGAACAATTTAAATTCAACAATAACACTAGAATTATTAGTTAACTATAGTATTGTTGTTTAAGACCTTATTATCTTACCTACTTTATATTTCTATCTCTCTACGAACTTATGAAAAAATGCTATGTGACATCCCAGATAGCCAGATCCTTGCCATATTTTGGGAATGAGATCTAGATCTTTTCTTTCAAATTCTTGTAAGTTTAAAACTTTGTAGCTTAAGTCGGAATTACTGATATATGATGAAAACTCAGACAGAAGTTCTTCAGGTTGTTTAACGTTACTTCTTAATATTGTAACTTTGATGACTTTATCCAAATTATTTAGTACTAATGTTGATAATCTACTTATCAATTGTTTTGATTCTTCTTGAGAACTTAACTCGGACTCTGCCTTAAGGTCTGCAAATCCTAGTATTAAGTCACCTGTCCTTATACCACTCTGAAATGCTGGAGATCCCTCCAAAACACTATCTACAAGCCCAAATGGATAACCCGAACATATTGCAACACCACATTTAGGGCTTTTATCTGATTTATCAATAGGAACATAAGTCTTCTCTTTGCTATGAATATCAAATAGCTTTTCTTCTATTTCTTTCATCAAATTTGAATAGTCTGTGTTTAATATTGCGATTCTATTTCTTGCTCTTCTAACTGCATATATATCTATATCTGACCTTGGAAACCCCTCACTATCTACAAGTTTTCCAGAAATACCCACATCTGGACCACATGAATTTAAAAATTCAGTTAACTCATTTACCTCCTTTTCTATTTCATCCTTCTTCTTTGCCAATTCCTCCATATTTGTATTAATATATTATTATTAACATTACTTTATTTCATTATAAAAACTATCATATAGGTGGGGCCGCCTTAATGTCATTTATTCTTCTAATTATAAAAATAATACTTGACTTAAAAAAGTACACATGAGAAATTAGCTTAAAACAAAATTATTTCACAGTCGAAATTAGAAAATTGTTAAAAAATAAGTCAATATACTACTCAAGTCCTTCTAAGCTTTATCTATCCTAATTTTTTTATAAATATTAATTCTTCCTTTAACATTTGTCAATTGTTTATTTTGGCGGGCTAAATGCATTAATAGTGACAGTGAGCGCCAAAGTCATGCGATATTTAGTGTGGGAAGGTTTTGGATCCTTATATTATGTCAGATCTTTTATAGGCAAGTATGTAAGTTTCGTTTAAAAGAATTGCTTGGGGAAGAACTACCTTCACATTGATATCTTCAATTTCAATCCATTCGTTTCTGGTAGGGTGCAGGAGGTGAGTTAAGAATTTGCCATTTTGAATGGAGCCTTTATGCGATATATTGGTAATTAAGTTATACTTAGTGCATGGGTTCAGGGAAATACTATCTGGATGAATATATGGAGACAGGTCAAGATCTATAAGTGGAAAAGAGACTATAGTTTTGTTTTTTTCAAGATTTAGATTAGACTTTGAGAATCTTGAAATATGAATGAATAAGTAGCAAGGCAGTTTTGATATTAATTGAGAGTTAGAGGAAGAGAAAAACTTGGAGTCTAGTAGCTGATATATTGGTATTTGGAAGACTGTCTTATCGTCATTGTTTTGACAGCTACTAGATATTTTCATTGTGCTTTCAATTATTGAAGGTAAAGTTAGAGTTAGGCAGTTAAAACTAATGTTTTTGTCTGATTTTAATTCAGAATTCTTTTTATATCTTTTTGATTTATCTGCGTTAGATTCAAGCAGTTCACTGCTGGAATATTGACTGGATTTAAGACATAGTTGCCCCTGAATACATGCATTAATGATATTCATATGAGATTTATTTGTTTTTTTTTCAGTTTCTGGAATGAATTTTATCTGAAATTTCTTAAGATATTTGTCTATCTTTTTCTTTAAGTTATATATAATCCAAGAAAACAGTGCCATTGGATCAATGATTATTGAATTTTGAGCATAAATATTTGACTGCATGAATGAGTTAGAAAATGCTGAATTATTAGATGTTTTTGAGAAAGGAAATTTACCATCGGATTTTTTCTCAATGATCTTGACAAGATCATAAGGAGAAAATTTTCCCTTAAGATTATTTGGGTTATATATTTTTTGAATAGACTCTATAATACTGAATAAGAGTGGATCGGGGATTCTTTTTTCAATTTCATTATCATACAGTTTATAACTGAGGCACAAGTCTCTGAATTGAGTGATTCGAGACAGCATTAGGATGATTGCATTTAAAGAATCATTGTTACCAAAGTTACTTAAACCAATAAATCCTGGAAAAAATTCAATCCCATCAAAGGTTCTAGAGACATTATATAATGATGAAGAGATGATTTCTGAACTAAATCTGGGATGCAGGTATCTTTTAATATCCTCAAGTGAGTGCTCACAAATTTCGTAATCGTTTGGTAGACAAACAATTATAGAATTCGTTAAGTTAATAAACAAATGGTGACCTAACTCTAGAGAGTGTTTATATGCTACTGAGTCCCTTCCTTTCCCCTGATAATTTATTCCACATACTAAGCAACAATATATATGCTCTTCCTTTAATGTCACACTGCAGATCTTCTCATAGTCAAAATCTAATACACTTCTATTAATGGTGGATAAATACGGGCATCTCTCTTCATCATTCCCTAGATATTCACCCATTATTCTGAATTAGTTTTAATTATTCCTTTCAAATTATCAAATAGTAAACTAGACCTTGAGGGTAAATTAAATTTTCAGAGTTCCCGCCAAATTCATATTCATTTTCATAATTGAAACTTATTAAAATATAAAAAATATAAAAGAAAATAGAAAGTTTGGTATTGGAAAATTTCGAATTCTGATTCAAACAGATCAGGGATAGTTGAATTTTTATTCTAAATGATCGAAGAATTCAACAGTAAACCTAATATTGTACTATTATATCAGAATCATGGAAACTTGTATAGATGAAAAGAAAAAATTTGAAGAATGCTTTAAGGAATGGTTGAATAACGGATTTACTACGGGGAACTTCGGTAATCCTTGTGTGAATGAATGGAAAATATATGAAAAATGCATAAACAAGGAGTTGGAAGAAAAGAATCTTTTAGGTCTAAAGTCATTCACCACATTCGACTTGAGTGGAGATAAGTTAACTATTGAAAAAAATATGGCTGATAAGCAAAATGGAACAATAACTGAAAATTCAAAGAAATAAATACTATATTAATTTAATCTTTAATTTTTTTTAGATGGCCTGAATTTACTCTATTAATGGCGCGCACTAGACCATATATTAAAGATCTAAAAAGGTATCTGCTGTTGCATAGTTTTTTAATATTTTCTTTGAATTCAGCCTTTCTAATGATGAAAGTATATACTGTTGTCGGTATATATACATGTTTATCTATGCTATAGAAAGCTAATGGGAATTATTTTCAACACACAACCTGAATTTGGATAAACTTGTCCGCCAGGTAGTAGAAACTCACTTGTTATATTAGTCATCATCTGAATTGGGCCAATTAAATACAGTATTCCAGTATAAGGACTTTCTTTTTCTTTTTGATTTAGCTTTGCCTTGACTTTCTTTTAAAGAACTTTGACTTTTTTCGGAAACAAGCTCTGAAGAGCATTTTTCACTATCTGTCAACTTAGTATTTGCTTCTACATTATCAATCGATTCCAATACCTTAATGGATCGTTTTCTGCCTCTAGTTTGACCACCTGGAATGGCTTTATTTGACTTTTTAGAATTCGAGGCTACATGGTTAGTTTTGCAACTTGAGTTGGCGGAATCGTTCTCTGCAACATCAAGCCAATAATCTTTGCAGTAACCGACGAAAATCTCTTCTCCAGGATGAATTTCCTGTGTTGCTTTTAGGAAAACTCGAGATCTTCCTTCTCTTTCGTCATACCACTTCCAAAATTTTGAGTTGTTTCCAGGGCCACCCAAAAATGTACTACCATCATTAGCAAAAGAACCTCCGCCAATAAATGGTTTTGGGTCCTTTTCACCATCCAGGTACAAACTTGGTTTTACTAAGTCACATATATGTGTTGCTTTGCCTTCGGATCTAAGTCTAAGAGCTTCCTTACGATCAATAACCCATCCAACAAATTCCGTGATTATGTCATTTTTTTGGAAATGACGATCTGAAAAAAGCCCCAAACCTGCAGTGCGTCCCAAAGTGCTTCTTTGAGTATATACCCCATCAAACAAAGTGGAGAGTGATTCCAGCCATTTTCTAGTCCTCCCTCTAGAGGACTTTTTTGAAATCAAGTTGGAGTCCTTGTTTTCATTATTTAAGCTGTCTTCAGTTCCTTTTTGAATGATTTTACTTTTTTGAGACCTAGAGCTTACTTGCTCATTTTTTGAAAAAACCTTACTTGTTTGTTTGATAAATGGCCACTCTGGATTTCTACATATATCAACATACCTGTTGCTGGTCAACTGTCTTTTAATACTAGATTTTATGCTGGATAGTCTTTTGGATGCATTATTATTTTCCTGCCTTTTTTCTGAAATAGATTGATTTTTTGTCTCTTCCTTTGTCTGCTCAGCATCTCCTTCATCGTTAAAAAGGCACTTATTTGAAGTTTGTATGCTAGTTTTAACAACAGGAGATGAGTCTGCCGTTGTAATATTTGATTTATAATTACCTGAATTTTCTTCATGATTGAAAAGTTTAAAGTTTTCCGAGGAATTCCCTCCACTTTTAGATGCAATTCCTTGCAAAGTTTCTAACGGAGCCGTCAATTTATTATCATTCTGAAGTACAGGGCTGACTTTAATGGAAATACTCACATTATAGTTTGCGGTATTTTCCCCTGATTGACAAATAACTTCAGATATTTTGGGTGTATCAGGCTCTAAAATCAAGACAATCGATGATTTGCACGGAAAATTTAGTATATTAAAATTCTGACCTCTCACTAATATACCATTCTGCTCGTTTCCTTCGAATTCTTTAGGAACCCCAAACTTGATCTTTTTATAAACACAATTCAATTCTCCACTAATGTCATTAATTTCTTCCAAGAAATTGCACTCCATTATAATTCTATAAATATAACTTAAAAATCTATAATTTCCACCTTTTCTTTTAAGAGCAGGAAAAAAACTTTATAAATTCATTTTACTCCAACTTTTTTGCTTTATGGTTCTTCAAAATTCTTTCACAGATATGTTAAGGTATAGTAGAAACCAGGAATTATTTCCTTTGAAATATGTTCCTTTCTAATTAGTTTATTTATAATAATTGACCCGAATTAAATATTTATTTTATTTTAAAAAAAAAATTTAATTTACTTTATTTCCACATTTATTCCCTTCCTATACCGGTGTTGCAAGTTTTTTTAAATACAAAATTGTGTAATTACACGTGTCATTGCGCGCCATGTGGGGCCCAATGTAATTTTGCGCATGTAATAAAAAATAGTTCAAAAAATTGCCTATTCTTATTATTGGTTTCTTCTTAAGATAAAACTATTTTGAAATTAATTTGGTGTTTAATCTTGATACTTGAAACTCACTTTACAATCTGGAAAAAACAGGGCAAGCCTTGTTGTAAATTTGGGTTATTATTTCCATAAAATAATTCAAGAAAAATACAGTTATTAAATAAAAGCTATTGTAGGCATATTGGAAGAGAGCTTTGGAAAAAAAAGGGATACAGACGATAGGATTTAGATATTCAGCTATTTGAAGAAGACAAAATTTGGATGGAGCTGTAAATTACCTTGAAATTTAGTCTTAATAGCATTCATATATTCATGTATACTTATAAGAATATATAGTCAGCCCTAGCACTTTTCAGAAGTTAGTTTTAAATACTTAATAGAATGGCAACATTGCATTATGACGATGTAATCACAAGCCAACCGGCTATAATAGATAACGGTTCAGGTACAATTAAGTGTGGATTTGCGGGAGAAGAAGCTCCGAGAGTGATTGTGAATAGTTATGTAGGAAGACCAAAATACAAGAGGTGCATGGCTGGAGCATTGGAGGGGGATATTTTTGTTGGAAGCAAATGCACGGAAAATAGAGGAATTTTGTCAATTTCTCATCCTGTTACAAATGGCATTATTACTGATTGGTATGATATGGAAGCTCTCTGGACCCACTGCTTCTCTGAAATGAAGACCTCATCAGAAGATCATCCAGTATTATTAACCGAGGCAGCTTTGAACCCACGCAAGCATAGGGAAAAGATGGCAGAAGTATTCTTCGAAGTTTATAGGGTGCCTGCATTATTTATCTCAACACAAGCGGTTTTATCTCTTTATTCTTCAGGAAGAACAACTGGAGTTGTCTTGGACAGTGGAGATGGAGTAACTCATGCTGTACCCATATATCAAGGTTTTGCCTTAAGTAATGCAATTACTAGAAGTGAAATAGCTGGTAGAAATGTCACTGAGTATCTCAATTTACAACTGAGAATGGCAGGAACAGTATTCCATACAAAATCTGAAATGGAAATTGTTAAAGATATCAAAGAAACTGCTTGTTTTGTTTCTTCCAACATTCAGAAAGATGAAAACGATGAAAACCAAATAGGGAATTCAGCTTTTGATGCTGTTACAAACTCTAACAATAGAGTAGCTTCAGGATATCCTTATAAACTTCCAGATGGTCAAGTGATATACTTGGGTAAAGAAAGATTCAGAGCTCCCGAGCTTCTTTTCCAGCCAAGTTTAATTGGATATGAGTATCCAGGAATTCATGAAGTTCTAATTCATACAATTAACAAGTGTGACTTGGAAATACGAAGATCTTTGGCATCCCAAATTGTTTTGGCTGGGGGATCAACCATGTTTCCTGGACTTGGAGATAGACTTCTTTTTGAACTTAGAAAAGCTCTTCCCAAGGATGTTAAAATCCGAATTAACGCATCTAGTGACAGAAACCTGTTACCTTGGATAGGAGGATCCATTCTAGGATCTTTAGCTACTTTCAAAACTATTTGGATTTCTAAACAAGAATTTATGGAGGAAGGCCCTAATATTGTTCATTCAAAAACTATTTGAGAAATACAAAGCAATAAATGAGGAGAGGAATAATTGGATTAATAATATATAAATTGTTTTATTTCGTGTAAGATGACGATGATGATGAATTACTATTTGAGAGATTTGGTAAGAATGAAGAAAGGTTTATGAGTGATTTGGAGGTTGATTTGGCTAAAATACTGGAAATTTCCTTATAGGTTTCCACCTGCTTAAGAGCAATAAATGCAGGATTCTCATGTATTGCATCTCCAATCAGCTTTGCAGCTTTTGCCTCACCTTCAGCCTTAATAATAATGCTTTTTTTCTCTTCATTTGCTTTAAGAACAAGGTATTTTGCTCTTTCCGCTTGTTGTTGAGCAACTTGCTTTGACTCGACTGCCTTCTCATAATCTTGAGAAAAGCTTAGATGGGTCAAAGAAACGTCGTCTAGAATAATATTAAATTCCTGAGCCCTTTTTACCAGTAAATCTCGGATAGTTTTGCTCACGTCTTCTCTCATAGTTAGAAGCTGAGAAGCGTTGTATTGAGCCACTACTGATTTTAGTACCTCATTAATTATAGAGGGAAGAATTTTTTCATCATGATCTAACCCTATATTTCTGTATATTTCTATTAGCCTCTCCTTATCAGGCCTGGATAAAACTCTACATGTAATATTCACCATTTGAAGATCTTTGCTTCCTGTTAGGGATACAACAACTCTGGGTCTTGCCCTTATATCAAAAATTATTGGTCTTTCAATCCAAGGTAACATAAAATGGGTCCCTTCTCCATAGATTTTTTTCTTGATCCCATGTATTCTTGAAAACTTTATTGCTCTATGCCCAGCATCCACATTATACATACTATTAGATGCCAAAATACTTCCAGTTCCTACAAACATTATCCCCAAAGTAGCTAACATGTTAATACCTTTCTCCATTCTTGACATAAAAATGCCAGCTATTCAGAGCTTAATCATTGCAATACTGCAAATTCACTATTTGTTTTTAATACGTTTTTATTAATGGCTTATGCCAACTTAAGACTCACTATTACTTAATATTATAAGACTTTCTACTCCCCCTTGTTATTCTTATTTTTTTTTGCCGGCAAATTTCCCATATATGATATTTCTACACTCAAATCCATTAAAAATCATTCATTAATATTACTACTACTGCTGAGACAACTGAAACCGTTATCAACATTTAACTATCCTAAAATCCTACAAATCTCTTTAATTAGTTCATATTTGCAAATTACTATCTTTGAAATTATCCAGCATTTATTTACATTTGGAACCTGTAATTCATCCTTTAAACTTTAATTTTAGTTTACAACTAAAATAGTCTAAATTTTTTATTATTTCTACACCGGTAATAAAAAGAATTTGATAAGTCATTACTAATAATATTTGAATTTCAATTTCACACACATTAATTAACATTTAATAATATAGTTTAAAAAAAATGATAATAAAACATAATATATTCAGTTCTTTTACATTGAAATATTTTATATAACAAAAGTTTCAAATTCAAGTACTGATAATAAATCCAAGAATATTTAAGTATATTAAATATTAGTACGTTCTTATAAGAAATACAACAATTTACTCTTAACAAGAAAAACGCACGGGCTAAGAGACTCGAACTCCTGACCTTCTGCTCCGTAGGCAGACGTGATATCCAACTACACCAAGCCCGCATTACGGGTAATCAGAATTGACTGTTTCTCTAAATAGTTAACTAGTGACAAAAACCCGCTAATTTCTTAAAAAAAGTATCAAAAAAGAGCACCGCGACGGGGAATCGAACCCCGAGCCTCTGGATTAGAAGTCCAACGCTCTATCCAATTGAGCTACCGCGGCATCACATAGGCAGGGATAAAGTAGATTATTTAATTATAACATATTTAATTATTGAGTAGTGAATAAAAGAAGTAAACCTTTCAAGGGTAGTCAATTAATATTTAAAGAAATAGTGGTTTTTTTTTTTTTTTTTAAGAAACTGAAAGTGATTTATAAAGGACCTCAGAAAAGAGAAATTCACAATGATTGGAGTAAATGCCCTTTTTTTAAATAAATTTAAATAGAAATTAGAGTGTTTTGTCTATAATGCTAAATGATTATAGTAAATAAAATATGTATATGTAATAGAAAATGAACAGATGAAGAGAATGAAAACACTGATTAATTGGACATTTCTTGAAACTCTTAGTTTCAACTTTTCTTTATATAATTTAAAGTTATGATTTAGTAAGTTAGGTTGATTGTCACCTTCTAAATCCACCTCTTGAAGTGTTTCCAGCTCTTCTTCTTGTTACTCTAATATCCAGATCATCAATCTCAGTAACCATATCACTCGGCATTCCTCTGGTTCTTTTCTTTCCTGTTCCTTTTCGTCCAGCATTATTAGATATCATTGTTCGACTATTAGACTCTGCTGATTCCTCAGACCAATGTCCCTTATCATCATCCGTTTGATTATGGTTTTCGGCGGATAATAAACCTCTGCGATTTGCTTTTCTTGGTTCGTTAACATGCCTAATAGAATTATTTGAATTGGATTCACGAAGTATTGATGGGGATCTTGCAATATCTCTGTGGCTATTATCTGGTAAGAATCCTAACCACTGAGCAGAAGCAGCTAGCTTGGCAATAAACTTCATTTTTGGTGAATAGTATAATAAAGGTTTTACGAATGTTTGTTCCATACATACAAAGAATGAAACTGGGTTGTTCTGTAATAACTTGGATATCTTAACATTTTCCTTATCTGAAAATTGGTCCAATTTTATATTTTCAGAAGAGTCCATAGCTTCATCATTTACATTAGTTAATTGATGAACCAATACTTGCTGAAGAAGTTCTACATGATTAGTCAAATCAACAGCTTGCCCAACCTCAACTTGGTCTGTCTCTACATCTAAATATTTTGATGTCCTTTCTGGTGGTATTAATTTCATTTCTGACAATGATTTTAAACCACTGTTAACAGATTTAATATTCGGATCTTCGTTATTATTTTCATCATTAGCCTTTGAATCATCGTCTTCTTCTGCCTCTTCTTCTACTTCAGGTTTGGATTCTTGACTTAGTCCATTTGTTTTACTCAAATCTACCATTTGTTTGTCTTCCATATCTTCTTTTGTTGAAACAGATGAAAATAATTCCCCTTTATGATTATTGATTTTCATGTTTTGAACTAAATTTTCAATATTATTTGAATCACTCTGAATAAATGGTGCAAAAGTCATGGGATAATCTTCCAGTTGCCTCATTCTAATTTTCAAAACGGAGTTACCAGGTGACCAAGTAATAATATAGAATGAAGTTTGGATTGTCGGAAGTAATGATCTACATGCTGCTATAAACTCTTCCAATTTTTTATAGTGATCAAATACTGTATCTCTGTATGCTAAATTCATAGCCATAAGCCTACAAGTAGCTAAATCATTAACAATATGAATAACCACTTTTGAAATACCCTGTAGTACTTTGTCTATTGTTCCAAGCCAATATGAATCATTTCCCATTGCATCTCTACAAATATCTTCAAATAGGCTGAGTTCTAATTCACCAGATAAAAGTCCAAAACAACACCAAATTACCTGTTTGTATGTTGGTCTTGGTACATCAGGGCCATTGGGAGACCATCTTTGGAATGGAAGAGGATTTTGCTCACGCTGCTCTATAGTACTTTTCGCCTTTTTTAAACGTTCATATATTATCTGGTAATATCTCATAAAACAGCAAACATGGTCATTACCCATGATATACCTTACCATATCTCCTGGATCATTAGATGACGATAATTTATTAAGTTCTCCCACATCCAAAGGTTCAATACTTATTCTCCTCCCCTCACTGTTATATTGTACTTTCTTTGAATAAAACCAATCTGGAGACAAATTATTACTATGCCAATTCACCTTACAATTATCACTCCAAATATACTTCAGTCCTCCTCTGCAATCATACGTTGAAGAGAAGGATTTAAAAATTGTGTTCAAATCATTTTCTTCATTTGAAGATGCATTTTCGGAATTATTTGAGTTTGAAGAATTCCCTCCAGCATTTGCATCCTCAATTGAGGTGGATTCACCAACTCTATTCATTAAGTCTGAAATCTTTGAAGCATTTTGATCCTCCGAATCTATTACATCATCCCCCATTTGTGACTTACTTTTAACATCTTCGGAAATATGCCCTGAAATATTTGACTTCCTTAAATGATTTCTGGTCATCCTTCTTCCTCTAGACATAGAAGCACTATTGAACGGAATATTTCCAGTTGAACCATTACCTTCAGTTACTGCATTTACATATGCCTCTACAGAAAGTAAAGACTTTTCTCCTGTTCCACTGACTGAAGATGAGCTGAAGTTACCATTAGAAGTGGAACCTTGAATATTTTTGCCAACTCCTGCTTTAAACGGTGTTCCTTCGCTTTGCAATTCCTTTAAAGTTACAACTCCATTATCTAAAGAGCCGTATCCAGTTTGTAAAAACAATGAACGAACAAATCTTTGTAAAAAGTTCCTAGCTTTTGACCCAACCGCAGGCCCATTTGCCTGACGATATATTGTAAAGCTAATAAGCTCTATTACTTCCTTATGAACATCTAAATCTGGCATTTGAGATGTAAACTCTGAATCCACACTCCAACTATTAGATTCATTCTTAAATCTAAGAGAATTGTTCATAAGTTTCCTATCTTCAGTTTCATTCAACTGATGAATTCCTTCTTTAAATCCATCTTGGTAGATATTTTTCATTACAGAATCAATTTTTGGGTTTGTAATTCCAGAACCCATTTGTGAAATATGATTTGGCTCTGTTTCTGTTTTTCTATTCTGTATATAAGCCTTGTTAATATCACACAAAAACCCCTTAACATTTGTATTTTTTTTATCTGCTTGTCTAAAGTAGAATGAACGATGATCAAAAGATTTAAAGTAATTCTTAGTTTGTATATCTCTCCATACTCCTTGATTCATTAAATGTCTTGCATGGGTCCATTCCTCATCCTTTTGACGGAGTCGATTCAAAATGACTGGAATGCAACTATATGGTGTTCTTCTAAGTAATTCCAATATTTCAGGTCCATTATCTCCATAAATTCTTGAAATTGCCTTGAGATGGATAATTGAGAAAGGCGGTTTAACCAACCTAAAGTTCTTCTTATCTTCCGGAGATAACTTACTAATTTCTTCCGCTATTGGCTCCAAAACGTTTATTGTTGACCTGTTGTTTTCAATCACCATATCTAACTCAAACCTTTCATCTTCACATTTAAAAAGGTTTTCTTCATATACATTTTTACGCATATGTTTAAATGAAAAATCTTCAGAACCCTGAGGAATACTTACCCACTTATCGTTCAAATTCTCCCTATCACTTTGAATTCTTCCAGTGCATGATGCTATTGGATAGTCCTTAGGTAAATGAAGGTAACTACTACCATTTCTGGCTGAGTTTGAATAATCTAGCTGTGCAAAATTACAGCAGAAATACGAGTATTTTCTCCTTGCTGACTCTCTTTGCACTATCATTCTCTTCACTTCATAAGGCAAGTCTCCGCTATCCATAGGAAAGAAAAACTCAAGTGCTAACAAAGTTTCAACAACAGTGAAGACTCCTCTTGTATATAGGTGTATTAGTTTTAAGAAATCTTGATAATAATCCTGGCAATTATCACCAAAAGCTATGTAAACTTCTTCGAAAATTCGATAATCTGCTTCCCAAATTGACAAATCTTCAGGGTTATAATAATAACCCTGATGAGCCCCTTTCTGAGAAGAATATCCTCTTACATTACCAGCTCCTTGTTTTAAATTTTCTGATTTTAACTTATCATTAATTTCACCGCCTTCCTCTATACTTGAAAGTCTCTTCTTTTGGTTCTCCAATATCCTATCCAACTCAGGAACCACTGTCATTTCATATGGAAGAGTTGAAGAAGCCCTTCTTGTTACAACCTTTGGCGGTTCACTCTTTGTTGTAATTGAATGAACGGTGCTTGCTAAATAACTTAAAAATTCAGATTTATCTAAGAAATCATTTTGTAAATCTGACAAATTGTTTCCAGCAGACTGTTTATTTGATTGCATCAAAGACTCCGCCTTTCCCGATAGCTCAGGAATAAACAACACAAATTCTTTCAGTAAATCAGGATATGAAGCAAATAGTGAAGATGATAGTTCGCAAACCTCATTAACAGACTTCTCTCCATCCTTATATTTGCCTAGTAATAATAGAAAATCGTTGTATATTTCTGGAGCGACATCTTTAACTTTCTTAACAAAAGCTGCTGCATATTCACAATCATTTTGTGGAATTTGAAGTCTAAGTTCTTCTGGAAGAAAATTATTAAATTCTGCTATCAGACTTGTATCCTTTTTAAAAAGCTCTGCAACTTGATCTATTACCATTCTTGCATTAATGCTTCCATGCTTGAAATCTCTCATTATTCTGAGAAATTCCTGGTAAAGCTCTGTATCCTCACCGCACTTACTTCGTAAACGGGACAAATAATCTCTTGCCAAATCCATATTTTCCACCACTAATCAAAAGGTCTTGGTATTCTTTTGTAGTTGTAGTCTTACAACTACTTTGTTTGCCTATTTCTTAATTTAATTTCTTTCCTCCCGATCTTAAAGCTTAACTGACAATTAGCATTTAACGCATTCATGCGGGCATTCCAGTATCCAATTGTCCCACAAGGCGCCATTTTAAAGATCAGTCTATACTAGCATACACATTGTATTTGTCTTTTATCTTGGTTTTTTAAAGTAATGATTTTATTGAAAACTTTCAAATGAAGTCCAATTGTGCTAATTTGTTTTAGTAATTAATATAACATCCTTGAATTTAATGTCACTTATTGTGAATCTCACTTTGCTTTAATTTTCTTTATTTACTCTTCTACCAAACCTATTTTTGATCTATTTTTTTTCATGTTAATATGGCTTTCAAAAATCTTGTTTTTCTTTTTATATACGAAACAAAATTCCAGTTTCTATTTGACTTCTTTTGCAAATACCCTGTTTTTCAAGAGCTCAACAACTATTACTCATTCTCCATTTAAAATTTTCCAAAATCATGATTTAAAAAAAAAGTAGAAAAAATAATATTATTATTTTCAATATAAATTACAAAAAATTTGTGTAATAATAATATTTTTTTCATCTTAAATCATATTACGTATATTTTTTATGTAGATTATTGTTTGCAAGTTTTGCATGTAAATACCGGTACGTGCACAACTTGCATAATTTTTATCCACATGAAAAAAAAAATGTAATAGAATTATATACTTGCAATTACAGAAAATTTTATGGAAAAAGTATTTTGTTATGTGTATCTTAAATTAAAATAATTTTTTTAATTATTACTAAATATATTAATTAAAAACAATTATGACAACTCTATTTAGCAAAGAACTATATTAATACAGATGCGCATCCGATAAAGAATACAATGCAGCAAATTACAAAATCAGTGAATGCAGTTTTTGGGGAAATATTCCCAAAATAGGAAGGGCAGGTTAATTGTATTCTGAGGGCCAAGACTAATAGAGCAGTTCCAATAGTACAGAATACTCCACCGATTAGAGAGTCCAATGGATAGGTTGTTTGAATAAGTAGGCAGTAAACAACCTGAATAATGGAAATTATTACCATAAATAATATAAAAGAGTCTAAAACTTGAATATTTTCAGGAACTTTCAATAAGTAAGCTTGTTTCATTTCTTGAAATACATCCAAAACATTATTTGCTGTCGGAGTTTTTGGGCTGGAAGCTTCTGAGCCTGAAGTCTTGTTTGTTTTTTTCATTCTTTCAACTTTTAAGAGTAAACCACTAGGAAAAATTTTTAAAGAAAGAAAAGATTGTTTATTACTGAATTGTATTTGTCAGTTTTAAAAAGACCAGGATAAAACCAGAGAAATTCTTCTGAACAACAAAACAAGTATTTAAAAGTGCTTGTATATTTTAACACACAAGATTAATACTTCTTGATAAAGTATTAAGTTAAAGTTTATTTAATATTTTATTATTTGAATAATTAATTTATTGGCGCATCACTAGTGTCGAGTACTAATTGGGGTAACAAATTTTAAGATTAACAATGCTATAAAAATATTCGATTATATAAAAGAATATTGGAAGATATTTTTGACTTAAAATAAAACTATATTAAATTCAATGAATGGTTTTTCTGAGTGTGTACTACTTTGTAATTCTGATATTATTTTCTATAAAAGAAAACAAATTCGGAATTGCACATGATACCAAATTACAGAGTGAAAATAAAACAGAGACAATTAAATTAAATGATGGAAATATAAAGACACTATTCCCAATTGATGCGGCTGATCTACTTGAATGTTCAAAGCATGACAAATATATTCTATTGGATAAAACAAATCAATTAAATAAAAATGGAACACACACAAACAAGTTACTCCCTTTAGAAAGTGTATACTTAAGTTCTCACTTTTTTGGAATAATGGAGTCAATTGCAGGAACATCAGGAAACTTTGTAAACGATGCGATTTCTGGATTACAAATCAATCGTGTTGTGCAAGTATTAAAAGAAACAAGAATTCAACTTTACTTGGGGAATTTTCAGGATTCTCCTAATATAATGCCTAAAAAACTTTCAAGTATAAATCTAAGTTGTATTTATGGGAATTACTTTCCGAGTTTAAGCTTCTATCACGTTAATAACTTTTGTGAATTTACTCAAGGAATTAATCATGATTATTTATTATTAAGTGAAGATCACATTTGTAACCATAAATATTCAGAGAAATATATGTATGGTAGTACAATGAAGTATTTCAATGTTCTTGCAAGCCTAAATATTCCAATATTGAACTACAAAGAATTTGATCAACAATTTCTTTCTTTATTTAACACTCAAAATTTTTATTATGATCAACAGGCACATTTGAATAGATATCTACTTCTTTCAAATGAGTTAGGATTATCTCTTTTCATTAACTTTGGAATTGGATTCTTTGCAAAATTGGAGAATGAAAAATACTATTTGCTTGTAAAAATAGTCCCACCAGACACATTCTGGATAAAGGATGAATATAACGAGAAACAAGGCAATAATAATAGTAGAAATAAAGTAATTAACTCTCAATTATGTTCTAAGTACGAAAATGGAAGCAAATTTTTTAACAAAAATACTGTTTCAATAATTGAAACTGATAGGAAAAACAATCATTTGGCCATTAATCGTAATTCAATTACCTATTTGAATATATCACTAAATGGAATGATTCAATGTTTAGGAAAGTATTCAATCAATATATATACCAAATCTGATAGAGAAAAGTCTTTAATGTTTAAGATTTTTGACAAAGAAAAACATGAATTTAGTGATATGGAAATGATTGAAAATATGGGAAAAAACAAAAGAGAATTTAAATATTCATACATATTTGGAAATAATTATAAGTTATTATCAAGAATAAATATAATGATTATCAATGAGGAGCCAAACAACACCTATATTGATTACAACATTTCATGCAGAGATAATCGAATTGTTGTGAATAATCTATTTTCATATACTTGGTATGTATTCAAGAAAAAAGTTTTATGGAACAGAGATTTGGAAATATCACTTTACTCAACAAAGCTTACTAATCATTCCAATGGAATAATTTTTACAATTGTGATATTATCACTACTCATATCAGCTCCAATATTAGGATTATTTGCTGTTGTAATAAAATCAATAATAAAAAGATATGATAATTCCAGAATTAATCATTTGAAAATTCCTTTAACAATAAACACACATACAAAATTTGAGAATACTTATCAAGCAGAAAAGCACTCCAAGTACAATTTAGGAGAAAATTACTTGACGAAAACTCTAGAAATTCCACTTAGGTTAAAAAAAAAGTTTCTAAGTCCTTCATCAAGCCCAGCATCTCTTCAAATACACATGAATGATAGAGAATACAATCAACTTCAATCTCCTGTTCAATTAGAATTATATACAGCAGTCTCACACAATATTTCAGAAACTTTTAAATGTAATACTGACACATGCTCGTCTCCTTCAACAATTAAATCAATAACTTTTAAACATTGAAAAAAAATTACACATTATAAACAATATAATAAGGTTACTCAATACACTCATCTAACTCTTTTCCTTCAAGAAATTACTTTAATTAATTCATCATGTGGATATATATGATGATTAATAGTTGGTGTATTCTTAGCTAAATTAAACCATGGATGACACAAAACTTTTTCCATTGTTAACAACTCATTTTGATAAGAGCTATATGAAAGCAGCTTACATAACAAATCTTTAGCAAGGTCACTACAAAACTTTAATTCTGATGACTCGAGTATTTTTTTTTTAGTTTTATCACTCAAAGTAAAACATTCATGAAATTCTATTTCAAGGTATTTTCTTGTAAGCATTAAATATAAAAGTTTGCCACAAGACCAAAAGTCAAAATATGTTTGATTAAATTGGATTTCCTTTTTTGATTCATTAAATAAAAAGCATTGATTATAAATTTGTATTTCTATTTTATTTTTACCTAACCCCGTTTTTTCATTAGATAACATACAAGAGTTTCCAAAATCTAATAGTTTGATTGAATCAAGCCGGTTTTCTTTAGAAAACATAATATTTTCTGCCTTTATATCACCATGCATAATTCCAATTGAATGAAGAACTTTTAATGCAGTGCAAATTTGAGAGAAAATAAATGATATTGTTTCTTCACTTAACTTTTCTTCAGATCTGACTAATAAATGAAAAAGTTCTCCACCAAAACTTAGTTCCATCACAATATATATAAAATCAATATCTTCGAAGGTATCAAAAATTTTTGGAAAATATTCATTACAACTTTTTGTATTTGATAGTTCAGGCAATAAAGTATTTCCTTTTAATTTATCTTGTATATATAATAAAACATCTTTTTCAAAGTTACTGCAGAAAGTTTTGGTTACTATTTTTATCGCAACTAGCTCACCATTTTGTCTACATGTTCCCAGCTTTACTCTACAAAATTCACTCCCTCCCAAGTCAACATCCCACATAACGTCGTAACTTCTAAGTAGTAGGTCTTGTTGTAACTCTCTATTAAACTTTAAAAATGGTAAATTGCAGCCCATAATTGTTAATTCTAACTAATCACAATAAATTACTAATTGATTAATTGACAATGTTCACACTTCTCTCCATAAAATATACTGCTTCCTATATAAAATATCAGTAACTAGATTCGTACATAATGTTGGATAATTCTGGAACTTAAGAAACTATATAGCAAGTAAAATAGTTTTGACGCAGTTTCATTTACTCATTATTTTGAGATTTACATGGATACAAATATCTTGACATGAAAAGGCGGGCATTTGCCAAATTGTGTATAAATTTTAACAAGTAAAAATAAATGTTTTGTAAGAAGAGATTTCACACTAAATATTTAGTAGCTCTTCAAAATATGGCTAAAAAATCAAGTTTTTAAGTTGATAATATACTAGACTAAAAAATCCTTTCTGGCGGTTCTTAATAAAAATATTATAGTCAAGATGCAAAATTATCTTATATTTTACGTATTAAATAATCATTACAATAAGAGCTAAGTTGTGTAATATTGTAGAAAATTAATCAGATAAAAAAAACGTTATGCATCTTATTACATTTCAGACGCAAATTACCCAAATTGTTTTTTTTTATCATCATTTTAATATTATCTAAACAATTTTCAGTCTTTATTTTACATATCGGAAAGTTTGTAAATAAAAAATATTTGTTTATTATTAATAATAGAGTTAAGGAGCATTAAAAGTGATTTAATTCAATAAAGATTCAACCAATTTATATAAATAATAGATATGAAATTGAAATTTAATACTTTTAATTTATAATAAAATTCTTAATGTTTAGTTTGTTATTTCATTATTTTTCTTTTTTATCATATATTTTATTTTATCAATTTCATATCAATAATATTCAAATACCATGAATAGTATATAACTGATTAATGAAAAAATCTCAGTTAATTTGTTATTTACTTCTTTTCATTTATTTAAATAATCCAACCAATATTAAAAAAAAATTAGTAACTGTTTTTATTTTTTATTTCAAAATCCAAACTAAAAAGACGTATATTTGGCGCCAATTTGAATTTTGATTTGGTAGAAATTGACAAAGATGAATTATTAGTTTAAAGCAAATAAACAGAAAGAGAAAAAAGGAGAAAAAATGAAATAAAAGGTTATATTTCTATTTTTGAAAACCAAAGAATTAAATATAATATTGTTCTTTGATTAGAATAGTCATACCCACTTGTTAAATTAATGCATGTAATGTTCACCAAAACTTAAATTTTTGCATGCATACATGCATATTTTTTCTTTATCATATTCAAATATGTGAAAACAAATTTGAATTATTTAATTCCCCTCTATGATATTAGTAATTGTGTATGCAATATAATATAGAGATCAAAAGAAAAGGTTTAATTAAACAAATAATTAATACCTCTAATTACAAATAGTTTGAGAAAGAGGAGGAAATGAATATTTCTAGATTTTGGCTGTTAATTACAATAATATTAATTTATATTACAAGTTTAGAAAGAGATGCGGAGGAAAAAGGACTTGTAAATTATTCTTCTCAAGTTTCAATTTTAGAATTAACTAAAAAAAAATCTAAGTCAAAGAAAAAAAAAAAGCAAAAAAAGAAAAAAAAAAGCAAAAAAAGTACAAGAGAAGAAAATAAAAAGTTGAAAAAGAAGGTTTCTACTAAGGAAAAACGTAAAGAGAATAAGATGAAGAAATTAAATAAGAAACAACAAGAAAAGATGGAAAAGAAGCAAAAAAAATTAGAAGAAAATAAAAAAAAAGAGGAATTAAAGAAGAAAAAACAATTGGAAAAGAAAGAAAAAGAGGAAAAAAAGAAGGAGATAAAGATACAGAAACAGCAGGAGAAAAAACAATTAAAGGAACAGGAGCGTTCTCAGAAAAAAGAGAAAAAAAAGGGTAAAGATTTAAATAAAGAAAAAAGTGTAAGAAAAAATCCATTTGAAAAATTCAAGGAGATTAGAAGAAATAAAATACAAAATAGCAGGGTTTATAATAAACTGTATAATACTGATACCGATGTAGATACTGATATTTCTGAAGCTGAAGTTGAAACTAATAGCTCTTTAAATTCTACAAACAAAATTCGTTCTTCTCAGGTCAAGCCAGTTTCATCAAAGTCTATGGTATCATTTCCTATAATAAATAAGAGTAAATTTGAACATGAAGATGAGGATGAGAATGAGGATGAGGAATAAGGAAATATGAATAAAAATAATTCAAATAAAATTTTGAATCATTTATTTACAAAGAACTATTAAAAATAGTCTTTTAAATTGAAAATTTATGTTGATACATTCAAGCTCATATTTTTAAGAAAATTAAGAATAATAATTTAATGCTTGTTTACATCGAAATATTTAAAATTTAGATTTCACTATTTTAAAGAATAAATGCATTACCTTGTTCAAGACTTTTTTTCTATTTTTTTTACATGCAATCTTATTCACACAAAAATCAATTTATACTGTTTCTTTTCTACATACCGGCATTGCATGCAATTAACAATTGCATGTAATCCCGATCTTTCGTCCACATAAAATTCAAATAAAAAAATAATTTTACTTGGAAGAAATATTAATAATTGAAAGATTTATTACGAAAAATTCATTTATAATATTTTTTCATTCATTATCTGGTCATTTTAAATGATATATAATTGAATATATCAGTTTAAGTCAAGAAAAACAACGAAATTTCAAATAAGTTAAAAGCTTTAAAGACTTTACTGAAATCAGCTAAAAACAAGATAATTTGAAAGAAATAACAAATAAATTTCTGCGTTTAGCTTTATTCCTAATTATTAATTAATATGAAATATTTATTTACTTTATTTCTCCAAGACAATATACGTAATGATCAAAAAAGACAAAACTGGCGCCAAAACCTACATGTATTCATTTAATGACACTGAATAAATAAGGTATCTAATAAAATTTAACAAAAAAAGGTAATTAGAAATAGACTGAAAAGTCAAACGATAATATAAAGAAACAATTGAATAAATTAAAGACAAATAACGTTGGATACATTATATTAAGATGCAATGGTTATCAATACAAAACAAAAATAAATACTGAAAAAGAATTAACTAGAGGAATTACAATTAAAAAATCATTCACACAAAATAAAGAGAGAAATTAAGTCAAACAAAAATATATGTATAAACTATCTAAAAAGAAAAAAGTTATTTGTGATTAATAAATATTCTATATTATTTTAATTAAAGTAATATATGGTTTATTATAAATTGTTAAGTTAGCTGATTTAAAACGCAAAATTAAGAAAGAAATAACAAAGAAATAATACAGATTTAATTTATTAAAATTGGGAAGGGGTATAAATTAGTTGAAAATGGCAAAATTAAAAAAAGCCAAATCATCTAAAAAGTTATCATTTAGTGATGTAGGTTTGGAACCTAAGCCAATATTTGAATTGGACAATTTAAATTATAATCAGAAAAGAGAGAAAAACAAAAAGAATTTAGCAGATTTTGATAATAATGAAGATGAAACATCTGAGAAAGAGGTCAAATTAATGACTAAATCCGAATTAAAAAAGATTGAAAAGAAAAGGAAGTCATTAAATAAAAACAAAAATAAGTTAGGACAGCAACCAATACCTACAGAGAATGATGAATTCAAAATTATAAATAAATTTCCTGTAGATATTCCTACAAAAATTGATTCTAATAATAGTTACAAAGGATTGAAAAATTCATTCAAGATTGTAAATGAAGATAAAGAAATTAAATCTAACAGTTATTTGAGTTTCGAGGATTCATTTAAAAGTATTAGTGAGTTTAATAATAGTTCATTTAACACTGATTCAAATGAAGGCAGTTCTTTAGATCATGAAGAATTCTCAGATAAAGTTGAGGCTAATCATACAGAAATAGAAGATAATGACACATATGAAAATTTTTTTAATGAAATATTGGATGATAAGGTAAAAAAAGAAGAAATGTTGTCAGCTTCAAAGAAAACTAATCATTTGAATCAAGCTGAAAAGGAAATACAGGAAAATGATCAGAAATTTTCTCAAGATATAACTGAAATGTTAAAAAATGACGTACAAGATTACAATGGAGATACTATCAAAATAACTAACTCTTCATTAGATGATATGAATTTATCCACAAAAAAGGAAGATAGTCAGGATTCTATTCAAATAGTAAGTCAATCAGAGACTACCTCACCAAAAAAGTTTTCCAAGAGAAAAATGCTTTATTCATTTGCAAATTCTGTTTGGGATTATGTGAAACCTGTAAGTTTAGATGATTTGGAAAAAAAACAAAATGAATCAAAGAAAACAGAAATTCAAACTAATCATCATGAAATTCAACAAGATGAAAATCTGCAAAATCATATAGAACATAACAATAGTACTCATGAAATAATTAATTCAACAACAGAATTTAATGAGAATACTAATGAAAATAAAATACACAATAGTGATGAACATAACGAGAAAGTGGAATTAGATCAAGTAGAAATCATTAAAAGAAGTAAATCTCAAGAAATAATCAGTCATTTAAATGATTATAATCAAATAAATAATCAAGGAATTCCTAGTAATTGCATTCCGAAAATAAGTAATTCCCATAATAGTTCTTTGGTTAGTACTCCTAAAAGGAAATCCAAAAGACAGATGATTTATAGTTTTGCAAACTCTATTTGGGATTATGTAAAACCTGTAAGTTTAGATGAATTGGAAGAGAGAAAAAAAACAAACGAGTTTAATATAAACTCTACTCAATCAGCAGCTGAATTAAAAAATGATAGTTTTTTTAATGATGAAGTTTCGGATTCTGAATTTTATATCAAAGATAGTGAAGAAGAGGAAGATAATGGGGAAGAAAAGAAGGAAATTGTTCAGGAGACAATTAATGAATACGGTAACTTGGAAGAAGAACAAAAACAAACAGAAAAGGAAGAAATAGGGAATATCAATCAATTTCCTATTGATATTCATCAAGAAGAAACAAAAGAAATTTGTCAAGAACAAATACCTATTCCTTTGGAGACTATAGTAAAGCAAGAGGAACCAAAAGAAATAATAGAGAAAGTGGAAGAAGAGAAAGAAGGAAAAATATTAGAGAAAGAAGAAGAAGAGAAAACAACAAAAATAGAAGAAAAAGTACAGAAAGAACCAAGTTTACAAAAAGAGAAAAGTGAAGAAAAAAAGCAAGATCAAACAAATGTATCGGAACCTCCAGAAGATCCAGTGGGAAAGAATCAAATTCCAGAATCAATAGTACTTGTAGATGAAACTTGTCATACAACTCAAGTGGTAAAGGAAAATGATGATATTCCAATTCCTTTAATAGAAGATAGAAAAAACGAGAGAAATGAAGAGAACAAGCAGGCTCAAATCAACATAATAAACCCTGAAATAGAAACAGATCCAATAAATTCAAAATTACAAATAGATCCAGTGGAAAAAGAACAAACAAAAGAAAACAAAGAAGATAAGCAAAACCATCTAAATATAGTCAATGATTCTAATTTTAAAAACCAAGGAGTAAATCTTGACCAGACTAATGTAGATTCAAACCATTTAGAGAAGATACTCCAAGATATAGCAGCAGATTCAAATACTGTCATGCATGAATTAAGTCAAATCAGTATAGGAAAAAATGAAAATAAAAATCTAATACAAATTCCAGATCTTTCTGAGATTTCTTCAATTCAAGAAATGATAGATTCTAATGGTCTTGTTATTTCTCAAAACAAAGAAGAAAAATATATAGAAAATAAAACTTTTGATTCTGAACACGAAAACCAATCTTCTATCAAAAATCCTCTAACTGATAATGTAATACATCCAACCATTCAGGATAAAGAAGTCCATTTTTCTCACCAAAATCATTTTGATTCCGCTCAAAGAATGGTTGAAAGAATGGAAGATGAAATTTTGAATACTAATTTAGATATTGATGAGTATGATGAATTATTCAATAATTTAAATATTCATGGAAATTTTAAAGGTGACGAATACAACATGAGTAATTTGGATACAAATCTCTTATCATTCTCTGCTAAAAATCAAAATGAGGAAAGAAATAATCCAGAAATTAAACAACTCCAAGATCTACACAAGGCACATCAACACTTATACCAACAAGTTAGTATCCAAGAAATAGATGATTCCATATTTATGAGTATATCTTCTGATCAGTTCCTATTTGAAAATACTATGCTTATTTCAGAAAAACAAGTAAGTGATCATCAGGGTTTGGGATATTCCTTCAGAGCATTGAAATGCTGTTCAGAACCCAGAAATTCAAATGAATGTTCTGATCTAGAATTTAAAGTTGCAAAAACTCATCATCATAAAGTTAATAAAAGTAAACTTTTCAATAAGCTTTACAGGCTTGAAAACAAAGTTCATAGAAAAGTTTTAGAAATTTCTAAAAGAGTTAATCTACTTAACCAGGAAAGAGAAGAGAAAAAGTCAAATATAGCAATAAATAAGAATGTAACCTTGATAAATATTGAATCTGAACCAGGATTTATTTTTATAAAAGAGAAACTTATTAATAAAGAAAAAGAGCTGGTAGTTAAAGAAGAAATATTACCATCCGAGAAAAACAATAATAGTAAAACATTACTGGATACTTCAGTAAACACTGATACAATTCAAAAAACAAATTATTACCAAGAAAAAGGAATTAACACCAATTTAGATGGAGTTGAAGAAACACAATCCAAATCCCTTGATATTAAAAAAACAGATAATTTTGAGGAAAAAGATAAAAAAGTTGACTCTATTTTTAGAAATGAAATATACAAGATTTTAGATAATACTAAATTGGTCAAGAAAGCCCAAAGATTGAAATCTGGATATGCTAATACAGATCAAGATGATAAAGAAGCTAATAATAACATCAAAAACATTAGTAATTCTAATTTGAGGTACAATAGAGAGAGATATGCAAAACCAGGCAATAATAGGTATGATGTAATTACTCAAAGTAGTAGATATATAAAAGATTATCCAGAAAGTTCTTCTGATGATTCAGTTCAAGAATTTAGTCCTAAGACCAAAGTCGTAAACAAAATCTTCCCTAAATCAAATGAAACTTTCCAAGGAAAGAACATCAAAAAAGATGGTAGAAATAGTCAAATATTAATGGGAAATATTCAAAACAGTCACGTTTCTCCTAGGAGTTTAAGTCCTACAAATAATAATAACTATTATAGTTATTATTTGAGAAATAACTCTCCATCACCCAATATTCCAAATACTCAAGCTTTTAATAGTAATAATAATGTTAATAGTAGTAGTTACTATTATAATGGTGGGAATACTCAAATTAGATATCCTGAGTATAAAATTCAACCAAATAGATATCTAGATGAATTAGGTGGAAGTAATTACCATGTTAACTACTACTGTGGAAGATCTGGAGGATTTGAAGAAGTTAGAAGATATATTTATGTTGATGGCTTCACTAATAAAAATCAAGGCTCTTACTACTTTTGTCCCCCAGGCCAAGCCAGAAGTTAAATAGGCAAATAGCTGAGGGGAGAGGGGAGGAAATGGTGGGGGGGGTGAGAAATTGGAGGGGAAAAAATGTAAAGGAGGGGAAAAATGTTGAGAAATTTTAATCAGCTTTAAATAGGTCAATTTTTATTATATTATTATATTTAATTAAATATCACCAGAAAGTGATGTAAGTAAAGCCGAAAAAGGCAAATTACTTAATTTTGTGTGTTAATATAAGGAAAGATACAAACAGCTATATTGGAGGAAAAGAAAAGAAGGAAAGGATAATCAGAGAATTGATAAAGATTTCACAATAGTTGTAAAATGAGCTAATAACTGCATTGCAAAAAGAGAGATAATTTGATTTTTGTCAGAATTTGAGAATTATAAAAGATCCTGGTCAGTATAATGAATGGCTAGTGGATTAGAAAGGGAAAAGTGTAATTATTAACAGAGTTAAGAACTAAATAATTACAAGACAGTATTTTCAAAGTAACAGAAGTATTTGTATTCTTTGATTAGTTGTTTTATATATAATAAGAAACTACTATTCGTTGTATCTAAGCTTTGGAAAGAATGGCAAACACTAACAAATTTCACAAAAATGGGGAGTTTGTAATAGTAACAACACTAATTATACTGCTGGTAATTACAAACATATCTCTATTCAAGACAAGTTATTTTTTTCATACACTAATATGTTCAGTATCTTCTTTATTGACTTACGTAGCTTGTAGTAAATTAATTCCAACATTTGGAGAAAAGCTTCTAGAGAATGGACTTTTTGGAATAGATATAAACAAAAAAAGTAACAATTTAAATAGTAAAGAGAAGGAAGCAAATATAAGTGAACTTGTAATAATTGATAAGAAAGATAATATAGAAAAGAAGATACCAGAATCATTAGGTATAGTACCAGCAAGCATGTTTATGATCACAGCAATTTGTAATCAGATTCTGTTCAGTAATGATCCAGTTAAGCTTTTGGAGTATAATTCTGGACTGCTTTCAATTTGTATGATGATATTTCTTGGATTTGTGGATGATGTTTTGAATTTAAAGTGGAGATATAAAATGGTACTACCAGTATTTGCAGCTTTACCAACTTTAGTTTCTTATAACGGTGGGACACAAATAATTGTGCCTCTATTTTTAACGGGTGGAGACTACTCATCAAGGATTTTGATTGATTTGGGATACTTTTATTACCTTTATATGTTATGCTTAACAGTATTTTGTACAAATTCCATCAATATTTATGCAGGAGTAAATGGATTAGAGGTTGGACAATCAATAATTATCTCAGCTTCTATAATAGTGTATAATATAATTGAGATGCTTACAATACTTCCAAATTGGCAATTCAGTTTCAGATCAAATCACCACTTCTTTTCAATTTTACTTTTACTTCCCTTTACAGCTTCAAGTCTCTCACTATTTCACTTTAATAGGTATCCTTCTTTGGTATTTGTTGGGGATACTTATACTTATTTTGCAGGAGCCTGTTTTGCAATTGTTAGTATATTGGGACATTTTTCAAAGACTCTTCTCCTTTTCTTCCTACCACAAATTCTTAACTTTATAATTTCAACCCCTCAACTTTTTGGAATAGTTTATTGTCCAAGACACAGAGTTCCAAAATTTAATGAGAAGACGGGAAAACTGGAATCTTCTAAGAATCTGACTCTGCTTAACCTAGTTTTGGAAATAACTGGTCCTTTAACAGAGAAACAGCTGGTTTATTGTTTATTGATAATCCAGGTAATCTCAAACATCTTTGGGTTCTTTCTAAGATATTCTTCTTTTTTTAGAATCTTTTTCGAATAGTGGTCGTCTCCCACCTTATTTAAGTAATGGGTAACTTCAGACAGGCAACTTGTGTCAAGGCAAGAGAGAAAAAGTGAGAAAGAAAAGATTTCTTTGAATTAAAGTCTAGTAGTAGCTTCAAAGCACGTCTAATTTCTGTTACAGCTAAGTAATAATCATTTTATTATAGACGACATTCTTATGTCTTAAACTCAATCCAAGACAAGGAATAGATGTTACTCTTCCCTGCCTTGGTCGTGCTTGGCCGGTTAACCCGTCTCGCAAGCTTATATTTGAGTCACTAGGACTTTTATGCATCATTTTACATATCTCCAATTTAATTTGCTATGATTAGGGTATTAAGCCACACGTTTATGGCTTTCTTAAACGACTGGATCTCCTTACGCTCGTATTATAAGTATTATTTAATCTTTCCTCCTTGGCGGGGTTGCTGGGTGCGGTTCTTCTGTTTCTTTGTGGAGTTTTGAGATGCACTGGCTCGACCTCTTCCTCATCTTCTTCCTCATCTTCTTCCTCCTCTTCCTCTTCTTCCTCCTCTTCCTCTTCGACTTCTTCCTCATCTTCCTCTTCTTCCTCTTCTTCTTCCTCTTCTTCTTCCTCATCTTCTTCCTCTTCTTCCTCTTCATCCTCTTCTTCATCTTCTTCCTCTTCTTCTTCGCCTTCATCTTCATCCTCTTCCTCGTGTTCTTGTTCATTATCAGAGTAGTGATCGTACTTTGGCTTGCCATTGCTTTTAATAGTCTTGGGTCTGGCGGAGCTCCTAGAGAAGATGTTCGTGACACCAATTCCAGTAAAGAAGCCAATAAGGAGAATAATAATTGTAACAAGCGGAGCCAGTTTGATGAGCTTGTTTATATCATTAATGGTGTGCTTAATTTCAGAAACGATAATGTCAAAAGTACTTAGAGGCTCAGGAACTGGCTGAGAAGGTAATTTCTTATAATCTTTATTCCAAATAAAGGCCTTAATTACTTCAGCATTTCTCATGCCAGTGTAGGTGTACATCTTTCCATTTCTAAAGAATCTAAAGGAAGGCACAGCAACGATTCCAAAACGGTTTATTAATTGTTGATTCTTAGAAACATCTATTTTTGCAACATTCAAACTTTCTCTAGCAATCACAGAAAGCTTGTCCAACTCTACCAAAGACATTTGGCTTTGTTGGCAATTAGGGAGATAAAACAACACAAACCAGTCACCAGTTGTTGATCCTGTTGCAGATTGTGTAAGGTGTTCAAAGTTGTTATCATTAAGTTCTTTAACAAAGGATTGAAGTTTTTTCTCTGAGTTGATAGGACCAGAGGAATATTGTTTATGAGATGTGTATGATGATGCAGAAGCCGTAGGCTTTGTAAGCTTATGAGCTTTATTATTATTATTTATAGAAGTGTTAAATTCCTCCCCTTTAAGCCCAATCACTGAAAATAACATTAAATTTAATAAAACCAATTTCAATTTCATCTTGATTAATGTTTTTCGATATTTCCAATATTATTATTGCATTAATTAAACCAAATTAATTACTTCCTTAATTTCTTGTAATAATTCTTCTATGGAAGAAATAGTATAATAAAGATTTTATTGTGTGGAATATTTTATTTACTTTAATATTTAATGTTTATCTTTCCCTTATAGTTACCAATATTGATTAGTATTTAAATATTACACACTTTTGGCGCCTATACCGGCAGTTACCCCTCATTTGTTGTCATAAATTAAAAAAAAAGTTAAAAATTGAAATAAGTTTTTAATAAATTTAAATTATATATAAAAGTTAAATATTATTGATTTCCACATAATTTTTTGAAATTAATTTTTTTGTCAAAATAATACAATTTGATTAACTGGAGATAATTCATAAGTAAATTAATCATTTATAGTGGTATTTGTTATGATATAAGCATTATTAAGTACATTTATGCATTTATATATAGATATAATATTATATATATATATATATATGTAATACATATATATTTATTTAAGTTAATTGGAATCAAGACATAGATAGATTTGGATAGTTTACCAGTGAAAAATGAAACTAATTAGATTTCTTATGAAACTTGTTAATAATTCGGTAGTAATTGAGTTGAAGAATGGAACTATTATTCAAGGAACTATTGTGAGCGTAGACATGTCTATGAATACATATTTAAAGAATGTAAAGATGAGTGTAAAACATAGGAATCCTGTTAGTCTGTCTCAGATTACTGTCAGGGGAAATACTATTAGATATTTTATATTACCGGACTCTTTACCATTGGATACCTTGTTAATAGATGATACACCTAAACAAAACCCACCAAGAGTGAATCCTATTTCGGGCCCAAAATTTGGTCCTAAATCTGTAATCAATTCATCAGGTGGAGGTAGCTTTGACAACAAATCTCGTGGCTCTTTTTATAATAGAAGATAGAGATATATTACACAATTTTGAAAGAAAGAGTTTTATATTTATATATTAGATTTTATTTATTCACAAGGAAAAAAATTAACAGAGTTCACATCACTTTTAGACAACTTGAATCAGATATGATTCATTAGGCTGATTTTATTCACTAGCTTAGGTTTATATTAACTTTATAATATATTTACAATGTCCAAATTCTCTCCTTTTCATACATGAACAATGATTTTGAAAAAAAAGCATTTAATAATAATCTAAACATATTCAAAAGACTAGATCAACAGAAACTTGAAAAAAAAAGAAATCAGTTAAAATCTATTAAACAAAATCAGCTTCTAATAAGTATTAAATAGCCAATTATTTAGTAGATGATAAATCTTTGAATATTCAGAATCTATAAAAAAGAATACATCGATTTAAGAACTTTTATCTCTTCTACCAATCATGAAATCTCTTTTGGAGGTTTGGTTATAACAAAATTAAGAAACTTATGCAACCAAAGTAGAGGCAGTAGCAGCTTGATACTTCCAACTAGCTGGAAGCTGTTTTGAACGCTTAAAGTATCTAGCTAAACGGTGAATTCTGGACTCAACCAAAATCAATCTGTATTTAGCAGCGGTATCCTTTCTGAATTTCTCAAGGTGCTTACGAATAGAAACAGCTCTCTTGATCAAGAAATAGAGATCTTCTGGAATATCTGGGGCTAAACCGTTCTTTTTCAAAATTCTCAAAATCTTACTACCTGTTAAGGACTGAACCATTGGAATACCGTGAGAATCTCTCAGAGTAACACCAATCTGAGATGGAGTCAAACCTTTACGGGCAAGCTTTGTAATCAAATCCTCTGCCTCTGATGGCTTTAACTTAATCCATGTTGGTGGTCGTCTTCTATATGGCTTAGCTGATGATGAAATACCTTTTCCACGTCCGTAAACTCTTCCCATATTTCCTCTAATTTAATCCCTAACAAGAATATTTCAATAGAAACAAAATGCTAATTATTCCAATTTGACCTTGGAGATTGTTGTCACTTTTTTTTTATTATTTTAAGCTATTTAAGACGTAATTTTGTTTGTCTTTCCTCACCTTGGGTATTAATTATTTGTTTTAAAAAATTAAATTTAATTAGTGCTATTTTATTATACTTTATAATTATTTTATTTGCAATGACTTACTTTCTTTTATTTATTATCTATTAAAATTATATTAATTTTTCAAATGATTGACTTATTTTCAAGACAATACGTATGGCGCCGTCTCCTTGCATAGTTATATACCGGTACAAAAGTTAGGTCGGTATAGAAATCTAAAAAAAAGTGGGGTATGAAAAAATCGTATTTTTGCCAGAAAACAGTTCATCTAAATAATATAAAGAGAAGTAAAATAAGTATTATGGAAAATAAAAGCAAAATTCAATCGAAACAAAAATTAGAAAATAACAATCATCTTGAAAACTAAAACCAAGGTTCACACGAATAATCAAATTGCTCCAACTATTCAAAAGATGCAACTTTTAAAATATCATCATTATATGCATAATACATCAAAAAGCTGCAAATCTTTTGTCTAGAATCAAAGATGGTGATGCAATTTGTTTTGAGTCGCACTTTCCATTTATGTTTTTGTTTTTTAGAAAATTGTCAGAATCGAAATTATGACTAAATCTATCTACAAAGTTATTCCATGAAGCCGCCTTACCGATAGGAAATCGTTGTGACTCCTTATAATAAAAGTTATATGCAGAGCCCTCACCAAATTCGTTGTATTCAGTACTTGGAATGTTTATCTCACCCATGTTAGATTTCATTTTGGTTTTAAAATCATTGGAAGTTCCCCAATGTGTGGAAAAGGATAAATCTACCGGTAAATTTTTGTATGTTGGCGCCTTTACATGCATATTCAGGAAAGAGTTAGGTTTGATATTTTTTGGTAAATGCCATATCTCATTATTGTTATTAAGGTTATTGTTAATATTGTTTGAAAAGACATTTCCATCCACGGAAATGCTATAATTTCTCTCAGAAGGGTCGTCATTATTCAGAAGATGGACGGCCTTCGTTGATCTTGCATCAATGCTAATTCTGTTTCGAGTATTAAAGTTCGTATTACCAGGAATCTCAAATCTCGTTAGATTATTACTTTTCGCTGGGATATTGAAACCATTTGAATGATCTAGCTTTAGATTTTGATGATCTTTAACCTTATAGAAACGCATATTAATATTATTGTTACCTTGATTTGCTGAGCTACTCTCAATTAAATTGCAATCATTCATTAAATCAGAGAAATTGCTCAAATTTGAATCAACATCATTAGCAGGGTTAAGATACTCATTATCAAATAAAACCCTGTTAGCTCCAGTATATTTCATGTTGAAATCATTAATTGAACTTGGTTTTTCCATTAAGTGTACAAAAGATGAATCTTTAGAAAGTTCACCATTGATGTATCTAAAATCAAAAGTGGACGATAAAGAAGATGTTGAAGATGACGATGAAGAAGGTAGAGAAGATGATAGTACTTGACCAAGATTAAAAGAGTTTGGTAATAAATCTTTACTTTCAACACTTTTATTTTCGTAATTTGTTTGTTTTGAACCATTCAATGAGTAATTTTCTCTATTTTTAACAATACGTGTCTTACCTTCTATTGCTTGGTGCACAAAAACCAATCTGCCATCGATAAGATGGTGTGGTTGTTGAAGTGCTTTGATTGTAGCTTCAGTGCTAGCAAAAGTTACAAATCCATAACCTTTAGATTCTCCTGACTTTGTTCTCAAAATAACCGACTCTTCAAGTTCACCATATTGTCCCATAACTGCTGACAAAGATTCCTCATTAGTTTCAAATCCTAAATTTCTAACGAAAAGCTTTCTACGAATTGCATCAGATCTTTTCGTCTCAAATGGAAAAGGATCAGCTGCAAGCTTTACCATTAAGAACCTACCACTCATATTCACTGGGCTCTTACAAGCAAGAAGCGCTGATTCTATTGTTTTGAAGGTAACAAATGCATAGCCTCTGGATTTTCCATCCTTTTTGAGAACTATTCCTTCTTCTACATCTCCAAATTGGGAAAAAACTTCTATTACCGACTCAGTGTTTGCAGAAAATGGTAGATTCTTTATATATAGACGTCTATGGGATCTGCTCTCACAAATAACCTCAAAGACTCTTCGTAAAATCTCTTGATTCTCAATACATGCTCCAGCCAATAATTCTACAAGCTGGTCTTTGCTTAAAGGTGTAAGCACCCTACGAAAATCCTCTTTTTCATGCGGAACTTCCATGCCACCTATCCCCAATTGAAACGTCTCAGTATTAGCACTTAAATCCTCATTGTTAATATTACTTGTTTCGAGCTCGTCAACTGAAGACATGCAGCTTTCGTCAGAAGTTTCTGATTCAATTATTTGTTCTGAATTCATCTTTTATTACTATTTTTTTTTTTTTTTTTTATTTCTAATTTAATCCAACTAAACAGTTATATTGATTTTGATTACCTATTTACTTAAATAACGAAAAAAATATTCAATAGATTTGTTAGAAACAATGAAATCTCTTTATATTATTCCTGTCTTACTACTCATCCAAGTTCTAGGATTTAGTGATGAAAAATTGTATTAACCCTTTCAATTAATTGCGATGGATTTTACGGGAGATCTTACAAGTCGAGTAAAAATCCCCAACCCTTAATAATTCTTTCTGTCTTGAACTATACATTCACGCTTATGAGCGTAGATACCCTTTAATTAATATAAAATAAAAAATAGGCCTTAATAAAAGGTTTTACTAAGGTTAAAAAAAATAGATCGGAATACAATCCTCCTAAATATTTGACAACCAAATTTTTCTCTCCAAAAATACTAAGAAAGAGATAATTCAGTTGAAACGCACAATATAATCTAATTTGATATTTTTTTTTTTAACTAAATTGTCATGTTATTTTGGCGGTAACACTAATTTAATAATTATTGATTTCATTTACAGTCTTTTAACTTATTATTTTAGATACAGGACGTTGGTGGGAAAAAAACAAATGGCGGAAGAAAAAGTGCAATAGTACGTATGTTTAAACATAAGTTTAGAAGAAAAATGGTTAAAGTTTACTATAATTGGTAAATAATATCAGTCATATACATACTAAAAAAAATATGTATATATTCTACTGAGCTCTTCGCATTATAAATAATTTAAAAAAATCATGGATTTTTTTTTTTTTTAAATTGGAGAGACGGCGGGAAAGTTTGCATGTTAATAAAGGTATAGAAAGGTCAGAAAAAAGAAAATTTAGATTACTAGCAAACGTAAGAGAAAATATACTACAAATGTTGGAATCTAAATATTAGCATTAGATCTAAAATTCCTCTGGTTCAATTCCAAGAGATTTACATTTGTTCACGTATTCTTTTCTAAGGAAAAAATTCTCTTTGTCATATCCACGTTTTTTGATTGTACTCCATACATCCTCGAGCTCTTGTTTAGTATTTGATAACTTAATATACCCAAGATATCTCCAGGACCAAACTCTTTTTGAATCCTCATCAATACATATAGATTGAGCATCCTTGCCGTGTTTTAGAGTGTCCTTGACGTTACAAATGCTGTAGATGTTTTCAACTTGATCAATATTTTCGTTTAGGAGTTTTTTAAAATCTCTTCTTGACAAATTGGTCTTTAGATAGTCAATTGCAAATTCCTTGAGACCAGAAAAGTCCAAACCAGTGGCAATTTCAATGCTCTTTAAAGGTACCATATAGTCTTGAATTAAATATCTTTTATCTTCTGGTTTATTATTCATAACAAAACTACCGAATGCAATTGGAGGGAGATCGTTATCTTGTATTTTCTTTGGATGGACTGCAAGAATGATTTTAAACAAATGTGTTGGGACCGAGACGAGTTTGTCACCAATTACTTGATAAGTAACACTATCAATAGATGTGTCATTTAAATCAGATGTAACTATAAACTTTGGATCAATTTCCTTCTCATCTCCTAATTCTCTAGCTTTATCAAGAACATCTTTCTTGTGTACAACGCATATTTGACCTAATGCATCTTTTGGAGGGTCTTCCTTTTTGATATTTTCTAGATTTTTGGCCAGATCTTTAAAGTGTTGAGAACGCATATAACTTGGAGCAAATAATGGCCCTGAAACTACATAGACATCTTGATAGTATTTTGTGAGCTCTCTTGAAATCAGCTCTAACCTGTACCAATCCCCTCCATTATTAGATAAATCCTGTGGAAGAATATTACCAGATAAATAAAAGGTGTCAGACTGAGCTGTTGCCGTTTCTTTGTGTTGGCCTGCTGATGCCATATGACCTCTGCTATATCCACTAGCAACGTAATCCTTGTTTTCAGCACTCCAAATTAATGGGACTTCTGGGTCTACCTGGAAGATACAGTCATTCCTATTTGCCTTTCCGCTGCATGACTTCTCTGAAATTTTCTCAGCTACCCAATTGGGTATTTTGTCTTTAAATGAAACTGACGATAAGTAAGATTCTCTTAGAATTAGATTATTCATACTAGGAAGCTTGGCTGATGGATAAAATCCCCCAGTCACAGAGTTTGTGAATTTGTCAAAATAGAAATGATTCAGTTTTCTTAACCAAAAACCTTTAATATTAATACTTTGAACATTCATGTTCTTTATAAAGTTATGTTTGAGATTATTCCCTTCAATATTGGGATACAGCATGTAACCAAGTGCTGTACCCATTGCTACACCTAGCATTAAATTGGCAGTTGACCTCATAGTCATAATTGCAATACCAAAAATATGCAAATTATGGCTTTACTTTATGGCTACTAATTTATTGATATGAGATTAAAGTACAAAATTAATACACTAAAAATAATAATTCTGTATTAATAATATTTGTTTTTCAATATTATATTAGTAACCTAATGAATATTGCGATGTATATTAATTAATATCCTCTCAATAAATACAACAAATCGTTTGGAGAATAAAAACTTTTCTTTTAATAAATATTTACAGAATGTTCTTAAATCTAAATATTTCTAAGCTAAAAAAAATGAATAAAAAAAAATAATTTCCCTCCCTTCAAAAACAGTAAGATAATAACCATTATTAACTATTAATAATACTTATATTATCTTTTCTTTTAAAAAGAAAAAAAAACAATAATTCAACAACTATATATTTGCCAAATAATTTTGATTATTTTTATCTTAGTGTTATTAGAAATTTATTTATAATTAATAAAATATAATACGTGTCTTTTCCCGCTTGATTTACCGGTACTATTTTATTACAAATTACATGCATTCAGATTGAATAATAAAATATCTAAAAAAAAAGTATGAAGAATTGATATTTGGGGAAGAAGATAAATCGAAAAATAAATTAAATAAGGAAATTGGAAAACAGAAAATTAGTAGCGGAAAAATTTTATTGGATTAAATGAACTAAGATTTAGACTAAAGCAAAAGTCTAATCAATGAGTACATTCTACAATGACAAAAATAGAACAAGCTCTCGTTTATCGCCGAATAATAGAAGAAGTACAGAATCTACGGCGATGAATTATCGTCAAAGTTCTGTCCCTCCTCTTGATCAGGCAATTTTTAATTCCAAAAATCTAAAAAACAGACCTTTAAGTGCAATCAATTCTGAAATGGATAGTGCCAGAGGCTCTTCTATTGCAAAATGTTTCAAAAAAGGTTTGGGTGGTAGTATTTTATCAAGCTGTATAAGTGTTAATGATACTCATAGAGGACAACATCCCGAAAGCTTTGTTCCAGGTTCTGATGCTCAAGAAACTGTGAGAAGATATAGAGACAGTTATTCTCAATTAAGGCAACTTTTTGAAAAGCTTAAAGAACAAAATCAAATTCTCCAAGAAGAGAATTACCGTTTAGAGGAATCTCTTAAATCTGCTCAAGATGCTCTTAAAGCCAATCGAACAATGGATACGAAGAATTTGAGTAGCAATTTGAATTATAGTCAAAAATGTTTGGATGCATGCGTGCACTATATATCATATGCATTAAGATATTTGGTAGAAAACTTAGAAGAAAATACCATAAATATTTCTAAAGCATTAGTGGAAAGAGCAGTTCAGCAAAGAATTTATCTTTTAGAACCAAAATTGGATGATTCTATTAAACAACTTCAGCAAAATATAGTCGAATTAGAACAAAAAACTAGAATAGCCAAGTTAAATGAAGAAAGATTGATAATGGCAGCTAAGAATAATAAGCTTCAATATCCTGAAAGCAATCAAAATATCACAGAAACTAAACATAATGTAAATTCGCAAAATAGCAGTGGAGCTGAAAGTGAGATTGTTTCAGAAAAAGAATATTCTAAACCAAAATCTTCACTGGACACTGGTAAATTTGATAAATCTTCAACTCAAAGTCTAACTCAATCTAAGATGGTATCGAAAGATCATGCAAAGAATACCTCTAATATTAGCCGTTCTTTGGAATCCTCTAAAATCTCATCGCAAGTTTTATCTCAGAGCAAATCACCAATTTCAGCATCAAAATCAATTACTAGTAAGAGCCATCTTGAAAAAAGTAAACCTGATGTTTCCAAAAATGAAGGAAGCATCAATAAATTAATCGAAAATATTGAGAAACCAATCGGAGAAGTAGAAAAAATGGTTGATATTGTCAGTAAGTCGATCACATCCTCTTTAAAATCACCTTCCATATCTGTTTCCAAGAACTCTAGTGGCGTTTTAAGTAAACAAGAGCAAAATTTAAGCTCTGCAAATCTCAAAAATGACTTTTCGGATTTAAAGTCCGGTAATTCTGATGCATCCGCTGATCTCCTTAAGGATTCTTCAGCTAGTTTACCCAAAAAGGACGCCCCAATTACTTCAACCGCTCCTGCAAAAGAAGCTCCAGCTTCAACATCTATGAAGGATGCCCCAGTAGCTCCACTTAAGAAAGACGCACCAACTACTTCAGCTACTTCTCCAAAAGAAATCCCGTCTGCTCCATCTATGAAGAAGGATGAACTAACAGCTTCACTTAAGAATAGTGTGTCAACTATGAAGAAGGAGACTACTGCATCTCCACTTAAGAAGAATGTACCAACAGCTCCAGCTATTTCTACAAAAGATGCTCCTACTGTAACACCAATCAAAAAGGATGCTCCAGTTGCTTCAACTGCACCTACAAAAGAGGCACCAGCTTTACAGTCAATGAAGAAAGATGCTCCAACTGCTCCACCCAAGAAAGACACACCAATAGCTCCGGCTACTCCTACAAAAGAGGCTCCTAGTGTGCCATCAATAAAGAAGGACGCCCCAGCTATACCCCCAATGAAGAAGGATGCTCCTACTGCTTCTGCTCCCGTAAAAGAGGTTCCATCAATGCCACCCATGAAGAAAGATGTACCGGTTGCACCCTCTATGAAGAAAGAAGCTCCTATTTCTCCCAAAAAAGAGTCTTCAGCCGCACCGCCTGCGAAGAAGGACGCTCCAACTACGCCTCCCACAAAGAAGGATACCCCTGTTCCTGCAACAAAAGAAGCTCCAGCTGCATTACCTATAAAGAAGGAAGCCCCGGTTGCATCTCACATAAAAAAAGACGCACCAATTACTCCGCCTTCTCCTTTAAAGGAAGCTCCAACTGTCCCTCCTGTGAAGAAGGAAACTCCCACTGCGCCACCTATGAAAAAGGATGCACCTGCTACTCCAACTGCTCCAATAAAAGAGGCACCAACCGTACCGCCTATGAAGAAGGATGCACCTCCTCTTCCAAAGAAGGAAGCTCCAGCTGCACCTCCCATGAAGAAGGACGCTCCTGCTGCCCCAATAAAAGAGGCACCAGCCGTGCCACCTATGAAGAAGGATGCACCTCCTCTTCCAAAGAAGGAAGCCCCAGCTGCACCTCCTATGAAGAAGGACGCTCCTGCTTCTCCAACTGTCCCAGCAAAAGAGCCTCCAGTTGCCCCGCCTACGAAAAAAGATATACCTGCTCCTCCAGCAAAGGAAGCACCAGCTGCACCTTCTATGAAAGAAGCTCCAGCTCCTCCGACGGAGGACGCTCCAGCCCCCCCAATAAAAGAGGCACCGACCGCACCGCCTATGAAGAAGGATGCACTTCCTCTTCCAAAGAAGGAAGCCCCAGCTGCACCTCCTATGAAGAAGGACGCTCCTGCTCCTCCAACTGTCCCAGCAAAAGAGTCTCCAGCTGCGCCAGTAAAAGAGGCTCCAACAGTACCACCTATGAAGAAGGATGCGCCTCCTCTTCCAAAGAAGGAAGCTTCAGCTGTACCTCCCATGAAGAAGGAAGCACCTGTTCCTCCAGCAAAAGAGGTTCCTCCTACACCACCTATAAAGAAGGAAGCCCCAGCCGCGCCACCCATGAAGAAGGATGCACCTCTTCCAAAGAAGGAAGCCCCAGCTGCACCTCCCATGAAAGAAGCTCCAGCTCCTCCAACGAAGGACGCTCCAACTACTCCTGTAAAAGAGGCACCGGCCGTACCACCCATGAAGAAGGATGCACCTCCTCTTCCAAAGAAGGAAGCTCCAGCTGCACCTCCCATGAAGAAGGATGCACCTCTTCCAAAGAAGGAAGCCCCAGCTGCACCTCCCATGAAAGAAGCTCCAGCTCCTCCAACAAAGGACGCTCCAACTACTCCTGTAAAAGAGGCACCGGCCGTACCACCCATGAAGAAGGATGCACCTTCTCTTCCAAAGAAGGAAGCCCCAGCTGCACCTCCTATGAAGAAGGACGCTCCTGCTTCTCCAAATGTTGCAGCAAAAGAGCCTCCAGTTGCACCGCCTATGAAAAAGGATATACCTGCTCCTCCAGCAAAGGAAGCACCAGCTACACCCCCTATAAAGGAGCCACACGCCCCTCCAACTAAGGACATGCCTGCTACTCCTCCGATAAAAAAGGAGGCTCCAGTCGCCCCTGCCATGAAGAAGGATGCTCCAGCTGTACCACCCATTAAAAAGGAGGCTCCAACCCCTCCACTAAAAAAGGATACGCCTGCTCCTCCAGCAAAGGAAGCACCAGCTGCACCCCCTATAAAGGAGCCACCGACCCCTCCAACTAAGGACATCCCAGTTGTGCCACCTATGAAAAAGGACGCACCTACTCCTCCAGCTGCGCCAGTAAAAGAGGCACCGACCGTACCAGCTATTAAGAAGGATGCACCTCCTCTTCCAAAGAAGGAAGCTTCAGCTGTACCTCCCATGAAGAAGGAAGCACCTGTTCCTCCAGCAAAAGAGGTTCCTCCTACACCACCTATAAAGAAGGAAGCCCCAGCCGCGCCACCCATGAAGAAGGATGCACCTCCTCTTCCAAAGAAGGAAGCCCCAACTGTACCTCCTATGAAAGAAGCTCCAGTTCCTCCAACGGAGGACGCTCCAGCTCCCTCAATAAAAGAGGCACCGACCGTACCACCCATGAAGAAGGATGCACCTCCTCTTCCAAAGAAGGAAGCTCCAGCTGCACCTCCCATGAAGAAGGACGCTCCAGCTGCCCCAATAAAAGAGGCACCAGCAGTACCATTTATGAAGAAGGATGCGCCTCCTCTTCCAAAGAAGAAAGCCCCAGCTGCGCCACCTATGAAGAAGGACGCTCCTGCTCCTCCAACTGTCCCAGCAAAAGAGTCTCCAGCTGCGCCAGTAAAAGAGGCTCCAGCAGTACCACCTATGAAGAAGGATGCGCCTCCTCTTCCAAAGAAGGAAGCCCCAGCTGTAACATCCATGAAGAAGGACTCCCCCGTTCCTTTAACAAAAGAGTCTCCAGCTATACCCCCTATAAAGAAGGAGGCTCCAATTCCTCCACCAAAAAAGGATATGCCTGCTCCTCCAGCAAAAGAAGCTCCAGCTACACCTCCTATAAAGGAGTCACCAGCTCCTCCAACTAAGGATGCTTCAGCTCTGCCACCTATTAAAAAGGAAGCCCCGGCTACACCTCTTATGAAAGAAGCTCAAGATTTTCCAACTAAGGATGCTCCAGCTGTACCACCTACTAAAAAGGAAGCTCCCATTCCTCCAGCAAAAGAGGCTCCCCCTCCACCACCTATAAAGAAGGAAGCCCCACTTGCACCTCCTATGAAGAAGGATGCCCCAGCTGTACCACCTATTAAAAAAGAAGCTCCTGCTCCTTCTACTAAGGAGGATCCAGCTACTCCACTCGAGAAGGATGTCCCTGTTCCTCCAGCTGTGCCACCTATAAAGAAGGATGTGCCTTCTCCTCTGAAAAAGGAGCCTCCTACATCTCTTTTAAAGAAGGACGTCCCTCCTACACCTCCCATAAAGAAAGACGCTCCAGCTGCCCCACCTATTAAAAAGGAAGCTCCATCAGCTTCGGAATCTTCAGTAGAAGAAGCTCCAGTTGTGTCGACTATGAAGAAGGATGTCCCATTGCCTCCAATAATGAAGAAGGGTGCACCAACTGCTCCACCAATGAAAAAGAATGCACCATCTTCAGCTCCTGTAAAGAAAAGTCCTCCAATTCCAATAAAAAAAGAGGCACCTAATTGAAAATACTGTTTTTCATAAAATATGAAAAGCAATGAAAAATGGTTAAGCTGAATTTTAGTAAGATTTCGAAAACTACGAACAAAAGATAATGATTTATGCCCTTTAATAGTGGTCAATGACAATTATATTATTTACAAATAACAAAAAACTCATTTCTACTTTACAAATTCTAATAACAATCCATTCAACTACTTTATTACATATTGAGAGAATTACTTATTTCTCTAATAACTTTAGTCCAATTTTCTTTAGTTCATATATATTAATTTCTCACTTTTTTGCATGCTATTTCTACATACATGCCGTTATTGTATCTAAGATTTTTTTATTTTTAATTTTGAATAAACTCTGGAAAACACTGAAATGATTCTCATGATTTGTCAAGCCATAAATGTATTTATATGCTTTAATATATCTATGTGTGACTTAAATATACCTTTTTTAATGAATTGTTTTAAAACAACTTCTCCTTTATTCAATTAATATGCATTGCTTCTTGTTACTTACTGACTCTAGTATTCAATATTTTCCCGCCCAGATATAAATCATTTAGTGCATGGAAAATCTTAATATTAAAAAAAAAAGTGAATGAAATTAAATTAAAACAAATATCAAGAAACTCAAATTCTAAATTACAAGCGGGAATACTCAGAGGAAAAAGAATTACTAAAGTTTTGAATATATTTTTTGTGGGTTAATAAATAGATAAAGTATGTTGAGTGACATAGAAAAAAGTATTCAATATCTTAAAAAAATTGAGGATTTTCATCATAAAATTGACACCGGAATAATTAAATTAAAAGGAGAATTTTTAAATTATTTAGAAAAGCCTCTTTATGATTACTTGGATGATACAAGAAAAGAAGTGGACCAACTTTATAATGAAACGAGAATCTATGTTTATATTTATGAGAAGCCATTTAATCCCAAATATATGACAGATGATGAATTAATAAGTAGGTACACTATGGCAAAGCTTATTGATATAAAGACTAGAAATTTAATGAATAAAACAATAAATATGTTAAGCTTGGAAAATGATCATTATATTGAAGTTATGCAAAAAGAAGGGTACTTTGGTTATTAAAATGTTTAAATGACTAAAAAAGTAGCAAGGAAAGGAAATAGTATCCATTTATGAGTTCAGCATTTAAATCCTAATATTTTGAGATTTACTCTTTATTATATTCAAAGAATCCAAATTTTCTATAATTTGTATAATTCATTCAGTTTTACTCTTTCGTGTAAAATAACAACTCACCTTTAATCAAATGTTTTATCATATTTATTTTGGCATATTTATTTTTTTTATTTTGATATAGTTTTTTTTCCTGCACTTCTTTGAGAGCTGCTAGTTCACTCAAAATTGAATCCTTTTTTGCTAAGATTTCTCCAGTATTTTTCTATTAATTTCAAGTTAATTTTTATTTGATTAGTAATTAGTGGTATTTAATACTTAAGTTAGCATATTTTTTTCAATCAATTTTGTTTGAAACCACTTGAATAACTTACATGATCAAAAAGCAAGGATTCCATTTCATTGTTTGCTTTTTTTTGTTCTTTTATTAATGGATCATTGCATTCTGTCTGCTCAAAGTTATCAATATTTTTCAATATATTCAAGTATGATTTTTCAATGAAATCTGATAGTAATGCCATTATCAAATTAATTTTTTATTTTGTTCCATTTTTTTTATCACAATTATTTATAATCTCAATATTCGAAATTTTACAATAATTTTTAAAAAATAATAAAAAAATGATTTGCATGCAATTAATACCAAATGCCGGCATATATTTTTATACATTCTTAAAATAAAATATATAAAAATATTATAATTTAAAAAATGTGGGGAGAAATTTTAATTTCTAATTTAACTAGATAAAAATGCATGTTGAAAAAATCATCTAATGCATCTTACAGATAATTTTCCAACAAAATCCATAGAACTTTAAAATACCCTAATTTACTATCATTTCTATTTATTTAAAGCTAATCTTTTATTATATTCAAAATAAGTTTTTATATTCTTAATTTGTCATGCATTGAATTAACAAAATAGAATTTTGAATTGCATAGATTTCCCGCCTTTTGTCACTATTTAATTGTACAGAGTGCTATTAACGTCTAATTAACATGATTGAAATAAAATATCTGAGACAAGTATCTAACATACATTCTAGAAATTTTGAATTATTATTTTTACATTTCTCCAGCATAATAAAATGCTACTTAGCAAATTTGAATGTTTAAAAGATTTGTTTTTTTAATCTAAATTTAAACGAAAACAATACTCATGAATTACGAAGAATTAATTGACATGAATACATAAAGCTGTTTAATTTTAAGAAAATAAGCAATATATTTATATAACGAAAAATTTTTTTACATATGCATTATACATGTACCTTAAGTAAACAATCACGTAGTCGTATAAAATAATATAATGTTTGAAATGACGAAAATGGACAGACCTGATCCTACTTATGTTTACTATGTATACATAGCTGAGGACAAAAAACGGATCTTCTGATTTTACATTATATTAAAGAGGTTGAATACGCTTTTTGATTGTTTCTTTATATCGTTAATAGCCGCAATATTTTTATTCAGAAATACAATAAGATACAAAATCGTAGATGTTTATGTTGTTTTCTCCAATGTCACTCAGTATACAGTTCACCTCTTCCGGTGTTAATTTAATTATTGATCCAATATTTAGAAGATGTTTTCTCAATTCGGTGGAACTTATTGTGTCCTTTCCATCGGAGATTGACTGCAATGACTCAACTAAGTCTCTAGCAATAACTCTATCATTATATACGACCTCACCGATTTTAATTAAATCTTCTTCAGTGTAGAAACCTCTCTCATTAGATTCTGGAATGGCAATTTAGTTTTGGAAATAAATTAATTTGTTATTAAGCAACTAGTAAATTACCTGCTCTTATCGCCAGTTTATCTCTTTTTGTTAATTGTACCCCTATAGCATTCAACATATGTATTATTTTCTCTTCTGAAACTTTTCCTGTTTTGTCTCTGTCAACAATCTTGAAAAACTGTCTTAATTCATGTACCTAAAATATGTTAAATCCAAATTAAGTCATTATATATTCACCTGATCTTATTTATACGGGAACTGTTACTAAACATAAACTTACACGTGACTTTGACAAACCAGAAACTTCACCTAAAACCATTATATAAAAACTTTACTTATATTATCTGTTGCATAAAGAAATACAAATTTTTTAAATTTGCAATTTTCCCTCGATTTCTTTTTTTCCTCTTAATTTTATTTGTCCACATAAATGAATTGTTGCATGCATGTAAGAACATTTAATGTGCGGGAGTGCAAAATTGAAAATAAGAAAAAGAAAATCAGATAAAGAAAATTAGAGTGGGATATTGTTAAGAGAAACGTGAAGCAATACAGTTAAATTGAAGACCAAAATAAACAATCTAAAAATATATAGCCAAAAATAATGCTCAAACAAATAAATGAAAATTGAACAAATAAAGAAAGTTATTAAGAGAAAATAACTGCAATAATTAAGTATTTAGTACGAGTTCTCTACAACATCTCCAACCAAAGTTATTGTAGAAACGGTGACAATTCCCGCAATGAAAGATCCTAATTTTAAGAAAATGGGGATTGAGTGTTTGTCATTGAATACATCCGGAATAACTTCAATACAAGCAACATAAAGAATTGTTCCAGCAGCAAGTGCTGAGCAAATAGCTGATGCAATCGAATTTGAGATTATTACAATAGCTCCAATCATGGTCCCTATAGGTGATCCAAATGAAAGAATAATAATGTAAATTATTGGGTTAATGCCCTTTGAAATGAGAGTCATGTACACTATTAAAATTTCAATCCATTTATGAGCAAAAATAACGCAGGTGATAACCCAAGTGCCCAAAATGCTCTTTGAAGTTCCTACAACCATTCCTTCAAATAGGGAATGGAAAAACAATGCGCAGACCAAAACGAATCCTATCGAACTAGCAACGGTTTCTTTCTTTGTTTTACCAGCATTCTCAAACAAGTTTGTTTTAACTTTCTTTGATAACGAATTTTGTTTCTTGATCAAATTTGGCGCGCATAATGGCGAGCTCTTCTTATCAGTTGTTAAGTCTGAGTCAAATTGATCAATAATGCACGAATCTTCGTCGGATGAGAAACCGGACGAGACATTAGTACTCATAACATTAGAGTTTATGTTTTCTCCTGAACCATTATGATTAGAGTTTCTGTGATAACAGTCGTGGAAATGACCATGTATTTCATGTGTTCCAAAAAACTCGTCGACTATACTTTCAAAAATTAGTGAGAATAAGAAACCTACCAAAATTAAGTAGCAAACACCATTTATCTCAATACCCGAAATCTTAAAAGATAACAGCCCCGAGCTTGAATCTTCGATCGCATCTGGAATGAGATGAACGAGAGCTAGAGCAATAAAAGCTCCTGCTCCAAAGGCTGTCAGAGTCGGAAGAATCCTACTTTTATATCCTTTATTCTTCTCATTGCTATCAATTTTGGCCGGAAAAAAATAACCCAAGATGGCTGACAAGAGTAATAAAACACTACAAATTAATTTGTGCCAGAACAAATCCATCTTTATATAACTATTTTCTCAAAAGTAATTAAAGTTTTGCTCATATATCAATTTTACATTTAAACAAACTATTATAACTTTCGTAGTGAGTAAATATAAATTTAATCACTCGTTTTTTTGATTGTTGTTCTAATTCTAGTTAGGATACTGTGTTATCTTTCTATACAAGCTCAGCTACTTCTCTTTACCTGAAAAAAACTGGAAAATTGATTTAAGATAAACCAGTACAAATAAACACTTCAATTCGGATATCCACTTTTTTAGAAAATATATTTAAACTTAAATTAACAAATGCACTAAATTATTTTTTTTTTATTTCCCCCAATAGTCATTTTAAGTGCCTTGTAGACAAAAATACCGTATTTTATTTTAAATGGCAAAATTTGGCGCCACATATTTTTTCCAAAAAAATATTGATAAATCAAGATGATATAAGGTATACTATAATAATTGAAATATTATAGTAATCAATCCACACTAAGGTTCTTGATAGATTAAATTTTTAAAAGTTTAGCAATCATATGGTAACTTTCTTTTAGCTGTAGCTAGAAGCAAACTGCGTGTAAATTAACACATTAAGAGCTTTACATATACATTTCTTTATCTTTAATGAAGAGTAAGAGGAGTACTTTTAAACTGAGTGCTATTTTCAGCAGCTTCTAATAAAATTAGTGCTTCAGATAACTTGAGGAGGTGTCCATTTTACATTTGTTTTTAATATCTATTAATAACACTACTACTCTTTTATTTATAATTGTTAAAACACTACATTAAAAAGTTGCTACTATTTTCCATCAATATTTTTCCAAAAGCTATTGCTGCAAGGATTTGGAATTTTAAAAGTTTATGTCTGGCTTATTGAAACATACTGAATGATTTCAATAAATTGAATTAATACGTTTTATGCTTATGAAATTATCAGCTTATAGGCAAATTTTCAATCTGGTGGAGATACAAGGTAATACGTTTTGTGTTACACCTCTGCCTTTATATTTCTAAGATATATTGACTTTTTTTCTACAAAGGAATTTAGAAGAAAATAAGAATGACTCAGATTGAAGAGTTATTTACTATTGATCTCGAAGGTGAGGAGGCAAGTCATTATGAAAATCAAACTGAAGAGAGTAGACTTGAATATGAAGTAGATAAGATCAGTCAAGAAGATGGAAAGGTAATTCAAAAAATCAGTGATGATGAGGTCAAAATTAACGCATACAAGAGTGATGTAAAGTCTGATGGCGAAATAATTGAAGATGAGGATGAAGAAGAGAGCCAGAATGATAAATATCAGTATCAAGATGATGTTCAGGACGATTTAGATAACAGGAGTTCTTACATTTTTAATTTTGAATTAAATAATAAAAAACTAATTGAAAAAGTCAAAAATTTACAGGACAATGAATTAGAAAGCGTTGTTAGTGTGGAGTTATGGAATTTATACAAAGAAATGGGGCCAAATATATGGCCATCTTTTTTAAGATATGAGAACCCACCAAAACATGTGAAGATGTTGGAATCAAGATTTTATTTGAATAACAAATCTGGAAAATCAGACCAGGAAGTCGTGTTTGCCAATATTAAAGACAATTGTAACTCACTAAATAATGTAAATGTATACGAAGAAAACTACCTGTCTCATATTAATGAATTATTAAAGGAGTTATCTGAGAAGAAGGGATTTTATTCACGTATTTTTGATGATGAACAAAATACGAGAGATGGTTTAATTAATTTATATCTGGTAACAAATGGTATTAAAAAAAGTACAACTAGTGGTAGGTGCCAATTTTGTGGGTGTTCTAAATGTGATAGAAAGGCTAAAAACTGTAAAGCTAATAGGTGCTTTAAATGTTTGCTTAAGGGGCACCAAATAAAAAACTGTGATACCAAGTATGGTTATTTTAATCAACAACTACTATTGCCAATTAGAATGGAAAGGGAAAATGTTTTTACTGAAAGAAACCTAATTGAAAACTTATTCAACTTTTCCAAAAGAAGAAAATTTGATATACAAATTAATAATTCTAAATTTTGTATTTGCTTGAATTGCAATCAAACTGGACACATTAATTGTAGTAGACAAGTTCCAATGTTTTCCAAAGGGTCTAAGGTTAAAGATATGATTTCATCATCAGAAAACAGATTCCTCATTTTCCCAGAAGATTCTAGTTCCGTAAATCAAAGCAACAGAAATCAGTATTTAAAAACTAATATTATTATCCCGAGTAATAAACTTTTTAACATTTCTTATCTTTTGGAGTTTACCAAAAGTACTCGAAACCAAAATAATGCTCAAGTTAAAATAGTTGATGTTAAACAAGATAAGCCATTTTTTATCACTCATAATAACTTTGAACAAATGAATGGAATTTATCCACAAAACCAAATGCATTTTCATCATCCCACACAATTTAACATTCACAACCACAATATTAATATGCAACAGCAAGTCAACACCCAAACTTATTCTTATCAAAATCCGAATATTCAATATCAACACTTTCAGAATAATCAACAATTTCAAACCCACATATTTCATCAAAATCCTACTTACAGCCACCAAAACCAACTACATGACCAGCTATACCATTATAACCGGCCAGTTAGCAATCACATCAATATCGGTTTTGCACCAAATCAAAACAATACCGTCTACTCCAGTTCTATAGTGCAAATTAAAAGAGCTAACGATGCCCCCAATATTAGAAGAAAAGGGTTCAATTGCGGTTCTAATTTCAGAGGCAGGAAAAGATAGAATGAATATATTTATTCATCTGCTAAGCTATGTATTCTTTGTTCGTATATACGTGTATGTGACTTAATGTTTACTACACACTCTGAGCCTTAGGCTCTCTCATTTAAAAACATTTCTTTATATGTATTTATATATATTTCCTATATTAATGTATTTCTAATTTGTTAAATTTTGTTTTTTTTCTCAAATTCTTTTATTCTGAGGTATCAATACTTCAATGCTGGTATACATTAAGTGGGGAGGAACTTCCAGGTATGGGGAACATGTTGGCGCCGAAACATGCGCAAATTAAATACAGAAAGTTGGGTACAAGATTAAAGGTAGAGGAGATAAAAATTTGAGAATATCTAAGGTTTCTCTGGGAGTTTTAGAATAAGAGTTTGATGTGTGTATATATTTATATGTGTACATGACTAGAGTTAAGGGTCAAGCTCTATTTACAAATAATTATTTTGAGGTAGAAAATAAGGATAATTTGGTTTCAGGCTTGTTGAACACAAATAATTTTGTGGTTTTATTGCAAAAAGAAGAAGGAAAATAAATTAAAGATTTATGAGATTTAGATTGGGTCTAAGAATTAATAATTTGAGAATTAATTGGAAACTATAATGTCTATAATAAATGGAGATGTGAGCGAAGGTACTGGAAGTTCTGGTACACAGAAAGGACGGAGAGGAAGGCCAAGACGTAGTAACCCAGTAACTCAGATAAGTAATTTGGAATCAGAAGAGAGCAGCATGAATGATATTCCTGTGGAAAAGAATGGAGTTGTTTCTGTGTGTGAAATAGAGTTGTTAACAGAAGAGGATAAAACAATTCCAGATGCAAAGTTAGCAAGCTATAATATAGAGGAAGAGTTTGTTGGATTTGGTGTGGGATTATCTACTGGTTTTGATAGATATTTCCAATCAAATGGATTTAATTCGATGGGAGGAGGAAATACAGGAATCAGGTTATGTTATTCGGGCTTGTGGCGGAAACTTCCCCAAAATGTTCCTGTTAGAGAGTTGGCAATGTCCAGGTATCATATTGCAGTACTACTGAATAATGGTCACGTTTATGTTACACTAAATGATATGAATGAGAGCCTTTATGGCAATTTTGAGAATTATCAGAAAATTTCAGGAGTATTAGTAAATAGCCAGCAGGAGCGTCCAGAATCTGGAAATGAACAAAGAAACAGCATAAATAGTAGCAATACACTACTTCTTGAGAGTAGTATAGTCCAAGGTAGTTGGCTTAATATTAAAGAATTGGATGATAAGAATATTCGAGGGCTTAGAATTGCCTCAATTGCTGTTGAGGCTGGTAACTTTGAACACAAGTTTGGCATCAAGAGTTTTGTTTTAGCATGTTTGACAAGTGAAGGCAAAATTTGGATTGTAGAACATAACTCATCTGTACAGGGAGGATTTAACAATCTCCGTCACATAGATCTTAGACAACTAAACCCAAAGAATCAAGATGAAACCAAAGACAAGAGTCTGACAGGTAATGAGTTTTATAGAGCTGTTGATGTTACACTATCCGAAATGATACCAATTTACGGAAAAAGCTTTGAAAAAATTGAGAAAGTTGAAGAAATTAACGAATATCAGGACATCACGTCTGAAAACTTTCTTCCGTCCTTCCCATACAAATATGGAATGGCCATAACTTCTCTTTTAGTTGATGGCCAAAGTAGCAGTATTATTCTTAAGAAGAATACTGAGATTAGTAATTACGACAAAATGGTTGTACTGGATCTTCCAGTTACATGTAGGAAAACTTTTTGTGGGCCAAATGCTGATTTTGGTCTGATACTATTGCAAAACGGGCTACTTTGGAGTTGGGACCGAAGAGAAGGTCTAATCAAACAAGTAAGGCAAAGCCACGATCCTCCTAAGTCTTGCATCTCCATTAGAGAGTTTAACCAATCTGACCAAGAGCACTTCTCAGAAAAGATTAACTTAAGGGTCTTAAATGGTTCATTATTTGGGAGAAAGGTAATTGATTTTTCTGGCATGAATGGAGAATTTATTGCATTGACTCAAGATGGAATTGTTCATGAATGGAATGATCCAGATAGAATGAGTATCTTTAAAAGACCTTTAATTTTAAACCCAATCATTTTAACCCCAAAAACTCATCATCTGATTGTCAAGAAGGCTCTTTCAAATGGTGGATACTGGTCTTTTGATGCTATTACCTTGAAATGTAACCAGGTTCCAGATATTCAGAAACCTTTCAAAGATGATAATATAAAGAAAATAGACTTAAACACCGGTGTAATTAAAGAAATGATGAATAGGGAAATTAATGAAATGTATGATCCAAATAACCGAATTATTGGGGTTTGGTTATTGGAAGGCATAACCTTGGTTCTCTATAAAGATGGAGTTTTAAAAGCTCTTTACAATTATTTAGGTAGGGATGGGTATGATACCAAGGTTGGCTTTATCTCTGAAGAAGACGAGCTCTGCTGGAATAGGCAGAACTCTTCAATAAAAAACTGCATTCTCTTATCTTCAAGATTGGGAAGATGCATTCCAGCCAATCCAATAGCGTTGGTTGGATTGCTCTCGAATTTTGAAAGAGGCAAATCCCTTTCAGACAAACAAAAACAGTTGATCATACAGAGATCTTTAGTTAAGCTTTCTCTCAGAGAAAAACCAGTTTATCGTATTTTAGCGTGTTATAACTCCATAGTACTTGGAATTTTAAGATCCAATGCTAAATGGCGTCCAGGAAGGGGCCAAAACTCTAAAAAAGCTCAGCCATCAAAACTTATATGTAAGTCTGATCCTTCATCTCAGGAACAGTTCAAACTTAATGATGAAGAAATGAATTTCTCTGCCACTGTTAATCTTAAAGATGTCAAGGAAATCGTTCAAAATCAAGAAAATAAGGAAGACTCAAACCCCGAAACTTTCACTTGTAACAAAAATCATGTTGCCAATTTATCTACCAATCAGGAATTATCTACTTTGCAGATACCTTCAGTTAAAGATACCGAAACTATTCTTAATAAAAAAGTCGATATCCATGATCAGAATCAGGTTCCAAATAAAGGTAGAGGGTCCAGTAGTAAGAAACCCTCTTCTAGAAAAAGCTGTAACTCTGTAAAAGTTATTGCTTCTTCTATTAAAAATGCCCAAGACAATACTCCAATTAATTCATCCACAACTACCAATAGTGCTATGATTTCTACATCTAATACAAATATCCATGTTACGACTAATACTGTCTCTACAATGGACGAATCACCTACACTTTCAAAAAATGAGCCTAACCCAAGCATAGAAACTAACAATGTAAATCCTACATCTTACAAGCTGAGCAAAGATACAACTTCAAAACGTAGAAATGACCCAGATTCTAGTCCTTTTTCATCATCCGTTCCACCTACTTCCAACAGAAGATCATCTGTATGCAGCCAAAAGGCTTTTAATAACACATCTAAAGCTCAAGTTAACTCTAAAACAAGGAAAAGAGAAAGAAGATCTCTTTCTAAATCTGAAGATAAAGAGAACGCGAATTGCATGAATAATTTGGATAATAAAAGCTTATACAACACTGAAAAGGAGGAGGAACATTCTCCTTGGGGGTCAAAGAAGCTAAGTCTTGTTGAATACGAAGTTGAGCAAATACTCAGCATTCGTGAAAAGCCTTTGACTAAACAAAAGGAATACTTAATTAAATGGAAAGTTCCTGGACACCCAGTACAACCAACGTGGGAGCCTGAAGAAAATCTTAACGGTTGCGAAGAGCTTCTACAAGATTTCCTCAAGAGTATTAAAACATCCAGATCTGGAAGGCTTCTTCTTCCTTGTACTGCAATAAACAAAATTACTTAATTTTGTAACTGAACTAACAATAAAACTTCAAATTTACCCTCTTTAAAACTCTCAAATATCTCTTCTATACTTATCTTATAGCTTTATATTTCATCTTAGATCAATTAACCATTCATTTTTACATTAATTGCATGTTTTTACCGCCAAAATTTTTTTACTTTTGTACCTCTGTAGTACATTTAGGTGACGCAAAAGAGAATTTTAGAAAAAAAAGTTATATACAAATATACAATAAAAACATCTTAGAAAAGCTTTTTAAAGAATATATTTCTTTTTAATAATTGAACTAGCCAAATTTGAAAGAATTGAATTCTTAGCCATCTGATCATTTTAGTCTACTGGCATATTAACCAGTTTTTAAAGTTTAACTTAATTCACAACATTTATTGAATATTTTATACTATCTAAACTTTAAAGCAAATTATGGCAAGAATTTATTAACTTTAATAGCCATAAACACGATTTTACCTCACTCAAAACATTCAAAAAAAAACGCTCTAAAATTGAAAAAGCAAAATATGGACGATGTTAACCTTGAATTAGAAGCACTACAAGCTATTTACTCTGATAAAGAGCTTACTATTGAAGCTAAAGAAGATTGTCAAATAATTCATATTCAGCTTGTTAAAGAAGCAAAATCCGGAATTAACTCTATAAATGAGGACAACGAAAAAATTAAATTCATCAAAATTAAAGTTGTATTTCTTATTAATCAAGAATATCCAGAAAGATCTCCACCAGAAATTAATAATATAAATATATGTATTCTTGATGGAAAATATTGCATGAATGAATGCCCCATAGATAACTACCATGATGAAGAAAGTGATAATACAATTTTGTTTGATGATTCAACAAGCACATATGTAAATGTGGATGAAGTTATTAATTATTATAATTCAATTAAAGAAAGTTATATTGGAAGAGTATGTATTTTTGATATAATAGAAAATTTACAAGTATTCATTGATGACGTTGCATCCAAATTAATAACTAACCAAGAAAGTCAAGTAGTTTATGAAAACCCTGTCTCAAATTCAATTGAAGAAATGGAAGGAGAAGACCAAGCTGCTTATTCTGGTTTAACCGAACGTATTTTATGTCCAATAGAAGAGAGGGTTACTGAAGAACAGTTTAATCTTTGGAAAATAGCTTTTAAGTCAGAAATGATTGAAAAGAATATTTGGAAAGATGAAAATCAAGATTCTAATCAACTCACAGGTAAGCAACTTTTTGAAAAGGATGAATCTCTGATTAAAAGTGATGAAAATTCTTCTGTTATAATTGATTCTACTGATACCTTATAATATTTATCAAATAAGCCTTGATGCTAGGTAAATTCTTTTTCAGCCACATTATATATGTAATTATCTTTTAATTAAATAACTCATATTCTTCCTAATGGCTCTAATTGTTTTTTATCTTTTTTTTTTTACTACTATCCATAGTATATTATTAATCACTAAATAAACCATCATCTTCATTTACAGTAAATGACTTTGCCATTGATGAAGATTTTGTTATATCATTTATATCAAAAATACCTGAATCTTCCTTGATCTTCCTAGATTTGTTGATCTCCAAATCCTTCTTCATCTTTTCAATTATTTCATCATTAGATAATTGTGGTAACTGTTTATTATCATCATTTCTTTTTGTTTCCTCCTCATTATCATTTACAATGAAGTCTTTCAAATCTTCATAATCATCCTCTTCATCTTCATCTGGATTCAAATTTCTCAAATCTCTACTCAAGTTTTCATTTGAATAATTATCTTCGTTAATATTATCATCCATAGAAAATGAAATCTTTTTTTTACTTCTTGAATAAATCATACTATTTACCAAATCACTATTACCTGCACCTTGAGTGGCCTTAATATCATTATTATCTCCTATTAATCTTCCATTTTCATTCATTATTAACTGATCTGTTGCAGATGAGGAGGTAGACTGTGCCATATTATTTACCTCATAACATTTATCTATCCAATTTGAATATATATCAACAGCTTCATCAAATTTTCCAATTCTAGAAGTATACTCCACACCACATACTCTACATGATAAATGCCCCAATCTTTCTTTATGGTTCATTCTGACACCAACGGTCTTAACATTATTACAAAATGGGCAACTAAACTCCTTATCCAACTTTGGTACTTTACTCTTTTTAACCTCCACCTTCTTAGTCTTTCTCTTACCCATGGGTCAACTATTACTACTTATTCTTGGGTTTTTTATTATTAATAGGTTTAAAAACCTTAGACTGAAGCTATTAATAAATTCTTATATACAATTACTAATTCCCGCGTAAATTTTTTTTTTTAATATTTAACCATTTTTCTTGAGAAAAATTGACTAAATACAAGTCAATAAAAAAAATTTTATTAAAAAAAGTGAAAAACCACACAATGATAGTTAACCCTGAGAAAAAATGTTGCAATAAAGAATATAATCAGCTTTCTGTAATAGAGTAAGTTTTACTTGCTTGCATTTCTAGACGTTATAATTTTATTCTTTGTTAATTCCAAACATTCAACTTCTTCTATAAATCTTAATAAAAATATTTGTTGAAACATAAACCATATTTCAATTTATTTCAAATACTTGAATGTAATGAATTGTTAAATTCTATTATTAATCGTCTTTAATTTAAAATGATCTGATACATTTGAATCTAATAATGGGGGAAAAAAATAGATTCTTCAGTGGTATAGGAGGATTACACCTATCAATAAAAAACGCAGCTGATTCAATTAATTCTGTAAGCAATTAAATCAAAAAACCCAATTTAACTTTATTTAATAATCGCTCTTATTTAACTGTTATAAATATTCCTTATTAACAGAAATCAGATTATTTCCATTCTGATATAAAGATTGAGGTTATTAAAGCTTTTGAAATAAATGACTGTGCAAATATTACCTATAAAAAAAATTTCCCAGATACATTAATATGCAATAAAAATATTGAATCTTTAAATTTACATGATATCCCTTATGCTGATATTTGGCTTCTTAGTCCTCCTTGTCAGCCTTTCACCAAAGGAGGTTCAAAAAAAGATTCGGACGATCCAAGATCTAAACCATTTTTAAAATTAATTGAATTAATGCCATTATTAGAAAGCCATGATAAACTTCCAAAGGCTTGGTTCGTTGAAAATGTTGCAAACTTTGAAACATCAAACACTCATAAGAAAATGATGAATATGCTCTCAAAGTTAAATTTTTGTACATTTGAGTTTATGTTATCACCAACTTTGATTGGAGTTCCAAACACCAGAGTCAGATATTACTGTGTTTCTTTCAGAAAAGATTCAGATGATTCAATCAAACAACTAAATGAATTAAAAAAGTCAATTTATGAAAAAAATTATCAGTCCATAGCAAACAATGTGCTTTCATCCCATCCAATAAGGGAAAATATAAAAAATTCCCAAATGCAAGAAATTCCCACAGAATATTCAAATATACTATGTTCTCTTCCTTACGAATACAAGCAAATAATCCAAATGATGAATAATATACCAAGTTCAATAAATGATATAATAATGAATTCAAACAAAATCGATGATGAAAGTTTTAAATTACTCAAACAATTTGCTAATAATATTGTAAAAAACAACCCTTCCTTTAAATTTGATATAGTTAATATTAATTCCAAAGCTTCAACCACATTTACTAAAAGTTATATAGAAACCCAGGGTCGTGGTGGTCCTTTATTTGATTATTCTGAAAACCACCAAAAAAGTGAAAAAAGTATTATTGATTATGATATTTATAACCATATATTCAATACTTGTACTTTAGAACATCAAAGATTCCAAAATGCTCAAAACAAAAATAATTTGAGATGTTTTCACCCACAAGAAATACTTTTAATTATGGGGTTCCCTGATAATTGGTTTGAAAATATCAACATCAATATTAAAAAAAAATACTCGCTTATTGGGAATAGTATTTCCGTCCATATTGTAACAATACTTCTCCATTTCATGCTGGAATTATTAATTAATTGATCTATTACATGATTTGAAAATTTAATTTCTTTTTTTAAGCTATAAGTTCATTTTGTATTTTTTATTTTACATATTAACTGATCACAATAATTTTTTTCTAATCCATTTTGGCTGCAAACTTTCGTGAATAGTGTTATAATAGGAATTTCAGGTATACCAAATCTCTTCATTAAATAAGACAAAGTTTCCACATTGTTTAAAATATCAAAACATTTAATGTCTTTGACCATTCTAAATTTTTCAAGCTCAATATTATCAGATTCTAGTATTCTTCTTTGAAATTGTTCAGAAATACATATTAAAATAGTTTCCTCCCATATTTTTACAACACTCCAAACATCATGCTTATATATATTTGCAAATAACTCAATATCATCAATTATTAAAGATTCGGATATAAATAACATTTTTCTGAATAGCCAGGTGTTCTTTTCATTTTGAATCAACTCCATGATCATGTCCATATGCTTAAATAATACCTGAGTCAATTCATCGCCCAAATATAAGTGTAATTTATGGATATCTTCTTTCAAAATCTCGTCTATTATTACACTCAGATACAAATCACAATTAACATATTCTTTTAATCCGATCTCTTTATCATGTATCAATTCTAATGCTTTTTCAATCACTTGTTTTGATTCTGGATTATTTCTTTCATTTAAATCCATTATAATTTTAAGAAACTCTTTGTAAATATTTCCAAAATCAACTCTTTCAATATTATTTTCAGTACAGCTTTCATCTGGAATGATCATATTCTCAGAATTTTTGTCTTTATTTTTAGATGTTACTCCTTCATTTGAACATGCTGTAGAAAATGATTCCATTGAATGACTTTTCTCATCCTTAACCAATACGTTCTCGATATTTTCTTGAAATTCTAAATCGTTAAAATAATTTTCATGAATATAATTTTTTGTATTTTCATTTACAATCATATTAAACTGAGAAAGCAAAATTTTCACAGCTTTTTGGGCCTTAATTGCAGTTGCAGGATTTACCAAATTTGAAATAATAGCTTGTAAATCTACAATATTATCAAGAGCAATATTTTTCTCTGCCATTTGAGATGTAGAAAATGTAATAAATTCATCATCATTTATTTTTAAATTACTCATTTTTCTACATATTTCTCTCCAGCTTTCCTTCTTCACTTGGTCGGCACTGAATTTGTATGTTCCAGTGAAAATTGTCGAATTAACCATGTTATTCTCCGAATCCTGGCTCTTATTATTACTAATTCCAAATCTATTTGCAAACTCATAAATATCCTCTTCGACATCAATCTCCTGTATTGATTTTATTACATGGTCTGAGTCATATTGTAAATTTCGGATGTAACTCATATCATAAACCATCAATTTCATAAAAGTGTCCGAAATACATTTAATTCTTTTCGTATCCATATCTTCCAATATACCAATAATGTTCTTCATTTCCGTCAAATAAAACTTGTAGTAAGTATCAAAACTTTCAATACTATTGTTATATTCTTTTTCTAAATCATCCAACTCAAGTATCTTTCGAAGTATTTCTTTGCTCAACAAAGTTATTTTTTCTTGTGAAGATTTTGACCTATTCAATTCGTGGTATCTTAAACTTAGTTGGCCTATGTTATGCCTTGCAATCCCATAATTATCTCTTAATCTTGTGAAGTTCAGGTATCTTTTCTGAATCTCCGATGTTATTCTTTTTCCTGACGAAAGTAAATGGCAATATGCAGATTTGTGATTTTCTAGCATATTATTCAATGTATCTTTTAATACATCGGATCTCAAAGTCTCACAGAGCTCTCTGCATTGCTGAGACCTTCTATAAGTTTCATTCCTTAGAGTTCTGATTGCAAAAGTCATACTCGTACTTTCCGTTGCTGATGGAAAAAATCTGGAAGAAATTCTCTCTAACCCATTTGAATACATTTCCTCCAATGACGCCCTTTCTTCTAGAGCTTGCCTTAACTGATCTCCCAACTTCAATCCATTCTCAATCCTTGTGCAAATAAGAGTCCAGTCATGTAAAAATTCATCTTTATATTTCAACGCTATTCTCTTCACCCCACACTCTGTTGTTTCTTTCTCCAGCTCCATTCTAATTTTTTCCAAAGTTAATATGAAAGGAATCTCTTGAATTTCGAAAACTAGTAGAGTTCCAAAAATGATAACCTACGCCAACTTATTAAATTTTAATATAATTTTGGTTATCCGTATGTTTTTTGCATATGTTCATTAAAATTAAACTTTTTAAGCCGCCACCTTTTTTTAACTTGATTAAATTCTCTTCAAATTAATCATCAAATAAATAGAAAACCCTCCTTTACCTTTAAACAAACTTAAGCACAAAAGTTTTGTTTCAATAAATTTCTAATTCCTTTTTTTTTTAATTTACTATTTACCGATTTGCACACATTAATTTTATAGTCCTCTATGCTGTATATTGCAAAAATTTGTCCACATTGTGCATGCATGCATATACATGTTTTTTTCACTTATAATCTAATGAAAGTAATAACTAGGAAATAGGGCTCATATAATCTAAAAACGGCGAATTGTCAAAGAAATTCATTATTTATATTGTGTATTACCACTAATGAATAAGTTACGATTACTAATGATATATAATTATTTAATTTACCTATAAGAATAAGAAATATATTAATTACTTGCGACTTTTATTTGTCCTTGATGATGGGCTCCAACTCTGAGAAGAAGATGCATCTGAATACTCTTTTTCTCCATTCCTATTTCTCTTTGTGGATTTTCTTTTCGTCGGTTTTCTTTTAACAGGTTTCGAAACTTTTTCGCACGTTGTTTGAGTATAAAAATAGATAATTTCATTCGCATAGTCGATTAGTTTTTTTTCAGAATCATCACTTTCAGAAATCTCCCAAATAGTATGTAACTTCTCTCTCAAGCTCTGCAAAGATTCATAAATCGTACTTCTTCCCAAAGAAATTATATTTGTGGAGTTTTCGATAACGCCATTATTTAATTCGGAGTCTTGATGAGAGAATTTGGGCTTTTCTTTATTGATAGAATTATAAGGGTTGAAATTAGAAATTTGATTTTCTGAAATTCTATATTCTTCTTTGAGAATTAACTGTATTGTGGTGCATACTGTTGCAAGAATCGCATTGCAAAAATGTTGTTGCCCCGAGTCAATTTGTAAAATTTGCTCCGAATCATGGGATAAGCTTCGAGAGCAATTTACACAAATTTCTCCCAAAAAAAACAAAATCAATAATATCTCTGATTCATATAAAAATGGCATTGCTAAAAGTATATAAGAAATAAATTCTACATATAAAACCAATAAAACCTTTTTTTCCAATTTCAAATGAGTCTTAAATTTTGTAAGTAGAATTTCGGTTTCATCATTCGACAATAATAACTCAAGCTGTCTGCAACATCCTCTAATAATGCTTTCTCTAAATACTCTTTTATTTCGGCATTTCTCGGAATAAATCTTCGCGAAAAATTCTAAAACTGTTTCTAAAACTTCAGATCTGTTCTTTAATAGGATTTTCTCTTCAACTATTTCGTTAGAGAAAATAGATCTTGAGACATTTTCAGTATCATTTTTTGAATGGTACACTCCAAGTAAACCAGGGAAATTTGAAGTACAAAACACAAATCCATAGACAGATATTTCTTTGTATTTATTGATAATAAGATTTGGAAATCTCTCAAATAAAGAACTTATAATTTGATAAGACTTGAAAGAAACTTCTCTGTTTGATGAAAACAATAAACCAGAAATTTGAGGAATAATTGAAGTTGGGTTAACCAGGCCTTGCTTATTTAATTGCTCAAGAATACAAAGTATTAATGAAGAAACCAGTTGTTTTTGTTGGCTTGAAAACCTTCCTTTTTGAAATCCAGTTGTTTCTTGAAATAAATTTAGTAATAACTCCAAATTGGATGCAATCGGTTGTGATGCAGAAACTGAACTTGTGTTATGTGCTGTGGAGCCAAAAATACTGGTCCTAATTGAAGATATATTTTCCATGTTGGAGTAACTTGAATAACTCACTGGGGAACCTATTTCATTCTTCTCAGATTGCATTGAAGTTCGTTTATTTGTGTTTGGAGTGCTAAAAATATCTTCGTTTCCCAAAAACATATCCTCACTTTGATTGATTTCGTCATGAAATTGGTTTGCTTTATCCTCGCTCGTATTACCCTTTTTTGAAGATTCTAAATCGTTTTCCTGAACAATTTTATTCTCTTTTAAAGCCTGTATTTCATAACTTTTTAAGAGAGATAAAATTCCTTGCAAACAAATAATGCATAAATTGGAATTAGCGATATTATTGTTTGTGTTTTCTGAATCTTGTATATAATGCTTTACATGAGTATCTTCGCTTGCAAAAGACTTATCTCCTTTGATAGCACATTTAATTAGATTATTGAATTTTACTGTTTTAACATACTGTTTTTGATTCATTAAAAATTGAATCAATGTTGGAAATAATACCCCTTTATTCAAATTCCAATCTAGAGTATAATACAAATCGCAAAGCAAGTCAAAAACAACACTACTCGATTCAACAATTGTATACTCGTGCCCCAAATCTTCACCAAATTCGCTTTTTGGCATTTTTTCCCCTGATAATGATTCAACAGTCCATGAAATTCCAAACTCTGTTTGTATCACCTTTGCTCTTTCTATTTTATTATCCACAATTGCCAATACCATATTTGGAGAACTAAATTCAAATATGCATCCTAGAAGCCATGCACTTCTTCTTACTTGATCAACTTCTTTAAGATCTATGTTGAATTCTGTATTTAAAATTTTGTGTTTATATTCCCAAAGTATTCTTATATTATCTAGTATTAGAGGAGATAAAGCATTGCCTTCATTAAAACCCTTTTCACCTTTCATAAGTAAATTACACAAGCATAATATAGATGATCTAATTAGCTGTGGTGACCTTGAATTGGTTGTTATTTTCAACAAATCGAACTCAATACTTTCAGTTTCCAAGTCTTCCACATGAGGTAAAATATATGATAATACTGTACATATATGGATCATTACCTCAGATTTGAATTGACGAAAATCTTTTAGATACACAACAATATATAAATACATATCTTTTATTGATTTCGGATAAACTTTGCCAATAACTTCAGCTGTTTTTAATATTTGTAGTTTTTTTTCCGAAAACTCCCTGGATAAGTTGTTTTTCAGTGCATCTTCATCATTTGACCGTTCACTTTTTAACCCATTTTCACCAGAAACCATCTTTTCCTGTTCAATTGGATCTATGTTATCGCATTGAATAAACATATCAACAAGTATATTAGACCATCTGGTAATTAAGCCTTCGAAACTTTTAATCGATTGACTTTCTTGTAAAATAGATATTACACCTTTCATTAAACAGTTAGAGTCTTTTTGTTCATGGTTAATGTATTGTAAAAATTCATTACTTTCTGAATAGTTTATTAGTTTAACCAGGCATTCTGCCATATGAACATTTACCTTACTTGAATTGTGAAACCATATAGAAGTAAATGAATCAAAAATCAGCCTTCTAATTGTTTGCGTTTCTTCAACTGCAGATGCTCTTTTTAATAATATGATCCCAATATTCAATTTAGATGGGTCTTGGTGATATAAATTTTTGAGAATCTTTATTGAAGCCATCCTAACTAAAGGGGATATATCATATGCTGTTCTGAAAATTTGTTCTAACAGCAATTTTTTTACTCTAGTAAAGTTATTCCCTAAATTTTCTCCATTTTTTATACAATCACAATATTCATTGAATGAAATATCGGAAAAGTACTTTTCAATTATTGCCAAGGCTCTCTCTCTAATTTTTGGAGTTTTATCCTTTAGAGATAATATGATTGCATTTAAAACTGTTTCATTAGTGATCAAAAGGTTTGGTTTCACTGAAATTACTTGGCCTAGTGAATTCAAAGATATTCTTCTTATTAAAGTAATCTTTGAATTATAAATATTCGATAGTAAGCAATGTAACATAATATTTGCCACATTCTTCAACTCCTTAGCAAGTATTCCGTTCCAAAATCTTATTGTATTTGCTTCCAGTAGTTTTGGAAATTTTGAAGAATAAGCTATCAATGATGAGTGTACCTTTGTAATTGGCGAAACCCATTCAGTTAATAACATGGTATATAATTTTCCTATTTTTTCATTTAATTGAGGTAAGTTTTTGTCCACATTATTTGTTTTATTTTGAGATTTTTCTTTGTCATTTTTCTGTTTATTATTATTTCCAAGCTTTAGTTTTGCAATAATTTCCAAAATGAATGAGCAGACAGCTGAGCTCTCAGAGTCGGTAACCAACCTTGGCATGTCTAGGGAAATTGACTCATTAAAAGTTTGAGACACTGTCATCGCAGTCTTCCTATACAGATAGTCGAGTACTATCAGTAATACTACACATAATTCTGAGTCTTTTTGCAATATTTCTTCTCCATTAATCCCAAGATTTGTATTTATCTCATTAAATATTATATTGATGGTGCAATTATCGCATTTCCATTGTTCATATATTTCCAAATATGTGCCATTTCGGATGCAATCCAGATGGAAGTTTCTACCACAATTTTCACATCTGAGTAATTCATGTGTATCTATTTTGTACGAATTACCGCATATACAATCAACTATCGCTTCATTTATTCCATCGTTTCTTTCATTCTGCTCTTTTTTTTCAGATATCCCCTCCTCAATGTTTTTTCTAGATGAATCTATACACGTAAGTTGGATATTAACACTTTTGTAAATTATTGAAAGAGAAATACCAAGTAGATGTATACAAAGCTCTTTTGAATATAAATCTATATGTATTGATTGTGATTTTTGGCCGCCTTCGTTAATTAATGAGCTATTTGAAATCTTAATCAACTGAACTATAATCGTCTGGGTAATAGTCGAACATACATTATATTTTGGACTGAGCGATGCCTTGAGCAAATCTGTGAGAATAACTGTCGCAATATCATTTGTTGTTGAAAGATTACTCTCTTTTCTTTTTGTTCTGTGTAAAATAATATTATTAATAAAAAATGTTGCGAATTGGCTACATATGTACTTTGCCAAATTGTAGTGTTTTATTGAAACACTTTTTATTGAAGAAATACTGTCATTTAAAACTATTCCATTTGGAATACAAATGCTTTGTACTAGTCTTAGCAATAAATAGACATAAATATGCATATTTGAGTCCATATCAATGCATAATCTCGCTTTCTTAATTGCTTTGTTAGTTCGAGGTAATTCTTCCATCACGTTAAAAATTGAATTCAATGAATTTTCCAAAAATTCATTCGAATTCAATGATCCAGAAACGAATAAATAAACAATTATTTCCACTGCCAACAATATTATCATCGTATTTGAATCTTCTGTCAAAAAAATAGAAAGTAAACCAAGAATTATTTGTGTTGAAAATAGCTCATGAACACTTCTAGTTCTCACAATTTCATTAATTGTTTCCAAACAAACAATAAAAGATGCATTGAAAATTTCCAAACGATTATTCTTAATGTTCTCCGAAAGTATAGTCGGTAATACACTTCTTATAATATTTGAAAGAATTCTTATTTCTTTACTAAATCTTATTTCGTTAAAAAGAACTAATTCAAAATGTAAAAATATCCCAATAGTATCAACCACACTCATTAAGCTTTCTATTAAAATGTTTTCTGTATTTTTCCCCCTCTCATTTGAAGAAAATTTCTTTCCAAACTCAATAATCAAGTCAGAGTCCAATATTTCTTCTAATAATGATTCACAATTTCTGCTAAATTCACTCATGCTACAAAACTGTGTTAGCATATGGCTGTCTAATTTGGAAATTTCCAATTTTACTTTCTTAAGATTTATTTTATTAAAGTCAGATAATTTAGGAGTTGTATCTTGTAATAGTATTTCAAAAACCGTTGCCACTTGTTCTGCTCCTATATTTATGGATGGTTTTCCTTTCTTATCTACATTAGCTGTATCTGTTTGATCATTGCTTTTATTCATTATTATGCATGTGTTACTCTTCTTCAACTGGCTTGGAAGCTCCATTTTCAAAAAAATTTCATTTCAAAACTTTTAAATATTATTGTTAATTTCAGGTTAAAAGTTTTTGAAACTTTGTTTCCCTGGTTAATGCCTTAATTATGCAAACTAAGCCTCAGCCAGACTTCCAATTAATATTTTAAATTGCCTTAAAAGTAGAAACTCTAACTCTCTTTAATTATTTAAAACTTCAGAAAGAGTATCCTACAACGAACCGCTATTCACAGAAGTGTGCTAGTTAAAGGCCTTGTAAAGAATTCGAGAAACTTTGAGAAGAATTTATTAGAAGAAATTGTTCATTTCTTGCACACGCCATAAAATCAATTTTTTTTTGATTGCCCCCACATTTTTCAAAATAAAAATATGAATGACTGTTAGCGCCACTGACATTCTGGCATTCACAAGTATGTGCATGCATGCGATTGTTTTGATAATTAAAACTCGACAGAAAAAATTCAACCCATTGGCTAATCAAGACTTTATTTGAATACTGTATTACAATAATTTTCAAAACTCTACATATTCCTTCCGGAAGACTTGTATTTCATTTAAGTTATTTAACAGCGCATTATGTGAAAAAATTATAAATTACAAAAAACTTGAGCGGTTCTTTTTAAGGCGGGTTATCGTTCGCTTTTTTTTTAGACTACTCGATACGACATAAATATCAATTTAAATCCCAATAAAAGTCAGAGAATTTCGAAAGAGGTTACCTGGTTTTTTATGTGCGCAAAGACATCTATACTATTATTAAAATAGAAGTTTACCACATTTTGTATTGTTCTTTGAGAAAATCTTGTGGTTTAAGAAAAAATGGATGATGAATCAATAGGCTCATGTGAGTCTTTTTCAAGGCACATAAAGGACTTCTCAGCTGTTCAAAACTCCATGAAAAATCATGGAGCTCCAAGTGAGATGGTAGATAGTTCTGAAGCAAATTTTACAAAGGATTTGGGAGCACTACAGCACTACTCAAATAATGACGCATTACTAAATGAAAAACTAAATGAGCTTATGAATATTTCTAAAAAGAGAGGTTCCTCAGATTCTCCGCTTGTTATTAGAGAGTCGAAACATATTATTGGTGAAATTTTGAAGTGGTATTTTGGGACGAGTCATGTTTCGTTGAATGATATTACTCCAGATATTTCTGATGCTGAAAATGTCTTTGTAAGTGCAGACGGACTATTAATTAACCTATACTATTCTTTTGGATTCGAAATAGATTCAAAATCTTCTCTTCAGACATTACCGTATGTTTACCTTTTTGAAAGGTTCATGAATTACCTTATTGAGGCAGGTACAAAAAGAATAATCTTGATTTTTCTTGATAGTTTTAATAATGTCCTGGAAAAGATCAACCCAGGCCTACCACTATTGAGAAACTCTCTTATTCTTCATTCAAAACTTAATCCAGAGGCATTTAATGCATACCATTTTACAAGTTGGTTATCTGAGGAATTTCAAGAATTTCTGAGAGAGCTTGAACCTAGTATATTTTTGATTGAAGATGGGAGTTCCATTTCCAATTTGGAAAGCTTGGAAGTGAAACACGAGCATGATATCATTCAAGAAGTACCCAATGAAGATGATGAATCTTTAGATGAATATGATTCTGAAAATTTGGACGAAGTTGATATTTCTACATCATTGCTTTCATTTGCTTTGGAAATGCTTAGCTATTCAAATATTGCGATATTTTATAAAATGGAACGTAAGGGCCAAAGAATTACTGCATTTACATATTCATCTGCGATTGAGCCTCGTTTTAGTGAGGCAAACAAAGGAATCATGAGACAAAATGCCCAATTGAAAATACAAGACGAAATGAGATTATCATCAGATGCGAATGACGACTTTGAAACATGTAATGGTGATGTAGATAGTTATTTAGAGCTTAAGGACTATGAATATAATATAGCTAAAGAGCTCAAATCGTCGGAGAATGACTTGTTTGTCCAATTAGCTAAATCAATAATACATAATTCAATTTCAAAGGAAGATTTGGAATTATCAAAATCAGATGATGCAATTATGCACAATATTGAGCTAATTCTCCTTTTTTCTAAAGTAACGCTTTTGTCTGGATATCTGAGAAGTTATAAATTGAGTTACTTGGATAGGCACTATATTTCGAACTACATGCTCGAGTTCAAAAAATCCATAGAATCCGAATCAGAACAAGCTGATTGCGATAATGAAGGATGGGAATTTGCAGCCTCCATCTTAAAATCTTTAGAATCATTGTTTATTTCAGAATCAATGAAACAATTAAGGTCAATGATTAGCCACTTTGAAGAAGTCAAATCTTTGATAGATAAAAGTCATTTTGTTTCCAATGTTTGCGATTTAAATGATCCATTATTGCTCGAGTTCCTGTTTTATATTATAGGGTATACAAGTTTGAAGGAAGAGAAAATTGGGGCCTCTCTTTTGATGGAAATTATTGATCTTGAATCGTCTGACCAAAGTAAATTGGAAGACTTATGGAGTAAAGTTTCAATGTTCAACAACGAACCATTTTTCCCATTATTATTCTCCGGGAATCTAAATAGATATGTTGTTGAAGATAATGATAAAAGGTTTTTGAATTTATTCGGCGAAATATTGTTTTCAAGAGAGAAATTAAACACTCAAAAAAATTCAATAGTAAACGATGTAAAGCTTTTACCAATTCATTCCAAATTTGTGGTTCGAGTAATGTCTGAACTAGGAGTAGGTATATCAGAAAATGGACAAATTAAAGGAGCAATAGTAGAATCTGATGAGAAATTTGATTCTCAAAATAATTATTTAAATCAGATAATTCAAATTTCTGGTATCAGAGACGTTGCATCTTGGGAAATTGATAGGCCTCAAGAAACACGTCCAAACTTGAAGCAAGAATATTCTGGAGGAAAAGAAGGTTCATCAGTTAAATTATCCCCAGAGCTGGAAAAGAAACGCCAATTACGTGATAACCAAAGAAAGCAGCAATTCTGGTTTAACTTGGGTCAAATATTGACAGGAAATGATAAGCTACAACAAACCATCGTTGTAAACCCATTCCACGTTTGGAACAAGCTTTCTGCTAAAGAAACTGAGAAAGAAAAGAATTTATCAGGTACTTCATCATCTTCAAAAGCAGAAGAGATCAGACGGAAAAATGAGGAAGCTAAGTTAACTAAGATGCGCCAGGACGATGAAAATCAATTGCGGCATTATGAGCAGAAATTGTCCCTAATTCTATCCAAAGGTGATCCCGATGCTTTTATGCTTTCAGTCTACGATATGCTTATTGGAATCCCACGTAAAACTAATGAATTTGGCCGTTTCAGAGGTTTATCGAAATCATTTAAGCTGCCAAAATCAAGAAGTAAAATTTTGATTCGAACTTTACAAACAAGCATTTCAGTTCTACGCAGTTTTAAAAGCAGTACTCTTCCAGAAGTATCTCATATGGTTAAGGCTAGGTCGGCAGTTTGTATGACTTTCAGGCTTGCAATCGAAACATTCAACCAATATTACTCTTATTTTGATAAGAATGATTTGCTCGAAGTTACTAAGATTTTGAATAACCTTGGGTTCTCATCTTCTGCTTCTAATCTAGTCGAAAGTTACAAGCATAAAATGGAGTCTGATATAAAAAGTATGATTGATAAAGTTGAATCTTCTAACGATGACTCCAAAGGTAAAGGGCATGATAAAAGTAAGAAATCTCAGGTCGGAAAAAAATCTAATCAAAAGAAAGATAAAAAAGGTGGATCTGAAAATTCCACTTTTCCTGAAGACACTAACTATTCCGAATACCAAAGTATTTACTCATATGTTAAAAAATATTTGCAGGAACTTAAACAATCAACAAAAACAGGAAAGACTGACAAGATCCACTTATCTGTCCAAGATGGGTGTGAGTCTTCATTTCAACTACGTTATATGGGAGCAGATTTTGAAAGGTCCACAGGAAGTGTTGCGGATCCCAGAGTTCCATTTAGTCCAGATTACTGGCAAAAGCAAATTTTAGACATTATTGACTCTGGAGATTCTGCACTCGTATGTGCCCCAACAGCTAGTGGAAAAACCTTTATTTGCTACTATGCAATGGAACAAGTTCTGAGGTTCGACAATGAAAGTGTGGTCGTATTCATTGCTCCTACAAAGGCCCTTGCGGATCAGGTTCACGCTGAAATTGCTTATAGATTTGGCTCAAAAACTTATCCAAATCATTCGAGAATTTCTCTACTTTGTAAACTGAGCAGAGATTATTCCATTAACATTCCAACCCAGTGCCAAATTCTAATCACACTTCCTTTTATGTTGGAACTATTGTTAATGAGTACAGCTTACCAACAATGGGTTTCAAAAATCAAATTTGTTATTTTTGACGAGGTTCACTGTATCAACGAAGCTGAAGGAGGTGTTTATTGGGAAAGAATTTTCCAGTTGATTCCTTGTCCATATTTATGCCTTTCCGCTACTATTGGTAACCCACTTGCATTTTATAACTGGTTACAAAGAATTGGAAAGCTTCCTTCTAGTAAAGTTCATTTCATAACTTACAGTGAAAGATATGCAGATCTTTCCACATTGGTATATGATGAAGGAAACCTATATCCTCTAAACCCACTTTCTTCATTATCATACGATAGGGTTTTGTACTATGGCCTTCCTGGAGACTTTTATCTTCCACCTAACGATGGTTTGGACTTATTCCTTTCTTTGAAAGAGCTTCTTAAATGCAATTCAGAAGTTACAAAAGAATATTTAATATGGCTTGACCCTCAAGTATTTTTTTCTGGAACTCCAGCAATTACCAAAAGACAATATAGATTTTATCTTTCAACTTTATTGGCAATAACCGTAAAATTAGTGCAAAATAACACTTTAACTAAAGAAATGTGGTTAAATATAACTGGAAATTTGCTTCTTAATCCCAGCATAAAATTCCAAAGACAAATGGTTGAGCTCTCTAAAAAGAATGATAATAATCTATACAATATTATTATGGGAGTTGAGAATATTAAGAACTTATTGACTCAAGTTACCAATTCAATTGATGGAAATGCTTCAGAAATAGGAACTCTTGCTAGCTCAATATCTCAAGCTAAAAACGCTATTATTACTCCTACAAGACCAATCTCAGCATACAAAACTGCTGAATCTCTTTTAAGATTCATCAGGAATCTTCAACAAGAGTTTATGTTACCATGTATTATTTTCAATATGGAGAGAAGTGTTGTTGAACACTTAGGAAAATCATTGATTGAAAAACTTACAACTGACCACCATGATAAATATTACGGATCAGAAGAGGCAATTAATGCCACAAAAGCCATTAACAAACGAAGACAAGAACAATATGCCAAAGATATTCAAAGGCGTGATATGCTTCTTAAATTTAAGACAATGAGCCGTCAGCAAAGAGAAAAACAGGGTATTGTTATTGACGAAAGCGAATTACAAGCTCTTGAAAATTTACAAGAACCTGGTGACATATCTGAAGAGTATGATCCAGAGTTCTCATTTTGTGACCGAAAAGTTATGGGAGGAAGAGAGCGTGAGATCCAGGATACTTTATACTCTTGTGAAGGCAGAATTTCTCCTATTTTTATTGAGGGACTCAAAAGAGGTATTGGAATTCACCATGATGGTTTGAGCTTAAGATACAGAAGAGCTGTTGAAACTCTTTATCGTATGGGTTATTTATGCATCATTATTTCTACAAGAACACTAGCACTTGGTGTAAATATGCCGTGTAGGACTACAGTTTTTGTTAATGATTCAATTTCATTAACACCGCTTCTTTATCGCCAAGCATCAGGAAGAGCAGGAAGAAGAGGTTACGATATCCAAGGTTCTGTTATTTTCTGGGACATTTCTGTTGGAAAAAGAAATAGATTATTAACGGCAGAGTTACCTACCATCAAAGGTAATTTCCCAGTTACTCCTACAACTGTTTTGAGAACATTCATGTTGTTTGAAAATGTCCTTAATGAACAAACAAAAAATAACATCTCTAAGGAAAGAGCTGTTATTACGTTTAAAGCACTTGTAAAGTTCTTTAGAGATTCATTATACTCAGTTGATTACAATCATGATTTCCATAAAAAACTCACAGCAACACAATTTAGATTTATTGTGGACCTACTTCGCAGATTCCATGTATTGGACAATTATTGTGGATGTACTGGGTATGCAGGGCTTGTATCCCATATGTTTGAATATGAAGGAACAAATCTCCTCCTTTCCAGACTGATTCACTCTGGAGTATTATTCAACTACCTGTTTAGTGAGAATGAAAATATTTATGTTGAGCATAATTCAAATAACGAGCTTGCTAACTTGCTGAGAAAAGATCCAATTCAAAGACTTTTAATATTATTGGCTCATGTTTATTTAACTAAACCTATGACAAGAAACTCTATTTATAACATAAAAAAGCAAATTGAAAAGTCATCTCTTCTCAACTTGAAACAAAGAATTTCATCTGGAAGGATTCACCACCTTCTTCTTTCACTACCAGACTATATCCAACGTGAAATTGATCAATTTAATGAGATTGTTTTCTCCAACATGAGAAATTCTTTGAGTGTCACATGTACAGATATTGGATATGACACTACTGAGTTTAACCTCCCACTTTCAAATATTAATGTGTTATCTAAAAAATCAAAACTTAGTAAAGATTCAGTAATATCGTCAGGTATTGACGAGTCAACTGAAATTAATAATAATTCGTGTATTCAATCGCCATTCATTTCTATTATGGGTCTTGAGGACAGAAAATTAAAGTCGTCTCAACAACTTATTTATGGATCTAGAGTTAAACTTAATTGTACTCATGACTTACTTTCAATGGTTAAAGCAGATAAAGTTGTTATAGACAAAGAAAAAGAAAACGTTTCACTAATTATTGTATTGATTAACTCCTTCTTGGTTGATTTCTACGAATCACAAAGGTTTTCTGAAATTATCAAAAACAACTCTATTGCATCTTCAGAAATTTTCTTCCTCATTTCAGACTTTAAAGTACTTCTTGACAGGTTCCTCTATTCTTTCAATCTCAGAGATCTTCAACAATACCAAAATCTCAATATTAGTCTATCTAAGGAATCCCTCGAATTCTACAAAAACATTTCCAGATTAACTGAGATTCTACAAGTTCTCTATAATAACTATAGAATTATTGCAAGCAAAAATGATGCTTAGTACCAACTTAATTTAATACTTAGTGTTCCTAACTTTAACCATTTTACTGTATAGAAACCTGTATTCATCTCGTTGGCTATATCATTATTGATACTACTTAAAACCGATATTTCAAATCTTTTAGTGGCAATTAACAAGAGTTTGGCTGCTGGCTTTAGCTCGTTAGATTTCTAAGAATCCAATTCCTTTCTTGGAATTGAGAAATTACTAGATTCTACTAATTAACTTTTCCATCACAATCTATATCTTCCTATCAATATTGCCAACTTCCCAAAAGTGAATTCGAAAAGGAGAAGCGAGCTCCTAAAATAGGGAAAGAATGTATTTTTAAATAGGTCTAACAAAAATAGAATAAATGCGATCTTAAACTGATATAACTCTCAATCCAAAAAAACTATATGGAGAGGAGCGAAACATGAGTGAAGAAAGGACGAATTCATAAAAAACAACTACATTCATTTTAATTTATTATTTGTGAATACTTTATTAAAACACGATTTTATTAACCAAAATTCGTTGTTTTTTCTTCTTGCGTACCAATATTGTTTGGTTATAAATAATTTAAGGTTAAGACGAGACAGGCATAATTATGTGTAATGCTTTAGGCGCCAATTTTAAACAGTAACTAAACAAATAAAAAAATTTAGTAAAATATTACAAGGTAACCATTCTCTCTAAATTGGGAAAAATTTACAAATTTGCCGGGTATTGGTGAGAGGAACCTTAAAAATAATTTATCACGAAAATAAAGAAAACGCGTTCAAGATATTCATGAAGAGATACGCGTAATCTAATTGATTTATTAGGAAAATTAATAGGATGAAATTCATAACATTTGGATTACTTTTCTTGTCCTTGCTAAGCAATGTATTTGGGAATGGAGAAAGCAGTATTTCTCTAAATGATGTTGTTCCTGGGGATACCCAAGTTGTTGTATGGAGCCCGGAGGAGAAGCCAGATTTTACCTATGCAAGAAAAGTCTTTGAGCTTGTTGTAATCAGAAAGCTTACTCTTTTACATTCTAGAGGTGATTTACCAAGTTTGAGTTTATGGGCGAAAAGAATGAAAGATTCTACTCTTGTAAGATCCGCTGACGTAATTCAAGAAATTTATCGTCATTTAAAATCTAACCAAATTGATGTTTATCTTTTACCATTGGGATGGGAAACTGTGTTGGCTAAGAGCATTGAGCTTAAGAAGAAAATGATGGATTTAGATGATATCAAGAGTGTCTCTAGAAAGGCAGTTCTTTCTGCTGCTTGGGAGGCATTTGACTATTGGATAACTGTCCAAGACAGTGGTTTACCTTCTTCTCCAGAAGAATGGTGGGAGCATGGGCCAGCTCAATTGGTCAAGCAGCTCGAAGCAAAGATTTCATTTGCTTCAGAATTGAATCTCGAGGGTTTAATAGAAGCTGCAAAAAGCTACTCAGCTCTCCGCCTTACATATGGAAATACTAAGATTGCCCAATCTCAGAACTCAAACGAACTTAAGGCATTATCTGAAGAGTCTGCAATTAATTTATTACTTAGATTGGTTATAAATGGATGTCCTGATATACTAGATGATGTTCTTACCTCTGTAAACAGAATGTTCATGCTTAAGGATAATGGAAATTACCATAAAGAATTTGGTCTACCCTATCTCTATGATGACATTGGAAACGTTAGATCACTTCTATCACCACCAAAGTTCGGTTTTCCTTATAATTTAAACTCAAAGGCAGGTATTGAAAGATTTAATTTACATTTGAAAATTAGGAATGCCAACCTTGAGAAAGATACTGACATTGAGGCAACGGATGTGGAGTTACTTCCTGAATATATCAAACTCCACTACATTTTGCAGAATTCTGTTGAAGCCTTCAAGTTTATTAATTGGTCTGAGGATGATGTTGAATATGGTTATATGTATGGTCTCAAATCAAACACTCTATTTGAGCCAGTATCTACACTCTGGAAAGCTCTTATTTTTAATAAAATGGGAGAAATCCACCCAGAAATTTTATCCTTGAACAAGTGTCTTCTTAGTCCTGAATTTTCAACTTTAGTTTCAGACTTCATTTCCAAACTTGAGGTATCTACAGAAGGAATTCAAATCCCTCCTATTTATAACATATACTCTGGAGACTACTCCAAACTTGAACGTTTCATCAATACTGATTCCCCATTGCCCCAGGTTGAATCACCAGCTGAAGAGGTACGTGATGTGGAATGTACAAATGAGGATGTGTTCGAGGAGGAGCAAAACGGTGCATTTGATAGAAAGCTTTTATCGACTTCAGAAGATATGGTTCTTGAGCCAAATCAAGGAGATGATTTGGGTGAAGAGAATTTGTCACCATACATAGCTACTGCAACTCCGACTTCAACTACTACTACAACTACGACTACAACTACGACCACAACTACAACTACAACTACAACTACAACTACAACTACTGTGACAATATCTCTCAGAACCCCATCATTAGAAAGCTCACCCTCACCACTAACAGAATCTCCATTACTGTACACACCCGAGTCCGAGTCCGAGTCTTTAAGTCCTGTAATTTCCCCATTAGAGAGTGAAGTAGGTATGTCCGTTATTCCACGGGATGGAGCATCCTATTTGGAGAGTCAAGAATCGGGTTCAATTGATTGTAGTCATCCGGGACTTAGAGAAGATTCTGTTCTTTGTTTAAGCCATTCGCCTCAGGGAAATGATTATGAATAATCTGAAAATGCTTGTTTAATAAATTCAAGAAATCGAATAGATTGCTAATTAGAGATAATATCTAGGTTATTTTGATATATTTAAGTCTTAAGAATAATAAGTTTAATTTTCCCATCTTTTTTCGTTTCAGAAGAGGTAACTGTAGATTTCACATTGGCTCAAATTATATTAAAGAAAAAGGAACATTTACATAACCCTGACGTCTACGAATATATAGTGATCCGAACTATGTAATATTTTCGGGAATGTAATTCTAAATATTACCAACACTGTTTTCTTTGTTCAGAATTGATTCCATTGTCAAAGAACTTTGGGCAATACTGCTCTTTCTAGACCTGGAAACAGTGGGAATTTTTTCAAGAAGGGTATTATTGAGAATTAATGACTGGGAAACCGTGATTGATTTATCCTCCGAATCGTTCTGGCTGATAGTCTTGGAGCTTTTCGGTTCTTCATCTATTTGAGCCTGCTCATTGGCACCCTTATTTAAATTGACCACCAAACTTTGCATCTCTGATGAACTTGGTTTTAGAGACGAAACTAGTTGCTCTTCCAATTGAAATGATCCCGATAGAAACCTACTATTTGGGAGAAATTGAGAATTTGAACCTCCCAAAACACTGTTTCTGAGACCATCTAAATCATCGCTAAATGTAGAGTGGTTGTTTCCAGAGAAAGATTGCCTTCTACTGAGAGTAGTATCTCCAATTCCAATCGCGTTACTTCGTGAGGAGTTAATGGGAGAGGATCTCATTTTGTATGGACGTTCAGTTTGGGGCACTCCCAAAGCACCATTATAGCCATAATTTGTGTTTAGTGATCGCTTCCCATTTCTCCAAGGAGTTAAATTTGAACTACTAGAGGAAAAACCAGTACCAGAAATCCCCATAATTGATCCTCCTAAAGAAGAAACTCCAGTCCCTGCAGATGCATAAGTGCTGCTAAGCTGGTGAATGTCTTTGAGGGAATGTAATATTGATAAGCATTTTCTTTGGGTTAATTGAGTAACGGACTTCAACGCTAAACTTTGTTGATTGTATTTTTCATTCACCGAGAGAAGTTCCTGGCGAACTGCAGACAAGTCTTCACTCAATTGACTAATTGTCTGATCCATTGCTTCTCCGGATGCACTTAATACTCTGCACCTCTCTTGGAAGTCCATTAGCTCATGCTCCAAATCTAAGTTTTGCTTCTGTACCTTTTGCAACTCTTCCATAAGAGTCATATTATGCTGTCGTGTCTGCTGCTCGTTGATCTCTGAGCGGTCTAAAAGCTCCCTTAACCGAGAAATCTCTTCTTCTCTTGCATCTAGTTCGTTCCTCAAAGTCCTCTCTAAGCTTTCTTTTCTACTGACCAATAACTCCAGGTTTTCTAGTTTTCCCATTAATTCCTCACTAGACCTTTTCCCTGATAGCCCAACTTGTTGCCTCTGAACTGGAAAAGTTAATGAGTTTCCTTCAATTGAGTAACTTTTTTCAAACCCTCTATTTTCGTTTAAACTTATTCTTTGAGAAACAATTGAATTTCTATTTTCTTTAGGTTGATGAATTATATCGCTAGTCCCCACATCAAATAATTGAGAGATATTTTCAACTGATAAATCGTGTTTTTCATTTAACTTTTCAACCTCTGTGATGTATTTAACTGCCTCCTCTTTATCTCCTTTCCTCTCATCTTTTAATGTATTTTCTCCATTTTCAGTCATGTTTTCTTTCTCTTGCTCTTTTTCTTCTTGTCTTTCATTCTCATCTCTATCTAATTCTTTTTCTACGCTTTTCTCAGATTCGATCAATTCCTCATCAACCTTCATTTGATTTTCTTCCTCAAAGTTTATGGCATCATCTACTTCAGGGCGATCACAAGTCCTTGGCCTGCCTCTACTTCGTCTAATAACATGCTCTTCGCTTTTTCTCTCGTCTTTTGTGCTTAATCTTCCCTTCCTTTCTTGGCTCCTAAGGCTCATTGAAGATCTCGTAGATTTTCTTTCATTATTAGTAATACTGATCGATTCCTTTCTTCCAGAAAAGGTTTCTTCCTGTTGTTTTTCACTGCAATCATTATTTTTTGAATCCTCTATAGATACATCGTTGTACGACGCCTCTGTTGCCTTACTTATTTTGCTATCTAAAAGCGATTCCGTCATCCTTACATCAGTAGCATCAACTAAAGACTCATTCTCTGCTATTCCGGGATTCTTGCTCGAAAATACCAGTTTAAATACTGCGTGAAATGCGATATTGTCGTCCATCATCTTTGGCCTAGTTAGTGAAATTATGTCTCCATCAGTTACTTGTATTGGAACCGATTTGCTCAACCTTTTTCCATTTAAAAATGTACCATTCGTGCTCGTGTCAGTAATTAACAATCCTTTGTGTGTATTATCCACGTGAATCGTGCAATGATGGCCACTTATAGATTGATCCTTAAGTCTTATTGAGCAATCCGCTTTTCTTCCAAAAACAAACTTGCTTTTCTCTAATCCAGACAAAGTATCGTTAAACTCACTACCTTCTCCAAATGGAAGTTTAACAGGTTCCAGCAAAGAGGGATCACAACAAGGTGGTATTGGATTTAACCACCAGTACATTTTATATAATTTTACACTTAACTAACACTGCTTCAGTATAATTTAAATGTAGACAAACTTATCCAACAAAGTCTTAGCTATTACAGACTCCTGACTTGAGTATTAGCTAACTTTTTGTTTATTGCTTTCTATCTTCAACTTTATTGTATACTTTTTTATATTATGACATAAATTTTGATATATTTCCCCACACATTTGCATGTAGTTATGGGGAATTCCCGCTGGCACTCATAAGTATCGTTTTTTCATTTTACATTTTATCAAAAAAATTTGTCTACAAATTAGAGAATAATAGCATTTAAAACGTTTCCATTTGCTAATAGTGTTCTCCCTTTTTAGAATTAGATTATCCTGAAATATTTGTCATACTTTAGTATTTCCACATAACTGAGTAGGTATTTGCCGGCATCTTGAGACATAATTTTTTTTATTTATCTAAAGAATTAATATTTTAACTTCTTAGTAAATTATGACGAAAAGAAACCCAATGTATAGTGTGATTATTCCAACATATAATGAAAGAAGAAATGTTGGTATAATAGTTGAGCTTCTTCACGAAACTTTTAGTAAATTGTAAGTCAATTCAATTTAATTCAAAAAACTTTCTTATGAAAAAAAAAATATTTAAGACCTGTAAACTGGGAGATCATAATTGTTGATGATTCTAGTCCTGATGGTACAGCTCAGGTTGTAGAAAAACTCCAAGAATGTTACCCCGAAGTCAATCTTGTAAGTTAATTATTTCTTATTTTAAAACCTGTGTATATAAATACACTGATTTTTTTCTCAGAAACTTGTTAAGAGAAAGGGCAAATTGGGACTAGGTAAGTTATATACACAGATCAAAAAACTAAATATCAACTATAAATAGGCACTGCGTATATGAAAGGTTTTGAACATTCCAATGGTGACTTTATTATACTTATGGATTGTGACCTCTCTCATCACCCAAAGTACATCGCAGATTTTATCGAAAAACAAAAAACCGAGGATTTTGATATTGTTTCAGGATCAAGGTATATAAAAAATGGTGGAGTCTCAGGATGGACATGGGACAGAATCTTAGTCAGTAGAGTGGCCAACTTTCTTGGTAAGTAAAAGAAAAAAAAATCTAAAAACCAATTTTATACTCTTGATTACCAATGTAGCTAACTTCCTACTTCAACCAAGAGCGAGTGACCTAACTGGATCTTTTAGACTTTACAAAAGAGATGTATTTGAGTCAATTCTTGGAAGTAATATGATCAGTAAAGGATATGTATTTCAGATGGAAATCATCGCTAGAGCTACGAAATTCGGGTATTCAATTGCTGACGTCCCAATAGTTTTTGTAGACAGACTCTACGGAGATTCTAAATTAGGGAAAAATGAGATATTTGGATATATTAAAGGGTTACTACAATTATTCTGGATCCTATAGAAAAATAATCTTAATTTTTCTTTAAAAATGTTTTATTTTTTCATGAAGGTATTATATATCCTAAAAGCTTTATTTTATTAAAGTATGTTTTCTCCTTACAATCCTGATTTTCTTCTATGAATATCGTCAGGTGCTTTAACCTGTGAAATTTTGACCCAGGTAATGTAAAAATTGAAAACTCTTGTAATTCTTGATTAGTAAAAACCTTGGTAAAAGATGGAGTCAAATCTTCAATTTCACCAAAGTCTGCAAGAGGAGAATTCACGTACAGCTTTGCCAATCTGGGTTTGCTCAATTCTGCCACATCTAACTCCGGTTGATCCTTAATCTCATATTTTTCAGTTTCATTTTGAATTTCCAAAGCTTGAATTCCAAATTTAGTGATTGAGACGGGTTCAATAAAGCTTATTTTGATTATCATTTGCTCGTCCACATCACTATAAATAATTTCTCTACTTTCCTCAAAGATACTAATTGCCTTATCAAGTTCGCCTTTACAATTCAACATAAAGCTTTCACTCATATTTATATTTGACTCCAAACTTATTTCAACCATTTCGTTCGCATTTTTCTTCTCACTTACAAGTTTATTTAAGGTATGTAGTTGCATTGCCCTTGTGTTACTTGCCTCATTGTTAATATTCATCTTTTATTTTCTTGTTCACTATTAAGTAATTAATAAATCAATCAAGCGGTATAAGATAATTATTTTTATGAATACCAGTAATTTGAATCAAAATCTTTTAAAAAAACGAAATATTAACAACCTTAAAGGCTGTTCTGTCTACAAAAGAACATAAAATATAATTTAAAAAATTTAATAAATGTTGAGAAAAACCATTTAATCAAAAATTTCTTGCAAACAAATTGCATGCATGTAGATCGATATTATCTGTAGAAAAAAAAAATGAATATATATGAATTAACGTAAATAAATAAATAGAAAATTTTTAAATAAAAAAATTGGGTTTTAAAAGTTCATTCAGAACAATTTTATCCTTCCATAATTTATTCCTTTTCACCGTTAGATAAACTGCGGATTTTTACTAAACTATTCGAATAACTTGTCAAACGTTCAACATCACTGGTAGAATTTATGTCCCCTTTCGTAGGAATGCTGTTCTCATCGTTATCTTGTTCAGTTGAGCCGTTTGCAATCAGTCCAGGGCCATGTTTTATATCAATATGAGGCTCATCTTCGATAAAACTTAAATCTCTTGCAAACCTGTTGGAACTTATTTTCTTTATCTCATTTCTATTTTTAAAACTAACGTCGATATCTAAATCATGTGCTCCTATTTCAGCAACCCCAGAATCAATCACGCCTTTCATTGAATATGAGGAACCATCATTTCCTTTAACTCTTGAGCAAATTCCACGGTTGTACCACAACTTAAATTGCCACGCCATTGTAGGAGAAATAGATTCTCCTTCAATACAGGTACACTGCTGGACAATTAAACCTTTCTTAATAGGTGGGTATTCCAAATCAAGACACGATTGAGGGCACGCCCCGTTCCTTATACTGCATAGTCTTTTCATATAGTCATTACAAGTACCATTACCAGATCTTATTGGCAATTCTCCAGGAGGAGGAACTTTTGGGTTAATAATTCCAACACAAAGATTATTTTCACAACAGTTATAGCCACTTGGACATTGGGAACAAGGTTTCTGAGGTAAACTCTTGTCCAGTTTAAAATTTGGATATGGAATATAACCTAGATTCCCAAAGTCATAATGGCAAATCACGTAAGTTTTCCAAGATCCAGGGCATCTAACAATAATAGCACACCCAACAGTACTTGCTGCTGCCCTCACAACTTGTGTCCAATGTCCAACAGGATATCCTCCTTCAGGTCCCCCCATTTTCCAATTAAAATGCTCTCTTTCATCCCACCAACTTTTTACTACGCTTGAAGGATCCCAAGAAGATAATTTCGAAACATCAACACTACTTGCATACAGATTTTCACCAGGACTAGCTCTGTTCGGCCAGGTTTGTGGGGAATGTTGAAATTGGCCATTCATGCATTTCATTCCCCAGTTCGCTGCATATCCTTCTAAAGAGTAGTCATACGCTAATTTAATCATATAAGTGGCACTAACTGCCTCTTTAGCCCTTAATTCGTTGTGCATATTTAATATTTTGATTCTGTATTCGTCTGTCATAATATTAACTTGAGAATAAGCAAAATCAAGAAAACAAAAAAAAATAATTTTAATTATAACAGAGTTATTCATTTCTTAATTTTTTTTAATTTGATATTAGTATATTATTGAACTTAACTAATTCTCCCGAGTATAATGGTTGATTATAATCACTTTAATTACTCATTACCTATTTTTACAATTTAATTTCTGGTATTAAATAATTCCATCCTCTTGAATAGCTAAATGTCGTCGTGTGTGCAAAAAAAAAAATCATGCAATAACCACTACAACGCATATTAACTAAAAAAAAATTGTCAAAAAAGTATCTTTGTATGAAATAAATTTAAATTAGACAGCATTCAAAAATTTTGACTAATGTAGTATTTATATATTTTATATTTACAATGATAGTTAACTTGAAATCAACTTCTGACCAAATTTTAAGTTTTCAAAGAAGTTGATTTGTTCTTCTCTAACAGAAGGTTTCATTTCAGAAACTACACTCATTAGTAGATCTTGTGTAACAATCCCGGAAATATCGTTAATTCTAAAATCAAAATCATCAGTGTTTGAAAAAATAGAACTATCACTTATTCTCAATTTGTCCAAAGCCTTTAATGTAGCTTCTCGAATAAGTTGTGATAGGTCTGCCCCAGAAAACCCTTCTGTATTTTTGGAAATTACTCCAAAGTCGACGTCTTGTGCGAGAGGAGTTTTTTTGGAAACCTTCATTAGAATATCAAGCCTGCCCATTTCATTCGGAAGTGGAACATATACAACTCTATCTAGCCTTCCAGGGCGCATCATTGCTGGATCAATTATATCTGGTCGATTCGTAGCTGCAACAACAAACACTTTTTGTCTCTCACCTACACCATCCAATTCAGTGAGTAGTTGATTTACAACTCTCTCTGTCGCACCGTTCCCTTCACTACTTCTTGCCGCACAAAGTGAATCAAGCTCATCAAAAAATACAATACAGGGAGCAGAGGCTCTGGCTCTCTCAAAGACTGTTCTTACAGCCTTTTCTGATTCACCTACATATTTGTTAAGTAGCTCTGGCCCACGAATACTAATGAAGTTCGCACCGCTTTCTTTGGCAATAGCCTTTGCAAGAAGGGTCTTCCCACATCCAGGAGGGCCATATAATAGCACTCCAGATGGAGTTTCAAGCCCAAACTTGTCATATATATGGGAATTTTTGATTGGTGAAATGATTCTAAGCTCTAAATCAACTCTCAATTCGTTCAATGCACCAACATTTTCCCACGAAATATCTGGTATTGTAGTAAAACCTTCTCTTCTTGAACTTGGAGTAATATTTTGGAGAGCTTCTAAAATATCTTCATGAGAGACGCAACATGAACTCAACTCAAGTTTTGAATGATCTGATATGTTTTTCTCCGATATTATGCTATTAGGTTCCCCTTCATCTGTCATTGTGGAGGAAGTTTCGGCGATCTCAAATACTTCCTGTTTTTCTGAAGCTTGCATGTCAAAAGATAATGTACTCTGACCATCCACAGTGTTTTTATCCGGCCTAACCTTATCGTATAACTTATTTACTCTAATTAGAGCAGCCTCATTTATTAAAGTTTTCAAATCTGCACCCACAAATCCCGGTGTTTTTCTGGAAATCATTCTAAAATCGACATCCTTGTCAACATTAACATTTTTGCATAAAACTTGAAGTATGTCTTTTCTAGCGTTTTCATCAGGCATCGGCATCGAAACTTCACGGTCCATTCTTCCATTTCTTCTGATTATTGGATCAATAGAATCAGGACGGCTTGTAGTTCCGATAACAACAACAAATTTGCCTGAAATTTTGTCTAAGCAGTTAGCGAACTGTGATACTAATCGTCTTTCCATCTCCCTATTGCTCCCTTCTCTTTTCGGAGTAACAATATCGATTTCATCAATTACAATTAAGCATGGTGCCATCTCCATTGCATCATCAAAAAGTTTCCTTAAAGACGCCTCAGATGTCCCAGAAACACCATTAATTAGATTTGTACCAGATAATTTAAAAAATGGAAGGCCAAGTTCTCCTGCTATACACATAGAAAGGTAACTTTTCCCGGTCCCAGGAGGGCCCTGAAGCAAAACTCCGCATGGAGAATTAACTCCTACTGCCCTATAAATATCTGGAAACTTCAACGGCCTTATAATAAATTCTTCAATATCTTTGATAACGTTTTCTATTCCTGCGATATCCTTTAATGAAAGCTTTGGCGGATCCTCTGGAAAAAAACTTTGACCTAAATTCCCTAAACCATCTGATGTAACACCAAACTCCTCATTAAGAAGGTCTCTAACACTTTTTTTAATTCTTTTTCTGGTTTCTTTTTCATTATGATCGTCTTTCTCGTAGCATTTCCTCTCGTTTTCACTTCTCTCAACTATTTTGTTTGTACTATTTTCTTTGGAATATAGAGCAGTTAATCTGTTATTTAAAGCACTACGGGCCATCTGAACAACAATAACTTAGAGACCCAAGTACATTAAATGTTTTTAGGTAACATCAATAAATACTAGAAGTTAATTTTCTTTTTTTTGGTAAATTATATTCTAATGTTCTCTACAATTTTAGGCGCCATGAGTCATTTTTGCCTTTAATACTATTTTTAGATAAATTAATCACTGGAGCGATCTGCCAAAAAGTTTTTCAGTACAATTTTATGAAATAGCTAATAACATAAATCCTAAATTTTTATATAATGAGTACTAAACAGTCGGGAAGAACTCTGGCATATGATATTTTGCCCGGAGATATCTGTAAAGTAAACCAAGTTGCATATAACCAAGCTAGGGCTAGTGATGAAAAGGGTCAAAAGCATAGATCAAGAGGCTTAACCAGAGATACTAGGGCTACTGTAATGCAAGCGCTTGATGGTAGAACGATGCTCATGTTGGAAAGAGCAAAAAAAAGAGGAGTATTTTCAAATATGTATGGGACAATCAGTACTGGAAAGGAGGCTAATGTCTATAGAGGAACTACATTCTTTGATGACCTAAAACTCTATGGTTCCGAACTTTTTACAAGGAACTGTCTTTCTCAAGAAGACTTAGATGTTATAGATGAAATCGAAAAATCTGCAGATCTCAATTATGTTAATAGAGCAATCAAAGTTTTCAAGACTTCGGTACTTACTTTTAAGGATAGGTCAAAATATGTGGAAGGAGAATTCAGATTTAGGAGAGGATATTTGAAATCAAAAAACCCCAGGAAGATGGTCACTCAATGGTGCGAAAAAGAATTTAGAAATTTGAGACGTATTGTTATTTCTGGGTTACGATGTCCCATCCCCATTTATATCAAAAAACACATTTTTGTAATGTCATATATTGGTTACGGATCTAACCTAGAAAATCGTGTTGAAGACAATAAACAACATGAAATTGAACTTAGAAACAATATCAACAATAATACAGAGAGTGCTGCTCCCAGATTGAAGGATGTACCAATTAGTCTTGGAAAGAAAAATTGGATTCGCCTTTACATTGAAATGATTGGCATAATGCATATTATGTTTAACGAATGCCATCTTATTCATGGGGATATGTCTGAATATAATACTCTATTTTATAAAGGACATGTTTATGTTATTGATGTTTCACAATCTATGGAACATGATCACCCTTTAGGTTTAGAGTTTTTAAAGAGAGACTGCATAAACGTAACTATATTCTTTAATAAGGTACTTCAAAGTAGAAAAAATCAAGAAGACATTGAAGTTGCAGATAATCTTAATGAGAACGATGTAGATGATGAAATGTCCATATTAAATGACCTATTCAGTACTCTAAATAACTACTCAACAAATATAATACTGTCTCCATCAGAACTATATAATTTAATTACAATGATCAAACCTAACGATCTGGTTAAGTTCTATGAGGAATCACTATCTTCCTCGAATGTTGAACTGATTTCTAATGTTAAAAATATTATATTAAACATTCTTGAAAGCAACGAACTTATATGGCCAGAATTTGATGCTAATGAAAGAGAATATGAATTAAAATGTTCTTATTTAAATTCTCAGAAGGATATTATTATCAAAAACTCTAATGATAATCAAAAGGTTTTTATATCGATATTGTTTTTCACAGTATATCATCTTTTGTCTAATGGAAAATACAATAATGCTAAGTTTGAAGCTTTCAATAGTATTACTGATAAAAACTATGAAGATTCTAAAAATAAAGATGGAAATAGTGTATTCTTAAATACCTGGACACCACTTCATTTAAATCAAATAATGGATAGGAAAACTCTTGAAAAAGAACTGGAAAGAAAGGAGTGCGGACAAGAGTTATTATATGGGCACTTTATCTGCGATAAAAATAATAACGATTTGGCTTATAGCGATTCAGTTCGAGATAATGAAAGTGAGTGTGGGGAAGACTGTGTTGTAAGGAGAAATGATATTAGTACAGAGCTTGAACTTGAAATTTCATCACTTAGTATAAAAGACGATCGTTTTGATTTAGAATCAAGCACAAACAGTAATGGGGAAGATAGTTTGCACGAACCTTCCGAAGACGAGTTATCTGAAGAACTTAAACTTAACGAAGACATACAGGAAAAACAAATTCCGAAACAGTTTAACGGGAAGATCCCAGAAAACATTACAAAAAAAGAGTGGAAACAACTTGTAAAAGAAGAAAACAGAGAAAGGAGATTAAATAAAATACCTAAACACATTAAAAAGAAGAAAAAACACTCAAGAAAGAAGAACTCGAAAAATTAATGTATAAGAAACACCCGCTCATTATACCGCCAATCACCTATAATTGTTCATTGTAAGACATACAGCGAATCATTCTTGCGAAGAATTTTCATTCTTTCTTCGTAGCCAATTTCAATATAAATAAGATATCAGTTCTTATCTTGTATTTTCTCATAGATATACTGTAATCTAAAATACATTTATATTGACCAGACACTACGATAAAATGAGGTTATTAACAAGTTAAATTTGTTTGTAGTATAATTAAGTAGTGTACTACTACTAAATTACACTATTTATCTGCAAGGTCCTTAAGGCTGCCTTTTTAGAGATTAGATAATTTGGTAAATTGTTACTAAATTATTTCTCGAACTTCGGTTTTACTGCGGGATTCATAAAAGGTATTTGAGTCAAAACCTTGCAACATATCTTCTTGTTTTGAGCAAATCCTAGTTTAATTCTCGCCTTTTTTAATAATTATATTATTTAGTGGTTATTCTCATATAGTTGATCTGTATTCACTTTTTTTTTATCTTGGCTGCTCCCCATTTGCTCTATGTGTATCCGGATCGTTCGAATTTTTAAAATTTTTATCAAGTAATTGATCCTTTGAATTGAAATGGAGATATCTCCTGGAATCTGGTTTTTAGTGCCGAACAATGTGTCTGATTGTAGCAAATTTTCTATTTATATTCCGAATAAAAAGTGTGAGGATATGCTGCGAAGAGATGATTTAAAAATATACAAATGTAAAAGCATAGATTTTGTTCGTAATTTAAAATTAGGTAGATTGAATTTAGAGTTGGGAGAACTTTTGAATTTTTCGGAAGATCATATAAATTGGGAAAAAACTAATGATTTTGAAATTATTAATGAGGATAGAAAATACCATGTGGTTTTGAACATAAATATAGATAATAAATGCAATGAGAAATTATTCATGCTTTGCTTGGGAAATGATGACTATCATATTATTAATATTAATGAAATTCACAATGACTTCTTTGATTTTGGTTTGAAGAATCACTTGATTAAACTCAATGTAAAATTAATAAGAGATTTCCTTTTAAAAGGGTTGAATAACATAGAATTAAATGGGACACCAGGACAAATTCATTGTTTTGGGGAAAGAACTTTTGGACTGTTTTGTGGAAAAAATCATAATAGAGGCAGTTTCAGTTGGTGTTCTGGAATATCTTTATGCGGTGATGGGGCAATTTTATCGTTCTCTCATGAAAGTTTTTTGTTGGAAAGAAGTGGACATGAGGTATTAAAAGTTGTTCTGAAAAATTTCTTTCAATTCAAAGGCGAAACCAAAAAAGAGAAGTGTGTTGGGTTCTTAGGTTTTTCAGATTATGATTCCTCAAACTTTATTCGTAATATTAGCAATGATAACTTTATTTATTCTAGGGGTTCATTATTCGAATCTGTTGAACTAAGTAACATTGAAAAGAGTATTAGTAATCATAAACTTGATATAATAGTAATTAACGGAAACAAAGAGCAAAAAAAACCAATTCATGAGACAAAATTATCTTCAAAAATACTTAAGAGCTATATTTTTTCTGGAAATTTAATTATTATTGGACTTTGTCCATGGGGATGGGAATATATTAGTGGTGGAAGATTAAATTCTCATTCAATTTCGAATGGAATAAATAAAGAGATGGGAATGATTTTTACTAACGAATACTTTTGTAATGAAGAAAATTATATCAATATCCAAAACTCGTCAAATTGCCTTTTAAGTTCATTTTATTATTGGAAAGAGTTAATAAATTCAATTAATAAGGGAATAAAGAATGAATTGAATATTGATGAGTACTTTCTAATGACAAAAGATATTGAATGCCATCTAAATATGGATTTAAAAACAACTGAGCAAAATAAAATTCTAAATTTAATAGTTGAGTTATTAAAAAAAAAAACTTATTTAAAATTAAGACCTCCTTTTAATATGGAGGAAGGAATAAATATTTTGAATATGGCAATTGCTTGTTCAAGATTAATCGAAAATAAACTAGATGTAATTGGCGATTTTCAAAACAAGAAGTACTCTTTTGATGATTTTGATGATTGGATAAATGCGAATCAATTTTGGAAATTAGAAGATAATATATCAGACTTATATTTGAGTGAAACTTACAAAGAACTGAATTTGTCAACAAATGAGTTATGTTGCCCAGTTTACGATATCCCTTTTGAGTGGCAAAACACAGGAGTTTATATTAAGTACAGGAAACCTTTAAAAGTTGAATTTATTTCTGGGAACAAATACTGCTCATTTCCATTTAAATCAAAGATACATATTGGTAGCCACAGTGATTTTCTTAGATATAAGGAAAAAAAAATATTAAGGAGAATTCCATTGATTAATAAAATTTATAATTGGAACATTCTAGAATCGAGTTGTATTACTATTGATTCCCCATGTGAAGGAATTGTATATTTTGAGTATATTCCAAATATTGAACTCTCAAGTACCATTGAACCATTAACGAAATTGAATAAAGACCAATCTTACAATAATATAATAGGGATGATTAAGTTTATAACACTAAATGAAGACGAAGTAGAACTAACTCCCATTTACACAATAGATAAGTTGAAGATTAATACTTGCCTAGGAGATAATAGAAGAGTAATCACTGATATAAACGTATGGACAAGGATTTTTTCAAAGGAAAACAAAAAATTTTCGAATTTATTACCTGCTTGGATAGAATTACATGGAAAGAAAATAATTCTTACAATTCCAAGCAGGGTTTTGTATAGGATAAATTGTTTTATGGTTGATGATTTACTTGAGTTTTGGGATAGGGTTGTTGACACTCAAAATGAACTTTATTATAATTACAAATGGACCAAGGAAAGAATTGTATGTGATACACAGATTTCGGATGGATATATGCATAGTGGTAGGTTTTTAATTTTATTTGTTTGATTGATTAACCATATTTTTAGGTTATCCAATATTGACACACTTAGACATAGTTGAAGAGCACTTGGAAACTGGCGGATTATTAGATTTGAAAACTTTGAAAAAAGAAGGGAATTGGGGAATATATCATGAATTAGGTCATAATAGACAATCTGATTATTGGACATTCAACGGAACAGAAGAAGTTACTGTTAACTTATTTACAATGTATTCGTACTATAAATTACATCCTAATTTGTATCCTTTTAACATTAGTTATGTCATAGACCAAATCAGTCTTGGAATAGAATATCTGCTTGAAATAAATTCCGAAAAAGAAGTCCCTGAAAATATGGAGCTGATTTTTAGAGAAAAATGGATGACAAATCACGGGATCGCATTCTGCAATTATTTAATTTTGATAATTTTATTTGGGTGGGATACATTTAAAACGGTTTTCCAAGTATATGATAGATTGTTAGAGATTGACAAGGAAATAATTCAAACACAAAATAACGAACAAAAAATGGCTACTTGGATAATTATTTTCTCTTCAGTAGTAGGAGTTAATTTAAAGGACTTTTTTTTTCAGTGGGGATGGTGGTTTTGCATGGAAAGCGCCAAATCAGAAATTGACATTCAAACACTGTGTGTAAGAATACAAAATCACTTAATGAATATAAAAAAAATTTACGTGAAAAGTGAGGTCTCAAAAGACGATATTATACTGGGATACGAGGATTTGGCTTTGATTAATGGCTGGGAAAGTTGGAGGATTGACTCACTTGAAGCATTACTAGATATTCAATACTAAAAATATTAATTTTTGGGTGAAAAGCAAATATGGAAAAAAGCTTATCTAGAAGTAGTTCAAAAAAAAATACTGAAAGGACTTATTCATCAAAGGATGTGGCCCCCAAAAAAAACGTGACAATAAAGGACGATTTTGAAATGAACGAGAATGAACTCGACCTAAAAGAGAAATATGATGGCTTAACGGATGCGGAAGATGAAAAACTAATAAAACAACTTTCTCGGAAAGAGAATTCTATTAAAAAGATGAATAATACAGACTTAGGTAGCAAGTCTGAAAAGTCATATTCAATTAATAGTCGGCAGGTTGAATCCGAATTTGAAAGCGAGGATTCATATTCGAGTAGTGAAAGCCTCTCTGATAAAACTAGTGAAAGCTCTGATATGTTTAGTGATGATAACTTATATAATAACAGACAATCTCTCGAAAAGTTTGACATTAGGGAGTTACAGCCAATGGAAACACTTTCATGGTTGAAAAAACACGGATTAAACAAGATGGCGTTCATTATATCCAAAGAAAGAGAAAACAAACTAGTTGAAAAGGTTCGAGATGAAGCGATTATGAATCTTTATAATTCTAACACAACACAATTTGAACAAGGATATATAAAAAATCTTTTTTTGTTGTCATTAGATAACACAAAAAATAAGGTAGAATTTGAAAATATATTAAGCCAACCTAAACAAGAAAACGACAAAAAAGATTTACAAATCAATGATATAATTGAACCTATAAATGAAAATAAATATCCTTTTACACCTGATGTAAGTGATAATATGGCCAGAAGAAGGTATATTAAACCCAAATTGGTTAATAGATTGGAAGTTACTGAGGAAGGGATTTCAGGTGAAAATGCTCTTGCATTCCAGAAATATATTAGAGACCTTCAGGAGGAAGTAAAAATGAAGGATGAAAAGCTAAAATTAAGAGAAATGGAAAGAGATAACGCAAGACTTACACGTGACCAATTAACCAGAGCCGTAAAATCGTCTCTTGAAATTGGTAGTGGTGCTGGGAAATTAGACAATTTATTTAAAGATGTAATTAGGAGAAATCAATCATATGTTTTCCGACTACTACGATATCAGGCAAGGATGGAATTGAAGGGAAGATTAGGCTCCGAAATTTTTGCTGGTGCCTCCCTTATCAAACACATAATTTTGAAAAGAATTAAGTATGGATTTTCACAATTATCAAAAAATGCAATGTTAAAGAAAGATGAAATGTTTTGGAAAAAAGATGTTGTTAATAACGAAGATGTTGCTACAAATATTATTTCAATGTTTAAAAATATACTTTCTTGTTACAAACTGGCATGCATTGTGCAACATAATCACATATCTGCGATTAAGAAATTCCTTTATATTTGGAGCAAATGCTCAAATCTTAAGAATGAGATGACAAATGGATCATCTAAATTAGGGGCTTTTTCTCGAATAAATGGAAATAGCACATTACGTGAGTTAAAGATAGCTGCAGATACGAAATCTAAGCTCTTGTCTAAAATAGATAAAGATAGATTAAATAAAGCAAAAAAAGGCTTTTTCTCTGAAGATAATATCACTAAAATTAAAAGCGACACTAACATTTTGGGTGAAGATCTTAACAATAGAGAAATTCTTAATAACATCAATAATACTCTGAGTTTTATTCCTGATGAGAAACTTAACCACTTAACAATGTTAATAAATAAGACTCAAGAACAAAAAAATATTGATAAATTTAGGAACTTAGCGCTTTCGCATCTTGCAAATGTTATTAAATTGTCTTGTGAGGTAAAAAATTCCAAAGAGTCTACATGCAATGATACAATTAACAAGATAACAAATTTAAATTCAGATTACAGAAGTAAGTTGCTTTCTTCTTTTGAAAATTTAATCTTTAAAAAGGAGCAACTTGATATTATTAAGGAGATAAAAGATCATGCAAATGATAAATTTAAGCAGCCAATAAATGCTCCTGATTGGATACAAGAAAAACACTCAAAACTTCTGGAAGATTTTTATTCGAATCCATTCTATCCTATCTTTGTAAATGAATACAATAAACGCATCTTTATGGACTATAAAGAAAGTAGTGAGGAAAGTGAAAGTAGCGAAGAATATGAACCAGAAGTTGATGAATACGAAACGGAAAGCGAATATGATGTATATTATTATTCAAAGGAAGGACCTGAATCAAAACCTTTTGCCGTTCAAAAACAGTTAAGTAGCGAAATTCATATTGATCCAGAAAAGCTTGATTTAGAAGTTTCCAAAACTGATAACGTATATATATGTGACGAAGCAGATCAATTTGAAACAGTATATTATTATGATGAAAATTATTTTAGAAATGCAGATTTTGATTCGGATGGTAATCAGATAATTTATGTTGATCAGTCAAATAACATAATACAATATCCTTACCAAGTGGAAAATGTTCAGGGGGAAACGGAAATAGCATATGAAGAAGTCACAGGCAACCTAGAAAATGGGGTCATTGAAGAGGGAAATGAATTTGTAAATGACACAGAAATAACTGAATTACAACCGCCCAATGAAGATTGCCCAGAAAGTGTCAATAATGACAAATTTGAAATCGAAGATTATGACGATACAAAAGAGGAGACAAATGAAGAAGAAATAACTCCAAATTCAACAGTAGTTGAACCAGAAGCCACACAGTTATAAACCACATTTTTTAATTCCAGCTTAAAATACACAATTTAATTTATCTTGAATTATTTCTTTCCCATTTTTTAACATGCTACCGCCATAACTAAGGATTGTATAGCCAAGCTGGCGGCGCCAATTTTCAAAAAAAATGTGAAATTAATGAATTTGAAAACGTTCATTTAGTTATTCGAATACACAAGTTGTTGGGGGAAATAGTGACTTTTAAATTGCAAAGTTTTCTTAAAGTGCTTCTTACCCCATTTAAATTTTGTGAATTCATTCGTTCAGACAACACTACTGCAAGCAATATAAGTTTAATATTTAGAGAGAAACCTTAGTACTTGTAGATAACAACCACACATGTTCTTGGGAAATCCACAAATTTCCATTAGGCAAGACGAGATTGTTAAACAGGGGTGGCTTTACAAACAAAGTCGATTTCTAAAGGATTGGCGTAGAAGATGGTTTGTCTTAACAAAGAACTACATTGCGAGCTTCAAAGACCAAAGAAGCCTTTCTACTCCTACAGAATCATTAATGCTCTCTGAGTGTCTAACTGTTAGATCCGCGGATGAAGATACGAACAAAGAGAATTCATTTAGGGTTGATACCCCAAGCAGAGTTTTCTTTTTAATAGCTGAAAACCCAATTGAGAAAGAGGAATGGATTGGGCAAATAGGGAGACAAATGATTAGACCCACTGTATATCAACATGACTACTAGATTTGGTAGGGGAAACAAAATACATTGAAATTCGATTGACTCTATAGCTCAGGGTGTAGCCTTTTACACACACTTCGTTCCATATTGCATCGTAACTATTTTTTTTTTTCATCCACTTTCTCTCCAATACTTTTTTGTATAGATTCTTAAAAAGCGGGCACTTGGATTAGTGGCAATTCAAAAGATATAAAGGATCAGGCGCCTGCACACCAGACTCTAATTCGTACACGGCATGCCCGAGGTTATAAGTAAAGATATTGTGAGGATATTTTACTTTATTTCATTTCAGAAGTAATATAGTATTTTTTTTTTTGAAATTATTTTCCAAATTTATTTGAAGTTTTTGCACTGAGGTTTAACTATGCCTTCTATCTTGTCAGTAAAAGCACGTGAGATATTGGATTCTAGAGGAAATCCAACCGTGGAAGCAGAAATCGAAACTGAGCAGGGAATATTCAGAGCATGCTGTCCATCTGGAGCCTCAACAGGTATATATGAAGCTAAAGAACTACGCGATGGGGACGAAAAAAGATATCTTGGTAAGGGCGTACAAAAGGCTGTTGACAATGTAAATAAGATAATTGGGCCTGCATTTATTGGAAAGGACCCAACACATCAAAAGGAACTAGACACCATGATGACTGAACAGTTGGACGGTTCAAAGAATGAATATGGTTTTACAAAGTCTAAGCTCGGTGCTAATGCAACGACAGCGGTTTCATTTGCTCTTGCCAGAGCAGGAGCAGCAGCAAGGGGCCTCCCATTATACAAGTATATTGCAGAATTGGCAGGAAATGATACTAGTAAATTTGTTATGCCAGTACCATCATTTAATGTTTTGAATGGGGGGAAACATGCAGGTAATGCTCTTGCTCCACAGGAGTTCATGATTTTTCCGGTTGGTGCACCAAACTTCAAGGAAGCACTTAGATACGGTGCAGAAGTCTACCACACTCTCAAGTCAGTCATCAAGAAGAAATATGGATTGGGAGCTACCAATATTGGCGATGAAGGTGGTTTTGCTCCAGATATTGCTACCCCAGAGGAAGCACTTGATTTGATTACTGAGGCAATTAGTATTTGTGGATATTCAGGGAAAATCAAAATTTCCTTAGATCCTGCAGCATCTGAATTCTTTGTTGAGGATAAGAAGTGCTATGATTTAAGCTTCAAGTGCAAGAACTCCAATAATTATCTTTCAAGTCAAGAATTAACGGAAATGTGGAAGAATATTTGTTCAAAATATGATATCGCAAGTATTGAAGACCCATTTGACCAGGATGATTATGAAGCATATGCATCATTGACAAACCAGGTCGGCGAAAAGGTTCAAATTATGGGAGACGATTTATTTGTAACTAACATGACCCGTCTCAAAATTGGCAAGGATAAAGGTGCATGCAATGCTTTGCTGCTAAAGGTTAACCAAATCGGTACTGTTACAGAGGCAATTGAGGCTTTTGATCTTGCAAGATCATTTGGGTGGGGAATTCAGGTCTCTCACAGATCTGGAGAGACTGAGGACACATTTATCGCAGACTTAACTGTAGGGTTAGGAACTGGTCAGCTTAAAACTGGAGCACCTTGCAGAAGTGAGCGTGTCGCTAAGTATAACCAGCTCATGCGTATTGAAGAAGAACTCGGTAGCAACTGCACTTTTGCAGGGGTTAATTTCAGAAAACCAATCGCAAGAATCAGATAAGTACATGATTTGTAGGATAGAAATCGTTTAAGTTTTTTTTCCACCTGAGTTTTAAGTTTTAGATTTTTCTCTCTTTCAAAGATAGCATTAAAAATAGTACTATTGATATGTCCATCCCGATGTGAATGTAAATAGAGTATATGATATCGAGCTTTCTGCTGACGTATAGCAACATTCTGCCGGCAATTGCTAACGAAACTGTTGATAGTGCCGAGAAGGTGATAGAGGTGAAATGTATTAGCACAAAAAAGTGATAAAGTGAATATAATGCAGAGGAAATGATACTTGCAAGTTCAGTGTTTTCTTTGTAGTTAATTTGCCCACTTTCGATATCCTGACACTTTTCAATTAAATAATTGCTATGATCTCTTGCCATTAGAAAGTCTGAATAATTATCTCTGATTTCGTTAATAATATAATTTGACCGTAAATTTGATTCGTTTTGAATTCTTAATGACATGGTTAATTCTTTATAAACAAAAGATCTCCAAAAAAGCTCTTCTATAATTGGATTAACTATTGAAAAGTAGATACTTGAAAACCAAATAAAAAAACTAAGGCCATCTTTTGGATCTTTTATTATCCCTTCTTTTATTAGTCCATCTCTGATTCCTTCAATTTTTAAAAGGTCGAATGCTGGAATTATTTTTGATACTTCTAATAGCAAAAAAAGGCATGCGGTCCCAGAAGCCGAGGTAAAAAAGCAAATATATATGCACTTCATTATGTCAAAATTTTTTCCATATTCTATAACATCACTTAAATTGCTTCTAAGAAATTTGAAGCCGTAACAAAATGTTGGGACAAGAATCATGCATATAAAATGCATACTATACATTGCGAACAACCCATTGGAAATAAAACCTAACCAAAAAAGTGCGTTCAAACAAGGAAGTATCCCAACAATAAGAATTTTAATAAATTGTATATTTTTAAATTTTGAAATCATTAAATTGATTCTTTATATTCATCTATTCACTAGTTGTTGTAAATATAAATCAATGTATAATATGTGATTTAATAATCTTTGCAAATATATTTGGCCAGTTTAAATGAATAATTTTTGTTATACTCAGTTATAACTTCTTTAATGAATGATTACTAGGTTTTGGTTAATAAAGATCTAAAATTTCTTCCATTCTATTCCAGTAACATTATTTCTCTTATCTTGGCAGATCTGGTGAGAAATAACCCACCAATTGTGCCGAAAGTAAGACTATAGGTTTTAATTATTTAATAACGAAGAAAATGTGGAATTAATAAAAAAAAAAATTAGTCTTTTTATCGCCTTAAATTATTAAGATGAGTTTGGCGGTAACATGCGGTAGTTAAAGGTGCATGTGTGTTCTGGAGTGGGTTTAGGGAGGTAGTGAATAGTTAAATGTAATTTTTATTAATTAAAATTCAATTAAAAATAAGGTAATTTTAAGGAATTAAAATTATTATTACTAGAATATCTTATAATTTATTTTGTTATTTTTGTGGGTGGTATGTCAAGACTTGACCAGTTGAAAAGATAAACGAATTTTCTCTTAAGATTTATGATGGAAAATAATATTTTCGGAATTTAAGGTAACTATTATATACTAAAATTAATGGAGAAAATAATAGATGAGTAACAACAACATTAATAATGCCAAAGGTGAGGTTGTTCTTCCACTTCTAGAGCTTGGCAAGGTCAAGGAAAGATTCAAAAATGATAACTCTATACAAAGGATAAATCAACTATACAACAATGATAACTTAGATTCGTCCTCTAGTAGCCGTTCAAGTGTTTTTTCTGCCAATTTGTCAATACCTCAGGAACCAGAACTTGGTGTGAATAAATCAATATCAACTAATTATGGAGACATATCTGCTAACCAAATAAAAAATAGGATGTTGGGAAAACATTGTTTTAGTCTAGTTCAAGTTGATTGGGACTCAGATAAAGAAGATAATCTTAAACATTCTAGCAGTTTAATGAGTGTTGAAGACTATTTCAGTAATAATATAAAGTACAATTCTGCAATTCTCGGAACTAAACAAAAAATTGACTTAATGGAAAAACGAAGCTATGATTCTGAAACTTCTCTCATTCACAAAAAAGTTAAATCTCCAAAGAAAATTATGGAGAAAGTCAAGTCCAAACTACAATCTCTTATTAAGTTGCATGAAGAAGAACATTCACTAAATGTAAAAAGTAATATTCATCGATATGATTTAAGCTCAGGTAAAGATAGCCAAAAGCCAAAGGTTAGCAGTGCAATTTCCGGATTGAGTTCAAGTAAAAGTAATATAAAGGATAAATTTATTGAAAAAAATGGCTCTAAATTGATAGGTTTAAATAGCAATCTCGTTTCCAAAGATAGTAAACCTGCTTTTAATAAAGTCAGTATAAAAAAAAGTGCAATATTAAATGGAATAAGCCTTAAAAGCCAGAATTTTGAGAAAGAAGCCAAACTTGAAAAGATAAGTTTAGATCAGGACAATAATTTAAATGATAAATCGGAATTTACTGCCAAGAAATCAACTAATGAAGAAATAAAAAATATTAAATTAGTTTCAAAAGCTGAATTGAATAACACTAATTTAATTCCAGTAAATGACAAAAAATTAGATGAGTATACCGAAAAAAACTTTATTAATAATACAACACATGAAATTAAAGTTTTCAATAAATTTGATTCAGAAAGGATTGAAGAATTAGGCGAGACAAAAATTTCGTCTCAAAATTCTCCAGAAGATCTAATTAAAACATCAGTTTCTTCTGATTGTCAAATTTCCAATGATAGCGGATTAATAGACGAATTGAAACAGGATTATAACCTAATAATCGAGGATTCCCCAAGTAATACTAAATGTTCAAAAGGTGAAGACAATTTTAATGAACAAAGAGGCATTAAAGTAAACAAGTTAATTTGCAAAAATGATCAGGGGGACAACTTGAATTTAAGTAACGAAAAAAATACAAAAGAACCAGAGCCAAACAATCAGGGAAAATTAGAACACAAAAATAAGATTAACATTGATCAAGTTCCATTTAACGAAGAGGTAAAGTGCAATGAAAAAACACAAGAAAAAATTGAGTTAAATATTGAACAATCTAAAATAAATAACACAATAGTAACTGAACAAATAGAAGAAAAGAACGAGAAAACAATACATTCAGAAGGAAATTTTAAAGATGGAAATGATAAAAATGATATATTAGTAGAGGCTAACAAACCAAAGACAATAAGCGATTTAAAGCATGATAAAAAAAGTGAAGATGATAATGAAACAAGTGGTGAACAAGTAATTGAAGATAAAAAAATAACAGGTGATTCTGATTTAAATTACAAAAAACATCAAGACTTTCAAGAGAAAAAAAGTGATGAAAAGTATCTGGAAGGTTCGAAAGATACACCAAAGCAAACAATCTCGGATACTAAGGAGGAATTAAAACTTAAAGATTTGAGCTCAAATAATGCTCAAAAATCAGAAGATCAAGCAAAATTAGATAATAATAATGATGAAAAATCTGCTCAAAGAGACATTCTTAGCGATATACTGGAGTTGAAAGATGGTGCTCTTATGGAAAAGCCAAAAACTGAGGATGCAGATAAAATTGAGCTTGAAGTAAAAGATTCTTCAAGTTTAGAAGAGAGATCAATAGATGGGCTTATTATGAATACTAATTTGGAGGAGATTTCAAAAATTATCCCTAATGAACTTAAATTACAAATTAAAAATCATGGTGTTAAAGATGAAGTCAATTTTCAGGAAGAACTAAAACTAAAAGTAGAGGAAAGAGAAAATCTTAGGAAAACGTTAAAAGAAGAAAAAGAACCTGAGTCAGACCAAAAAATAATTTTTGAAGACAAAAGTAACGGACAAGAAATATCAAATCAGACACTAACAAACTTAAAGCAAGACAATAAACAGAAGTCTAAAAGTACACCTAAATTTGCACTATTAGAAAGTAATAACAACTCTATAAATAAAACTGAACCAAAAAAGAAGAATTCTATAATAAATGGGAAAACTCCATGTATGAATCAAATAGAATCAGGCGATGAGTTAATTCAAAATGATAAATTTGATGAGAATTCTAAAAATAAAATTAAAGAATCTGCTGAACGAAATAAAAATAATAATTTGGAAGAAATGGACTTTAAGGATGAATTGAAATTATTTTTTATTGCTAAGTCAAACGAAAAGAAACAGAATAAGGCTCTAAATGCCGTTTCCGAATTAGATTCTGCAAAAACTAATGGACTTAAAAAAGATGATAAATTTTCTGCAAAATTAAACTCTGAAAAAGATGCAGTAAGTAAAGAATTAGTAAATAAAGAAAAGAAAATGGATAATAATCCAAAATTCAACATAATAGAAAACAAACTAGCAAATAAAACTAATTCTAGAATAATTCAAAAAAATGCCACAGATAATTCTGTTAAATTTACCAAAAAATATAGTGAAAAACCTAACAAACAACCTCCTGCTGTAAAATTTATAGTAGAGAACAATTTAGTGTCCGATGAGATAGAATTAAAGAATAATAATAAGGACTTACTCCGAGGTAAGGGTAAACTGGCCGTGAATACTAAAAAGGATTCACAGAAGAAAATAGGTGAAATGGAACCAACGAGTAGTGTAGATATTTCAAATCCGAATCAAAAATGTGAAATAATTAAACCAGTAGCCAATCAGAAATATGTGGATCAAGTATTTAACAAAGGGTCAAAAAATAACAGCCCTCCAGAAAAAGGTGAAAACAAAGATATATTAAAAGGGAAATGGAACGAAACAATCAAGGATAGAGATAAAACAAATATATTTTCCTGCAAAAAAAAAAATGATCAAGCTCAAAAAATGTCAAGTGAAGTTATTAACACAAATTTTGATATTAATTTCAAAGACTCAAGTTCTATAAAGAAAGGTAATGACTTTCAGGTAAATAGTACAATCGACTCAGATAGCAAAAAACTCGTTTCCAAAGCTAGTTTGAAGAAAATAATTACTCTGGAAGATTGTATAGACCCAGAACTTTTACAAAATCAAAATAAACCAAACATAAAAAAAGGGTTGGTTAAAAGGTCAGATTCGAGTATATCTTTTAAAGGAGATAAAGTTCAAAAGCAATTGTTAAGCCAAAGAAAAAGGGCACTTTTAAGAAATCATTTAACTGCCCCAATATTGCAATATAGAATTTATAGCAATAACAATCAAATTAATATAACAGATAATTTAACTAGGGGTGAAACAAGTATTGGCATAAATGAAAAGTCAAAAGTTATGTTTTCACAATTTAGAGATGTTTTTAGTAAGTTATGTAAAGTATTCGGAAATAGAAATGAAGAAAGTAATCAAATATATGATAGAGATCATAATTTAGATATTCAAGCTCAAAGAAAAAAATCATTCGGACTCGAATTAAAACCTTTTATACACAGATATAATTTAACCAACGAAAATTCAAATTTTTCACCAGATTCGAAAATGAATCAACTAGAACCCCCGAGACAATATGAAAATCATCTAAATAAAGAAAAATTCAGTAATAAACAGGTAAATTCTAGTGAGAGCAGAAAGTTGGTTGCTATTGAAAAATTACTTTCATCAGACTTTTCTTCAATAGATCAAAACAATAAATCACTTGAAAGATCATCTTTAAATAAATTAAAGTTAGAAAATAGTAGTTCTAAAAGGCTTCTTAGAAGGATTTCAAGGAAAAAGATAGCAAACAGAAATATTCATAATGTAGTTGACCTTAATAAGATTTCAATTAGGAGCCCAAGAAATGAAGGTATGGTGAATACCACAAATAAAACATTAAAAATAAATTTAATGGAAAATATATTAAAATCAGAGCACCAAATTCACCAAATGGAAGCTTTAGAGAACAAGAAATTGACTAGAAACAAAAGTATTGGTTTAGATAGTGACATAGGTACAAGCACCATTAATAAGTACGAAGATATTTATATGAAAAATAGAACTAGGAGAAATTATTTTAAGCTACTCAGAAATTACTTCAATGGTTATAAGGCTGAAAATTATAATACTGGGTCAAATTGTTCCTGCCACATTTGTAGTAGGCATGAGATCAATGACAGCAAAATCGATCCAATTACACTGCATATTATTAAAGAAGAAACTAAACTTAGAAAAATGAAGCAGGATAATGCAAATATCATGAATAATGCACACAAATTTGATTATTGTAATAACTATCCAAAACATTACCACAAACATTATCACTATAATGGAACCAAATCATTCAAACTAGAAAAGAAGCATAGAAAGTCAAGTTGCAAACATAGGCATAAAGGTAAATATAAAGATAGATGTAGACACAATGAAAGACGACATCAAAGGAAATTAAAAAAAATTGAATTAGATAAGGAAAGAAGTAAGGCAAATTATATATGTTCAGAAAATATACAGAAAGAAGATAAAGATTTGAAAATAACTAACAACAGTAGTAATATATATAGTTCCAATGATTTTGCTCAATTAAAGGGCCAAATAGAACTAATTTTGAGAGAATATGGTGTAATAGATAGAGTTTCAAAACCAGAAGTTAATTCCAACCCTCAAAATTGTAATATTTTAATTGAAGCTAATGAAATTTCAATGTTAAAAAAAATATTGTCGGATACTAACGAACTCTTGTCACAAAATATACAAGATATAAAAACAATTAAACCTCAAATAATTAAAGGAAACTCACCATATTTGTATACTGGTGAAAAACAAAAAAATACGGATTTTTCAGGGGAGTTAAGTACAAAGGACAAAATAGAAAAGAAAAAGGGAACTGAAATACACAAACCTTTGATTTCTCCAAAGAACGATTTGGAAAGAGCAATAATGCATAGAAACATTATGCAAATGAAACTAGATCTTGATAGAATTAAAGAGGACGAATTGAGTAGAATAATGAACATTAAAATGATAAGAAAATATTCAAAGAATGGACAAAGAATTGCTAGAGAGAAAAAAAGCGTTGCGAATATTAATAAGTCAAGAAATTTAGAAAATTCGGATCTTAATAGGTTAGGTAGCTTAAAAACGGTTAAGAAAACAATTTTAAAATCTTCAAAACAACAGTCTGATACTAAAAATCAAAGTAGTTCTTGGTTTTCAAGCTGGTTTGGATACTCTGAACCTAATAATGAAATTCAAGGAAACAAAGATCAAATAACGGATACTAAGGCTATTAATCAAGAAACACTAAATGAAGGGGGTGAAATTAATAATCAAGTTCAAATTAAGAGATCAAATCTTAATAGCAATTCTTCACCAAAGGCAAAACAAGCAAACTACCCTCCTCCGCCTCTTCAAAACTATTATATTGAAAACAAGTCTAGCAATAATAAATATTTTAATAGTTCGAAGTCAGACGCAAGGGCTACTAAAGCGACATCAAATGATGATGAAAGCTTAGATATAGAAGATTTCATTGATTTTTCGGATCGGGATATTTCTAAACCAAAAAATAAACCCGAAATAGAGAAAAGGCCAGAAGAGAACTATATTAAGGAGACTGGATTAATACCGGAGGTAGAAAACCAAACAAATGGACAAGAAAGTTCATTTTGGGGATGGTTTGGATATTCAAATACTCCGGAAAATCCAAAAACCAATGTTAAAATGGCAAAGACTACACAAAAAAATATAACTAAAAATAATCAGCCAAGACTAAAAAGGAAGTCTTCAAACAATCAGACTCTAAAAGATAATAATAAAAACTATGAAAATAGTGGCAATTTCTCTCAAGTAATTTCCTCACCCACGCCCACACCTACACCCACACCCACACCCACACCTGCACAAGAAACATCCTGGTTTAGTGGCTGGTTTTGGGGTGCAGCAGAGACCCCTCCTGCTCCTCCACCAACCCCTATTGTAAAAACGAACGACAAACCGGAAACGAATTGGTCTCCACCCCCTCCTTTAGTACCGACAGATAATTCATCTGGCATTCAAGCTCCAATAGAAAATGGGTATAACCAAGAAACTCAGCAACCACCACCCCCGCCTCCTACTCCGGCTCCTGCAGAAGAAACTTCTTGGTTTAGTGGTTGGTTTGGTGGAACTGCAGAACCAGCAAAAGTAAATATTTCAAAGGAAAAGTCTGGAATAAAAAATAATGGACAAAGAAAGGAAAGTTCTGCCAAAAGCAGAAATATGCAAAAAAATAAAGAGAATAAAAACAATATATCATCCATTAATAACTTCCCTTCTATAAAAGTTTCTCCTGCACCTGAGCCTAAATCACCACCTCCTGCGGAAAATTCTTCTTGGTTTAGTGGTTGGTTTGGAACATCTGAAACAACCCCTGCTCCTCCTCCAACTCCTATAATGAATTATAATTCAGAATATATAAATGTTGCTGCAACAGATTCACTTCGGGCACCAGCAGTCTCTTCTCCGCCTCCTGCGGAAGAATCATCGTGGTTTGGGAGCTGGTTCAGTGTTACCCCGGACCCCTCAGCCCAAAATTCACCGCAACAATCTCCCAAAAGATCAAATTCAATTAACCCAAAAGCTAAAAGTGCAGCGGCCCTAGAACAAACATATTACACACAAACTCCTGCTCCTCAATCACCTGCAGAGGAATCATCGTGGTTTAGTGGGTGGTTTGGCACATCAGAAACAACTCCTGCTCCACCTCCGACTCCAGTTGCAATGGGAAACTCAGAACCTATGAATATTTCTAAAGAAAATACGAAGCAAGTTTCCATGCCTTCATCTCCACCGCCTGCACCTGCACCAGCACCTGCAGAGGAGTCATCGTGGTTTAGTGGGTGGTTTGGAACATCAGAAACAACTCCTGCTCCACCCCCAACTCCAGTTGCAATAGCAAACCCAGAACCTATGAATATTTCTAAAGAAAATACGAAGCAAATTTCCATGCCTTCATCTCCGCAGCCAGCACCAGCACCAGCACCAGCACCAGCACCAGCACCAGCACCTGCAGAAGAGTCATCGTGGTTTAGTGGGTGGTTTGGCACATCAGAAACAACTCCTGCTCCACCTCCAACTCCAGTTGCGGTCGCAGGCCCAGAACCTACAAATATTTCTAAAGAAAATACAAAACAAATTTCTGTACCTTCCTCTCCACAGCCAGCACCTGCACCTGCAGAAGAGTCATCTTGGTTTAGTGGGTGGTTTGGAACATCAGAAACAACTCCTGCTCCTCCTCCCACTCCAACTGCAACAGAAAACCCAATACAAAACGTTTCTAATGAAAACAATCTTCAGGTCCCATACACTTCTAGTCCTATCCCAAGTTCCACCCCTTCACCACCTGCGGAAGAATCTTCATGGTTTGGGGGATGGTTCGGTGGATCGGAATCTACTCCCCCTGCTCCCCCTCCGTCCCCCTCAGCAGCACAAGAATCTAGCTGGTTCTCTGGGTTCGGATGGTAAATTTATATAATCTAAAAATGTAGAAAATGAATATTCTACATAATGGTCTAAATGCCTCAAAATTATTAGTTAGGATATTTAACGAATCTTTTTTACATAAATCTGTCATTTCCTCATCTGAAAAAATGAATACATACATATCGGCGCTCACAATGCGCGCGCGCGGCCTTCTGAATACGGGAATCTAAAATAATTAAGACTTGGCAAAAAGTGTGTTAATAAGTGGGATAAGAATTTATTATTTTAAAACAAACAACATATGAATTTTTATGGGAAAATATAAATATATCCACAAACAGCCCAATCTTATTATGAATAGTTTTGATGATTTATTATCGGTTTGGTAAATATTTAAGTTTTCAATGAGCTTTTCAAGGAGATCATCTGGGGGATTTTCATCATCTTATGATGGATCATTGGGTAATTTAACTCCTTTCTTAACACATTCAGATCCTTTGGATTCCAAGTACTTGAGCAGGTCTATGCTTGAAATTACAAGAGATGTTTGTTACAATAACTCTTCAAAAAGGAATTCGAGAGGAGGTGAATCACTGGGGAAGGAGTTTAACTATATTCAAAAAAAAAAATCAGATTTGAATAAAGCGGAAACAAATAGATTAGGTGATGACTTAAATTCTTCTATAGACACTCTTCCTCAAAAAAGAAATGATATCTCTATAGGGAATCCAGAAAACATGAGTAGGAGAAGGTTCAGTATTTCTTATGTTCAAAACCCTCCAAATAAAACAATAGACAATCAATATATTCAAAAGGATAGGGACGGTAATTGTAGAAGGGATGAAAATAATTCTGAGTATTTGCATTATAGAAAATCTTCGCAAAATTTTAAAAATAGGTCAAGCTATCAAGTTGAAAAAAAAAGTAGCCAACCATTAAATAAAAGAATGAATGTTTATCAGGCAAACCAGTTATTATGTTCACTATTAGAAAGGGACCCGTGCAGATTAAATGGCAGCGGCCTATATAGTTATAATAGCAATGATCAATCCTATAAAATCAATACATTTCAAGATGGATGTAAGCATTGGTATTCAAATAATAATAGAGAAATGATTGACCCTTTCTCAGACACAAATAATAGCTATATACCACAATATACGACTAATGCTAGAAGAGCAATGTACGAACTTATTGGAGCATCTGAAACTAGTAGGCCGGATCCTGACTTATCTGATGATGACTTATCTCTTCGTTTTGTTAGAGGAACTTTGATTGTATGCGATCTACGTAATAAACTACAGCTGAACGTTGTTCCTCCGATTTTTGGTAAGTTATAACTCAATTTTAATAGTTTTCCCATAACTATAATTTTAGGATATTTATATAAAAAGTCAGATAGACAGTTTAGTGTACCACCAATTAGATGGCAAAAGAGATATGTCGTAGTGCACGAGTGTCATTTGTATTGGTTTGACTCAGAATCTTCATATCGTCTTTTTGGAATAAATGCATCAAGAGGAAGTGTAAGCCTCATTTTGTTTAGAGCACAGATGGATCTTTCCCATAATAAAAGAAGGTTTTCGATCGAATTTGAAGATCTACAGAAGTCTATTGTTTTTCATGTCTGTGACAGTTCAATGGATAGAGGTCTTTGGACTGGAGCCATTCAGGCTCATTTGAAGAAAGCTATTGAAGTGAGGCACCGAACTGGGAACCATATTGACTGGAAGGCTCTTGAATTTGAAGTTTGTAGAATAAGATATGAATCTGGCATAAAAGGAAGATTCTGGAGGTGCTCAGCTGAAGCACATAACCGTATGTATGAAGTGCACCCACCAAGACACGATATTGCCAGCTTCGGCTCATTAAATAGCGTTATATGGGGAAATGATGGATATAAAAGAAATAATTCTGTATTGTCTACTGGGTCAGTTATTGATCCTGGAACGGGAACTGCCACATCTGGAAATTGGAACCGTAGGCGAACTGGCTCAATAGCATCTTCAACTGCAGGCGCTTTTGGGAACAAATATCGTGCACCTTCAATATCTGGACTCTCAGATTGTAACTTATCGCGAAAAGACTCAGTAAACATTGTTGGTGTTGCTACTTGTTCTGGAGCTAGTGGTACCTATCCTGGAAACAGCAGAAGACATAGCGCTGAAAGACATTAATAAAGAGCTAAAAATTTCTGACGAATTTATATATGGGTTTTTGAACTCTTTGAGTTAAGGACTGAATAACTGATATTTATCTTGGATCTGAAATTCATGGCCGTTGATAAGTTATTCATTTGTGTTGTTCTAGGGTATTATGTACAAGCTTATGGTTTTATATAGTCTTAAAGTCGCAATGTACAAGGATTCAAATGAAAGTATTGAGGTAGACAACTATGAATTAATTAAAACAATGATCATATTGTATAAACAACTTAAAATATAATTAATGACTTGTTATCTATAATAACTTTCTAAGACTTTTAAAATTAATATTTAAATATTTTAGTTAAACACATTAATCAAGGATAGATCTGAAAAATTCATTGAATTCTTCCCTGCTTATTAGTATATTGTGACTGCTTTCAGAATCTATGTTTTTGTTAAAAATATTTGTACTCATTTGCTTCAATAGGAATCTGATATCATTTATTGAAAATGCGTCCTCCCATTCTATTTCTCTTATAACACCTTTCATATCATCTATCGAAATAAATGAGTCGTTGTCCATGTCAAATAGATCAAAAAGTTGGTCTAAGTAACTGTAATGACTTGAGGAAAATAACGGAACTAATAAAAATGGCAAAAAATCTTTAAAATCTAACTTATTCATGCTTATTTTATCCAGTGCATTTGCAATATGAGGAAGACTAGAATTTTTTTGTGATGAAATTTCTAAAAACCAGCTCAAGTTATTTAAGTGTGATTTAATATCTGTTGAAGTCATTCCATTTGAGTTGTAAATATTTAGTACGGCATTAAGTTCATTTAAGTCTCGTGCGCTAAGACCCCAGATATTTCCATTACTCTCTTCTATCATGATTAGTTGTTCCAGATAAAATTTATCATATGAATTATCACATAATAATAGGTTCATTATTCCCATATCATTTTCTTTCTTTCTCTTAGTTGTTTTAGACTTATATTTGTTGTCCAAAATCTTTTCAGAATTGTATATTCGTGAGGAGCTTTCGTTTCCGAATGCAAGTTCTCGTCTACATCCTTCTATTAATTTTTGAATTTTATCAATGTTTTTTTGATGTCCAGATTCAAGTAAATCTCTACTTAATTGTAAATTTCTTTTATTTTGATATTGTTCTTCCTTTTGCTTTTCAAGAATTTTTAATTTTTTAAGATTTGCTTCATTATCTGTTTTAAGTTCACCTATTTGAGACTTATAATTCTTTTCTTTTTGTTTGAGTTCCGAGATTTCATTCAATAGTCTTTCAATTTCTTCTTTTAATTCCTCAGAATGATCTACAATTACCTCTTTTTTAATTGGTTGCTTCTTTGTAGGCTCAACAATTTTTTCTGAAGTTTCAACAGAAGACTTTGCTTTAACTACTTTTTTTTGTGGGCTTTGTTTTGTGGTTTTGGACTTTGGAGAGCTGGTAACTTGCTTAAACGTAAGTTTACTGGCTCTTCTTGCCCTTGCTTCTTCCAAAAGAGCTTTTGAAATAGGTTCTGGTCTTGTTGCAAGGTTTGAAATTTCTTTACTTGCAGCGGTTTGTTCTTTATTTGGCAATACTTTATTAGCTGTATCTATACTTGGCCTTCTTTTTAAATGTGTGTTAGGATTTGTAGTCTCATCTATTAATGCCCCTTTCTTAGTGTTGCCTTTTGCTCCAGAGATATTTTTTTTGTTGAGCTGTACCGGTTTAGATAAGTTGCTGCTCAGCATATTTACATTTACTCGTATTATTCATTCTTTCTTTTTCCTTTTTTTAATTGAGATTGGGTGTATAAAATCATATTAATAGTGTGCAGGATACACGCCATTGGGCATGAGATTTAATAAATAAATATGAAGAAAGTACAAAAAGTTATATTAATACTTTTATTTGTGCGTTTACATTATTTCAATAGTTTACCTAATCTGAGAATTAAATTGAACGAATAAAATGTAAAATTCGACTTATTTCTTGATTTACCGCCAAATCCTCTAGCTAAATGCCGATTTCTAGTATTACAGAATAAAATATTAGGAACAAAAACCAAAACAATATATTCTATTATTTTCGAGCTGATATGACGGGCATATCTTCTGTTGTATCTAATAACGATCAACAATTTGCCAAAAAAGTTCCAGTAGTCATTGTTGTCATAGGGTAAGCAAATAACTTTGCAATATATACCATCGTTTGAAGTTAGTCTTCATAATACAGTGATGTGTTTATTGCAAATATTTTGTAATTCTAAATCATTATTTTTATATTTATTATTGATAGAATGGCTGGAAGCGGAAAAACTTCTTTTGTAAGTGCTTTATATCATCATTTAACACAGAAGGAGTTGAAGAGAGTTTATACAGTTAATCTAGACCCAGCAGTTTTATCTTGCCCATATCCTGTAAACATCAATATTAAGAGCACTTTTGACTATAAAAAAATAATGAAGGATTACGGGTTAGGACCAAATGGAGCAATAATGACATGTCTTAGCCTTTTCGCAGTTAAGTTTGACCAGGTATTGAATATTCTTGAGTCTAAATCCGATATTGATTACGTAATACTCGACACTCCTGGGCAAATAGAAGTTTTTAATTGGTCAGCGAGTGGATCTATTATATTGGAAGGTCTTTCTATCTCTTTTCCGACAATAGTGGCATATGTTGTCGATACTGTTAGATCTCAAAAACCAGTGACGTTCATGTCAAATATGCTATATTCATGTAGCGTAATGTATAGATGCAAACTGCCTTTTATCTTGATTTTTAACAAAATTGATGTTACAGACCATCTATTGTGTACTAAATGGATGAAAGACTACGATTTGTTTTCAGATTCTGTACTTTCTAGTGATGATTCTTATATGGCAAGCTTAAGCAGATCGTCTGCATTGGCATTATATGAATTTTATAAGTAAGTTTAGGTTTAAAGCTAAACTGAGAATTTTAATAATCTTTTTTTAGGGATCTGAAGTTTGTTGGAGTGTCATCTTCTGTAGGAACAGGCATGAAGAGCTTTCTTGAAAAATTAGATGAGGCAAGCGAAGAGTTTGAGACACAGTATAGAAAATGGATTAGCGACAGAAAAGAAGCAATAAAGAAACAGAGGGAGGACGAAACCTTGCAAAAATGGAATGAAATCAGTAATATATTTAAATCAAATAACGAAAAATTAAGTAGTGATACACAAATTCCATGCATTCCCGAACATCTCGTAGAAGGTCACGAAGGAAGTAGTGAAAGCGAAGACTTAAGCGATATTGACCAAATCGAACAAGTGATGTTGAACCCAAAAGGAAAACTAAATTTCATCTAGTATATTATAAATCAATTAATCTTTAAACGGTTTTTAATTGCGACTCGCCTCGTGCAACTTTGATATATTTACAATGGACTCCGTCTTATCATGCAATTGAGAACATTGAGTAACTAAATCATAGAATGATTCGTAGTTGTTATTTATTATCTCCGCAATATATTTAAGTACATCTTCCACAGTTGCATTTGTTAATTCCTCTCTTAGAGAAGAAACAACTCTATCTAAATTCCCAATAATTTCCTCAATACTCCTACATTTTTTGGCCATATTTTCACAGAAAAATTCAAATATGGGTAAAGGGAACCTTAATGGCTGAATTTGCCTTGAGGAATTATTTTGATCAATATCTTTAATACGATCATAAATGTGGGTAATATCATGGCTCAGTTGTTGTACAGTTGTGATTTCCGATATCACTGACTCAATAGAGTCTTGCGTCCTGAATTGAAGAGATTTGATATTCTCTATTTCTTCATTTCGTCTTTCTACGCCTTTCTTATATGTACTACATAATCGAGTAATCTCAACAAGTTTATTGTTAGTTAGGTATTCAATATGTTTATCATTTCCACGTAGTTGATTTTCAATCTCGTCAAATTCAGCTTTCCAGCTCTGAATATAATTGGTTAATTGGCCAACTGTAGGGTTTAAAGGCAGATATTGAGCTTGAGAATTGACTTGCGTTTGGAGCTGACTTTGTAACTGAGAAGTTCCAAACAAAGATATTCCAGGTTCGGTATTACCAAGTACTCCTATTGAAGATGAGTTATTTAAACTTGAACCTCCGAATAAGCTTGATGTATTGGAGATTCCGGACTGTGAATTTGGCAATTGAAATGAGTTGCCTGAATTAGAAGACTGCGTAATTGATGTTCCAGTCTGAGAAGTATTTGAAGATGAATTTAGTAAATATGTTCCTACCCCAGACCCAGTAGAACCAAGCATTCCTAAACCCGTAGTACTTGTGTTTCCAATAGAAGATGGAGTAGTTTGAGAAAAAAACATATTCTGAAAATCACAATTCTTATAAAATCCCGGAATATTTTGGCTACTTAACAAATCTCAAATAGAAATTAGTGCTAATGAGATGTTCATATTACAGATGTATAGCATTATTGATCTGAAACACCTTAATATCTGGAATCATCATAATAAATACAACTTTTGGCGCCGAATTGTTTTTGCGGGGTATCGAGTAGACAGTTGTATGATCAAAATTTAAAATTGAGTACAAATTAAATAATGAGGGTTCAAAATAAGTTCAAGTTGTGAGTTAAACATTGACTTTAAGAAAATTGAAGAAATTTATGGGAATTCTTAAAATTTAGTTGGGGAATTACCATAAGTTAATAATTGTTAAAGTAAGATATTATTGCGTATATCGACGCAGATTTTAAGTTGGAAATCATGGTATCTGAAAATTTGAGTCGAAACGAGAGAAGCAGAACAACTCGTCATGAAAATATTGTCGCAGCAAAGGTCATTTCTGAGATTATTAGGACCAGTTTAGGCCCTAAAGGGATGGACAAAATGATTGAAAAAGGAGAGGTTATTATCACAAATGATGGTGCTACAATTTTAAGAGAAATGGCCGTGGTACACCCATGTGCAAAGATGCTTGTTGAATTATCAAAGGCCCAGGATGTTGAAGTTGGGGATGGCACCAGTTCAGTAGTTGTACTTGCAGGGAGTCTACTTGGAGTTGCTGAGACGCTATTAGATAAAGGTATTCACCCACAATTAATTTCTCAATACTTTATGGAGGGATGTAGTATGGTTGAGAAGATACTTAGGAACATGTCTATTAAGGTTGATTTAACAGACAAAAATACTTTGATTAAGTCTGCATGCACATCACTAAGCTCCAAAGTTGTAAGCCATAGCGCTCAACATTTGGCAAGTATTGCAGTTGATGCAGTTTTAGGAATTTCAAGGATTTGCCAAAAAAACTCTATCGTTTCTGAATCTGAAAATATGTTGCAAGACATGAGAAAAACAGTAGATTTGAAAAATATTCGCATTGTAAAGAAGCTGGGTGGTACCGTTGAGGATACAGAGCTTGTTGATGGTTTGATACTTCATCAACAAAAAGTTTCCAGAACTGCAGGAGGCCCAACAAGGATTCAAAATGCACGTATTGGCCTAATTCAATTCTGTCTTTCTGCCCCAAAAACAGACATTGAAAACAATATTGTAGTAAAGGACTATACAGCTATGGATAGATTACTAAGGGAAGAAAGACTTTTAATAGCCAAGATGATTAAGCAGATAGCGGCAACAGGTTGCAATGTACTACTTATCCAAAAAAGTATATTAAGAGAAGCAATTAGCACATTAGCATTAGATTACTGCGCTAAAGCAAAGATTCTTGTTGTTAAAGACATTGAGAGGGATGAAATCGAATTTTTAAGTAAGGCTCTCAACTGCTCTCCTATTGCTTCGCTTGACCACTTTACTTCAGATAAACTTGGCACTGCTAACTGCGTCTCAGATGAGGATTTAGATGGAAATGGTCGTATTTGTAGAATTACAGGGATCCCAGGAAAGGATATGATGACTATATTTGTGAGAGCGTCTAATTTGTTAATGCTCGATGAAACCGAACGTTGTATACACGATGCATTGTGCGTTGTTAGGAGCATTATTAAAGAACAAGCTTTAGTCCCAGGTGGTGGGGCATGTGAAAGCCAGATTTACACAGAGCTATCTAATTGGGCAAAGTCACTTTCCGGAGTAAAGCAAATTTGTATTCGTGCATATGCGCAGGCATTTGAAATTATCCCATATACACTTGCGGAAAATGCAGGCTTAAACCCCATTGAAATCGTTACTCAACTACGAAAGAAGCATTTTGATGGGGAAATTTATGCGGGAATTAATGTCAGAAAAGCAGCAGTCACTGATATCCTCAAAGAGAATGTACTTCAGCCATTACTTGTTAACCTCTCTTCTGTGAAGTTAGCCACTGAGACAGTGATGATGATATTAAAGATAGATGATATCATTCCATGTTATTAACTAGAATTCTTACTATTTTAATATTAAAAATTTTTTATTTGAATCCCTGCTGAAATTTTCTTTTTCAGTCTGCCCCCCCCCCTCACCTCAAAAATATAAATAGAGACCACTTAACTGATAGATGATTAGATTTGGGAAAGTGATAGAGGCGATAGCAGGGAGATCGCATCTAAGAAGTTTAAATCACTCATTAAAAGAAGGATTTAGATGGAGCATTAATGGGTTTTGGCTTTTTTGTCTAAATATAAAATGTTCAAACTCATTAATATGTAAAAGAATATTGGGGAATGGCCTCACTTTTAATGAAAAGCAATTGGTAAAGACAACTATTAAGGACACCATTAAAATTCTTCCACTCTCCTTTTTTATTATCATTCCCTTTGCAGAGTTTGGACTCCCTTTTGCAATAAAATTATTTCCAAACATGCTCCCTTCAACTTTCACACTTAAAAATATAAAAGAAAAGGACAATAATTCGCTTGACAAAAAAAAAAATGAACTTTTGAGGTTCCGTTCACTTATCCAGAATGTTATTTCAAATTTAAAAAAATCGGATGATTCTAGTATTAGTTCGGGGTTAAATAGTTTAGAGAAAATTCAAAGGCAATTATTGGAAAGTAAAGAATTTGATCAAAGAGAACTGCGTGAAATAATTTCCGGGCCTATTAAAGATAGGTTAGAGCTAGAAAATTTAAATATAGAGACACTTCAGTCAATTTCAAGAATAATGGGCATACCTTCTATAAAAAACAAATTCTTTTTAATGTTCATGATAAGGCATAAAATGTTGAAACTCAAAAACGAAGATAAAGATATTCTTTGGGATGGAATAGATCAAATTAACAAACAGCAGCTAGAAAAAGTGCTGGTTTCAAGGTTTATAGATAGTAAAAGAAAAGAAAATGGCATTGAAGAATACAAAGAATCGTTAATGAGTTGGATTAAATTATCTTCAATGAGTCAATTACCATTATCTTTAATTCTATGGATTCAAGCAACAAGATTAACTAGTAAAGATATCGATAAATTATCAACCTTGTAGCTCAGAGAGATTTTTTACTTTAGACCAATCTATATTTATTGCCTTTTCATTCATCATTTCTTTTATTCCGACATTTTTCCTCATAAACGCTTCTGCATTTAGTAAACATATATTCATTGGGCAATTTTGCTCCCCAGTGCAATAATTATATTCCATATTGAATGTTATTGTTTTCAAAGGCTGAACATCGCCACAGTCATATGTAATTATATCAATTACGTCAACATCATGAACCGTTTCCTTATCAGGATTTGTATTTTTTATATTGGGATTTGTCCTATTAGACTCTTCCTTCGTAAAACTATCATTTTTAAATAAATTAATATGGTCAATGATTTTTAAGTTTTCATTATCCCAGCTTGTCCCAACCCTCAATAATGGAGTTATTCCAAAATTCTCAATAATAACTCCTCTACAGTTTTTATTTGGCTTAGTTAAATATTCATCTTCAAATGAATCATCTTCATTTCCAATTTTTAAGAATTGCTTAAATAATTCTAAGTGATTTGAAATTAATTCTTTATTTTCATCAAATAGAAGATATAACAATTTAGATGTGGAATCAAATATTTTCAAATCACTAAGCAAATGCATTATACTTGAAGAAAAGTAATTTAATTTAGTCTTATTTCTTATTATTATGTCAGGAATTGAACTAACTAACTCCGAAAAAACAATCAACATTGAATATTTTGATAAGTTGAGTGTCTCAATGACCTTTTCGTAATTTATCAACTTCTTTTTGTTATTAGATTTTTCCAATTTTTTATAAAAAGTTAGCAAAAGAATGACCTCAACCACTTTTTTGTTGTTTATACATTTAAAATTAATACCTATTGGTGATTTGTCGCCTTGAATGATTCCTATATCTGGTAGTAGTATTCTAAGCCAATAAAAAAGCCTAATTTTTCTAACTTGCTTGCATGTTTTAAATATTTTGCTTTTGTGCTGTTTAAGATAATTATTTCTCGATAAACACTCATTTTCAAGCATTACTGTTATTATTTTTGAAAGAACTTCAATTTTTATATTATTACTTACTAATTTTAATAGAAATAATATTGCAACTTCAGAAATTGGGCAACATAGTGGGCAAATATTATTTATTAGATCAATTATAAACTCTTTTAGAATTACTTCATCTGCTTCATAGTTATTAATTGTAATTGTAATTTTTTCAATTAAATGATAAAAGGAAGGCAATAGTGAGTAGCATTTTTTCACCCATTTCTTTAATTTCCCCGATTTAATATTACTATTATTATTTAATTGCTCAAAATTTGTTAAAATTTTTATCATTTTATTTGCAGAATTCCTTTCATTTTTATTTTTAGTTCTTGATTTTTCTTGAAAATATTTTAAAATCCTGTTTCTTATAGGGATATCTACAGAAATATGTTCAAGTACAACTTTAGATAAAGAACTGTGATAGATTTCATTATAATGATTAAATGAATCTATTAAAGTTGCGTTTTCTCTCTGTAAATGCTCATCTTCAACCAAATTATAATGAACATCCCAATCAAAATGCATCTTGGATAGTAAAGAAAGTAATTCTTTAAAATAGTCGCAAATACTTTCATTAAACACTATTATTGATTGTGTTAAGTAGTCGTATTGATTCTTCCAATAATTTGATATTAAATAAAAAAATATCAAAATTCCACCTACTCTACAAATTTCCAAAGAAGGTAGCTCAGAGCCATGCGTTGCCTGATGCCTTATTTCTACCAAAATTTGAGGAATTCCCAATTCAGCTGATATAGCACTTATTGATCTAGCGTAAAATTGTAATTGGCATTGATCCACAAATAAATTGATTATTCGTATGATTGTCATACAATATTGATTCTGAATAGAGAGAGATATGCCGGAATAATAAATATCTGAAGCTCCATCTCCGTCAATAATATTTTTCTGGTAAGTTTTCATTTCTCCATTTGAAAGATTTTCCACTAAAATTTTGAAATTTTCATTTAAACACCCAGATTTAACTCCTTCGCTAATAAAACTCCAATCCCATATTCTATCTTGAAGCATTGCATGTAAAATATATGAAGTACTAATTACCGCAATTGGGCATTGCTTTGTAATCCCATGGCTTCTTTCTTCCCATATCTTTAGTCTGTTAAGTGCCAAGTGTTTCGAATTTAATTCAGAATCAATTAGCCAAGAAAATACTTCAAAAAATTCATTCTTACTATACCAAGGTACAGATCTTTCATTTGAATTAATAGCAAATGCCATATATTTAGCCTATAGTAATGATGAACTGTTATATTTACAAAAATTTGTATCACAAAATTCTTGTCAATTCGGACTATTCAATAATATTTTAGAATCATCAGTTACCGCCTAATTTAGTGCCCATAAAAATAGACAGATCGTGTAAAAAATATTATAGAAAACAATATCGTACCAACGTTTTTTTTTCTATTGATGTGCAAACTCGATGATAGTTAAAGAACACCCAGCACAATTATCTCTACTATTCCCTAAGAAGCTAATAGACGATGCAGCTAAGAAATCAGAAAATTACTACTTAGTATTAGGGAAGTACTACACATTGGAAAATTCGGTCGGAATATTTGCAGCCGACTCTCTTTGCCCAGTTAACAATCTTCACTCATTAGATCTCTGCGATAATATTAAAGTTATTGGAATATTTAAGTTTTCTAACAAGAATGTGGGTTTGCAATCAGATCCCAACCCTTTCGATATTGAAGATATTTCAAAACCTTTGAGTGATGTAGTATTTACTGCTGTTTCAGACATTGGGGTAGAATCTAACGATATTTATTTAAAAATTTCAAGCATATATGATCATAACTTTAAATTAGTCAAAACTGAAAAAATTAATATTATCATATTTTCCGATCAAAGAACCCAAATTGTTAATCTTTCAAAAATGCTAAACAACGCTAATCGATTTCTTGATAACGTTATTTTTTCAATCGAAAATGATTTGAAAATCGATGATTATATTACTTCTGGTGACAAAGTTGATAAAAAGTTGGATCCTGGTTCATTGTTTGAAAAATACAAAACTATTATGTATGATTACAATGATTTGAAGTCTTTAGACGCTTTTTCAATGTTTAATGCTAACCCATCGAATGGATTTGATCCATTCTTCTTACAAATATTCAGGTATCTGCTATTTTATTCTCTAACTTTGCTATCATTCTCCTCATCAGTTATATGGTCTTTTATTTCAAATTTTCCATTCATTCAAACCTTGATACAGAAAAATATTTGTGCAACAATTTCTCAAGCAGCATATAGAGTTAAGAATCAAAGAAATTGGATAATATTGAACCATATATTAAAAAATTCAAAAGTTAAGCAAAATAAAAAATTACATAATTCGCTAAGGCTTTTATTTTTTTCTTCGATTACTACTGTAGTTGTTGATTATCTATTGGGAATATTATTTGCGTTTGGCATTGACACATTTTCTAGAGAACTTGTCATTCTAATGGAAAAATCGTTTTTCTATATTTATCATGATGCAATACATACTCAAGTTAAATGGTTAATGTCATTTCCTGCCGGATTTAAACTTAATCAAAATCTCACTACAGTTATGGGTAATCTTACACTTGCAGCATTAAAGTTTTGGTGTGACCTTACAAGCCAACATTTTTCCGATTTAAATCATAACATGATATTTTTGATCAAATTTGTTTCTATTACATGTGGGATGTCTGTCTCAGTAGCCCTAATATGGGATATTTTGAATATTTATTCTTTTCTTCTTTTTTTTATTTATACAATTATGGCAAAATTATACAATTTAAATTTAAAGGCAATAAAAACATTTTTTTATATTTTCAGAGGGTTAAAAAGCAATATTTTCTCAAATATAGATCATAATTCACATTATTCTGAGCAACTGTTAATTGGCACAATATTATTTACGATTTTTGTTCTTATTCTTCCTACAATAACTGCATTTTACATTAATTTCCTCTTCATTTGGAGTTGCGTATATATTGCTTTGGTACTATTGTTTTTTACAATTTCAACTATTAATACGTTTCCATTTTATTTAATTACCACGCATGCAGTTGCTCCTAATACATTCAGCTCTGGTATATTTATAAACAAATTTTTGCATAATTCAAATAATCAATTTATTATAGTCTTCTCGCATAAAAAACTTAGTATAAATTCAATCTGCAAGCCATTTTCTGATTCATTAAGCCACTTATTTAGAGTTCATCTCAATATTATTCAAATAATAAGATCAATATTATCAGGAAATATCCTGCATATTCTTAATTTACAGGGTTCCAAGATTCACCACTTCAAATCAACTTTTGCCGTATTTGGAAATGAGGATAAAAGTACCGGAAGTAATTATTGCGACAATAAGAGTAAAAACAATTGCTTAAGTGGTGAAAATTTTCATCATTATATTTTTGACAATATTACACCAGCTCAATTATATAATCTCTACTAGTATTCTCGTATTAAATTATTGCTTGTGATATGATTTTTTTTGTTTTCTTACTATTTAGGTGAAGAGTTAAATATTAGACTACTTTATTATATTTTTCTGGTATTTTAATTTTTTTATTTTGTTTATTCGGCCAATAGAATCATTTTTCATAAATGCAGTATGCCGCCAAGTCAGAACAGAGTATTTTTAAATTTAAATCACTATATTTAAACAAATATTAGATTTAAAATGAAGGAAAAGAAAATCAAAACTAAATTAATATTTAAGGATGATGAAAGGTTTAATTCTCAAATGGACCCTAGGTTTAAACCTTTAATTCGAAAGGAACATAAAGTAAAGATAGACAAACGTTTCAGCCGTATTTTTAGTGATGACGACTTTTCTGTAATCTCAGTAAAAGACCCATTTGGAAAAAAATCAATCAAGAAGGATGAATATCTCAATTCAATATATGAGGGTGAGGAAAAAAGCGATGCTATTCACGATGAATCATTTAAACAAGTAACTGAAATATCGCAGGGTTCTTCTGACTCTGAAGGGTCATTCCAATGGGAAGGAGAGAGCGATGACTTGGATTCAGACGAAAAAACATTGGATACCAGTAATAATCTGAGAAATACTTCGGATTCAATTTGGGAAAATAATCCACTAAATAATATGGGCTTAGCTGAAGGAAGTGAAACAAATAGGCTCGCATTAATGGGACTTGACTGGGATAATATTAATGCAGACGATATATACGTGGTTCTTTCTAGCTTCTTATCTCCTTCTGCAACAATTAAAACTGGCCAATCAAATTCAAAGCTTAAAAAAATTTCTATTTATCCTTCAAAATACGGTAAGGAACGTATGGATTACGAATCTGTTAATGGCCCGTTGATTGGAAATGGAGAAAATGTATGCGATGAAAAAATTAAAGGTCTAGAATTTAGTAATGAAATGAGTGAGGAAGATTACGAAGCAATACGAAAGTACCAAGTTGAAAAATCACTATATTATTATGCTGTTGTAGAATGTGATTGTACTGATACAGCAGTTAAACTATATGACGAGTTGGATGGAATGGAAGCTGAATTTTGCATTGATGGCCTTGAACTTAGGTTTATTCCTGATGATATTGTTGATTTTCAATTCGAACCAATTAGTGTTTCTACTTCGATTCCAATTAAGTATAAACAACCAGAATGCTTTACATCTGCTTTAAGACATTCAAAACCTACATTAAATTGGGACGATACTCCAATTGAAAGAGTTAAATTTTTAAGAAAAATATTTACACCTGAGGAATTACTAAAAAATGATTTTGATGCTTACTTAGGTTCTAGTAGTGAAAATGAATTTTCTAAAGAGGGAACCGATTCATTTTTAAATAATAATTTGACAGATAATTTTTCCTCAGGAATGAGAGAAATTCTATTGGGCGAAGCGAAAGAAATTTTCGATGAGGAAATAAACCAGAATATATTGGATTCTGAAAATGGTATGGGCTCTGTAACAAATAACGATATAAATGAACTATTTAATAGTAAAGGTAAGGATTATAATCAAGTCGAAATAGAGTTCAATCCTGATCTTGAAGATTTATCAATGGAATTGATCGCAAAAGGAAAGCAAAAGTGGGAAGAGGCTTCATCTAATGAGAAAAACATCAAGAAACAAGTTACACCGTGGCAAGCATATTTAGAAAAAAGAAAACAAAAAAAAAAGGAGAGAAAGATACAATTGAGGGAAAGGATTAAGGAACAGAAACTTCAAAGAGAAAAAGGGGTAACTGCCATCTCAGCAAAGAATAATTATTTGGATAACTCTCAAATTAGTGACCAAAATTCAGAATCAAGTGATGAAGACAGACATTTTGATATGAAGAAAATAGCATTACTAGAAAGATCTGGAGAAAAGATCAAGTCTAAAAAAAGGAAAGATCTAATTATTAGTGCAACTGCAGAATCAACTCAAAACAATTTCTTGGGTGCTATTAATGATCCCAGAATTTCAAAGATATTTACGGATGTAGATTTTGCAATCGATCCCACAAATCCTATTTATAAACCCACAGAATTCAATAAGAAATTACTGTTGGAAAAGAGAAAACAAAAATTGAGGAGAAACTCAATTATAGTAAATAAATCAAAACAACAAAACAAAAATAATACCGTTTTTAGTGGGTTAGAAGACAACTCGTTTCATCTATTAGCTACAAAGAAGATAAAAAAATGCTAAATATCTAGGGTTTAATTCGTTTTTTTAAATATTACAAATACATACGATAGCAAGCTATTGAGTAAATAAGTCTCCTAATGAGCAATTTCTTTTTAATTCTTCATCTTTTAAGAAATGATTAAGATTTAAAGAAAAATGAAACGCATCCTTCATATGGTTGTTACTGGCATTGTCGGTCATTTTTTCAGTATATAAAAATTCACACTCGGAATTAATTATATTTGAATTTGAGCTTACTGAAAAAATGCCGGGAAGAAAATAGCTTCTGCACAAAGATTTGATCATAGAGATAAAATCTTCAGCTATATTTTGTGCTGATGAGTATTTTTCTTCAAGCACAAATTTCTGGCAATTTACAAGTTTCATTAGTAATTCTTGTTTCAATTCGCCAATATTTACTTCACTAATTCTTTTAAATTCATTTTGAGAATCTGGACAAAATATTTCCATCATTCTACTCTTCTCATTCGATTTTTCATTTTCAGAAATACTAGGTATTATGTTACTGTTTATTTTTTCCTTTAAGTTTTTTTCAATCTCATGAATGAATGGGCAATAGAATCTTTTGCAATTTGGAAAAGCGTTGCACTTTTTTGTTTTATATGTATCTGGGTGATATAACTCCTCTTCTTTTGTGTGGGCAAATTCACAGTATTTTCCTTTTCTACAGCGACAATTTAGTGACATTCTCCCTTTAGCTCCTTTTCTCGAAAAGTCAATATCAGGACAAATAGTAGATGAGTATTTATATTTTGTAGGGTTCCTACGTTGCCATGCAGTACAATGTGAGTTGAAGCATGTTTCAGGATCAATGCAATTTGAATTAAGATGGTCATTACATAATACTGTCCTAAAATTATTTAACTGCTCTTTGGTTAACACATTAGAGTAATAAAACTCTTTTCTGCAAGGTTTATCTTTAATTTCGTCAAATTTTTCGTTAGATGGCTCTTTATGTGAAGCATTTATTATCGAACGATCATCTTTAACCAAGGGATTTTTTGATTTTTGATTCCCAGCACAATGCGTAGATTCATCATGCCCATTTAATTCGAATACTGTTCTCGCATTATTCATTGGATTGTAATATTAGATTAATTCATAAAATAAAAAACTAGGACTTATATTTACTAAACAATAAAGTATATTATATTAATAGTAAAGTTGGGGATAATTATTATTTGATCTAGTGACAAAGTGACAGGAAAAATATTCCGGGATTGTCAATGTTTTTAGGAGTAAAAAATCCCAAACCTAGGTTTGATTGATAAAAAATAAGAGATTTTCTAACTATTAAGATACTTCATTCAGTATTATTTCAATAATTATCTCAATATTTCTTCTTCTTTTTTCACTTTCATCCTAATTTCTGTTAGCTTCAACTATGTAGCAAATATAAAACTTACTTCTAAATTAATCAATGAGTTTATTTGAGTGGCGTTCGAAATTTCCATTTTTACAACCTCCGAAATTGAGATTGCCTTTGGTATTGCTGAAGATTTTGCTTTTAGTACAACTGTTCTGTTTTTCCCCTTAATTAATTCGTAGAATTAGTACGATATTAGTAAATTCCTAATGTATAAAACTTACACTTTTCAAAAATTCAACACATTTTCTAGAAACTCGCTTAATATTCTGTTTGTTTGCTGAGTGAATATTTATTTTTAGTTTTTCATCCATTTTAGTCAATGCCTGATTATTTAGCGCTTTTTATAAGGTTACATTAATATAGAGGGGAGTGCAACAAAATGAACGTGGGGGGGCGGTGAGAATAATTCAGTACTTTGGATTAATTTGAATATAAAAGATATATTATCATTTATAAAAATTGGTTTAGAACATCGATTATTTATTGATTTGTTCTAAGTTATATTTCAAGAAGATCCCTATAGTTTCAATTTATAATGTTTGCTTCAAGAAACGAATATGACAGAGGTGTAAACACATTTTCACCTGAAGGCCGTTTATTTCAGGTAGAATATGCAATTGCTGCAATTAAGGTAAGTTTTGAAGGAAAGAAGATCTTTTGGAAGATACTTATCAGTCATTGATTATTTTTAGTTAGGCTCAACTGCAGTTGGGATTAAGACTAAGGAGGGCGTAATTCTTGCAAGCGAAAAACGTATTAACTCACCCTTATTGGAACCAAGATCTTTAGAAAAAATTATGATGATTGACAACCACGTTGGTTGTTGTATGAGTGGACTAGTTGCAGACGCAAAAACGATGATAGATCATGCTAGGGTAGAATCTCAAAATTATTTTTTCACATATAATGAAAATATCCCAACTCAGTCAGTTGTCCAGGCCATTAGTGACTTGGCTCTGGACTTCTCTGATATTAAAGAAAAAGGTAAAAAAAAGTCTATGTCCCGCCCTTTTGGAGTAGCAATGCTGATAGCTGGAGCTGATAGTGATGGGAATTCAAGCTTGTGGATGACAGACCCCTCTGGAACATACACCCAATATTCAGCAGCAGCGATAGGTACGGCTCAAGAGGGTGCGGAAGCTATTTTATTAGAAAACTACAATTCAAATATGTCTTTGAAGGAAGCAGAAGATTTAGCACTTGTTGTTCTTCGACAAGTCATGGAAGAGAAGATTAATTCAGTGAATGTAGAAGTTGCCGCAGTTAAAGAAAAAAAATTCGTTATTTATGATAACGAAAAGATTCAGAAAGTTTTGGAGCGTCTACCTCCACCTACTCATATTGTTCCTTCTCAGCTTTCATAACCAATAATATTTTGTGTTTTAGTGTTTGCGCGACTAATACACAAAAATTAATGGTACAAAAAAACTAAGGCGGATATTGACTAAACATCATACAGTTAAAGTGTTAAAAATCACTGATAATTGGCATTGAAATTTGACTGTTATATACTTATCATTAGATTAGTGATATCTAGAGCAACACTATTATTAATTTCTTGAAAATCTAACAAATTATTTTCTAATAAATTTCCCCAACTCTGTTCTTTGATCTTTCATTCTTGAGTTGTTACTGTAGATGTTTGCATCTATATTATTCAGTATTCCTCCCTGATTTTTCAATGCAGTATTCATACTTATTGCTCTGTTGTGCATTTCTTTTAACATATCGCCGATTTGTTCTAACCCTTCGTCAATTTCATTGTTAAATTCATGACGATCGTCAAGATCTTTACAATATAACTTGCGCTCTTTTGGAAAATCAGAGATTACATGACACGTTTCTTTATTATGAGTATTTTTATCCTTTTGAAAATTAGAAATGGGAGCTGGCTTTATACTTTTCGATTCATTTTGTCGAAATAAACCTTTAAACCAAAACAAAAAGGGATTTTTTAAGGAATTTATTGCACGTTCTGTCTTATCAAGATTATCTTTTATCTTTTCAGTTTCATCCTCAATCTTGTATAGTTGTTCTGTTTGCTCATTTAACTTAGTTGCACTATGCAAGGAAATTTCATTTGCATCTGCAGCAATTCTTAATGTATTTTTTAGTGCCTTCTTACATTCACTTTGCAATTCTGCAATCTCTTGCTCGGGGGAATTTCGTGACTCTTCATTATATATATTTTCCACAGTCATCAGAAATATCAATATTTGCGTACAATTTTTGCTAAATTAAAAAAATTTTTTTATAAATCCAGAGTATGATTAAAAAAATATCTTGAGTATTATCTATTTCCTATTTGAAAAATGGCCGAACCCTATGTTTAGATCATTTGGAATAATACAAACAAATTATAATGGAATGGATTATTTATTAGTTATTACAATTATTAAAAGTAATGATTCATTTAATTAAACGCAGCGGTACAAAAGTATTAGATAAAATCTCAAATGAGTATTGAAAATTAATTATTAAATTATTACAAAAATCCTTTATAATTCACTACTTTTGTATTTCAATACTTCTTTTATTTTATTGTAAAGTTTAATATTACCTGATCTTTTGTGTTTTCGATTGAAAACTTATACAGTAACTAGTTCTACAATGTAGTAATTACAGATAAAATGGCCTAAATTTGTATGTTAAAACTTTCATAAAATAGGTTCGTTTTATAATCACATGAACTACATTTAAGTGAGCTGAAAGGTCTTGCTTAAAAATTCAGGATAAATTACTGACCAAAAAGTATATGATCATTTAAATAGTTTAATTCATTTGGAACGAATTCAGAAACTTTCCCTTTCTGCCGTAGATCTGAGCCTGTTTTCCCAATGCAAATACTTGAATTATTTAACTCAAAACTCCATAAGTTTAATTTTTCACCATAATCTTTACCAAGTGATTGGTTAGTTTTCTTTTCAGACAATTTGCCATTACCATTAACATTTTCAAAATCATTGAAATGATGATTATTACATCCCATTTTACGGTTCTCTAAATTCGTTACTGAATTGTCTGAAAAAATATTTTCTAACATATTTAAAATATCAAAATCTTTATTTTCCAAATATTGGGAACAGTCATATTCAAAAAATTCAATGTTTTCATCAATATCTATAGTTTGGTTTTTGTTAGATTTTTTTTCATTGCGAAAAACAGGTTCCCGGATTTCATTTATATTAAGTTCTTTAGCTTCTTTTATGAGGTTCAGTCCATTATTATCTGAAGAATTTTGAGTAACATCTAAATGATTGTTATCAAAATTTTTTATTGGTTCATACGACGATTTTTCAGAAATAAAATTTGAATAGAGCAATTTATTGTTCGAGTAGTTAATACTTTCATTACTGCATAGATTACTCATGTAGTTAAGAGATGAAATTCTAGGAGGAATAAAATGTTGATTATCTTGTTCAAAAGAAAAGATGGAAGTGGATTCTATATTAAAATCAGCACTTACCCATGATGAAGAATCTATTTCAGTAGAAGAAAATGGGGTATATGAAATTTTATTAAGAGATGACTTTGTTGTCGGCGTGCATGAATAGCTTTTTCCACCCCAATTACTGTTGAATACGGTGCTATAACCCAAATCACAAGTAGATATGTTTGAGACACAGTTAGAATTATTCGTGAAAAAGTTGCTTGGAGGCGGAGTTTTTATGCTTGTTTCTTTATTATGGTTTCCAAAGGTTAATAGCTTTGGCGTTGATATTTTGTATTGAACCACATCCGAAATTTGTGATTGATGAATTGAATTTGAGCTATTAGGAACTGTTTCAGTACTATTTTCATAGTTAATCTGGCTGGATTTTTTTTTACGATTCTGAGAAAATGGAATGTATGTTGCCATACGGCATTCAGATTGTTCAAAAATGGAATGGTTTGAAATCAACGCAAAAGTTTTGAATAATCCACAGGGAATTCGTGTATCTACTTCAGTTTTATAAGGATTGATGAGACGTATATCACCTAGATAAATTGATTTCAAATTATTGATTTCCGATGAATTTTGGAATAAAGAAAATTTTTTATCTTTGGAATCAAAATCTTCTCCTTTAGAGGAGACATATGAAGGCATAGGCTCTGTTCGTATAGTTACCTCGAAAAAACTATCTTTTTCCAAATCCGAAACTTTTATAATTTCTAATGATGGATAGATGAATTTAATTTTCTCCAAAAACTTATTTGATAGTTTTCCCAACTTGATTATGTTTTCTTTACAGCTCTCCGTGTAGTTTTCAGATATCAAAATCGCATTGTAATATGAATCTTGTTTGTTGATCATAGTGCCTCTTACAATTGCATTAACCTCTATTGGGATAGTAGAATTCATTTTGGAAAAACTTCTTTTCCTCCATCCAACAGGCTTGAAAGGAATAAATCCATTGATTGATGAGCTCTCATCTTTAAATATTCTTCCAAATTCATTTTTTATTACTTCAATATCCTCAGCGACAACTCCTTTGAATTTTGCAATTACCATTTGAAAAAAACCTGCCCCAATATCTGAGAGACCTTGAATTGTTGAAAATAATCTTGAAATGTTCGTTTCTTCAGGAGAAAAACATAAAGTGCCACCATTTGACTCACAAAACTGGCTTTCACGTTGGTGTGTCACACTATGTAAAGTTGCAATTGGGAAAACCAATGGTAATGTGAGCCAAATCTCACTTTCACAGCCTCTATCCGAAATATGGAGTTGCTTCATGCGAATTGAATTATTGTTTAATATATTTTCATTTCTAGTGAAGTATTTGCTCTCAATGTCCAGATACATACCACTCAAAGTACTTCTAGGGTTTATGAAATATGATAGGCTGTTTTTGCCAATATAATTAATTTCGCTAATTTGAGTCTGACCACTAATTTCAATTCTTTCTTCGTAATTCGACATAATAATTCCAGTTTAAAATGAGCTATTCTTTTCAAAAATTTGGTTATTTATTGTTTATAATCATCCATTAAAATAAAAAATTACAATCTTGATTTCGTATTGGAAATGCAATTTAAATAAAGCAAAAATTAGATATGAATAATCACTCAAATTACAAAATCAATATTCTAACGATTCTGGAAGTATTTATTAGCACTTCTATTCATGCAAATACTATCCAATATTACTATTGCGGTTATGTCAAATGTCATTTAATACAAACACCGCTAACTCCCCACACTAGATCTTGGCGCTTTTAATAGATTCAATAAGTTATTTGTTATTTTTTGCATTTTGTAAACTATGTGGAATGTGAATAATTAATAGGACTTATCATAATTACCAAATAATCGTAAATTAATTAGTAATATTTGAACGCTGATATTTTTTTTTGGATGAATTAACCGACTGATTTTACGCCCCACAAACGCATTTTCGATACTTAAATTGTTAATGCGCAACAACTGAAAGAAAAGAAAAATATATTTTGGAGCTTTAATATAAGTTACTGTTAAATAACCACATCAAAATTAATTAGATGCTCCAATCTCCTTTTTCTTATCATTAATCAATTTTAAAAGATACTCAACCGAAATTTCTTTTTCAATATATTGCTTTTTTTTCTTAAATTCGATTTCTCTTTCTCTTTCAAGTGTCTTGATTCTATCTTCTTCTTCTTTGCTCATTTCTCCGTAGTATTTATTGCATGAAATAACGCCCGGAAGTTTAAAAGCGGGTTCTGAAGTAATTTCCGTTTTGTTATTAAATTTGAGTAAATCTTTGTATTCTGGGAGTGAAATAGCGGTTCCGAAAATCTTTAAAGAAGAATTGGGTAGAGAAATACCCCCTAATGATTCTATATATTGGTTGTGCCTACTTCTATAATTTGGTCCACCTAATTCTACAATCCTACACTCCCATTTATACTTTTCCTTTAACAGTGAATTAATGTCAGAATTTAAATTTCGAATTTCATTCTCATCATTTATTACACAATCCCTTAACTTCTTAGAAAAGTTCGATATTTCTTCCATAATCTCAAACCTTCTAAAAAAATGTTTAAATCGTATAAAATATTAATAATTAACTTACATTGATTCGCATTCTTTAACTGTATTGGTAAATTGAGTATTAGAATATCTTCCTCTTCCCTCAAAAGAAGGCTTTGAGATTTTGTTTTTAACTGAAAGCCATCTATTGAGCATAAAATTTGCTTTTTCCGAATTTCTAGCCATATTTACAGATAATTATGGCAATTTTAGTTAGATGCGCCAAACTAGTATTTGTTGTAAAATATTCAACTAGTCAATAAACAAGAAATGGCCTAGTAAAACTTCTGAATTTGTTGTAGAGTTCAATGCAAATACTAATTTAATAAGACTAATTTCTATCGTTCCTACCATCTACCTGTAATTTTTCTTTTTCATTTGAAAATTGAACCTTAACAGGAGTCATTAGGTTCTTTATTAAGTCGTCTATTTTTAAAGCTTTTATATGCTCATAAGAATTAGGATTTTGATCCCTTTCTTTATAACTAATATTCGAAAAGTGATGAATAATATCATGAGCTGCTTTTGACCTTTTTATTATTCCTCCAGGAGTAAGTCTAGCACAATACTTGAAATCTTTTACACATTTAAATGGTGCAAATATTGGAATTACTGCAATTATTTCCGAGTCCTCGTCCTCATTTGTTGGTAAAAGGCTTTCTTTAAAATATTGGAACTCACGATTCTCACTAGTGTTGTCTACAATTCTATTTTTATAAACTTTTTCCATTTTTTCCTGTTCTTTTCTCCTTTTCTCTTGTTGGGAAATGTGAAATGGCTTTTCTTGATTATTTGAAGATTCATTACAGTTTTTGATTTGAAGGGTCAAATTATCATCATTTATCTTTTTCATTTCTTTACTTCCAAACAACATCATCTTAATTTTTCGTTCTTCGTCGTCTTGTTCCCCATACTTATCTGCAATCTTTTTAAGTTTTGACTTTTTCCCACGAGGAAGAGTGCTATTTTTCTGTTTTTTATCTGTGTAAAGGTTATTATTTTTTGTTGAAACAGTTTCCAGGGAATTTTTAGAGAATTCTTCCGTTGAATTTTGCTTTAATCTTCCAGATTCTTCATTAAGGTCTCGATGGTTGGAGATCGGCTTATTTAAATCTAAAGATGGTAAATTTTTGTAATCAACTCTTGAAAGTAAATTAGCATTTGTGTCTATAGTAAACCTGTGTTTCTTATTTGAATTTTGATTGGATACTATTATCAACCTTTGTAATTCCTCTGGTAAATATGGCACTGCATCAGAAATAAATCTTCCCCTTTCACGCATGTGAGATAGGTGTTCAAGCTCTAAATCAACTGGGTCAAATCTAATTTTTTGAAGAAGTTCACGCGCACTAGGGACATGATCTGGAATAAACCCTCTCGGCGTTGGTCCTCCGTCAATTGATCTTCTTCTATAGTTTTCACGTAACTTATTGTTAAACTTATCGTGAGCATCCACATCATTAATAGAATTTTCTCCATCAAAGTTTCTTTGAGAAGGTGATGAGTCAAGACTTTTCATCCAATCAAAATTAGAGCCACTATTTGCGTTTTTATTGTTGTCGGTTTCAGAATTATCTTTATTTATTTTATTAGTGCAGCTTGTGTTATCCAAAATTTCCTCGGAAGAAGAGGAAGAAAACGCTACTGGAAATTCCACTTTGTGAGAAAGCAATTCTGCAGGTGTTGGAAGAGTAGAAGCTGAAAATCCCACTGGTGGTGGGCCTTCATCAACAGAAGATCTTCTGCTTGAGTTTCTGGGTGTACTTAAGTGTTTTGGTGACTTTATTTCAACTTTAGAATAATTATTTTCGTCCGTACATGAAACATTTACTTTTAAAAAGTTTGTGTCTGCCTTTTCATCTTCAGTATTTGATGAATTAGTATCAATAGAAGCTTTGCTTGTTAATTTACTGAGATTCTCAAAACTATTTAATGAAGAGGTTTGGTTACTTGTTTCATCAATTGATAAAGGATTGAATGGTTTCGAAAGTAATAATTCAGGTGGTAATTCATCAAATTGTACGCGGTGTTCTATTTTAATTGGAGGAATAATATCGCTTACATCTCCAACCGAAAACCTTACATGCGCGGAGTTTTGATGATTATGTTTCTCTTCAGCAATTTTTTCAAATGAATTGGATTCAAAATCTGACTCTTCATCTGCATCATCTCCTGAATCGCTTTTAACTTGTGATTCTAAAATTTCTTCCAAATTATCTTGAGCATTATCCTCAGTTTTGAAGACTTCAGGGTTGATACTTGACTGAATACTCAAATGCACCATTTGGTCATTCTCAATATCATCAATTTGTTTAAGAGCTTGCTTACTTTTAATAAAATACAATGCGCACCCCATTTCAAGTTTTAAGGGAGGTAAGAAATTTTTCTTACCACGAATAACAAAGCTTCCAGTAGTTAAATATTCCCCACTTGGAGCAGTTTTGCTAACCTGATCTGGGTAAACCCACCATGCGGAAATTAAAGTTTTATTTACCCAAGCCTTACTATAACTTATGCTCATTTGACCAGCCTCACATAACGTGTTTAAAGGTATTTCTAACACGTTATTAGGATTTTTTACAATACATGTAGTTGCGCCATGAATATCCGCATGAATATATCGGTCATTTTTTTCTAAATATCTTCTGAAAAGGAGCTCATTTTGACTAGCATCGTGCCCACCAATAATTAAATATCCATCTGATGATATGAACCAATAAAATTTCTCAAACCAATATTTTGCCCTTAACTTTTTAATTCTCGATGTATTAGAAATCAATCCCTTAGATGCCTTTTCTGCTTCTTTATTTGCAAGATTGGTGACTTTTTTTAGTGCAATTTTGTATGCATGCTGAGTTTTTTCAAGTTTTTCTGCAAGAACCTTGCTTTCCATATATTGAAATCTAACATTAGACTGGATAGATTTTGAGATTAACAAATCAAATTCAATACCTTTTCCTATTTGTTCAACTCCGGATATATCCTCAGAGCTTAAATCTTTTGAAGAAAAAATTATTTTAACCTTGTCATCTTTAAGGTGCAGTGACTTAATATGTTTCGCAAGCGGATGATTTTTCTTCTTTTGCTGTTGAATTTCATTCCAAATATCTTGCCATTGAGCACCAGTTGCAATCAAATGCCTAATTAATTGTAGTACTTTTTCCAGTATTTCTTGATGAGATTCCATGAACCTTGCACGAGTTATGCATGCTTCCCTTTCAGAAGATAATCCTTCAAGTCGCCTTTCTTGGTCAATTTTCACTTTATCAACTTTACTATATATAGTTTTTTGTTCCTGTTTAGCAACTTTTGAATCTTTAACAATGTCGATGGAGCTGTAGAACTCATCCACACACTCGCAAAAACTGTCAGAAACTCTGCTAATAATTATTCCTTCTTTTGGAATTGTTTGTGCTGAAGATATCCAACTATGTTCTTCAATATAGGGGCTATAAGAAATATAAACCTTTTCTTTAATTTCATGCTCATAATTTTCAGTAATTGAAGTTTGATTTTGTATAATTGTATCGCCCTGAAGTATTTCTTTCTCAGAAGGTATCCTGATAATGAGAATGCCTTTATAATTATGGTTTAAGATGTATGACAATGCATCTGAAGCCTTATTTATACATTTAATAAACTTCTCTGAAATTTTATCAATCATAGAGTAAGTAAACAACTCATATCCAGAGACATCTTCTGATTCTAATAACTTTTCAAGTATTGAAATATTGAACGACTTCAGAATTCGACTAAAAACATCTAAAACTTTAACCCCAGAATTATGTTTTTCAGCTTGCCTTCGGTTTTTTGAACACATAAGTTCTGTTTCTTTTTTGTTTGAATCATGATTTTCTAGTTCATTAAGTATTTTTTTGAGTTCTTCTTTCATATAATTGCAATTTTTCCAATTATTCAGCCACTGTAAAGGGTTATTTAAAGTATTTGAAACTGAAGATTTTATTGGATACGAAAAGGAACGAGAAGGAGACAACACAGCCTCACAATCCTTCCAATTGTAATACTTTCCAATCGATAAATCATTTGTGTCCCTAAGTATGACTAAGATTTTATAGTTGCAGTCTGTCAAAATTATATTACCAGCAACAAAAAATTCAAGAATCAAATTAAAAGTGTTATCTCCAAACCCAAATGTAAGTTTAACTATCCTATCCATACTCATTTGAGAAATATCTTCCAATTTTTTATTACGGATATAACGCCGAAGTTTACTATTGAAAAATGAAATACTTGATACAGATGTTTTGTGTTCATTTTCACGCTTCCAATGAGTAGTGTGGAATCTAATTCCAGATTCTACCAATAAGAATTTCTTTTCTTCGCCTCCAAATTTAAATAAGTATGTTCGGCTATTTATATCATAAATGTTTATCAGTTTCTGACCCTTTAAATCTTTCGAAATACTATGCACCATCGCACAGATATCGATGGAAGTCATACGGCTCTTAACCATCTTGTAAAACTATACAAATTGTAGCAAATTTTGACAAAATTGTTTGTTTATCCTTCCTTTGCCTTTCACATTCAATTAATCCACTTATTTAATTTATCAATTTGTTTGCACGCAAGCTAGAGAATGCAGGAAACGACCTCTGAACAGCCGATATTTATCAAGATTTAGAAATTCACTATTTCACACTAATAAAATCTCTTACCTTGAATAACTACAGAGCTAATTGTCTGTTTTGAGCTTTGATTTTTAATAATTATTTAATACTCAAACAATGCTTGCAAGTAATTTAAGCGCCAATAGCACCCATGAAGCCAATCCCGGTAAGCTTGTTTTTATTGCATAAACAAGTTTTGTCTAAAGCATAAAAAAATTATAATTGGTAAAACGAATTGGAATATAAAAAATGCTAACCTCAAGTTATTTCATTAATTGAGTTTATGGACAGAATTCTCTAGTGGTGTTGTGGAATCGCCATTTTGAATATTCCGATTAAAGTAATTAGTGCACAATAAGAAATAAAAAGAAAAAAAAATTAAAAAAAAAAAACAATCATAATTAGCATTAAGTGTCATATTTAGTTTCTTTAAAATCTTAGGAAATTAATCTGATTTTCTTTTCTTAATCTTTACTCCAATAATTGTTTTAATCAATCATTTATTTTGATCTAAAAACTATCACACATCATTCCGCCGGTAAAAATATTAATATATTTTTCATAAAGTATATGAATTTGGAATGACATAAAATGTTAAAACCTGAGTATCAATCATTTCCACTCGTTAGAATTACATTGATAGGGCCACCAAAGTCGGGAAAATCTAGTATAGCGAATTTTTTTGTGAATAATAATTTCGCTGGATGTTCAAATTCATACTTACCAGAGTAAGCTTTATTTACTGGTGAAAACGATATAATTTTACATATTAACAATGAACTACGTTCAATTCTAGAATTTACTATCGAACTATAAGACTTCCTCCAGAAGATTCAGAAATTGGAGATCCTATTTCATTATGCTTAGAAATTGAGGACCTTCCTGGAATCGAATCTAACTATATAAATGACCAGTTTGTTAACAGATATTTCAATATGGGACGAAAGGAATTATTCATTCCACCGGGAACAAAGGACATAGTTCCGTTTAAAATATGGAAACCTCCTAAGGTTCCTCTTGCTGCAGGCCAAAAATATTTACCTTTAACTCAAGGAAGAATGGGGTTTATTTTTGTGTGTGATATAAATGACATTGATTCAATTAAAACAATAGAGTTGTTGTACCAGAAGTTCCAATCTATTACGGAACTATCCATATCATCTATTAAGCCGGTTGTCTTTTTGTGCGCAAACAAAGTTGACAAAGACACAGAAACGAAAAATTTTGAGCTAAATTTATTTAGAATCGAAGATTTCGCAAGCAGAATGTTCATTCGTCTTTGGAAAACTTCAGCACTAACAGGGAAGAATATCAGGCATGTAAGTGATAAAAAAAAAATTAATCTACAAAACATATTTGGACAGATGTTTAGGGATATACTATATTTAATTAATTCTAATAGTGCGCTATGGCAAATAGATTTGAGATATGTGGTAAGTTTTAAAAAATAATAAAAATAATCAAATTTTACAAATAAAATAGAGTGAAAGTTCTGGTTCAGAAGAAGAAGCTCAAGATTTCCTCTCTCAATGTTTAAATATTTAAAATATAGTTGTAGCAAGTAATTTATTGGTCAAATTTTACATTAGCCAATCAATTAAATGTAGTTGGCGCCATATGATGTCGTTTTGACTTTAATTAAAAAGGCGGATAAGTATTATTATTAAGGCAAAAAAAAATGTCAGCAAGAGGTGGCCGTGGAAACTTTCGTGGTGGTCGAGGCAGCTCACGTGGTAAAGTTGGTCTATCTTCTGGTGGAAGACCTTCATTTTCAGGCCCTCCTTCTTCAATAACTGAACTAGGAGAAGTGTTACATTCAAGTGAACACGAGTTAGTATGTAAAAGTTTTCTTAAAGACCAAGTACCATATTTTAATGGAAGGATATTTTTGGAAAATAAAGAAGAAATAGGAAAGGTTGATGAAATTCTTGGTCCTATTAACACTTATTTTTTTTCCATTAAAATGAACAGTGGAGTTAAAGCAGAGTCTTTTAACACAGGTACCAAGATTTTTATTGACCCTCAACAATTATTACCAATGTCAAGATTTTTGCCAAAACAGTCTAGTCCAAAAACTACAAAGAAAATTGGGGAGACATCGATAAATAAAAAAAGAGGAGGTTTTAATGGCTCTCCAGGACGTGGTGGTCAGAGTAGAGGTGTAAGGGGAGGCAAAGGATTCTCTAGGGGTGCGTCTCCTAGAGGTTTTAGAGGAAGAGGAGCTAGCTCTTAGAGAGCTTTTCTATAAAATTCATATATTAGAGAGGTAATAATTATCTTCGCAGATTTCTCTGTCTTTCTATAATTCATTGAAATTTTTATATATCGGTCATATTTTCATGATTACTTTTTCCCTTTTCTCATATTTATCTTCTTTTTGCAAATGCCTTTGTTTTTAACTCTTCTTTCACCAGTTTCTCTTTCAGGTACGGGATAACCTTTGCCTCTTACAACTTTGTCTAGTAAATGGCCATTATCTAATAATATTTCGATGAGATTACTTGCTCTCTCTTTTTCAATATCGAGTGCCATTGCAAGATTCCCTTTGTTTACAAATTTAAGAAATTTCACTACTTCGGTAGCCTTCTCAAGTAGCTCAGCTGAATTTATTGTTTTAATAGTTCTATCATCAGTAGGTGAATTGTTTGAGTTTGCAAAAACATTCTCTACTTTTATTTCTTCAGGGTCCAGTGATGAGCCAGTTGTTAATTCATCATCGGTTCTTTGATTGATTTTATCATTACTTGAAGTTATGTTTTTTAGTGATTCTTGTTTTTCTGTCATTTTCTCTTTTTTTTTTGTTTGATTTGTATTGATGTTCTCACATAAATTTAGTTCTGAATTGTCATTGTAATTCTCAACAGCACTTTTAACTTTTACAGATAAGGTATGGAATTTGGTGTCAACATTTCCAACCACAGTATCAATAGGAATTTCATTGAATGACAATATATCAGATGACCTTGCTGGCCTAAAATGATTTGGCTCATAATCGCTTGGAACACGATCCTCATAATACCAAAGCTTCATAGACATATATCTTGATTCAGGTAGTGGGGATAGTGATTGTGTTAGCAATATTAACGCACGTAATAATTGAACGGTCTGTTGCCTTGCGTATTCCTTTGTACAACACCCATAACTATTGATTTCCTGTGAATTGGACAATTCTTGATCCTTTGATTTACGTTTTAAATTAATATTTGTTCCTCCTTCAGAATAATTAAAGTGAAAGTGATAGCTTTCAATGAGCTCATCACACTCACCATGTATTCCAAAAACGAGTAACTTTAAGTACTGTTTTTCTAAAGCGTCAAATACTCCATCTTCCAACCAGTTCAAGATTAATTTTGACTCATGATTGAAAGGTCTCAAAACTTTGAGCTGTAAGCCAGAAACATTTTTGTCTTCAAATGCTTCTTCATCAAATAAGTTTCTCAAGTATGCAACTGAGGATACTGCAGTTCTAATAGTATTTCTCATCATATTCAAAGATTGAATATCTGTCACTTGCTAAAATGAATTAACCAAATTAAAACTGAAAATCAATATTTTTAACGTTAGAACTTACTTGCTGTGTTTGTTTGGTTAATTGGGAGGTCGCCATTTTAATTTATATTTTTTCTTTTATTTCTTGTAGAATCACAAAATGTCAAGACATTTTTTCATTTTTCCCCATTTGCTAGTTCTGCATGTAATGCCGGTACTAAATTACTATCAGGCGGCCATACATTTGTTTTTTTTTTTGTTAAGAAGCAAGAATGAATTTCTTGAAAAAATTCTGAGAAGCAATGCCTGGTATAAAAAAAAATGAACTAACACCAATTAAGAGTGAGACTATGCAGCTGGATTCCGACGATAATATAAATTCGCTTTTAGAGAAAGCAAAAAAAGCTCTGGCAATACAGAATAAAATCGAAAAAAACTTATCTCTATTGAATACGAAAGTTAATGATATTGAAAATATAACAAAATCTACCTACGATTTAAATTTGATTTCGGAGAGTAATTCCATTCCAATTTTTACTCGGCATACAGTAAATAAAGAACTTGAGATTTCCAGTATAGAAATAACAAATGGAAAAGAACAAAAGTTGGATTCAGTTAATCAGAGAAGTTGTACTGAATTTACTGATCCGAGATTAATAGTTAAACAGAAATCCAAAAAAGCTTTAAGGTTTATTAGGAAAGGAATATTCACTAGAGCAGAAATCGAATTGAATGAACCTAATCTTATCCGCAGGAAAAAAAGAAAACAAGTCAAAGAATTGTTCTTTTCAAATGATGAAAGTATTTTTTCAAAAGCATCAATTCCAGAACTTGAATATTGGGATATACCATTTGTTAAGCTGAAAGAGACTGCCTCAGAAGGTGAATTCCCATTTGAAATATTAGTCTCTAAGATAAACAATCTAATCGAACACCCCGTTCCTATTGAGCCGTATTATGATCCAGATGAAAATGTTTCATCAGTCATTTTTTTAACAGCGAATGAAAAGGCACGGCTGCGCAAGAGAAATAGGCAAGAAAAAGAGATGGAAAGGCAAGATCGAATTCGAATGGGTATCGAACCTCCGCTTCAACCCAAACTAAAACTTTCAAACTTATATAATATTTTGAATGAAAAGGCGATTGCTGAGCCTTCAAGAGTTGAATTTGAAATAAATAAATTGAAGGATGAAAGAACCAAGCTATATGAGGATAGAAATGCATCATTAAAACTTAGTCGGGAAGATAAATCTAAAAGAAAAGCAAATAAGTGGAAACTTGACCCAGATAATCCAATTATACACGCTGCAATATTCAAAATAGGTAATCTTAAAAACAAAAGATACATTTTCAAAATTGATAGGAATGCACAAGATTGTCATTTGACGGGCTGCTGCGTTGTTAGTTCCGTTGACCCATGCATTATTTTAGTAGAAGGTTCAAAAAAATCCATACAATTTTACAAAAATTTATTGCTAAGCCGTATTAAATGGGATCAACCAAATGAAACTGCAACTAATTGTAGTTTAATTTGGGAAGGCATAAGGCCTTCAAAAGTCTTTCTTAAATGGAAGATTTACTATTGTCATTCAAAAGAGGATGCATACCGATTTTTTTTAGATAATAATTCTCTTGATCTCTGGAATATTTCTCAGAATTAGAAAGATTAATTTATGCCAAATCGAATACAGAGAAAATATACCGCCAATTTATGGTTATTCTAATTACATTATGTTAATTTCAAATCTCAAGGGAAAGTTTGGATGGATAGCATATCATGGGCATATATTTACCAAGGAGCGTCTTATTAGCACCTTATTGCCTGCCCTATCTAGAACACCATGCCACATTGCGGTCATTAACCAATTTGATTCAAGAAAGGCCTATTTAATAGATATTAATGGACAAATTTATAAAAAGTGGGTATTTCCCTTTACATATCAGCTGGCTTATGAATATCAATCTGACTTACGTGATAATGAGGTATTGGCTGTACCTAAAAAATGTGTATATTTTATGGATGCAGCGAGTATTATTGTAAGTTATCTATTAATAATTAATCGTTCTTCTAAAATATTAGATTTATGCTCCGCTCCTGGAGGTAAGGCTTTAATAATTATAAAAAGAATCTTAGAAGATATTACTAAGTATGGTGAAGAAAACAAAACATGTCAAATAACTTGTAACGAATATGATAAAGATCGATTCAGCAGACTTAATAAAGTCTTGCAAAACCACATTGGTAACTTCGATCTAAATAGAGTAAATGCAGTTACTATTTCAAGTGACGCTGCAAGCACCTCGTTATTGTACATATTACGTAAGCAAGGTAGATTTTCAAATATTCTGGTTGACGCTCCATGTTCATCAGACCGTCATTTGGTTCTATCAAATAATTTGAATCAGTGGTCAATAAAGCTTGCAAAAAATAATTCCAAACGCCAAATTGAAATAATGAAGAATGCAATAGAACTGTTGGAAGATGATGGAATAATATTATACTGTACGTGTACCCTAAATGAAGTTGAGAACGACCATACAGTAGAACGCATATGCAATGATCTAGGAATTAATTCGAAAGATTGTTTTTTATCCATGTTAGACATTGTAAAGAAATTTAACAGCAGGCAAGAAAAAGTAAAAATTGTTCTAAAGTACATTGGAGATGAACTAAAAAGAGAGGAATTTGATGAAGCAATAAATAATGAACGGCTGATGTATAATAGTATACAGAAAAATGAGAATGACACCATTCTATTCGAGTATACAAAATTTGGTTCATACATACTCCCAGATGTAAATAATGGAATTGGGCCCCTATACTTATCATTTATTAAAAGAAAAAAAGTAGTCTTATAACTAGTTAATTTCACACTTTTTTTTTATGTATCCTTCTATTGGTTTTGACTTCATTTATTTGTTCATTAACTAAGTTGCCTTCAATGGGTTCAATTAAACGTTGATCTGTAGTCAATATTGAATAAGAAATAAATCCAATTGCAATCAGCCACCAATATTTTCTTAAAAATGATGGTTGGGTTTCAGTCATCTTTTGGCTTTCAGTTTCCTTAGTAACCGAAATTTCAGGATTAACGTCAGATATTGCATTTATATTGGTTATTTTGACTCGTTGAAACAGATATTTACTGTCTTCAACATTCTCGCTTTCAACCATATTTATACCTATTATTTTATCATTACTCATTCTAATAAAAAGTACGATATTTGAAGTAAGTTTGGAAATTGCTATGCTGTTAGATTCCGGAATGATTACTTTTACATGATCAATTTCCTAAATTAATTGTTAAATTATGTCTTAACACAGGTAACAAAACTTACAGAAGTACAACGAGAAACTTTCTTAAAAAAAGGTACATCCTTGCCAAAATGCTCGTTAATGAATAATTTTTCTTTCACAGTGCTCCCATTACATTGTAAATATACCTCCAAGTATCTATCTGATACTGAAAGACAGATGTGGATAAGAAATGAGAAAACAAAAGCTGCAATTTTGTAATAGTACATTCTATTCATAAAATGAAAAAAAAGAAAAATAGCCGCGTTACAATTTCAGAAATTTAAAAAGATTCATTACTTATAATTCCTTATCAGGAAAAGTGTAAGCGAATTTACATTCATATTAAAATTCAAAGTTAACTAAATGAATTCATAAATAGCTTCATTATGCTTAATTTTCCCTATTGATGCGAGTATAAGTCCGTAAAACAATGGGTTCGGGCTCATTGGTCTGGAAGTAAATTCAGGATGGTATTGCGCAGCAATGAAGAATGGATGAGAGGGTAACTCTAGAATTTCATTCTTGTTAACATCTACATCCTTCCCGACAAACTTCATGCCATTTTTTTCTATTAAAGGCACAAATTCGGGGTTTATTTCGTAGCGATGTCTGTGCCTTTCTCTGATTGTGTATATCTCTTCTCCTGTCTCTGTACAAAGAGTTGTAAATGATTGGAACTTACATGAGTTATAAACTTTATAAGCGAGTGAGCTTTTGTCACGTATCATAGTATTCCAACCTCCTAGTCTCATTGTGCCGCCCTTATTATTACTTGTAAATTCATTCATAGTCACAACAACATGTATGGACCTTGATGAATGTTCAATATCTGTACAAGGGCTAAGGATTTCCTCACCTGAACTCACTGTAACATTGGAAGTGTGAGCGAGGTTTAGCTCGTCCATACTTGAGATTGGCTTTAAGTCAAGAATCGTACTATCCTCAAATTCTTGCGATGTTGCTAATGGTAATTTCAAAACATTTTTGCAAAACTCAACAACAGACAATTGCATTCCAAGGCAAATGCCCAAGAAAGGAATATTATTTACTCGACAATAATGAATCGCCTCAATTTTTCCATCTACTCCTCTTTTCCCAAATCCTCCAGGAACAAGAACGCCATCGACAGATTTTAATAAATCCCAAGCAGATTTTGAATTGTTAAAAGTTAATTTATTTGACAGAGTTTCTGAATCTGCATCCAATTGAGTGGCTTCAATCCATAGAACTTCTAGTTGAACTTTAACCTGCAATGCTGCATGCTTTAGTGCTTCAATAATGCTTAGGTAGGTATCATCAGATGCAATGTATTTCCCTACAATTCCAATTTTTGATTTACCATTTATAAATGGGTTTGGAATATTAGAGGGAATGCTCTCTCCACGGTGAAGTTTATCAGTTAATAATGATAAATCGATAATATTAAACCAGTCAGTTAGAAGTTTTCCAGGTTCTCTGATAGGTAGTCCGAGACGTTTACATACTTTGTCTGCGAGTTCTTGAGATTCCAACAATTTTACTACAGCGCTTGGGTGTTCAACTGTATGTACTGAGATAATATTTTCTGTTTTTACTTGTGTAAATACCTTTAACTGCTCTTTGCATAATTCATCAATGGGAACTTCGCATCTTCCAAACAAAAAGTCTGGCTTCAACCCAACTTCCCGCAGTCTAGATACACTATGCTGAGTTGGTTTCTTTTTCAGTTGGTTGCTGACATAAGGTAAATAACATACATGAATAAATACAATATTTTCAGAACCAATATTAAATAAAAATTGTTGCAAAGCTTCCAAATAGACGGAGCTTTCAATATCTCCCACAGTCCCACCAACTTCTATCATACAAATATCTGGTAAAATATAGTTGTCACAGCTATCATAATATCCGGATATACCTGCGAGTTTAATTCGCTCTTGAATATAATCAGTCAAGTGCGGTACAACTTGAACAGTTTTCCCCAAGTATTCTCCTTTTCTTTCGCGACTAATAACTTCAGAGTAAACTTTCCCTGTTGTAATGGAATTAATACTAGTCAAATTTAATCCTAAAAACCTTTCATAATTTCCTAAGTCTAAATCGACTTCCTCTCCGTCATCCAATACAAAAACCTCACCATGCTCGAAAGGAGACATAGTACCTGCGTCAATATTTAAATATGGGTCTATTTTTATTGCAGTTACATTATATCCTCTACTTTTAAGGCATAGTCCGAGTGAACTTATAGCTATTCCCTTGCCTAATCCACTAAGAGTACCACCTGTAACAACAATATATTTTATCACTCGATCATCTGCCAAATGATTAACTGAGCTAGTTACTAATTTTGGAGATTTTAAGCAGCTTGACTCCTGCATTGATTTAACTAACGTACTTAAGATTTCCAGTAGATGACGGTTATATTTTAAATTGATTTGACTGATTTTTACGAAATTTTTACTTTTTGCGGTTACAAATTGACAAGTATAAGGGGCAAATAAGGCGCTTTTGAATTGATAATATTGAATGTCTAAAGTTTTTTGACAATGTTTTAAGAATAACTTCGGAATTTAAATAAGTGGCGAGATATTAATTTAATTGGACTCTTAGTAGTGTAATTAATGCGTCTGATAAGGTGAAAATGGTCTCACTTTTACGTGATTTAATTTTGCATCACAGTTTCATGTTTTTAGTACAATAAATATAAAAGTTCATTCGTTATTGAAAAATACAGATATTTGTCCCTGTAAGGTTTTGAGATGTCTAGTTGAATCTTTAATATTTTTTCGATTACTCACTATCTAAACCCATTCGAAAATTTAGGTTGTTTATTGAAATAGTATATTTTTAAAATATTTACTCAACTCTAAATAACATAATTTCAACGAAGGGTTAGAACATATTGTTGCATTGAGAGTAGATTTCTGCTCTACCTGAATGCCTAATATGCAATTTTAATCTTGACCTTGATTTTCATGTATTTTAAGTAAAAAGTAATCTAGAGTACATTTAACCACATTGGCATGTTACTTGGGCAAAATCAGTTCAACATATTACAAAGACTTTATTCTATTATTAAGCTCCTATGGCATTAACTAAGGATTGCGAAAATCAAAGTCACTGAATTTTTAAACGTAGAATAGATAATATAATTATTTAATTGCAACAATAATTATTTAAAAAAGTAAAACTGGATTAAAAAAAATTATTTTTACTAAAATGAATGTAAAAATATGTTATTAAATAAAAATATTGATTTTTCTTTAGTTAAACAGTAAAATATGAATAATGAGAATGAAATTTTAAGTTTCTAATATCACAAAATTTTTTATTCGATTGTACCAATTTACAGTTCTTGGATTTAAACCTTTAACTATTAAATTGTCAATGTGTAAAAAACGTACTACTTTGATACATTTTTCATGATGCCAGTATATTAATTGAAAATTGTTGAACAACTTCATTCCAAAAAGTTTGTGGTTGACTTTTTTTTTTGAATATCTTGATCGTGGATCGGCCTTCAGAATTTCAATTATGAAACCATATAATTTATTAAAATTTTTATCAGGAGCTCCATACTCAAAAAAATGTATATTTGAACATTCTCTTACATTAGAAATAGATAATATATCTAAAAAAGAGGCAAGAGAAAAGTAAATACATAGGTTCGTAATTTCTTGATTTTTTTCAGGTTTTACCCAATTTGGTGAACAAATTTTATTTCTAGAAATTGAATGATTTAGAGAATATGGCAAAATATCAATAATCGGTGTACCATGAATAATATCAACACCGCCAACTTGGATTTTCATACTGAATAGATCGATTTGCATTATATTGCAGATAGTTAATCCAATTGGAACCGGTCTATGAGGAGATCTGGTAGCTAGACATCCTCTTTTCTCTCCGTTATCTATTTTAGGAGGAGTCACCTTTGCATTCTGATGAATCAAATATATATCTGTATTTGCAGCATATGAAAAGTTTTTCTTTTGGTGAATTTTTATTTTGTTCAAATTAAATATAAATATTAGGATAATATGCGAATATTTTTCTAAAATTCGCAGTTCATCTTTATTAAAAACTTTGGTATTCAATTCAACAGTTGCTAAACTAGATGAACCATATTTACCTTGCCTAGGAGTACCCCACTTTTCATCAAAACAACTGTTAACTCTTCCAACAATTGGGAATTCAGTTATTTCATTCATTTTTAAAACAATTTTTTCCGTATTAGTTATTCATTATCTCAAGAATCTTTAATTATTAAAACTAATTATTTTCAAATTGCGCCTGAAATTAATAATGGAAATTACAAATGATATCGAATTTCAAAAAAAATTGCAATTAAAAAGATGTAGAGAAAGTAGGGAATCAATAATAAAAGAGATAGGTTATTCTGATGAGTTTAATCCATTTGGAGATAATAATTTGTCACTTCCATTCATTTGGGAAAAAAAACTTGAACAAGAAAAGAAAGATCATTCTTTTGAATTAAAATGTAATGCTTATCCTTGGTATCAATTTGGAATTTGCCCAATAAATACTGCTGAGATTATTGAAATAAAAAAAAGAAGGGAAAATTTTGAAGAAAAGTCAATGACTAGAAATGTTTCTAAAGATTGCTTTGATTTTGACAAATGGATTGAAAATGAAAAGAAATTCGAAAAATTACAGTTACAAAGCTCATCAATTATAAGAGTAAAGGAACATAGAGAAAATTTATTTGATATATTATTCTGGAAAATTCTAATTTATTCATATTTTAAAGGAAATTTATCATTTTCATCTTCTATGTTTTCATTAATCAAGACGGGGCTTGACGCTTCTATACCCTACCTAAGTTCTTTAAAACATAAAAAATTATTTCAGATACTGGATGAGATCTTTATAACTCGTACGGATGAATCTAATCGTTGTATCTCGGAATTAATTCAAATTGTTAATAACCATAAGCAACTGATAAATACTAATACAGATATTTTATTAATTCCAGAGTGGGAAGATATACTTTACGGTTTGGAGATATTATTAAAATCGATCATGAATAAATTGAATAAATTTGATGATTTTTGTAAAATTGAGGATCCAGAAATCAATCAAATATTGGAAAAAAAGGAAATTGACGAGTTAAAAGATATACTATTTCAATCTCTGGAATTAGCAGATGAAGAATATTGGAAAAGAGTTGTAGTTATTACAAAGATAAGAATATGTAGAATAAATGTTGAAAATGTTGAAAAACTTTACCATGAATACTTTGAAGAATGGGCCAATTCACTTATTTCTAAGTATAATATTGTTATTCACGAAAGAAACAATAGTTATAAAAAAGTTTCCTCGAACTGCAATTTAGCTATTGAAGAATCGCATAACCAAAATGAAGATCACGAAAAATTTGATCAACTTATTGATCTACCTATAATAGAATTCTCCCCATCTAAAGATAATTACGCAAATAATAGAAAGAGGCACAAAATGGCGCAGCTAATGTTGCCATATGTATACTCAATAATAAAAGCAAGGTATTACTGGAATCAGTACAACAAAAACTACTATTCGAATGAAACTCTTCCCCCAAAGATCATTCAAGGATACAAATTCAAAATTAAATATCCGCTTTTGAGTATGCCAGAAAATGCCGGTATTGTTCCTAGGTGGTATATAACAACAAAAAAAAAGTATCTTGAGAAAAATGAGTTATTAGTAACAAACGAAGAAGCCCTTTTAAAGGTTCAGGAGGATATAATATTTTGTGAAAATCAAGTTTCTGTTAAAGACAAGCTATTAATAATTACATGTGATAATCGAATTTATAAAGATGTGGGATTTTCAATTATTGATAAAGAGTGGGACTTAAATCCAAAAAATGGATTTAAAAGTTATTTTGAAAATTCTACTTTACACCTGAATTTTAATTTTAAGCAACCCAAATATAAAAGATGATGAAAGTTTTAAATATCTTGTTCCAATCAATCAAGTTAGTAATTTTATTTTTCTAATCTTGTCTTGAAAATTATCTTTATTTGATTTGTTAGATATTTTACTCAAAAAAAGTTTGCATCCTTCATAATTTTGAATATCCAATCCACTCTCCAGTAATAATGATAAATAATCTAGTGCGAAATCAATAATTATTAATTCGTGAGAATCTGAATTGATTTCTGTATTATTCATGAGTTCAAAACAATGATTGATGTTTTTAATCTGAACATCACTAATATTATTATTAGATAAATAAACTTTCATCCTCCTTAAGACCTTTGGTAATAATCTATTCAACAAATCGTGGTCAAAAATTGTACAATTGTTTGGCTTAATTCCAAATAACATTACTTCTATTATTATATTTACTAATCTCGGTAATTCTTTTTGGAATGACAAAATTATATTTACTCCCATTATATTATTGAGCGAATTTACTAACTTGACCTTTTGGTTTTCATCATTTATGTATTCTTTCCAAAATAAATAATTGCTCATTATGAATAGTGTGTTGGCCATTAATTCTTTTATTGGAAATTCCTCTTTTATCACAACAGTTTGAAATATACTAGTAAACTTATCCAAATGTTCAATTGCTTTGAAAAATAACTCTCCAGTTCGTTCAAGCTTAAGAATTTTATTTATCATATTATATTTATTTGCCTCTAACTTGGTCAATAAAAAATATATGTGTATTGATATCTCCGAAAAGTAAATAATATGTTCTATTAACAAAGAATTTAAGAAATTATTATCTACAATTGCCCTTGCAATTTCATGATTATTTTCCAAAATATAGTTCAATTTATTATTTATTATGTCCAAATTTGTCATGATTTTTGTCAAAATGATTAATATATTGTTATATAGAAGAACACCAGTGTCTTTAGGGTTTCCTGTGGAACCAATAATATTAAACAGTTTAATAGTCTCATACTCTAAGGAATTAATAATTAATAAATTGGAATCGATTTTATTACTTAATGGCTCAGAAATGTTTTTAATGTAATATTTATCAACCGGAATATCTGGAAAATACATTAATAATGTATTCCAAAGTTTTATTCCAATATTATTTGAAATTCTTGAAAGAATTTTTTTTGTAGATTCATAAATTTCAATGTTTGATAAGTTTTTTTCCATAAAATGAATTAATGAATGAATATTAGAAATGCCATAATTCTTGAGGAAATTTGATGAGTTATTTAAAATATTTAAGTGGTTATTTATTAAGTTTATTTTTTTATCAAATTTTTCTAATTTTTCTAATGAAGAATTAATAATTGTATTCATTAAAAATGAAGTATTAGTTAATAGATTAAATGATTCCTGCTTTTTTTCCTCTTCATAATAAGGATTTGAAATAGAGCCCTTTTCCATTATCAAAAAAACAATCTTTTCGTATTTTGCAATTTCATAGTCAGATAGTATATTTGATTTATCAAAAATTTGAATTTCCTTAATAATTATATTAATTACAATCGCAATAATGTTATAAATCATGCTAGAGTTATATTTGAGATAATACTCTCTGCCCTGCAATGAAAAGACGTTTATTAGAGAAACAATAATACGTTCATAATTCGCTGCTATTTCCATCTCAATGTTATATGAAATCCATCTGAAAAAAAAATAGAAAAGAGTAAATTTTGTGCTCCTTGATTTTCTTAAAAAATTACAAAATCTTTCCCAAAAAGATATAGAAAAGTCTATTTGAATATTATCATTAGAAAACATATTGATAAATATTTGATCCGAAATAAAAGGTTTAATATAGTTTTTTAAAGATAATAAATCTGTTTCATGTGTTTCAAATATAATTTCAGCTTCGGGAAGATTGACAATAAAATTTCTACAATCTGTTGGGTCAATATAATAGAAATTTTGTTTTTCCAACTTGGTGGAAGTCTGCAAATTCAACGGTCTTTTATTCGACAGCCTTTCAAAAAAATTAATCTTCTTGTCATCTGTTGATGAAATTGAATTCAAAATAGTTGGTAAAGTCTCTGAATTATGAATTTTGCTTTCATTAACCATTTCATTTGAACCTTCAGTAGATTTACTATTAGAAATCGTCTTTCCATCTGATTTGGAAAGACCACCTACATTTTGGATGGGAAATAATTGATTATTGTTAGTATTTTCAAGCCTCTCAATATTAATTGAGCCTTTATTTTGTGTTTCGATTTGCTTGTAGATCCCAATTTTAGGTATGGAGTTTCTATTTGATTTTGTTGATTCATTATTTGGTGTTGTAATAGTTGAATTTGGTGGAGGATTTGTAGTCTTAATAGATAGTGAAAGGGTTTTTGAATGAAAGTTTTTAGTATATGTGTTATTTTCATCTTTTGTTGTATATAGATGAATTCCCAGTTTTCTCTCCGTTTCATTTATTAGTTTTTGCTTACTAATATGTAATCCCGTAATTACTTTTTGTAGAATCGTATTAAACTCTTCGCCAAAACATGGATTTTTAAGCTTTACGAGCAAAACAGAAGCAGAAGATCGAACTTGTATTGAAGGATCATCAAAACATGAAGGAATAATATTAATCAATTGTTTTAAACCTTTTGAATGTTTTTCCAGAATACTATTATTCTCAATTATTTCATCTATTAAGTGGTCACAAATTGAAATAGCTGAACATTTTGCAGTAGTAACTTTTTCTTTATAACCATAAATATACAAGTCATCAAAAATTTGGTCCAAATTCAATGAAAATTTTAAAACCATATTTACGAAATTTATTGATTCTGTACACACAATTTTATTCTGATCCTTAATTTTAGTCAATATTTGTGTTGTCAAAGGACGGACTATTGTTGTGACTTTCCCTCTAAGGCAACTTATTAGATTTGAACAAAGCCTAATAACAGATAAAATCAATGCAGTATTTCCTTCACATTTGATTATTCTCTGTAGAATATTTAGCAAATTCTGATAATCAGTAATAGATGGAGCAATATTCTTTTTATTGTTATGAGAAATATTAGCTTTACTATCATTTTGATTGATAGATAACTTCTTGTGAATTTCACATAGCTTTGAAAACTGATCTATGATTAATTTTCTTTCATTCCATTTAATTTTTTTATCTGAAATAACTTCAAGCCAGTTAGAAGGAAGCAGTTTTGTTACATCAACAGGCTCAATCAGATCGAAACTGTCAATTGAATTTTCATTCTCTTTAAAAACCGCAGTATTAATTATATTTGAATTAAATCTAGATTTAATTTCTTTAACGAAATCATTTCTGATTGGTTCTTTATTTTTTTTTTCGTCCAATTCTATTGATCGTTTTTGCACTTCCTTTAATTGTAAAGGCGTTAAATTAGAAGAAATATATTCCATCAAAGATGATTCTTGATTTATCATAGAAAGAATTTCGTAAACACAATCCTTTGTACTTTTATCGTTACAGTCGGTAACTAAAGGAATTATAGCTTTTGACCACTTTACAATAGGAGAAAATTCAACTCCATAATTTTCTATAAAACTACAAAATAATTTCACAACACCGAGAATTTGTTTTATTACAATTCCTTTTGATTTTCTATTGTTATTAATAAAATCTATCATTTCATTCCATAAATAATCAACTTTATTTAAGTCACCATTTTCGATTAATAATGACTGTTCAAAAAATGAAAATGCTAAATTCATCGATGAGCATGATGTTTTTGAATTAATCAGAGTTTTTTTAATTAGCATTTCAGAAATATTCTCTTTCCAGATTGTCGGCAAATTATTGATTTTTAAACCAAAATGTTGAATACTAATTGTCAATAATTTTATTCCCAGATTCTGAGAAGAGATATTTTTATCATTAACAATACTCTTAATAAAAAGGTCTTCAAATTCGCAAATATTTATCGATTCTATTTCCTTTATTGCCTTTTTGTAACCATACATTCTCATTTGCCACTCATTACTAGTGATAAGTGAGTTGATAGGAATAGTTGACATATCAATTCCATTAAAATTATCATTGTTTTCGGAAGAATATTCTGCAGGACCAAAATTAGGATTTTCGTCTAGTACCATCGAAACAAGTTCTCCATCATCCTTCATTTTTGCATTAAAAAAAATGTAATTTATTAAAGTGAGCTATACCCGCTTCAATGCATAACAGTGGGGAAAATCAAATTAAAAAAAAAAATCAATTTATTTAGTTACATCATCTTTCAAATTATGGATTTTTTTTTCTTAAAATGTTAAAAATAATATAAAATTGGCAAATAAGTGGATTAATAAACCTGACCTAATCAAATATATTTTGTGATTTACTAACACTATATTTTTCAATTGAATTAAAACTATTAATAAGCATAAAATCCAGTTTTTTTTGGCTGAGAACCTGGGATTGGTCCTCTTGCAGGAATTCCATAGGGATATGCAACAAATGGGTTGCAAGGCGAATACATGCTGGAACCGCTAACTGGGTTAAATTGTGCAAGGTGATACGGTGCATTGACAATGACTGTTTGATCCGTTGGAGATATATATGGGTTAAGTGGTTGTCCATTGTGGAAACGGTGTGGTTCTGGAAGGTTCTGAGTGTTCTGGGGCCCTTCCTTATCTGTTTTTCGAGCAACAAAGTCTTCAGGGAGGGGTGGAATTACACATGGAACTCCTGCTAGACTTGCAAATGGGTATCCTGGCATTACTCTACAATCTACTGGCACAAAAGTCTTAGGTTGCGCATATAAAGTTGGAATTGACGGGGCACCTGAAACAGGTAAGATGCTCGATGAGGCAGGTATTGTTGGAACACTAGGTTGGCCGCTGTCCATTTTTCGATATTTATTGCAATAAAGAGATTTTGATAAATTTCTACAAGGTTGATTTCTATTACAGTGTTTGTTTTAACATGTTTCTTCACACAAAAAGACAATACATTAATAACCAAGGCGCCTAAAAAATCTAAGAACTTAAAATATTAGGAAAGATAAATTATGCTGGAAAACTTAAAAAATAAAATATATCTTCAGTTTCATGTTTTGTTTGCTAAGATTAAACTATGCAAACTACACCAATTATAATTAAAATTGTGCAAGTTATTCCCAAGGTTGCATAGATAACATTTTTTATATTACTTTTTGATTTTTCAATCTCATTACTTATTGTTATTTCCGGCTGGAACGGTATCTCTTCATTTTTTTCTTGTAAGCTGTCTTCAGAATCATTTTCCTCGTGTTCATTTGAAGCCGCCTACAGGATATAATGATTTTAATTATCACAATTATGCCTTACCTCTTCTTCTGCTGAAACTCCTAGTGATCGTTTTAATCTCTCCATTAAGCCGGAAGACCTTTTTCCATCAGATGGCGCATCAATTATTTCCTCCTCACTTCTCGTTTCAACAGTAATAGTCTCATTTTTGTCTTGAAAATTATTTAATTTCACGTTCTGGTCATTTTGTTCACTTTCAACTAAATCTTTACTATTTTCAATTTTATATGCTGCATTTTCAATGGTTGGATTTTGAATGGCATCTGTAAAAGATAATGGGCCATTCATTGTCTTTGAATAAGTTTCAGTACTTTTTTCATTATTCAATGAATTATTTTCATCCGCAACAAATTCCCTTTAGAAGCAGTTAGTGTATCTAATTATATTCTTAAATGACTTACCTGAAATTCTGTAACTCATTAGAAACTGCCTTCTCCACTTCTCTTTCCCTCTCTTCAGTATTTTCAGTCTAAAAAGTATTTATTGAATTTATATAATAATTTATACTTACTTGAATCTTTCTCCATTCTTGGTCATGTAAATCTGCCTTATTTAATGCGCATGTTATTTTTACACAAGAATTATATTGTTCTGGAAAACATTTGGGGCCTTTACATATATATTTTGTCCGAATTGATTTTATAACCTGTGAAATACCATTCTTTTTAAATAAACCAACAGGAATTGAAATCGAGTTTGACCTATATCATTTATTAAAGCCAGATAAAGTGAAAATTTTATACTTACATTACTAACTTTTGCCTTGGAGTTAATCTTCCAATGAAATTAGATGGTTTTCTACATAATTCATCGAAATCACAACTTGAATCAACCATAAATTCAAATGCTGCATATTTATATTTTTTTGGTCTTACTTTTGACAGTTTTTTAATATTATAATACTGCAGGAAAGTGTGAACAGTAAGAGGTACATATCCATCAATAACCTATTAATGTATGATTTAAAATTGTCTTTTTACTTTTAACTTACTGTACATGTGTTTAGTCTTTCAGTTAGTACACGTCCAGTGGCTTCCAATTCTATGGTAGTCCCTTTAGAAATGTGTGCACTATTCATTTTCTCTTGAGGATTGATCTCGTTTTTTTTAATTCCCTTAGTTGGCGAATTAAATTTAACTAGTCCATTTTTGTTACGAAATTTATTTTTGAAATTATTTAAACTAAAAGAAAATTTATTTGTTTTTTTAAATTGTGTTGCTTGGTTTGTGTCGGGTAAATTTTTTTTTTTTTTCCCAAAAACTCTGCTTAATAGACTTTTTGAGCGTGATTTGTTAGACTTCGTTGTAATATTATTACTTTCGTTCCCTTCTTCAAATTCGGACTCAGACATTTGGGAAACAAGCTGTAATAAAGAATACCCTACTGACCCACTAAATGAACTCGAAACACTCGTCGAAATACTTTTTTTTGCAGGGAAATTTGTGTCGCTTTTATGAATAACTTCTTCTTTATCATCCTCTTCATCATCTTCATCTTCTTCTTGGCTATTTTCTGACTCATCCGTTTTTGATTCATCATCCTCGGATATATACGAATCTCCATTTGCAAACATGCCCGATTTTAGAATTTCAAGCCCATTTTTAGAAATTTTAAGATAGCCTTGAAAAATTGTAATTTCATTTAGGATCGTTGGTATTACTGAGCAGTACGCCATTGATGATTCTGATTTATTAGTAGTCTTGCATTTTGTACAGCGATTTACTGAATAGCATTCGCCTTCGTTTGAACTTGTATAACCTCTACCGTCTTTGCAACCTAATGATGAACAAAAAGACTGGGTATATTCAGATTTCCGGAAAGTTAACCCAATAGACTTTCTTTTCTTTTTGGTCCCATTTATCGCAGCCACTAAATAAATACAACAAAAAAATAGTTTTATTCCAACAAAAAATTTCATTAATCACCAATGTCCTAAGCAACAAAAATACTAAAATAATATTAACACACAAATGTGCACAATAAATAATACACACTTTTAATCAATTTATCTCTTCAAAACAACTTAGATTACAATTCTAATAAAGTTAAGTAAATTATCGGTTTTTGCAATAACAGATACAGCGTTTAAGCCGCAACAATTGAATCTGCAATTAGATTTGATTGTTCCAATCCACACAACATTTCTACAAGTTTTAACCCGAATGAAACAGAAGTTCCTGGCCCCTGTGAAGTTACTACATTAGAACTCACGCAAACCGCTGAATTTGCACTATCAGGTCTAGCAAGTTCACTCATCATAGATGGATAACTGACTGCCTTTTCAACATCAGATAGTAGGCCATTCTTCTCAAATACAATAACAGGTGAAGCACAAATCGAAGCTATTATTTTACCCTTTTTCTTTGTTTCATGCAAAATTTTCAGCAGGTTTTGGTCCTTTCCCAGTTTTATTGCGCACTCCATTCCTCCAGGGCACATAACCAAATCATAATCTTCAGATAATACTTCATTTAAGAATTTGTCACCCTTAATAGTTATTCCGTGTGCCCCCACAACCATATTGCAATCACCAGAAACTGCTATTGTAACATTTAATCCTGCCCTCCTTAGTATATCAACAGGGGTTACAAATTCGATTTCTTCGAACCCATTTGCAACAGCAATTAACACTTTTTTTGACATCGAAACAAACTTAAATGATATTACCGATATTTTAACGGATTAGATAACTCCAAAAACTCGAAGCGGTTAAATATAAATCCTTCAATAATCGGCGGAATAACAAAATCAATCAATTTTAATACTATATTATTAGAATTATTAATATATCTTTAGGGGTTAGTAAGATTAAATTGTTTAACGTCATTCAATCTACGACCAACTACTGATTGTCAAACAATTAGTTAGGCGGCGCACAAGAAAAAAGCGAGCAATTTACATAGTACTATAAATATAGAGGAAAACTGCATTAAACATTAGAAATTAATCCTAGAACTAACTATTGTTTCTTTCCCAGATCTCAAATGATTGCATTTACTACTCTTACAACTTTATATTGAAAGAAAATATTTTAAGGCGGCAAGATACGTCTCAAAATATACTCACATATTTAAGACATAGACATAACATTTCCATATAGTTTAAAACAAACTTAAATGTTCATACCTATTTAACTGGGTGATTATTTTTGTGAGGTAATGCTGTTTTTGCTTTTCGCACGTGATAAATAATAATATTGTCATATTCGTTGTGAGCTCAACAAATTCTATATAAATCATGTCAGGAGTTAGTCGTAGAGCAGTTATCACAGATCCAAATGGCGTATATGAAGGTGATGTGAATGAGAAGGGCCTTAAACATGGAAATGGAGTTTATAAAGTTAATACTGGAGATGTTTACGAAGGTGAATATTCGAATGGCCTTAAGAACGGTTATGGGGTTTATACATGGGCAAACGGAGACAAATTTGAAGGTTATTACAAGGATGATATAAAATGGGGTCATGGAATCTACAGATGGTCTAATGGCGAGGTCTTCGAGGGAGAATATGTAAGAGGTGTTAAATGTGGTCATGGTATATATACCTGGCCGAATGGTGACAGATTTGAGGGTGAATACAAGGACGGAGTTAAGGAAGGGTTTGGCGTTTACAAGCTTGCAACTGGTAGAATATATGAAGGTCAGTATTCACGAGACATGAGAAATGGTCAAGGGACATCCAGATATACTGATGGATCTGTATACACTGGCGAATGGTTTGACGGTAAAGAGCATGGCCATGGTCTCTTGAAATTTAGTGATAGCAGCTCGTATGAGGGCGATTTCCAGAATGGTGCACCCAATGGGCAGGGGAAGTATACTTATTCGAATGGAAACTACTATGTTGGCGGATTCAAGAATGGTCTCACGGATGGGCCGGGCTCACTCACGTTCGCAGAAGATAATCGCGTACTAAAAGCAAACTGGAAAGATGGCCAAGTTGATGGTGACGCTGCAATCATTTACCCTGACGGTGGAAAGTACACGGGCGAGGTTGTAAATGGAATAAGACAGGGAAGAGGTGTTATGACGGAGTTCAATGGTGACGTTTTTGATGGTGAATTTTTCAGGGATTTCCGTCACGGCGAAGGGGTACTTACGGTAAATGGCAAACAAAAGAGAGTGAAATATAATATGGGTAAAAAAGTTGGATTATGTTCTTGCTAGTCTAAAAAGTTCCATAAATGCCCCAAACCTGTTGGTCTCTTTCTACAGATTAAACTTTTCAACTCCTTTAATATCATACTTCAAATTTTTTTAAAATAAGTTACAATTTAGAGAAAAAAAAAATTGTTTATCGAATGTATAGAATATATTGCAGATAGTCGTGTGTGAAAGCACGTCATAATGATAATTTTTGGTATAAGCGATTCTCTAATTATCTGATTTCCCTCGAGTAACAACTCAATGTACTAGATAGACTATAATTTGTGAAACTTCTATTCCATTTTAAATAACCCTACAATTCCTGAAAGTGAGGCAACAACAAAGTTTACAGAATATAACGATAATAATGATACCCCGAATACCTTGTTATTATACTTGAAGTACGTTGAGTAGTAAATCCATGCAGGAACAATAAATACGAATATTCCATCGAGAGTCCCCCCTGTGACTTGAATTAACTTGGCAACGGAGCTGAACCTAACTGCCATAATACCTGAGAATGTAAGGACAATAGATAAGTTCAAAATTTTAAACAACCTTTCTTTTGATAAACACTTAAAATGTGAATAGTTGCATGGGCATTTTTTCCAATTGAATTCCACTTCGTTATTTTCTTCTTTTTGTTCGTCACTAATTCCGAAATAAGAAGTCAAATTCGTGGTAGATGCCAGTGTAGATGTGCATTGATTTGAATTAGTTTCTTCATCAACTACAGTATTTAAATTTTGTTCAATATTCTTAATAGAATTAGTCATCTCCATATCACACTTTTTCTTATATATGAAACTGCCAATTGACCTGAACAGAAACTTGACGGTTGAGGAGAAACTATCTATTAATGGTATGATTTCTATACATATTGTCACAGTCAGTGATAGTGTTAAATAAATCCTCATAAGAACAATTAAAGGGTCATTGTATGCAAAATTATTGATAATATTGGGTAATGTATTCAACCTAAAAACTAGATATCCAGATATTCCAACAGAGCAATTGAAAATAAAAATTGCGGTGACAAATGTTAATACAATCCCTTTAATCTTTTTTGTTGACATGTGATGTATATTCTTTGTTGAAGGGATTAATATTAAATGGCAAAAGTGAGAGAATAAAATAATATTTGAAACACTTGTTATCTTCCAAAATGCCATGATTGAACTGTAATTGAAAAACTCTATTTTTCCCTTTCTACAAAAGTTGTTATGCAGAGCCATAATCCCATTTTGGCATTCTGGTGGCTGGTTTGAACTCAATCCATAATAAATAATAATAATAGCAGTAGATACAGACGATAATACTGACAAAACTGATGCCAATTTTACAGCAGAGAAGTTATTTGGTATACATAACAAAAAAACGATCAAACAAAAAAATATTATGCATCTGTACCTTTCTGTAAAAAAAAGTGAAATAGAAAAAAGAATATTGTAAAACAACTTTGCAAAAGTAGATTTTTCAAGGCCATAATAATGTATTGATAACTCGGTTAGCTTTTTTTGAACCAAAAAATTAATTTGAATCACAAAATCTGAAAGAAAAATTAACAAGCAAGGAATTATGAACAGGCAATCAAATAAAACAAGTATATCACATAATATTGCAGCTTTTGATGCAATCTTAGCTCTTTTTTTACTTTCTGCCAAATTCAATTCAGCTTCAATTAAATTGTTATCAATTTTTGGTTCGCCAAGAATACTGTAATAAATTAGTTCAGTAATACTAGAAACTTTGTAGTGTAACCCTCCCATTATCAAAAAATATATTGTTGAGCTGCATAAAATACCCCAATATAGCAATAAAATTATCCCCAAAAACAGTCCTGTCTGTTGAAATACCCATGGAAGAGTTAATACTCCCATACCTGTAGCTGCGCTAATCAACATGAAGCATATTGAAAAGAATGAATCTTTTCCAAATATTTTCATTTCAAAATTTGTTCATAAAAGATATTGATTTAAGCATTAATAGTCTTTGGCGCAATAAGAAGTTAACGACAGAAAAAATATAGAATTTATTAAAAAATTGAAGTATAACGGAATAAATTGGATATTAACTAAATACCCGCTAGTTAGATGAATAGAGTTCTCAATAATAAGCCCTTAGACTATCTACTAACGCCCACGATAATGTCTAGTCATAGAGTTCACTGAATTCGAACTGCTAGAAGAACTATACTTTGAGTTGATATACCCTTTAAAGCTTGAATAGTTGTAGCTAGATTCATTTGCAGGTGTCGGGGGCATTAATTGGTTACCAGGCAAACTATTTTGTGAATAGTAATGAGAATCACTAAAAAAATTATTAGGGTTATGATTAACAAAATCTGAATTTGGATGATTATTTCTATGCCTTGAATAATGTTTATTATGAGACTCATAGCTGGTTAGTATCCTATGTTTGTTTTGATAATAATAGTTTCTGTGGCAAGAAGAATTTTGAGCAGGTCTGCGCTGGTCAGATGTTCTTTGCCGTTTTTGATCTACTTGCCAATTGTAGTGTCTTATTTTGTGTGTATTTAATTGGGAAATACCATCTAATTGGTTATCACGCTTACTAGCACTTGAATCAGATTTAGGAACCCAAGGGTCACTTTTTGGAGAAAGTGAAGTAGAATTAACTGTCTCTAGAGATTTTTTTCTTGGAATAATGTGGAAGGGATTTTTTTCGTTCAAAGTCTCAGAATTAATATTGCCATCTACCTTTTCCTTATCAATTTCTGGGTATGTAACTGGAACTTCTTCATTTGTTGTTGGTTTTAGTTCTGAATCAAAAATTTCATTAGTATTATTTTTGTATTTTTCAGATGTTTCAGACGAAATTAAAGATCTCTTTCTTAGTCTTTTTTTATTGTTTCTATTCCTTTCTTCATATATCTCATGTTTTATTTCTTCAGTTTTAATTGAATCAAAATGTTCATTAGAATCTAATAAAAGTTTACTTTTTCTTTTATGACTTCCTAATGCTGGAAGAATGTATTCATCATCCTCAACCAATTTCTCAGAGTTAATTTCCGAGTTGATAAATAAAAGCCCACCATCTCCAGATAAATCTCGGGATTCATTGTCAAGATTAGTTTCATTCAGAACATCAAATTCATTTAAAGTATCCAGTTCTTTACTATCCGCCACTTGATTTGATCCTTTTTCTCCAATTTCTGAAAAATCTTTAGACTCAAATTGGTTCACTTCACTATTTTCCTTAACACCTAGATTGTCACTGTTGAAATCCTTTGAAAAGTCGTTAAAATTGTTTCCTTCATTTGAGCAATCAATCAATATACAGTCAACTGAATCAACCTTATCAACATTCTCATTCAGCTTTTCTGTCATTTTGCCCGAAGTACTCAATAAATCTAATTCTTTATTTTTATATTCATCTTTGAGTTGAAAGCCGTTATTTCTTGGTTCAATTGAAATACTACAATCATCTTTATTTGAAAATAAACTGCTCTCAGAATTCACTATTTCTGAATTCTGAGCCTTGCTGGTGTTCCGTGAGGACCTCCTCAACCTATGATTACTTTCAAGTTGGTCCGGGTCCAATTGCCTATTCCTATTCCGGGTATTGTTTTTGTTAATATTGCACTTCTTCGATATCTTATTTGTTTGAATCAATAAATTCGATTGTGAAATTTTACGATACATAGGATGGTTAAAATTATTTGGATTTTCCAACCAAGAAAAAACTGGGAATAAGTCCAAAATATCAACGTTTATTTGCTCACTAAATTCATCCGTAATTATTTTGGAATTAATAGTTTTTAAATCAAAATTTGTCTCGCTTAAATAATTTGGTATTAATAATAGGTTATCTCTTTCAGGGAACAATTTAGAGTACGAGAAGTTGCATGTACTCCAACTTTCGTTGTACTTGCTTAATTTGAAATCAACGCTATTAGAAATAAACAAGGAATTTGACAGATCAATAAACGGCGATTCCCAATCAGATCTTGTTGCAGGAATCAATTCTAGAGAATTTCCATGAATGCTTGATATGATACCTTGACTCTTTTGGGTATTAGATAATGAAATGGGATTGTTTGTTTGATTATTAGAGTATTTAAGTGATTGGTTATTTGAAATAACTGGAAATATCCCATTAACAGATTCGCCAACCATTTTGAAAACAATTGGGACTTCTGTACCTGTGATTATTGACCTTCCTTGAAGTGGATGGTTTTTTGAGTTAAATATGTTATTTTTTAAAATACATATTGGAAAACTCTGAGAACCTTTTAAATTTGAAAGTACTTCGTAACTATTAGAAAAGTTTTTAGATCTTGACTTTTCAAAACTCTCAAAAAATTGATTTCTGAAAAGAGAAACATCATCCAAATTTTGATATTCTAAAGGCCAACATGAAGGAAAATTTTTTTTTAAATGATGAGACGGCAATAAGCAAGTCTGGTCATTTTTAAGCTCTTCACACCAATCACTCAAACTATCAATTAATGATTTGCTAAGCAAACTATCAGAAATTGCACTACCTCTAAAATTTCTTGTGATATCCTCAGTTAAATTTAAGCCTTGATTGTTTATTTGTTTGGAATTAATGGCCTGAGTAAGTGAATTACTAATTGAACAATTACTAAAATTTTTTTTTCGGCCTTTTAGTGAACGACTCTGAAAATCAGAATACGAAATACTTTGATCAGGTACGCTTAGATTTAAATTTTCGGGAGGAATCCCAACAACCTCTTCTGCCACATCGCATGAATTATAGATTTTATCCCATGTGTTCATTGTACACACCCATTCTTCAGGTAATGTATTAGGGTTCATTCCCAACGGTAACTTTCTCCATTTCTTACAAAGCTCACATTGAGCCCAATCGACCAAATCAGAAGAGACTTCCATTTTATATTATACATCATTTATAGTATTTTTAAAAAAAAAATTAGTCCAATTTCTTTAAATAAAATTTAAGCGCTAATTTTGAACATCAGAAACGAGGACATATGATAATTTATTTTCTATCTTTGTTACGCACTCACCGTCAATATTTGTTTTTGAGATTTCACTATTTAAAATATTAGGCGTACTATCAATAAACATATGGTTGCTTACGAAGTGCGTTATCCAACTAATTGGGTTAAAACTTTGATTACAGAATGATATCGTACATCTTTTTTGAAATAGTATAGAACATTCAATGCTACTTAACTGTTCGACTTGTCTTGAAATTATTATGTTCCCGTTTTCAGATATTCCTCCCAGTGCCAAACGTATAATAATTTCTTCCTCTAGCTCTATATTTGGGCATATGATCACTGTGCAGAATCCCAAATTTCGGGTGTAGTTTAATAGTTTTTTCGTAGTGGAAATGAAATCAGAAAAACAGATGATATTTAACAATCCTAAATAGTTTTTGTTTATTCCATGTTCAGTTGAATTGTATTCTGCGCTGGTACAAAGCAATACCGTTACAGGAACTTCTTTAATCAAGTATGGATATGTCATTACACAACCCAACAGTAAATTAGGAGCAATTACACATACTTGAAATGGAGAGTTATTCTGAGCACTGAAACTTGTAATTGGAGATTCAAGCATTTTATTCCAAGAAAGATACCAAGTTATTAACTTTAACAATTCATTTCCTGCGTTAATTAAATCAAATTTATCGTTAAGAAAGTATTCATTCATCAACAGATTCTTGGAAGAAACCCACAGTTGTTCATTTACCAACGGTTTAATATGAGGATTATCAGGGATATAAATTGAATATAAACTCGGTTTAAGTAGTTCCTCATTATTTGCCTCCACATTAATTATTTTAACAAACGAAATGTTCAGAAATCTACTCAAATCTTTTAAAGAATGAGCAGCATTTTTTAGAAAACTACAAGCATGTATTTTAACAAGACATTTAATTTCTGGGGATAAATTCAGCATTTTATTGTAAATTTTAATATTTATTTCGCTTTACCCCTCATTTTTTGCAATTTTTAGCCTTGATGCAGGATAAAAAAAAAAGTAAAGATGATTGGAGAGAAGATCTCTACAATTTGATAGAACTATTGAGAAGGAGGCAGCTTATTGGATCTCAAGCTCAGGGAAAGAAAACACTCGAAGTCTTGAGACAAATAGTTGATAAGTGCACGTGGAAAAGTGTAAATGAGCTTATTCTAAAAATAAAAGAAATCGGCTCAGAAGTTGCGTCAATTGATCCTTTAGCATTTTCTGTTAACAGTACTTTTAGGAGGTTTCTTAACGTAGTAAGAAAGGAATATATCAAATTGTGTACTAAACAGCCGGCATGTTACTACTATTTTAGTAGCTCTGAAAACACTGATTTGCAAGGAGATGTAAATATGTGTCTCTTAAGATCCGCAATTTTCGAAGGTATAAATGAACTTTTACATGAATATGGACAATCTTGGGACTTTGACCAATGCCTGGATATTTTTACAGCAAACGAAACTGTTTTAATTTATGGTTATTCAAATTTAATTGAGAGAATGTTAAAGTCAATTTCAAAAAAAAAAACAAATCTAACTGTTTTTATTTTAGATGGTGACCCAGAAAAGTATTCTTATGAATTTGCTCAGAAAATTTCATTTGAATTTGGTATTAATGCTATTCTGATGTCTGATTCAAGCTTATTCAGCCTTATACCCAAAGTAAGCAAAGTTATTTTAAGCGCAAAAGCGATATTTCCAGATGGAAGTGCCGTTACACTTTCTGGTGGATACTTAATTTCACACACTGCGAAATTTTTCTCTGTTCCTATTGTAATTGTTGCTGCCCTCTATAAACTTTGTCACTTCCCACTTTTTGACACCCAGAGAACAAATTTAATCGTTCCGCCAAACCTCTTTGCAGACTCACTTAAGCAACTTTCAAATGTTCACTTTGCAATTAATAAATTGGATTTAATCCCTGATAATTTAATAAGTATTTTCTTAACAGAAAATGGATCAATGTCTAAACTACAACTATATGAGATTTTCAAGGGTAGGTTTCATCCAGATGATCTGTGAATAATATACTTGTACAATAATTGATGTATTAAATTAAAAAAACTATACAGTTATGCATATTCACGTCTAGTCTTTAATACATGAAGTATCTGTTTTTTTGTAATTTTACAATGAAGAAAATCAATTAACTTAACTTATGAACGAAATTCCGATTGTATTATTTTCTGTTAAGAATAAAGGAAATACTTTGTTCTTCGATGCATATTCTCAGACCGATTCCATTAATTACAATTCAAATGTGACCCCGCGTGAATACTCTAACTACTATCGCTTTTATGTAAACAAGTACAAAAATTATAATTCAATTAATGTGCAATCTGACCAATTAAAAAATAGTGTTTTTGAGCAAAAAATTGATCTTTCAAATGAAAAAAACAGACGTTGTGTTTGTAGTTCAAGTGAATATATTGAATTAGAAGGTAATCAATTGAAAAATGGCATTCCAATTACTCATGTACCACGTGAGAACGAAATAGATCCTAATCTAAACGATTTTGGAACAAAAAATTGGCAAGTAACCAGTTATGTGAAAAGCCAAAGCCCAGAACTCAACTTTCGTCATTCAAGCTCTGAAATTCATAATATTCGTTTAAATAATAGTCCATATTTATACACAAATAAAAATTATACTAAATACCCATCAAAACAAAATAATATGGGTGAAAGACATTATAATAGAGAATTATGTAGGCATTGCCAATATTCTTCTGTAAAAAACATTGATTTTTATATTGATCCATCTCCGAAATATAATTTTATTTCAAATTCTATTCCTGAGGCTTTAACAATGACTATTATGATAGGCGTTAATGCAGTTGTTGAAATCATTGCTAGTATTGCAGTGAAATTTTGTGCGAGAATTCCTGATAAGGACGAATTATATCCAGGAACTGGATGTGTTCTTATGGACTATTTAAATGATAAAATTGATCACTTATTAAATGATCAAGCTGAAATTCACGACGAATCCACAGAAAATCAACAATCTGAGAACGACACAAAAAGTTCGAATATAAACTGCGAGGCATGGATCAGCAACAAACTTGACGAAATCATGAATCATTCTAATTACAAAGACAGTGAAAACAAAATCCCTTATAAATACAACGGTCTATATGACGCACTAATCAAGAACTGCTATCACAAGGCCGATGAGTCAGGTTTTGACCCAGTTAAATATTCAGAGAACTTGCCGTACACCCTCCCATTTGTTAGCGCTAGAACACAAACTCTCCGGAGAGGATTCATAGATTATCCAGAAACTAATTCGTAATAAAGAAATGTAAACAAGCAGAGCCTAGTGAAAAAAAAATAAATTCTTATCTTTTTCCTAAAATTCACTAATTCTCAGCCGACCTTTTACACGGTCCGTAATACTTCGCCTTCTCAGCTGATGTCTGGAATCTGCCGTGCCCAAACTTAGATGAGGTATCGATAAACTTCAGATTAACCACTTCCAATGCTGATCTTGTCACAGGCGGCACCAATGATTTGCGTAATGTCAATAGTCTCTTCTTGCATCCGACGGTACAGCCTTTCAACATCAGGAAATCTTGATTGACAACGCCATACCTTGGAAATCCGCCCATAGGTGTAATTGTCTTCTCAGTCAAATCAGCAGAAGTTGATGCATTACGCGGATCGTCACCACGCCCAATACGGTAAATCTTCTTGTTCATTTCAGTACGCTGACCATATCCTTTCTGGCCTGCTCTTGGAACCTGGAACTGAACCCTAGCAGGATGCCAGGCGCCAATACAAGAAACCTTCCTCACACCTCTGCGCGTCTTTCTCGGAAGCTTCGTAACTCCCCATCTTGAGATTACGCCTTTGTAACCCTTACCCTTGGAAATACCGATAATATCAATCATCTCATTTTCGCTAAATATTGTGGACACGGGGATAGGTTGTTCAAAACATCTGACGCAAAAGTCTATTTTGTCTGATACAGAACCACCATTCACCTGTATTTCCATGATGTCTGCCTTTTTCTTGTTTAGTCCTGTCTTGCTAACCTGAGTATGACACAGAGCACGAATTACTGTACAGTACTGCTTGCATCTGGCAATCTCTGCTTCCATCCTCTGGTTCTCAGCATAATTCCTCGCATATTTGGTAAATGCCTTACGCTTACTCCTGTAATAATTCTTATAGAAACGTCTCTTGCATTCTTCACTAAGATATCCTGCAAATACAGTGGTCAAGGCTCTTAGACCATTCGGTGTCTCAATGTAACCGACAAACCCAACACATATCATAGGAGGAGTCTCAACAATCGTGACCGCCTCGACGACTTCCTTCTTATTAAGTTCTGAAAAAAAATGTAAGTTTCTGAATTAGACAACAACGAGGTATTATATATGTCACTTTCATGGTTTCTCCCAGAATCATCTTCACATAAGTGAGTGTAAAAAAACTACTCTTCTAGGGATAAGGAATATGAAAGGCAATAATAACGGAGCAGGAGCTCAACATCAAATCATCAATATAGGAGTAGTAATTGACAGCGAACATACGTTTATTTCAATTAAACGCTCAATTGCCAATTACTCCGAACTATCAATATACCACGTCAAAACAAATAAACTTACTTGAACCAGGTTTATCAACATCCCTAACGATATGGGTCATACCTGCTTTATAACCCATAAAAGCAGTTAGATGTGGTGGCTGACTCGAGTCATCCTTTGGAAAAGCCTTAACTTTCCCACGGCTTCTAGAACATCTCTTTCTAGGAAGGAAACCGAGGGATCCGGATCTTGGTCTTTCAAATTTACGATGTGACATTTCACTAAAACTAAAGTTGATGAATTTTATTAAATGAAATAACTGAATATGGTTCTTGGGACAATTTCTACGTATAAACCTTACCAAAACGAAATTAATTATATATAGAAATATATAATTACGTAAATTTGAGACGGCGCAACAAGTTCTTGCGCGCGTGAATTGGTCAGGGGCTCAATTTTCTGTAGTATATACATATTAAAGTTAAAACGCTTTAATGAGAAAACTAAAACATCCGACTTCACAGAGTTTGCTCGCAATGTTTAGATAGATAGTGAGTATAAAACGTCCTTAATAACTAATTGTCTTCCTATTTATATATGACTAGTGTAAGATGTTTTTTGTGCAAATGTACACTACATATTTCAAAGTAGTTCTAATAAAGTGTCAACTTAATTGATTAGCACTAGGAACGCCACCGAAAAAAAAAATAATGAAATTGGATACAAAATCAGAATTCTCTTTTCCTCGGGAGCGATTTCGCTTATAGATAATTGAATGATCCTGTAAATATGTATAACTGAAATTACTGTAAAAATCAGCTTTACAAAGAAATAAGGAATAATTAATGAAATTAGTGATATCACTGTAAATGGGAATATACAGTAACCCAGCATGCTTAAAATCGCAAAAAATGAGCAATTAATGCCTAAAATCTGCGCATTTAAAGCGATGGCAATTGCACCGTAAATTGAAAAAAAATGTAAAACTGAAAAAATCTTATCCTTGTTTTCAAATGGAGCTTTAATATATAAGCATGAAGATAAGAGTAGCAACAGAATGCAAGGACCCCATAAATCCCAATTATACAGCATTTTCAAATTATGCGCACGATCAAAATCATTCTTTCCAGCAGTAACAAAATAATGTAATTTGCTGTAAATGAGAAAAACATCCCTTTTAACTGTTTTCAAAAGTGGTTCGCTCAGTGTTCCACCAGAGTTTTCTTCATTATATATATCTCCGCCAACAACTAAATCTTTATCAATTTCACTCATTTAAAAAAAAAAAACTGGATTTTGTTGTTTTTATAGCGGTAAAAAAAAATTTTAAATTACGCCAGCCTAAAAAAGTTATATTTATGAATGTAAACTCTTCTACAAATAGTGTTGAGGCTGAAAGGTGCCTAGATCTTTTAGTAAATCAGCTCATTTCATCACAATATTGGCAAGGAACTATACGATCTCATCAAATCAAAAATTGCGTATCATTATTTAATAGATACCTACGGTTATCAAATCAGCAGGATTTCGAATGTTTGACTGAAGAAATAAGGAACCGAGTTGCAAATGAAGTTATTTTTAATGAGTTTCTTACTCAACTAAGTACAGAAGATGCCTCCGTAAACTCTTCTTGGCAATTTTATAAGAATAAATTCATCAATTTTTTAAAAAAATTAACGAATTTTCATCTGATTTTTTTGAATTATATTGAAAAAATAGAGAGTTTTATTTTTAATTTGTTACCAGAAATATTAAAAAATTCAATTATTCCTTCATATAGAAGACCACTGATTCTTTTATATTTACTAAACGTTATTCTGTTCATTTTGAGACTAACCGTCTTTAATTCAAGACCAATATTTAATAGTCATGCGAAAATCGATCGCTACTCAGCAAACAAAATTATTAATAAATTGGATGAATATAACTATCCAACATTTTTAGAAATAGTTTATGAAGTATTAATGTTCTTAGTAAATCTCCTAACATCAATTATTCCTTTAGTATTGCCTATAATTACATTGCACTTTATGAATAGGCAGAACATTCAAAATTAGATAGCTATTCGGATAAATAAATATTATAATCAGCTACTCATTTAACTAATCCTTGATTATCTGTTAAATAACTGTATCTTGGACCGCTAGAAATGTAAAATTTTTATCTGGAGCAATTAGAACAATTTGACTTTTAAAATGAAGTCTAATTAACTGAACGTTATTTGATCCTTGTACACCAAATACATTTGCGCACTTTACAATCTCCTTAATACAATCCGTATAGCTTCTTGATGTCTTCTTATCAAATGTCGATATTAAAGGTGTCATGTTGTCAGATTTTAAAATAATAATTCCAACTACACCTTTTTTTCCTTTTATTCTTGACAAAGTTTCATTCAAGTCGTTCTGAGAGTGTAAACAACACAGCTTATTAGTTTGTCTAACTTACCGAATTTAAACTTTCTTTAAAAATAGTCATTTCTATATGTTTTCCCTAATATTGCGCAATTATTCTACATCATATGGGGAGACTACATAAAAGTTTAACTTTGCGTCAAATGAATATCAGAAAATAGAACAAAATAGTAACTTTTAGTTATAAGCACTATTTTTAGGAACCTAATTTATTAAATTTGAAAAAAAATCCAGTTGTAAATTTCATCACGGTCTAATGTAAAAAATATTAATTACAATTAATATGAAGTTTATGCTATTTGCATTAATCATTTTTTTGAGTTATTGCTTTGTTCATCCTATAAATCAACAAAATAAACAGTTTGGCTACAATGATTCATACGAATATACCACTTCTAAGGAAGTAAAAAGAACGATCGGTGGACTTACATTCAATCTGAAACGATCTGGCAAAAAAAAAGGTAAAATCGAACAAATAGTAACTAAGTTCCCTCACAAAAAAAATCCATTAATCATTGCAAATGATTGGTCTCAAGAAGACTACATGGTTATATCATTTATTATTTTTTTATCAAAAAGACTAGATCTTGCGTCAAAGACCTTTGAAATAAAAAAATATAATAATTGGATTTTTGGAAACGTCCCTCCCTTGGAAGAACTATCAAGAGGAATTACTCATTTCAACCCTCTTCCTGAATGGAGAAGTTGGTGGGAGAAAGAAGGAGATAGTAATAAAATATTCGATCAGATAGATGATATTTATTTTTCAGTTACAAACACCCCAAATATGTTCAGATTTTCAGATGATTCAGCATCGAATAAAATTGTGAAACCATTCCTATCACTTGCATATATTTTCTCTAGAGAAATTATTAAAGACAATGCATTAATAAAAAACATGTCTAGAAATAATTACAAAAAAGAAGTTATTAAAAATCTTGAAACTAGAAAAAAGAAATTTAATTCATTATTCAACTTCGAAAATGACAACATTATAAAGGAGCAACCACTCAATTTTGAAAAAGAGAATCCAGAAAAAAATGATCACCTTTTTTTATTTAGAAAAGCATATAATCATGTTTTAATTGTCAAAAAAAGAAGGAAATTTAATTCAGAAAATGGAGACCATAATATTGAACTTTTACCAAACTGGTGGGAAAAGGAGTTAGACATAATAACTGCAATTATACTAACTATTTTTAAATACCAATATAGGCATAGAATGCAGATAATCGAAGCTGAAAACAAAATAAAAAATGACAACTTAAATTGGAAGAAAATTAAACTTTGCATAAAACAGGCGATCTTATGTACATCAACTGGTGCATCAGACAACTCATTAGATCATATTCCAATTTGGCATAGATTTGGAGAGAAATGGCAAAGCTTCCCACAAGGAGCAATGATAAGGATATTGGACAATGTATCGAAACTTTCTCTAAATACTAGTAGTTGGGATGTATATGACTATGTTATATGTTTTTGTTTTTATTATTTGATAAAAAGAGAAAGAATTAGGATCGATTGGTTTTCTTTAGGGCCGTTGTCAGGTTCTCCCAAGACTAGATTTTGGCGTCGATTCAAAAGGTTTATTATCAAAATATTTTCATCAAACAAAGGTATGTTTGATATGAATGATAAGTGGCATAGTTTGTCCGTAGAAATGGAGTCCGAAAGAAGTAATTAGGGAAAAAAATCGAATATACAACGGCGCAACTTTTTTTTTTTGCAAATTAAAAAGCGCAAAAAAAGTCTAAAGATTCCAATGAAACTTTTACTCCCATTAATATTTCTCATTTTTTTTGTATCCAAATCGACCACTACAATTCCTATTTCAAATGAAATAGTGTTAGCAATTAATGATAAGGTAAAGTCAAAATACCCAAACCTGCAGGTTCCTCCTGATTGGCAAAACCGTGTTTTCATTAAATATTACCCGGAAGAAAGTTCAATTAAAGTGCACTGCCCTATTGGTAGTGATGCCCCATTTGGTCGTACATTGATAAGAAACTTGTTTAGAATCTACAAGCATAACTTTCCAACTGACAGCCACATAAAGAAAATGAAACTTTCTTTCCAATCACCATCAGGTGAATTTATTACTGCCGAAAAATTATCTGCCAAAGGTTACTTATTTACTTTGAATGAATTGGTGGAGGATTTAATTGAGGAAGATAACAGAAGTGAAGCAAGTAGCACAATTTCGTCAATATTACCCACTAAGAAACTTTCACTTTCGTCTCTGTCTTCTTTGTCAGAATCAAACGTACAAAACTTCCCAATATATCTTTTTTTTACAAATGAAGAAGAAAAGCTAAAACAAGAGGGAATGGTTCAGCTTCTAGTGCAATTAGGTTTTAATGTTGCTCACATATTTGGAAATCCGCCGTGTACTATTGATTCAACAAATTGTTCATTGAGAATCCCGGAAATACTCTCACCAATGATTGAGAAGATTACTAATAATACAATATCAGAAGAGAAAATAAATAATAAATAAATGCATTATATAGAAAATAAGTATAAAATGATATCTTAGTTGGAAGAGTTCATAGTTTATGTTGAAACTCAAATGTTTGATGCCTCTCTTTCTTAATACCAATAGTTAATTTTAACTATGCAAATAAAAAAGACAAACATCGTTTAATTATCATAATTATTGCTAAATATTGCGGATATCTAAAATGTCTTTTTTTCAAACTAAAACGATAAAAAATACAGCGGTTCCTTGCTTGAATCTTTTCAGCATAGCTTAATGATTACTCGCTCTGAATGCAAATTGCACTGGAAGTCAGTGTTTAATTTAAGCATTGATTTCAAATTACTATTAATAGAAGGTCCACCAATATTTATTTAATGATCACATGAGGAGATTATTATTTATTAAGTTACTAGAAAGTTAATCGAAAAAATCTCCCAACAAATATGTCACTATTTCTACTAAAATATCTTTTCTAAGCTTAATCAACAAGAAATACAATATATTAGTTATTTTGCAATAGCAATAACTTGGGAGCATAAACTTTAACGAAAACCCAACAATCAAGTATTTGAATTGTTAAATATCTCCAAAATCAAATTAATAAAAAATATTAAAATTATATTGTTAAAACCTATATTTTCAATTTAGTTAGTTAACTATTAGAACCAGTTTTTAAAAATAAATACCATTACATATAAATTATGAATTTCATAAAATTTACAATTTTTTATCAAATAAAGATTCGTCGGTTCGCATGCAAATGCGTATTGTCTGTTAAAGAAATATTATTCTCATTCTTTCTTTATTTAATATGAATCTTCTTATATTCATTATTTTTTTACTTTTTCCTATATCAAACTCAATAAGACCAGAAAATGAGGGTATGTTATAGCATATACTATTTATTTGACTATTATTTCAGTTTATAATCAAAAAATAGCTAATTTTAACATTCTACCTGAAATTAATAACGGTACAAATACAAGAGGATTTGCTGATCTAAATAATTTACTAATCCGTAGGTTTCAATAATAAAATAATTTTTGAGAACAAAAGAATTTTAGTTATAGAAATTGCAGGTAAAATTAACAAACTTGAAGAAGGCTTAAAACGGAATAGCCTTAATAATACTCTTAACTCAATCAATAATAAAGTTTCTGAAGAATTAACTAAAGGGTTACTTGGGTATGTTAGTAAGCATACACTTGCAAACTTTAAAGACCCAACAAATATGGGAGAAAATGTATCCGAATTAAGAAATAGCTCAGATTTAGAAATTGATTCTAAGAATAACACAGAACATAAAGGTGCCGATGAAGTTCAAATAAATGGTTTAAACTCCAAATTAGACAATATTTCGAATAGTATTGCGATTACTCGTTTCCAGACATAGTTTATTCATCAAATATTTAATACTGCTTACAGCTCTAATGTAAAATAAATTATTGCTTTTTTTGGATCAGAGTGAATAAATTGAATTAAAATTATATTCTAATCTGTGTTAAATGCCTAAGAATTATTTTGAAATTCATGATATTAATATAAATTCCCCCACTTTATAGAAAAAAGTAATTTTCTTTTGTAATTTTACTAAATATTAATGATCAACCTTAGTTTTATTTGACTTAATATTTACTGTGCTATTGGCAATCCCTAGAAAAAAAAAAAAAAGGATAGGTATTGATTAGAATTAATGAAAACTTTTCTTCTGTGAAGATTTGACATAACATACCCTTACATATTTTTCTATTGAAAAAAAAAGAATTGATCGGAAAATTCAGTTTTCTTTATTTTCACAATTTTGCAATAATTAATCTATTTGTTTTAGAGTTTAGAGTTATAAGTTATATTGTATCTTAATAATATGCCTTTTAAATGCTGCATGGGAAATAATTTACAAGATAATTCTAATGAAGAACACAAAGATTCTAATTATATTAAAAAAATTCCAAAGCCTATTGATCTGAATGAAGGTTACAACAGTCAATTAGAATTGCTCATTTTTAATAATAGGCAAAATAACAATAGAATTGATCGAGGATATCATTTTATAAATAAAGCTACAAACAAATCAAAATACGACTCAGCAAAATATTTCAGCATTAACCCAATTACATTTGTTGAGACAAAAGTATCTAATGTAGTCAATACTCCAGGTGGTCCTGCAATTGCTGAAGCATCTTCAAACATCGTTTTTTCGGGTTGTAATTCACCAATTAACTTAGTTACATCAATAGAAGCCACACCTAATGCAAAGAATTCGAGTTATATTGAACCATTTCTTCCAACAACAAATAAAATTAATCAAACTGACTCAAATTACAGCATTGCTGAAAAAAAAAAATTAGAAGATAAAAATTTTGTGGAAAAAAGTAGTGAAATAAACAACTACTCAGAAATATGTAAAGCCTCTGATCAAAAAAAAGGACATATTAATGTTGAAGAGATCAAATTTCCTCTTATTACCAAAAGTGATCGGGCTCAAAAAGAATTTGGATTAGAAAATACATATCCAGAAGAAATGAATTATTCAACAAAAAATGAAGATGAATACGAGTGTGAAAATGGTCAAATACAAAAATGCATTGTTAATACTGGTAATTTATCTGATGAATACAAATATGATAATGATACAATAAAAAAAAATGATAAAAATGAAGAAATAACAGATATTGGCATCCCTGATATAAAAAATGATATCGATGAGCTAATTTTGTTATCAAATAAGTCGAAAAATAAAGATAATCATTTAGAAAAAAAGAAAAAAAAATTTAAAAAAACAATTCATATAGAAATTTCATTTTCACCGAAAAATAATATATTTGTTGATGCACAGCACAATCAAAATAAGATTAAAACACAATTAGAACCACATAATAAAATTAAACTGGGATTAAATGATCATAATGGACAAGGTCCTACTCAAAGCAAATTTTTTTTTGGAAGTAATAATAAAAAGAGTACGTCTATTGATTCAAATGATAGTAATTCAAATAGATTTGATGAAAGTCCTTTTGAAGATAATCAAAAGGTGGGAAATGATGAGCCAATTAATAAAACTAAATCTTGTGAAACTTATGAATCTGAATTTAAACAAATGAGTGAAGAGCCTGTACATATTATGAATAATAATTCAACAAAGGAAGAAATATCTAATATTCGAGAAAATTGCGTTTCATCAAATTTACCTTTGAGCGATATAATTGCTAATACTCAAAATCAAGCAGTAATAGATTACAATAGTAGTTTTGAAAAACATTCAAGTCTTGATATCAAATCGTTCGAAAAATTAATTCCTTTTATTGACGAATCTGAAACAAAAATAAATCATTTAACCAATATTGAGAAAAACGAGAAGTCAAAGTGTTTTGCTAAAGAAAAATCATTCGACTCACTTACTGAAATTAAACAACCAAAAAATAAAGTGATTGAATTCAGTCGAGAAACACTTGAAAAACTGAATGGGAGCTTGCCAATTGTGGAGTCAGACCCACAAATGGCACAGTTGTTTGCTTCCGCTCAAATACGAATTGAAGATATAAACAACCAAAACAAATCTTTTGAAGATATTAATTCCCCTGAAGAATGTGATCCAATTGATTCCATTGTTAAATTTTTAGACAATCCATCAAAATACAAAGATTCAATTTCCTGGGCAACCATTAAAGCAATAAAAGAGGTTTATGAACCACAAGTTGAATACGCAAAGAAAGAGCTTGAAAGATGGATGAATAGTGAAAACAAATCAGATGAAAGCGAGGAAAATATAGAATATTACAATAATCTAATATCTGAATTGCAAGAGAAAGTAGTATTGGCAGAAAAGGCAAGAGAGTTACTTTTAACACAATATAAAAACGATGATATTCAATTCATGATTCAAAACGAAAAAATTTCTTTAGAAGAAATTAAAAAAAAAATAAGCAAAGAGAGCAATGAATTGAAATTTCTTGAAGAAAGATACTTAAATGGATCTTTGAATCTTAAAGAAGAGGTTAGGACTAGTAGAATTAAAATACAAAATTTAGAAAATGAACTGAAAAGTAAATTGGCAGAGATTCATAAATTGGATGAGCTGCTAAAGATTCATGAAGATTGCTGATTATTTTAATCTAAAATTCAGATTCAAATCTCTATTTGAAAAAACAGTGATATTTGTGTTTAAGTAAAATCACGGATAAATTAAATTACATTAAATAATTAAACGGTGTTTAATTGGTATATATAATATAGAATTGTATTAGAGAAGGAATATGATAGGAATAAAATAAATAATTTTTATCATTGGATTCAATTTTTAAATTACTGTGAAAGTATTTGTTTGGTGAATTTTTGTTTAATAGATTTATTAATATCTAATAAAAAATTGCTTGTATTATACATTCAAATGGGGATTTTGGTTGGCTCGAATAAGGGATGAGCTTTCATCCATACTTCTTAGTAAACTCTTTTCCGTTACAGAATTAGAAAACTTATTTATTCCAGAGTTTTGGAATAATCTCCTTAACTTGTAATAAGCAACGTATTCGTTACCTCTACCACCTGCTAATTGAACCAAATACAACGAATAAACTATTTGAATAGAATAGTATGAGAAAAAGTATGTAATGAGCAACAAAACAACTGAAATAAATATTGAGACTGCTGCGAGAAACCAATTTTTCAAAATAAATATTAGCAGATATGTAATATATATAATTGAAGAAATTGATTTAATAGATTCTATCCATAGTGCAATAAGCAGAATCGCAGTTAACCAGAACCAACTGAGTATCCCTGTAAGCATTCCAAAAACAAAAATTATTCCATTAGTATAGCAAGAAACTTCAAGAAATTTCAACAAGGTTTTCAATAACTTTGTTTCTACAACTATTTGTGAAGTTAGTGTGGAGTTATTGATATTTCCAAATAATTGGTTTCCAAAAGTATTTATTAAAAACAACAATAAGTTTTTTACTAGTGGTAACTTCTCCCCATAATTACTACCACTTATATGGCTTATTCTTCCCAATAGTAATATGCCTAGAAAAACAAATTATATTTGCTAAGAAATGTGAATATCTTACCTATATTAGAAAATATATGCATCATCCCATATATAATCGCAATTACAATTACACTCCCCTTCAAGTTTAAGCAACAAAATGCTGTTCCCCAAACTCCGCAGTTTCGAGTGTTTGTTCGAAGTTTTTTGTCGTACGCATCTTCATTCAAAAGACTAGCCTGTGCAGTAGAAACAATTGATACCATATGAAGACAGTGTTGGAGTTTTTATTAGCTTAAAACGGAAAAAAAGTAAACCTCAAAATAGTAATAAAAAATAGATCTTATAATTTACCGCCAAATAAATATTACCTAAGTTCTAAAGTAAATCAATTGCAATCTGATTGTAACCTATCAATGCTGCTATATTTGTGACAACATTGATTTCTTGTTCACTATATATTTTTTCAAGGCTGAACATTTCTTCATCTTCTGTTCGAATAATCCTTTTAAATTTTGGTTTTAATATAATCGTCCCCTTTTTCTCATACTTTTCTCTGTGTAATTCTTTGTCATTAAGAAACTTTTCTAGAAGAAACTGGTGAACTCTTGCTTTATATAAACCTTTATTGAATAGTTTTGCTTCTTTTCTTTGCTTCATTAATTCTGGGCTAAATAGTGCATGAACAAAATTCGGAACCTTCCTTCTCTCAGTTTCCCATTCAATTATTCCGGTTCCATTATTGTTGCTAAGAGCTAATCGCCTTGATTCCCATTCTTTCTTTGCGATTTCTCTTCCCTTCTTGTAGTAATACTCCTTTTTAATATTTTTATACCATTCCTTTTTTATTTTCTTTTCAGAAAAATTGGGTTTCTGCTTATTAATGATTTCTTTTGTTGCATGAGGTAGTATTGAAAAGTGAAAATTATTCGGATTCCGTTTCATCAGGTTTAGTATCTTCCCTGCTTCAAATCTATCAATCTTAGAGTTAGTTTCAATTCCGTCTTTTTTTAAATCTACAAGTTTGGAATAGTTCAGTGATCCATTTGGTAGTTGATACTTAAATAGTCTCAACCCAACAATAGGATTAACATATAGAGATTTGCCATTTTTATCCCTATCAATATTTGAAATTTGTCTTTTTACATAAAAGTTTTCAAATGTTTGGTAATCGGAGAGGTCCACTCTAAATATATTGCTTGAGTAGTTATTACTATTATTAATTAGTGTTGCCCCGATACTCGTTATATTTCTTAACATAAAATTAGGTGGTTTGTCTAATTTTGGAGATGTTCTCGGAAGTTTTAGTATTGAATTTTCAATGTACTGATCAAGAGTACCTAGTTTCTCGTTCTCAGATTCTTCAATTTTTTGATCCCTTTCCAATTTACGATGAGGGTACATGTTTTCAAGTATAAGGACCAAGATTTTTGTTGAAAGTAAGTTTTGGAGTTCAGAGTACTCTTTTTTTTCTATATTAGATATTTCTTTCGAGTACCAAATCCCAATCTCGCAGAAATCAAGATAGCTCAATGAAGAAACAGTTTTTGAAGCCAGCTTATGTATTGCGTCTAAATGGTTTAATTCATCTCCTTTGAAATCGCTGAAATTTTCAAACCCGTTTTCATTAAGTTGCAGAATTGAAATCATTATATCATTTACAACGATGTCTACGTTCTCTTTTTTTTCATTTTCTATATCAAACCTAAAGAGTGGCTTTAGATGTTTATTTGAGCATGTTTCCCAAAAAATACTTCCCTTGCAAATACCTTCAATAATACTCAAATCAGGAGCCTTAATTATACCTCCATATATATTCATCTTTTCGAAATAATTAGTGCTCTCGTTGTCTAACTTGATCTTCGTTAATTGAGTCTGAAAAATTTCAGTAACCACTTGGACACAATTAATATTAAAATACCTTGTTTTTGATATTTTAGTTACATGATTACATATATCGTGGTATTTCACTGTAGGTGGAAGACTTATTTTAAATTTATTATTATTCTCGCGATTAAAGCGTTCCACAAGCTTGTCTCTTTCTGCATTTTTGAAAAATATAGATATTTGTGAGTCGAATTTGTTTAGTTTGACCATTTCTTTTAAAATTTCTTCTGAAACTAAATCAACCCATTGCTTTTCATAAAGCGAGTAGTGGTCTTCACCTTCTAAAATGCAGGTTGCTTGCTGCCACCTTAAAGTGTCATAACAAATTGTAAGTGCAGCTGATACAATATGCTTAAAAGAGGTTGAAGGCTTTGTATCTCCATAAATATTTAGTGTTGGTTTATTAAACCTTTGGGAGACTAAAAAATCAAATAAGTATTCAATACAATCCGTTTTAAAATATTCGGATGCAACAAATTTATCGCTTAAATAACATATTTCCTCAAAAGTAAAAATATTTGGGAAAATTTCGTTTAATCCTGTTGTTAACTCAGTTGTTAAAATATCTAAGTGCTCTCTTAGCTTTGGATCCAATACTACCTTTGAATATTTACATGATTTCCAAGAACTAGTGGATCTACAAACTTGAAGTGATCTGTTATAGTTACCAATTATTTGTTGAAGTATTACTGGGCACTTCTGATTGAAATCTTGTGCATTTGCAATCTGAGTTGCCACTTCGCACATATCACGAAATTCAAGTCCAGCAATTCTTGAAAGCCTTACTAATTCGGTTGCAAGATTGTCGATGTTAAGTTTCTCCTCAATATCTGATCCACCATTGCAACTCATCCATCGGTTTGTGCTTGCACAAATTTTTCTGGCTAAGCCAGCAGGTATTTGCTTCCTTGTAGCATTTTTTAGACGATTAACAATTTTTTTTGAAAGTTTCTGTTCATTTTCAGCATATTCTTCAACATATCCAATTTCCTTAACCCATTTAGTACATTGATAATTAAAAGATTCGGTCCTTGAATAAGATTTAATATGAAACAGAATAATTCCGACAAGGCACAGATCATTAAACTTCACATTAGACAATTTCAGATCGTGAGCTGCCTCTGTCATCTGTGTTACAAAGGAGTCAATATTTGCAAGAGCTACCATACTTATATTTTTTTTATCCATTCCTAGTTGTTTCAATACTTTGCTTGATTTAACTCCCTGACACGAGGGTGAAGGCTGTTCATCTAATGGGCTTGGTTTCCTAATTTCATCCTGCCATGAATCACGCCATTTAGGAATAATAGCATAATTCATTGCTATAAGGGTCTCCTTCCAAACTAAATACGCTTTTTTTGGACTTATCATATATTTATTGATGTATCTAGACACTCTATAAATATATTGTGCACCTTGTACTGTACCTTGAGGTGAATACCCCCACTTTTGAATTAGCCCTCCCAGGCCACCATATTTAGGTTCAGATATTTTTATTGGAATTCCAAGGACTTTCTTTGAAACAGATACGAGCTTTTCCGAAAATAAGTTCCAGTTAAATTCTGGCATCTTAAATACAAAACCTGAATTTTCGGAATAGTTGTAAATATCTCTGGGGAAGTCAGCATAGTATTTCTTCACTAACTTATAATCTACCATTTCTGGGGAATATTCCTTAATAGCCTCATCATTTAGTGCAACATATCCTCTAGCTTTAGAAATAATTCTTAACTTCTTTTTTAGTTGAATTCTTTCTTCTTTTTTCGTCAGCTTATTTGGAAGATCGGTTTCTGATGTACACAAATTTAATGGATTGAAAGTTCTTCTTAGAACCTTTTGATAATAAATTCGATTATCCAATTTATAGTCACTTTTTTTCCTTTTCACGATAAAATTGTGACTCTTTAGATACATTTCGGAAAGTTTTCCCTCTAATTCTCTGCAAAATCGTGATGCTTCGCTCTTAATGAAGCTGATAAAGGTAACAGGATCTTCTTTGCTGATATTCCAATAGTGACTGTATCTACTGTCAAAATTTTCTGAAAAGTTCCAAATATCATATGAAATTAAATTTATACAAAGGTTATTGAAATATTCATTTTTTATTCCGTACTGAATTAGTGATTCTGCCATTGCACAGCTTGACTCAGGATTAAAGGTTGGAACATATTTTTTTCTAATAAAGAACAATTCAATTGCAATATTGTTGATTGCAGACGATATTTCGTCTGTGATACCCAAATTATTGTTTGTTTCAATACAATTCAAATTTGTAATACTTAAATTGTCACAAATAGTTTGGGTGAGTTCTGGTGTTAGCAATATTTGAGGCCAGTGTTCAAGATTAGTTATTTGTAATAGTAAATAAGGGCAACTCTCCTTGATCTCCCTTAAGCTACCTCTTTGGAGTAATAGTTCTGAAATGACACAAAAATCGGAGTTTTTTATTGTATTTAAATCCAAATACTTTGTTGAAATTGAAAAGAAGTTTGATGCAAGAAGACCTGATAATCCATTTCTTGAATGAATACAATTTGAATTAGAAGAAAGTAAATTACAAATCTTGTTTATGGTTTTGTCTTCAAGCTCATAGAATAAAAATAAAGGGTTTTCTATTGTTTTAGAGTTTTGTTTAATCATTTCTAGATATTCAAATTCTTTAAGCAAATACTTGCACTTCATAAAATCATTTTCACCGTTCCCATTTAAAAGTTTTTCAGCAAAGATACAATACCTTCCAAATTTCCAAATATTGATATTGTTTAATAAAAAAATTTTTCTTAGTTTTGAAGCAAGTTTTTCTATCCTAATTGAATGAAAGCCACGTAACAAGTTTTCTTCAATATCGCACTTATGCCAATTGAAAGGCCTTGTACAAATTCTTTGCTTTTCTATTTCAGTGAGTTTAATATTTAAATCCTCCATTGTTGGAATATATAACTTGAAGTTACTTAAGTACTTGGAACATACTTCTAAATAATCTTCTGAATTAATTTCGGTAAGCTTTGAGGCAACATTGCATAAATCCGTGACTTTTAGTTTTGCCATTTCAGGAAAATATTGCATTTCTGAGTAAAGGCCCACGGAAATAGCAGATACAATGGCTTTTTCGTTTTTGCATGGAACTGAAGAACGCAAAGATTGAGTACATATAGAAATAGCATTATCCGTAGAAATTTCTATAAATTTTGTGGGAAGTATAATTCCTGAAATTAGTACTTCAACGCAAGAATTTAAGAAATATGGATATTTTGTTGCTATACCTGGTAAATTTCTCGAGACCGGTTGTTTTTCTATTGATCCATCGTAGATCAGTTTCGCACCTTTGCAAATTGATTCAATTTCAGATTCTTCAATTATCTTCAATTCATAAGTTATTGTTAATCCTTGAATTATTTCAGATACTAAATGCTGAATGCTTAGATTTTGATTTTCGCAGTAAATTTTAAATGCAATTGAACCACTGCATAGTGAAATTGCATCATCTAATTTTAAAATAAATGAGTCAGTGGATATTACACTCCTTGTTATTGCAACACATTCATAGTTGAAGTTGGAAATATCTTTTGGATCCTTCTGTATACTTTCCAAAATTCTCTTGGCCAAGGGGTGGAAATAATGTAATTCCCATTTTTTCAGTGAATTTATACTTTTACTTTTTTTATAAAGTTCTGAAACCAAAAGTGATTCTGTATAATCTTCATTGGAAAAGGTATTTGGAGAGATATGACTACAAAGAATTGAAATAGTCAAAAATGACGCCTTTAAATTGGAATTGTGAATATGCTTTGCGCAGATTGCATTGAAGTAATATGGGGAATCATTGATTTCATCATCTGTGAATATTGAATGAACAATTTCACAAAATTCAATAAAACTTGAAATTTCAGAAATAGGAAAATATTGATACATGGTTGAGAACAATGTACTAGCAATATGTGAATATTCTTCTGGGTATCCATGACATACTAAAGAACGATGTGTTACTGCACAAGTACCCTCCGCAATTTCAGAAGTGAATTGAGTACCAATTTTCATTAATTCCCTCATGCATTCACTTCCAAAGTTTTTTGGGTCTACATCTAATAAATTTTTTGCTGCTTTACAAAATTGAGATTCAGATATATTTCTCATAGAAGCAAATTGATGCGAACCAAAAAGTAAACTATTAGCAAGCAAATCTAATTCAACAATTTCTCCACATGGCACTCTCCAAAAATAATTATGAACACATACCTTTATAAAATTAGTAAAATTATATGGTTTGTTTTCACTGAATGAAATGTTAATGTTTTTTCTTATCAATTTGAGGTTTTTAATAAAACTCAATGAACAAAAATGGTTAAAATAAGGAATAATAGGAATTGAGTCTATATTATCGTATTCCTCAGGGATGGTTGATTCAGATATCAAACAAATATCATTCCACTTAAATCGGATACTAATGCCCATTTCTGCCAATAATCCATAATAGAATTCTGACGCGACAAATTCCGTTAAAAACTTACTTTTCATATTGCCATTTACCGTACACTTCTCCCATCTCAGTGAACTACTACAAATAAATATTGCGAAATTTATTGGGATATACTCGCTGTTACTTTCATTGACGCCTATAAGTTCTCTTACACACTCTCTGTTAAAGTATCCTGATGTTATTCCATTAAACCGAGCGTATGAATCTATTTTATCGATATTATTTAGAACCCAACTGATTGAATAGTCTTCAAGCCTGTTTGCAGAAGATCCAAGCCCATTGTTTAATTTATTCAAATTTGAAATAATGTTTTTTGCAGCTATACAAAAAGTATTTGTCGGTAAATTGTAATATTTTTTTGATGAAATCAAAAGCTCCTGCGACAAAATACTTATCTGAGGTAAATAGATGAAGTCTTCATCGTTTTCAGCTGTACAACCGCTGACCCAAAACAGTACAGAAGAGCTGCATACTGAAACAGCTTCCAGAGTTTTTATTGGCTGTGAAATGATCCCTATAGTCGTTTTAAAAGTAATTGGATAAGTTGAAAGAATTCGCCAACATATTGAATTGAAAAACTGCCCAAAGTTGATTTGTGATTTAGTGGAAAGTTCTTCATTTTGTATTCCACTTATGTCTTTTTGAATTATACCTGCTATATGGCATAAGTCATCTATCTCTGCAAATTGATAATATAATGAGCTAAACATATAGGTTGGCAGTTGGTGTACCTGCTGTAGTAAGGTAGTAGCTAATAAACTGATTTTATCATTAATAGAAATGTAATTTAATTCTTTGTTGTCTGAAAATGAATGAATATTATCGAAGTTTTTATCATCTGAATTATAAGTACATGATATCCATAGAGGATTATTTCTACATATTTCAATTACGTTCTTTGTTGAAGGTAGCCAAGATTTACCAGACAAGGTAAGCTTTGAGGGCTTTGACAGTTCATCTACACAAATGACATTAAAATAATTTGTTAAATCTCCTTTTGAAATCATTTTCTCGGATATTCCGCAAAAATCAATAGGTGATATTCCTTCGAAACTGCTTGAATTGGATAGATAATCGTGTTTAGAGATCTCAAAAAATAGAGAAGATGCAAGTAGATGTAAGTCCGGAATGTCACTGTAATCGATTGAATCAGATTTTACACAAATTTTAGACCAAAATGTTGTTATTGAACAAATTGTCAATGCGTCTCTAATACTAAAAACGATTTTATTATCAAAATTGATTTGATTAGAAGCTAGCTTGTCTACACATAAATGATTATAACTTGAATAATCTTTATTACCCAAATTTAAGTTCAAGCCACAAAATGCATCAATTGGAATATTGCTTAACTCGGAGTTTTCATTCATTGTTAATAATACTGCCAAATGAATATCGGTTGCAATTAAACTATCTATTGAAGCCTGGTCTTGGCAAACATTTCGCCATTCCGGTAGCTCTCTGCAAACCAAAATAAAGTTTTGAATCATCTTGTCAATTGAGACTTGACCAACTTGTTCGTTCACCCATATTTCATTTGGAGAGTTTCTGTAGTAGTTTAAAAGCGAATTTACACAGAATGAATTAAAGTGATCAAAATCCCCATTGTTAATATCCATTACAGGATTTAACAGGCTATCCTGTTTAATTTGTGAATACCCCAGACCATGCAATTCATTTAGAATATTTTCCAACATAATCCTACTTTTATCAATTTCCTGGCAATATACATTTCTCAGGAAAATGAATAAAGCTGAATATGCTAGCAACAATTGAATTAATAACATATTTATACATTAATAGAATAAATATCAATATTTAATAAACCTATATTTTTTTTAGAAGACAATTATGTTTCTAGCATCACATAATTTACATAGCAACCTTATGCAAGTATGATTTCGATACTTAGATAACTAGCGCCAAAATACCCCACACAAAAACCTTTTTTTTTTGCTGAGAAATAATGACGAAAAATATTAAAAACTAAAGATCAATGAAGTAAAAAAACAATATTTCATTATTTAATTGCTTAAATAGCTTTAGTACCTATTGATATATTTAGTGTATTCAATTAATCTTCATTTTTTGCCTGATATTCAGTATAGTATCCATCTGCTTTAGGACTCATACCATAGGGTAGGTATTGCAAATTCTTATATTCTTTTGTACGACTAACACCGTCGAAATTACCACCACGAAATTCATTGGCAATTTTGTTGTCTGGAACAAAGAATTTCTGACCCAATAAATTAGCCCAGTTATATCTATAATGATTACTGTAGTAACTATTTCCTGCCATTCTCTGGTTATATGACTTCCCCTGTAAGAAAACACCTTCAGAGCCATCATTTTCTGCAGAACTTCTCATCTTGGTCTTTTCTATCAAATTTCTTCTGAAATCCGTTTCTTCATATTCTTCTACTTGAGATGCACCATAGTTAGGATCATAATAATTGAAGAATTTCTGACAAATCTTTTCAGCCTTCTCAAAATTTTCGGAGGAAATCGATCTGATAGACCTACTGTTGATTTTAAATTGCATTACCCCGATTAAATTCTCTTCTGAAAGTGAATGTAACATATTACTGACTATTTTTGGACAGTCAATTTGAAATATTGAAGTTTCATGACCTTCTAAAACTCTCCCTGTTTCTGTAACCTCTTTAATAGAAAAGATTTCTTTTGCTGGATCACAAAAATCAACAAACAAAAGATCTAGATATCCAGAGTCTTGTGAAGATTTATACAGTGCACCTGCTATTGGATCTATTTGCTCAATTATTGACGAGTGTTCATCAATTGTTCCAATACATGTGCCTTGCCAATGTCTCGAACTTTGACAAATCGACTTTCCATACTCCTTACTTATAGACATTGCTGCAAGAGCATTTACGCATTCACGATTGAAAAATCTCATATCTATTTCATGAATAAGTGCTTCAGCTATCGGACAAAAGTCTACCAACTCAAATAAAGATACCGTTATGAACCTTGCAAGGCCAGTATTTTGAACAACCTCTGAGTATAATTGAGATGCTAACGCATCCACTTCAGAGTCCAAATAATTTCCACACATTACCCAAAACCTAGTTGCACTACATATTATTTCTGCATGCCTAGCACCAATAGAAAGCGTCCTTAATCCATAAATACAATCACTATTAAAAAAGCTACTAATATTTGCATTATTTTGTTGTCCTTTGGGAATTAAGCCTTTAATTTCTCCTCTTCTTATATTTTTTACGACACTACATAGATGGCGATAAGTTATCGATGTAAATCTAAGTTTTTGGGCACCCAATAATAGCTCATACGATATCTCATCTATTTCATTGTTCTGATATTTCCCACACTTTTCGAACTGCGGTGAAGACATACATATTTTAGTGATGGTCCTTGTTTTAATTGTTGCAAGCTTTACATGCCCATTTATAACTACTTTTTGTCTGAACATTAATCTCAGATTCCTGGCACATTCAGAATTAAAGTATTTTTTCTCAACTTTTGATAGAGCAAGCACAAGCGAGCAAAATGATTCAAATGTAATTGGGTTTGATCCTTTAACTGCGTTTCCAGATAATGAAAATGCTAGCTGTTTATCTTCATCTAAAAGTGAAACTGCCTTCTTAAACAAAACATTTGCGACATGCTGGACATTATCTAAATCTAATTGGCTATCATACTGATAATTAACATCTTCTTCTGAATATATTGGTTTAAACTGTTTACAAATTTGATCAGACGCCGCAGAACGTTCAAGCGCAGATCTAGCTGCTGTTTTTATTACATATGAATATATATCTCTATCTGTTATCATGTTTGGTTTTGAATATGGTTTCAGCGCTTTATTCAGTTCATCTTTCTTCTTCAAATTATCTTGAATTATCAAAGATGCATAAGATAACCCTGATGAAGTTGATTCCCATCTAGGAGTATCTTTACATATTTTTGAAATTTTGGAAAATGGAATTGTTAAGTATTTTCCTGTAGTCCTTCCTGTCTGGGCATCAATTTCCGGAATGTACTTTAATGCTTCAATACATGATGAATAAAAGTCTTCATTTCTAACTCCAATTAGAGCTTCAGATGGTTTACAAAATTGAGAAAATTTGAAATCTGTTAGATTGTTTTCATGAGAAACGCTCAACAATTCAAGCGCAAGTGCATCAATATCCTCATTGTTAGTTCCACAATTTAATTTCAAATCAATTATATCTTTTTCTGACCTCGCGATAATTCCAGGTGTAAGGCTTGGAGTAAATGGTGGCAAAATTTCGATTCCTATTGATAATACAGAATCTTTCCAGATGTTGTATGCGGTTTTTGGTAAAATGTATTTTTTCGAATGCAAAATAGCAAGCATTCTAATATATTGAGGATTTTGGATAGACCTAACATCTACGGTATTTAATGAATAACCTAACATAAGCATTGCTTGCGATTCATCACTACCAGGAAAGGGAAGTTCAATAGTCCAACCAAGTATTCTTCTAGATGTAGCTTTAACTGAGTGCATCAAATTCATAAATAATTCCAAAATTGATTCACCTTGTTTTTTTTCAATTACTTTCTTTTTTTTAAAACCAGGAATAAAAATCCTTCTTCTATACTTTTTTTGATAAAATGATACAGAAGTGCAAATAGAAGTTGCAATATCATGAAAGTGTTGAACAATTTCCCCACGGGAATAAAACTTTTCCATCAGTCCATATCTGTTCTCAGAATTATGAGTAAACTTTTCATATTCTAACATTGGTGTAAGGTACATTGCACATTCATATAAATATCTTTTTCTAGTTGAAATGGGGGTTTTTGTATTAGAAGGAATACGTAGGGTGGGAGAAATTTTTGTCAGAAACTGACAGATATTATTCATATCCACGTTTGGAATTCCTTCTTTTCTTACCAGAACAAAAATTTCAAATGCAGCTTCGGTTATCAATTTTGTATTGCTAAATCCATTGCATTCTGTATTATATATCCATGTTGATTTACAAATTTGTTCAGCAACAGAGGGAGTAACTTGAGAACCTGACATCTCATGTAAATTTAGTAGCAGGAGAATACTATCCTGGCAGACTTCTAAATACTCTTCGCGGGTTCTTGCCCTTATACTTCTTGAGGAAACAAAACAAAAATGAGTAAAAGTAAGAGATTTTTTTGCAGCTGGTAAGACGTGAGGCATTGCTGCTGTCAACAATTCTTCAGTTAAGGAATCAAGTGTCCAATCAACTCCATTGCATGTAGAATGTTGTGGCATATTTCTGCATAATCTAATAATTGACTGCTCTAATAATTTAGTTACTGGTCTTGAGAGTAAAAATGAAATCCCAGAACTTTTGCAATGTTTCATAAAAGATGATTTTGTATCAATAATTGAAATAGCAAATGCGCACACTTTATGCCAAGATAAGTCCACTGAAAGTTCTGGTATTTCTGATTGGAGAATAAATACACGCTCAGCCAATCCATCAACGTCACTTCTATTTACATTGCACGATCTAGAAGCGGGGCAAGAAGATGCTGCCCCAGTAATTTCTTTCATGTATCCGGGGAGAACGTTAATTTGTTCATCTTTTAGTTTTTCACCTCCATAACTCCACCCACTTTGAGTTCGAATAAAATTTTCAGATAAATTTTCTGGATCAAGTTGTAAATCTTCCAATTGAAATCTAGGTACTGACTCAAATGAGTGATTGCAAAGAATAAGTGCACTATCAAAACACAAAATAAGCAAGCAAATTAGGACTGTAATGGTTAAAGAATGCATATTTGAGTTTTATTCATTGGGAATAGTCAACACAAAATGAATAAAAAGCATGAGATTTGCCGCCATAATATTTAGATCCTAAAAAGTTCACTATAACAAATATAAAAAAATTTAATCAATTACAGAAATGAAGTCAATTAACTAGCCAGTTGAGTATTTAGGTTTTAAGAAACAATAATAATGGAGCAAGTTACATATTTTTCCCAAATTATTGTATCACAAATTATATTTATATAACGTATTTTGTAAGGGCGGTAGCTACATATACCGCTTTTAATGTTACCAAATATATTCTGTGTCTCAATTTTGTCCGCTCTCTGATTTAATGGATAAATAGTTAGGAGTCTCGTCATTTTTTTAGGTTTAGTCGAAATGCAGAAGAGTTTGTTGTTTTTCACATTAATATATTTATTTTGCTCGATCGTTCTTGGAGAACTTGCCTCAGAAGACGTTCCAGTTGTTACCAACACAACTGAGACAATTACTGTTGAGGAAACTAAAGAGAATATAGTTACTAACGATGAAGAACAAGGAGTTACAAACGCTACAAAATCAGAAGTATGCCCACAGTCTACGAGTCCATTCTCTGAAAGAACTTTGGTTCTACTTAAACCCGAAGTTACCCACAGAGCCCTTATTGGAGAAGTTATTTCACAGATTGAACGCAAGGGCTTTAAAATCGTTGCTATGAAGTTTTTGGTTGCTTCTGCTCAACAGATCGAAGCCCATTATTCAGATCACGCAGGAAAGCCATTCTTTGAGAGTTTGGTCGCCAGAACAACTAATCAGCCTATTGTTGCAATGGTACTTGAAGGATTGAGTGCAATATCGGAGTTTCGTAGATTAATGGGTTCTACAGATCCAAAGAAATCGGATATCGGGACTTTACGTGCGCAGTTCGGAATGCAGACTGAGAGGAATCTCATTCATGCATCTGACTCCCTGGAAAATGCCAATTTGGAAATCTTCCTTTGGTTTAGCCCAGATGAAATCTACACATATGAAAGGGCGGTAGATAAGTTTGTGTACTTCGGATAAATCTTGTAGTGTAATTTAATTCGCTGGCTATCTCAAAGAATTTTGTTCTATCCACTTGTGGACTATCTCAGTTTGTGGATCCTATACAGAATATGTATTCCTTCGGGAACTCTTCTTTGAGGATTTCCACGATTGTATAGAAGATTGATAGGAATGAGTATGAGACTTGGGGGTAAGTGGTGGGGGGCGCGGATGCTGTCTGTTTTTGGCCCGTGTTTGCTTTTGAGGTCGTGGACTGTGCTACAATGTGTTCCTCTTCTATCCCGACATACTCGTCCATATGGTTTGTGTGCTCCTCTTCGGACTGTGTATGAGTTGCGAGATGCTCGTCTTTGGGGCTCAGTGTATTCCTAGATGCTTTTGCGGTGGATCTTAGCACCCCTTCCACTTTATTTAAAACTACTGTTAACTTCTGAAGTATAGTGACTGTCTTCATCTCTCCACTGGGCGCGACTCCGAAGAACTTTGAAATTCTGGAGTCTGATTGCAAATTTAGCCGTTGTCTGTATTTGGTGGATTTTGATGGGAAATTTGCAGGCACGTCCTCGTTGGGGGGAGCGTTTAGGAAGCATGTGTAATCGGAATATTGAATCCTACCTGGATCTCCGTGGTAGTCGAGTCTTAGAACCATTGTTCTACTTCTTGGCATCCTAGAATACAATTTTGACATAAATATATGTCTGTCTTGGCTGTTCAGATTCTGACCGGGGTTTTTTACGTTTTTTTTTGAATGTTGGGAAAACGACGGTGAATAGTCATCCAAATCGTCCGTATTCCTACCTTTTATCGTAGCTAGTGGCAGGATTTTACCGGACCATTGGTAAAATCCTGACGCGATAAGATGTTTAACCATTGAGAAGGCGTATTCGCAGGATTTCCTTCCAGAGATTACAGCGATATATGATGATGTATTAAGTAAAAATGTGACCTCCTCTGCCATCCGATCATCAATAAATAGCTTTATTAAGTTGTACAGAATGTCGCATTCTATTACAACCAGGAAATAAAATGGAAAGGGTCTAGAAATATCATAACCGCATTTGGGGTAAGTTGGGCTATCATAAATAAACTCATTTCGAATCTCTCTGTAGAAAATATCTGGATGGGTTTCTTCTGGAAGTTTTTGAAGTAGCTTATTCATCTTTGCGTTGACTTCCCGAATGTCGAATGGGCTGTATGGGGTTGTGCCTATAGGAACAGGGATGGATTTTTGAAATTCGCGTGTTAAATTTTCTACATCACTATTTGGAATGAATTTTTTGACAACGATAATGAAAACTCTGTATTCTTCAGAAAAGTGTTCATGGACGCACCCAAAATTAAAGTGGGCTACCAAATCATCAATTAAGAGAATAGTAGTTCCGAACTGAATTTTTCCATTTACATAACCACGATATTTAACAAGATCTTTTATAAAAGGTAACTCTTCACTTCTAAGATCAAATGGCCAAACCTTAGGTAAAGAAGAAATTTTTGTAAATAGCTTTTTTAGAAAAGCCTTTCCTTGTATCTCATCCATACCATTAGTAATGGAATCGATAAGGAAGGGTTGTCCACCCATTGTTCTCTTAGCTTTTTGAATATACTTTTTATAAAATATTGTTTCTTGGCTATTAAGTCCCGAAATTGGACCATCAAAATAAATGGATTTTCTTTCCAATACCCGGTTAAATGGAATAATAGACGGGATGTTTGCTTCTAGTTCGTTTTCGTCTGCAAAGAAAATTTTAAATATGTCTATTGGATGGTGAATGTATTCCGATTGCCCGTCTTTTTTAAGGTAATAAACTTCATTGAGAAGGTATGCGTCCCCAACATCATTAATTTTTATTGAAAAATGATGAGAATCATCATTATCTAAACTTTGATTTGAATCAAGTATTCTTGGTTTAATTAATTTGCTTTCGGAAAGCTTTGATACAGTGCCACACCCATGAGAAAATATTCTTGGTAAAAGAATTCTAGGATCCTTAGAATTGCGTAAATTATACATTGATGCTAAAAATGGCACTATTTCTGGATTAATATATGTTTTCCCTGGACCCACATGCTTCAAAATGACATTATCTACATCATATAATATTAGTAAGGTAGGACCTATTTTTGAACCATCTCTTTCATCAGTGATATTTGTAGGTAAAACCTTAAAAGATTCTCCAATATAAATAGATAATAGTAATTGCATGCATGTATTTAGCAATAAGAATAAAATACCACTATGTTTCATAACTTTGAATGAAAATTTTCATTCTAAATTGTTTTGCCACTAGCATTAGTCAAAGTTTAACTACACCCAAAAACGCATAAAATTACCGCCAATAAGTATGTGTTTGTGCATTAATTTGTTATTCAATTAATAGTAACTTTCCTAAATTAATAATTTAATGAACTCAAGCCAGGTTTTCTCTAATTTTGGCCTATTTTGTTCGATCTTAATACCTTTTTAATTTTATTTTGTGCCATTTTCTATTAAGTTTGAGTATTATGGCGCGTCATATTTGTGATAAACATCTATAAATTAATCATTAAAAAATGGAGTTTTCAAGATTTGTCCTTTTTTGTTATATTTTGGGAATAAAACAAGCTCTTGGGGTGAATGATCTCTCGAGTTTTATAGACTCTTCAAGTACTATAGATAATTCTATATTCAATGAATATGAACAAAGTAAAAATGAATACCAAAAATCGGTTTTAAGTTCAGAAGTAAATAATAATTTAGGCCGAGGTTTTCCAAGTAGTACTAGAGATAACTCCAATGAAAGTGAGCTAAAAGATGGATTTGTTGAATTTAGTTCTATAAGCTCTTCATACCATCCTAACTCAGAATTTAGTGAAAATTTAAGATTGTTCTCAAACTTATTGATCTCGCCAATTATGGATAAAAGTACAGCAATACTAGGAGAATTATCATTTAAGTATTCGCTTGATGGAATCAGAAGTGAACTTATTAATGCCGAAAATTATTACTCACCTACAAAATTATTTAACAAACTCTTTGGCCCCAGAGGTGAGAAAAATAATACTAGATTATTAAGGTATGGATTTTTACACGCATTGATAAACGAGATTAATAACCACTTTCTAAAAGAAATAGACTTCAAGTACAAATTGCATCGAGAATTACTAACTGATACGCTCAAGTATGAAGAATGCATAGGTCTTTTTAATGATGCAAATAAACAAAATAAAGCTTTACTCACAATGATTAACAAAAGGATATTTGAAATAATTTGTGATCAAGTAGCAAATAATAATTCATTTATTAAAATGCAATCTTGGGATAATCATATATCAAAAATTATTAATCATATTCAAAAAAGCATTCATTCCATAAGTGAAAATTTCAACGTTAAACCAAAAGCAATGAAAATAAATGATTTTCCTGAAGTTCCAGAAATTAAAGTAAGTGGTACTGACATCAAACTCAGGTATTTAAACATCGTGAAAAGTATTGATGCAATAAAGAAAAAAGAGCATGTGCTATTTAACAGTCTTATTTTCACAAAAAAAATGGCAGTTAGGATTTCAACCCAATACCTGCAAAACGGAAACGAATTAGTTCAAAGATGCATAGAAATAATAAAGTTTGAGAATCCTGCGTTAATGAGGGAGAAGTATCAAAGAGAAAAATTAGAACAGATATGTAAAATATCAATGGGCAGTTAATTTTAGTGTATAATTAAGGGTTTGCCTCAAGAAAAAATATTCCAGACGTTGATACTATACCTGCTGTATTATTTATTCTACCTAACTATTTTCGTCATCTGTAAGGTTTTTCGATACATCATAAAGTGCATCTCTTTCATTCTGGAAACTAGAGAGTTGCATCTGATACTCTCTTCTTTTCTGAGCAAGATCCGCCTCTAGCTTCTCTCTTTCTCTTCTTAAATCTTGAATATTGTTCATTGTTTGAGCAGTTGCTCTTGTAGATTTTGACCCGTTTTCTTCTTCAGAATTAAGTTCTTCATCGATTTGTTTAATTTTATCGACTTGTTCTGCCTGATATGTTAGAAACTTTAGTGTTCTTTCATAATGATCGTGTCTTTTCCTCCAAAAAATTCTAATTTTTTGCTCGAACTTCATTAATTGGCTTGCAACCCTTCCAGGTGTATGAATCCAATCTATATCACGTTTAAACTGTAGTGCACGATCTTTTTGTTGTTGGAGCAATATATGTTTTTCTAGTTTTAGTGGTATTGTTTTCTTAATTTCATCCCTAGTCACCTTATCACGTTCTTTTACGAACGTCTCTCTCATTCTGTCTTTATTCTGAGGAGAAGCAAACCTAAATGAAGCAGTTGATTGCTGTAACTCCCAATTTGAAACAACCTCTCTCGCGGCCTCATGCAATCGTATCCTTCCTTCTCTTATTTTTTCATCCAAAATACTTAATCTATTGGAAAGTTCCTGCTCAAATACAGAGTTAGCGTCTTCAAGTCTCTTTTGTACGAGTCTAAGAACCTTATCATCATAGCTAAGATGCTTAGTTTCATCCGAGACTACTCCTTCATCACCCAAATTAATCCCTATTCCTTTCATAACTAAAATTTTTGCCTTTTTAGGAACGTTCTTTGGCTTGGTAATAGGTATCAGTCCGAACTTTCTTAACATTAGATCATCTAGAGAGTTTCTCATTTCTGCACATTCTAACAGTATTTTCTCTTTTTTTTCTATATAGAAATGTTTCATCTTCAACAACTCCCATCTTGATTGAATAATATTCCATTCAAGTGTACTTAATTCCCCATATAATGTTCCATCATCTATTTCACCTTCTGATTCAAACGACTCTTTATAAGCTAATGTATTTGCATCTAGCAATTCAAATTGGCGAATATGTTGCATATCATTGTCATTTATGTTGTCATTATAAAACCTTACATTGAATAAACTAATCTTCAGCTGTTCTTTATATTTATTAAGCTCTGACAATGCCTCTTTTGGAATCTCTTCCATAGTAAAATATGTTTCATATTTGTCAGACTTTTCAAATGAGTATGCCAAAGAGCTCAAATCATCGTTTAACTTGGATTCATAGCTAGAAATTAATTGATCATTTTTAGCATTTAACCACATATTTGCTTCAATTAGCCCTTCACTTTTCTTCAACCTTTCAGAAAAAGCTGATTTTATATTCGTAATCTCAAAATACTTTATATCTCTATTAAGTTGCAATTGTGATATTTCATTTTTTTTCTCTAAAATATTAATGTCATTGCTTATGTTATCCTCCAATAATTTTGAATTCCTTCTCAGAGTATTTATTTTTTCCGCATAATTTTTTGACAAATCTGACTCAACAAGTGTGTCTAGCTCATTTCTTTTTTGTCTTAACTCGTTCATTAATTTCAATAACTTTTTCATTTCATCAGTAGCAATTTCTATTGTTTGATTTATTTCACTTAATAATTGCTGGTATTGAGGGTTGCCAATTTGAAGTTGAGACTGACGAAGCTGCTGCCTTGTGACAAACTCAGCATTTTTGTTATATTCATTATTTAAATATAAATAAGTGTCTTGCATATCTTTTATTCTGAGCTCCCATTGAATTGAATACTCAATTGAGTAGGTAGTATCCCACATTTCATTTAAATCTGCAAGGTGTTTATAAACTACCTTTTCAATAACAATCAGTTGTCTTGCCAATTTTTGGCCTTCCGAATCATATTTTGCAACCATATTGTTTTTCTCTTCATGAAGCTTAACTATTAAACTTTTTCTTTCTTTCAATTCCTTTTCACTCATTTTTGTAGGTAGAGGATAAAGGCCTTTACCAGCCAAGCTATTTACTCTATTCCAGAGTTTGCGAGGAAGAATTCTATATAAATTTTTTTCAAATAATTGCCGTCGTTTAAAATGCGTATCTTTTAATTTCTGAATTTTTTGATCAGAATCTAAACGATTGCTATATTCTAGCATCTTGGAACTTACATATACTCTCTCCTTCTCTATAAGTGTTTCTTCCCAGTTTACCATATTTGCCATAGTTGGTGAATTTATAAGTTCAATTCTATGCGAAATTGCAATATAATCTAATGCTTGATGGACAAAATTTATGATTTCTATTTCTATTTCTGTTAGTTTTCTGTTATTGTTACTTATCTGAAATAACAAATCAGCCCATTCTGTTCTCATCGATAACAAATCTGAAGAATATTTATCTATAAAGTCTCTAATGTTTTCTTTTTTTTTCTCGCTAATAATATTTTCACTCAATAATGATAATAATAATTCTTTTTGTGCATCTTCTATTTCGAACAATTTCTGAAATTGTTTTCTGGAATATTTATCTAATTTTTCTCTAACTTTCCGATTTTCAACCATAAGCTCCTGAAGCTGATTCCATTTATCTAGTTTATATGCGGAATTAGTTTGTTCGTCTATCTGCTTGCTCTCAATTGCTTTCAATCTTTCCTCTACAATTTCTATCGCCAGTTGCTCCTTGTTAAAGCTTTCTTGTTTTTCCTCAACTGAGCTGAATTCGTTACTAACTCCTGGTTCCGAAAACTCATTAATTGATGCTATCCTGATATCTGGTCTCTCATATGCAATAGAATTACAAAAGGAACGTATATGTTGATTTACATGGTTAGGTTGGCAATTTACTTTCAATCCTTCCCAAACCTTGGCCTTTCCATCTTCTTTTGCCTTCTTGTTTTCATTTATCATCATTAATATAGTTTTTGAACAATTATCTGCTAACTTTGAGTCATCTTCATATTCAAAGTAATCAGGACAACGAAACTCAGGATTTTTCAGATCAATTAATCTAATAACATCATCGTCTAAAGAAGCTTGAATTATGTTAAACCATTGAACAAGCCTTCCCATATACCTATGTGCCACTGACTTACAAAACTTTATTAATCCTTGAACCTTATCAGCACCCAGTTGTACTTTGTTCAGTGGTGATTTAGTTCCTGGGAATTTTTCTACTCCTAAAGTCATTAATGCATTTCTACAATTGTATACAAATGATCTGATCTTCCCTGTGATTTCAATTGTAGCATCAGTTGGTTTGCTTGTAAAAGAGATTGGTATTGTATGTTTTGGCAAATCAGTACTATATACCAATGGATTTGGAACGCTTGCACTTTCTACTAAAAACAACCATTGTAACCTTTCATCGTTAATTTCATCCGAAAAACCTTTTAACAAACTATCAATTACTCTACCTTTCACTCCACCATCTTCCCACGATTTCTTTATTTCCAATGTCTTCATGTGTCTTTTATTCATCATTTCTTTTTCTTTTTTTCCATACAATCTCTCAAAAACCATATAACAAAAAGCTTCCACTTGCTCTTTTCTATGGTCAGAATCATTTCCTGCAATTAAAATTCCATTCGAATTATTTTCATTATAACTATAATAAGTTATTCCATCGTCAGAAGTATATTTTTCATATGCTAAACTCCTAATTCCTCTTCTACAATATTGAATAAATTTCTTCAAAACTCCGTTACTATACTTAAATTCTTTTGGAATTTTAATTTTATATGGGTTTATCTTTTTTTCACACTGAACAGGTGATGATTGATCGTTCATAAAATCTATAATTGCTTTCCATTCATCTTCCAACAAAGGGACGGAATATTCAGATTGTTCCAAACTTGTTCCAAGTTGAAATTTTAATTGTTTTTTTTCAAGCTCTATACTATTGATAAATGATTCTAAAATTTGTTTAGGTAATTTGTTCAGAATTTCCACAATCCCATCCACGTTTCTTGATCTAAAAAATGAAAGCACTCTGTTTTGTATTTGCTTAGGTAGTTGAGAAATTGCTATTTCTAATGCTGGTAGATCCTCCTTGTTTTCATCCAATACCGATTTTAATATTGTAGTTAAAATTTTTGGAGCCTTATATTTAGAAATTGGTGTATTATCAGTTTCCAGTTGCTCATAATCAGCCGAATTGTATCCCAGTCCCTCACTTGTCAATTCAGATGAAGTTTTTGAAAAATCGAATTGGTTCACATTGTATTTCTTTTCTTTGTTATTCTTTCCAAGGTCTGAAATATTTTTTTTTGATAAAGGAATACGATCAATTTCGTTTTCATAATTATTAAATGAATCCGTACTTGAGCTGATTTCATCTTGATTTTCTCTTAAAAGAGTACTTTCGGTTTCTACTAAACTCTCTGTATTTATAGAACCAATGTATTTAGAAATATTGAAGAACTTAATCGCAGTATCTTCGCAAAATAACCCAATTATACCATCTGTATTCTTAATATCTGAGAATTTAAATAAATATTTTCTTTTACTTCTAGGTAGATGAACTTCAAGCAGGCTTGTGAGCGCTCCAATACAATTTTCTTTCATTATTTTGATCTTTTCATTCGCTTCTGTAACAAACTTGGTTTCACCATGTGAGTAAAATCCCCCAGGCACACTGTGTGGTAAATTTTTACATTTAATATTTGGATGTGATTGGATTGCAGATAATATGAAACGCCATTGTGCTTCTGTATTGTCAAATGTTTCCTCCTCACCAGAATAAATTGATACAAAAACACAACAAAAAAGTAAAATAAAGAACTTAATCTTCATGTTCCTTTCATTTGATAACCAACCTGTATTAAATTCCAACGTTAATTGTAACTTCCGTCTCAATATTTTTTTAATAAGAAATTTTAGATCTAATGGCGGTAATCTATATTTGTTTTATATATATATATATTTAAATATATATATATATATATATATATATATTTAATATAATATATTTATCATATTATTTGATTAAAAAAATATTTTTATGTAATGATTTTTAAAAACATAAAAAAAGCAGATAGGTTATTTGTTGAAAAGTACCTTTTGGCTCTAAGGAGATAAACTATCAATGATTACGTGCTTTCACTAAAAATACACGAATGAATTTTTTTTCCCCCTCTATTTTGTATTATTTGCATTTACGCAGATACAGTTTAGTGCGAGCGCTGCAGTGTGAGTAAAATGCATTTAGATAACGGAAATATAAATTTAATTAAAACTAAGTCAAATACAATTATTTGATCTTTTGTAGAAAAAAAAATCGATTTATAGTATTATTTAAGTAATATAATTCATATTCCAATGAGGTTAATATTTGACCTAGTATCTCTGATATTATTGCTATTAATTGAAATTGAATACAAGCATTTAGTCGTAATGGCCAAAGATTATTCCGACAAATTAGCTAAGCGATTTTTTGTTAATCAAGATAAACCCCAATGGCAACGTACCCAAGCACCAAGAGAGGAAATTGCTATTATATGTCATATTCTTTCTCTTGGGCCAATTGAATGTATTAAGTATAATGAAAGAGAATATGATGGAGCAAATCCAGGTCATGAAGAATATATGGGTAAGGAAGAAATTAATTTTAAAAATAATAATTATTAACTCCTTTAGGATTTTTTATTCAATATGGAATGTTTGGTGCGGTTGCTCTTGCACAAATAAAAACGAGTTCTCGAAGTAAAGTAATAAATTCCGAGTTAGAAGGTGAGTAAAACATTTGAAAAAACTTAACTTTTTAAATGATTTATAGAACTTAGTGGAGTTGAAAAAAATAAAATTACAGAAATTGTTAACATGTTTCAAATCCCAAAAAAAGTAAATAATCTACAAATAATTGAAGGGTGTGAATTTGATATAAATGCTCTCATGTTTAAGTTACAAGCAAAACCAATAAACACTAACAATAATTTTGAGTATAGTTCTCCAAAAGAAGTCGCACTAAAAATTTCATTCCATTCAAGTTACACAAGAGAACTTTATTACACATCATTGCTTTCTAAACAGAATTTTCCCTTAATACCAGTCAAAACATATGGCCATGGGAAACTAAGAATAACTCCCAGGACTTACTGTTTACAAATTGAAAAAAATATTGCGCTGAATAGAATATTAATTACTGAAAAAATTAATGGTGTTACTATGCAAGTACTGGTAAGATGGTTAACTTCAATTGATTATCTAAATTGGATTTCATCCGCAAAAACAATTAAAGAACTGCAAAGAAGGCTAGATAACCGTGCAGAAATAATTTGGATATTAATTCATTCATTATTTTCTACATTAACCTCATTATATATACATTCAGATTTCGGTTACATCGTCCACTGTGATTTAAATACTGGTAACATTCAAATAGCTAATACGAATTTTAATTTGAAAGGTATCAACTATCAAGAAAACGTTGATTCTCTGCTTAAAATCACACCTATTAATATAAAAATACTTGATTTTGGAACAACAAAAAGTACTTTGGAAGTGAGTGTACGCTCATTGAAGTGCAACACTCCTAATGATATTTGGAGAATCAAGTTAATTATTTCTAGACTTTTCAAAATTGATAATACAACTCATCCAAATTTATTTGGCTGGACAATTGATTTCCCTAAGAGTAGTTCTGATTTGAATTATATTAAAAGAAATCGAATATTGAATCACATTAAGTCTTTGGATTTATTTAGAGAAGAGCTATTGAGCAACAATGATTTTAAAAATGCAATGGATCTTAATAGTACTTTTGAGTCAATAATAGATGGGTTAGATTCTATTTGCGACATTACTGTTAATCATATTTCAAAATTTAAGGAAAATTCAACAAATATTGTGAATAGCGAAAGATTTTATGCTTCATGTAGCCCTCTTGATCCAACTAATGCTAGAGGCATGCCAATTAGATTATTCAAACCAGAGATACTTGGACAGCTTCAAATACCATTATTTCCTGACAAGTCTGCTACGATTAAAAGAACAATTAAAGAGGAGAGGAAAAAAGCATTGGTCCAAAAAAGTATTAAAAACAATGAAAACAATAATAAAGTAAAGGAATCTCAAAATAACTTAGAAAAACTTAATCAAGAAATTTTAGATACAAATTTAAAGGAAAAAAATGTTTTACAAGGTGGAGTTTCCCCTGGCGGAATACACGGAATAGGGGTTGGGAGTACAAGTAACTCAAATATACCAATTAAAGATATTCAATACACTAAGAAAAAGGCAACTAGACCAGATACGAATATCGTTGCGAGCAGTATCGGAGTATTAATTGAAGGGAACACAGACGGAAATAATCAATTTGAAGCACTCATGTTTAACCAGAACTTTAAATTGGAACAAGAAAAAATATCAAAGATATCTTCCTTAAAACAAGTGTGTAATTATGTTGAGCAAACAAAATCAAGAGATTCAAGAAAGTTACTCAACAAATTAAAACTGAAAAATTCCGTTCTTAGAGATATTACTATTGATATTGATCATTTTGTTAAAAAAGCAGATAAAATCTTACAAGAAATTACCGATGATATTAAGAAAAAACCTCAAAAATCGGTATATGATCAAGAAAAGTTAAAGATATTTGAAATAAATCGTTCAAAATTAAGATACGTTGCAAAATCGTGCCCAGTTACAATCAGTAAAATAGACGAGGAAAATAGTGAGGCAGCCGAAAAAGTTAACATTGGTATTGTTGCATTTGAGAATGAAAGACAAAGAATATTAAAAAGATGCCATGATTTAAGAAATTTCACTCCAAGAAATGAAAATGATACTGTAAAAGCACAATTGAAAACAAAAGAAATTATTGAAAGAGGTAAAACATTGCTTCAATATCGATTTCATATTAATGATGCAATGAAGTGCGCATTCGATTTTTTATTTAAAGGCGTTAGAAGAGTTCAACGTCTGGTGGAATTATCTCAAGAATCAATGAAGGGTGACCTATTATTGGAGGAGAATTTAGAGCTATTGCTGGATAAGATAACGGAATATAATGTTTAAAAGAGATTAGTTTATAAATTATAAATTACGCAAAAATTGCAATTCAACATATTCACTGTTCATTATATAACAATAAATACTATTAGAAAATTTTGGGTTAGAATTCCACTTAAAAAAATTAACATAGTAATATTTATAACTAATATATCAAATTAAAAATTAAAGTACAAGTTTTGGATAAATTAAATAAATTCAAATTTACTAATATTAAAAAAATTTTGATTTTAATATATTTTCAAAATTTAAATTATTTTTTATTTTTATTTTTTTTGTTCGGAAACAATGTTTAATTTGTCTAGTTATTCTTATCAACTAAAACTATTGTTTAATTACAAGTAAAATTGCAGTTTTTGATGCAAAACTGTTTTTTTAAAAAAAAGATTCATAACATTGATCATTTAGAATTGTTTTGATATTACCAAATCTTGAAATTCATTAAAAAGTTACGTTAAAAAAAGTTGTCAAAATATTAGACATTTTCTAATAAACTGATGGGAATTATATAATTCAAAAATCCAGAAATCGACAGATAAGGATGGAGATAAATCAATGTTAATTAATAACGATTTTAATCGTTAAAAAAACTAAAAATGTGTGGTTAGATAGTTTTTTAGTGCATTTAAACAATCAAAAGCTACTTCCCTTAGATTAATTGATAATGTATAATTCCCATTATAATCAATAGTATACCAAGGTAATAGAGAAAGAAAGTACAAAGAAATAGGATCTGAATTTAAAGAAATATTGCTTGCAGTGGCTGAACTATCTTCCGAAAGATTTTCTCTTTTTGACCGGTATTCATCTCTAAAAAATGAAGGTAAAGTTGGGTTATTGGAAAATTCGGACTTTTTCACATCTAAATATCTGAATACATTAAATTTGCACTCCATCAAAATATTTCTTCTTCTGATCACAAATAATTTGATTAGATTACGGTTTTCAATACTCTCAGTAATTTTATATATTCTTTCACAGCATGCATTAACCCAATAAAGATTTTCTGGCTTTTTCCAAATCTGTTTACACTTTTCAACGTTTGCTTCTACTAAAAGTTTTCCTACCAATAGATAAGGATATAAATTGTTTTCAGTCTTCTCTGAATTTACATTATTAATATCTCCAGTTAAATTATTAAAAATATTACGAATCTCGTACCAAGAAGAAAAACCACTTTTAATTTGGCTAGTTTCAAGATGCACTTTAAGTAGATCTACAAATTCAGGAAAAACTAGCATAGATTGAATCAAATAAATGCTGCATTTCTGAAAATGATTTGTATTAAAGTTTGTATTCGTTATTTGATCAATTGTAATATTATTGATTTCCCGATAAAAAATATCTAGTTGTTCTTTATTTAATGAACAGCTTTTTGTGTATTTAATGTAAAGTGCAAGCGGTATTCCAAATGCAAAGTTTGGTAAAATGTAATAAAGTGGTGTTGATTCGGAAAATCTTTTGACTACTATATTTAATTCACCATCAGTATGAACGATATTCTTTTCATCCCATGTACAGTGTTTGTGGAATTGGCTTAAGAACTTGTTATTAATTTCGAAAAAGATTTCGAGTTCTGAAGATAAAATAGCATAATAATCTAAATGGAGAAGGGAGTGAAATCTGTCATGAACAATATCCATCGATATTAACAACAAACAATATTCAAGTGCGGTGCGAAACAACCCTCTATTCCCAAGAGAGTTCATATAGTGTCCTAGAAGAATAAATATATCTCTACTTTCGATATCATCTGATTTTATAGCAGTATTTGGAAGCCCATTTTTATATTTAAATGGGGAAAATAACGGATGTAATGATGACTCAAACACATACAATGCCTTTTGTAAGTTTTTAAATGCGACTTCATGCTCATCTCTTAAAATACTAATCTCCGCTAGTCTAAGTAGTCCATTAAAGAAAAACGGGTTTCTTTCCATAAACATATAAATTTCATCTACTAGCATCGAATCAATCAGAACATCCAGCAATTCTTTCTTTTTAATATATTCAATATCAAATGATATTGAAAATTCATTTTTTTCTTCAATATACTTCATTATTAATCCAGATTCCTCACGGTTTAAATGTGGCCATTGAGAATCGCATGAAATAAAATAATGCCTCATATTTAAATAACTGTTTTTAGAGCTAAGTTTTCTTGAATTATTTTTTTTTTCAAATTTAAGAGTTTCATTCCCAAAAATTGAGCAGATTTCATTTTCGCAATTAAAATATTTTTTGTTCATAATTAAACAACATTTAAAATCTTTATTTTCAATGGACACTTCATGAAGTTCATTTAGATATTTTTTCTCTTTCTTATTGACGCTTTTTCTTTTTTTTTTTTCAAAAGATTTTTTTTTTTCTTGCCTTAGATTGTTTTGAGATAGATTATAATCGTCGTTTGAAAGGAATTCATCATCATGAGAAGCTAATGCATCAAAGGAGTTCCCGTAATTAGAATTAGCAAATTCATCAAACGAATGACTAGATATGTCACCATCACTCAATTTTAATTCTTTTTTTTCAAGCAATTTTTTAAATTGTTTAGAAACCATTTTTATTAATGGACTTAACCGCGTTTGAAAAAACAATAATTTATGATGAAACGGAAATTTCCGCATAATAACTTTCAAACTGGGCAAATAGACAGTACAATAAAGAACAATAACACAGGTAAGGCTAGAAGCAACTATTCAAATGCTATTGGGAATGCCAATTCTTATCAAAATTCATTAAAAATAGAAAGAAATAAAAATGCTCAATGCTACCTCAATGTGCCAACAATACCGAACAACTTGAACAATAAGAACACAAAAAAGATTGAACATATAAACAAAAAACCTCCAAGTAATTTATACCAGAAAATGCAAAATGACGATCAATCTAAGAGACATATTGATACAAAGAGAGAAAAAAGCGAATATGAATATTCTTCTACAAAAATGAATATCCAACAAAACCAAGATAGTTCTACAAAAAAGAAAAGCAATTCAAATCAAATGGAATCGTATGAGACAAAAAAAATGGTTGAATCAAAAAAGAGTTGTATTGAAGCGACTAGGAACATTTTTTCAGTCGAAGAAAGTATATCTACTGGAATTAAGATGCAATTGATATACAGTTTGTTTGGAAAATCTGAATTCCAGTCTTTAACTCAATTAATATTCAACTTACTAAATGGAAAGTCGGTTGGACCAGCTAATAAAACAGATAAGTCAAAGTGCATACTTTTTCTTGATTATCTAATTCTTAGAACAAAAAAGTTGAGTTACATAATTGATTCTTGCATTCAAGACAAATCATTATTATTAAGACTTTTAGAAAAAGATAGGCAAGAGTTCGAATTGTCTGTAAGAAATGTTAAGCATATAATTTACGAAAATATTGTAGAGTCGAAAAATATTCAATCTTTTTGGCACAAATGTGATATTCTTTCTGAAGAGATAAATTCTATCAAAAATAAGAGGGATATTCAAAATGAAATAGAAAGTGAATATGAAAGTTACAATGTGATTAAAGCCGTAACAAGAGAGAAAAAAATAAATTTCAATCAAAAAAAGAAGTCCATTCGTGATATTTGTCTAATATTATCTAAATTAATTTCTAAATAATTACGTTTTTTTCTTCAAATTATATTAAAGAAAAAAACCAAATAGGGTGAAAACAGTATCTTATTGATTTTTTTCAAAAAACTTTGGATTTTTTTTTTAAATTTTTTTGTACAAGCAATTTGGTATAAAAAAACTGGGTGATTCATAAATACTTTTTTTTACCTTATTTTCATGATTTAACAGTGATTTAATTTTATCGATTTGAATATACATTGCCTTTATGCCACTTAATGATTTCTCATTAAATGATTGTATTACTGCATTTTCGAATAGCTTGTTTATCCATTTGAACTTATTTTTTCTTTGAAACAGTTTGAATGTAATGTCTTGTGTATACAAGGTTGATTCTGAGTTTTCATTGCTTGGTGTAAAAGTACAAGTTTCCCTAATTGAAAAAATATTATTAAATGAATAATTAGATCCGTTAGCAATAAGTTTTCTCTTATTAAAATTACACATAGTCTCTTCAGTTGCAATCCCAGTTAAGTTACTGCCAATAATCCGCTCCAAAAGTTTTGGCGAGTTGTACTTAAGAGAAAATAATCTTTTCGTATACAAAATTTTATTTTTTTCATCAAAATCAAAATTAATTATATCAACTCTTCTAACGTGAAATTGAAGATCATTGGGATATTTGTTCCAGAATGCATTTATTACATGTTCCCAGTGAAATGGGTACAAGTGACTTTTTGAAAAAAAAACCATTAGTGAATATAGTGAATAGCGCAACTTGTTTCAGTAAAAAAAAAAATAATAAAAAAAAATTAGCTAATTAAATAAAAGAATGATAAAAGTAAAAAATAGCGATAATAAATAGAATAAATTACGGCAAAAAATCGCAGTAATACCATATATTAACGTTGCAATTAGAAAAACAAATGTAAGGGATAACAAATTATAGGACTCTGTTGAAATCTAGTCCTACAAAATTTTTATTGATCCATCTATTTTTCGAAATTTTGAATTTATATTCATTAATTTTTTGAATTTACTATAATAATTTGTATCGTCGGTATTATTTCTGATAATTCCTCAATATAAAACGTTATGTCTACCATTTTGCTCCAATTATATCGTTGCAACGATAATGTATAAATTACTTAGGTTGGAGAAATACTTGAAACAAGAGGGGTTAATAAAATTGTTTGAGGAAAAACACCATGTATATTAATCAAATTTTCATTATTTAATTAGCGACAGCGTTCATGTGAATTGTTTATTTATTTGGTTTTTATTTAATATCGCTACGGAATTAGGTTTTATGATAATACAATATGGCAAATGCATTATTAAGTATTGAAGAACTTACTAGATTTCGGACCAAATTATGTCGTAGAAGTCTTAAGGATGGTTGCGATTTTGGTCCATTAAGATGCCAATATTCCCATAATGTTTACTGGCCAAGAAGATGCCCATTTTATCTGTCTGATCGGTCGGCATTAAGATATCTGCCTGATATTTGCCCGGATATTACAATTTTGGATCAGGAAACTGGAAAAGTTGCAAATTTTTGCAACAGAGGAGGATATTGCCCATATTCTCATTCTATAGAAGAAGTAATTTACCACCCATTAATTTATAAATCAGAATTGTGTGTAGCATTCCAAAAAGGCGAATGCAAAACTTACTACTGTCATTTAATTCATGGGCTTGCAGAAAGAAGGCAAGAGAAAAGCTACACACTTCCTTTTACAAGAGGAATTAATTTAAATAAATATCCAAATGTAACGCTAGTTGACAAGACATCATCAGAGAATGAAAACGTAACTAACAGCTCATTGTTTTCCAAGAATAAAAATACTGAAATCATGAGTTTGGATGTAACCGAATCAAAAGATAGAAATACTGAAATTATCCAAATTAAAAATTTGGAATGTTTTCATGATTCTGAAAATACCAAAAACTTTTCAATACAACCTCAATTAAAAAATAAGTTTTCAGTTAGGAATGACTTTCAAACTAATAAATTAAATTTATGTTGGCAGGAATTAATTAATTTATCTTGTTTTTCTAATAATTTTGATATTGAGCCTGGCACTGAATTAAAGCATTTACTGAATAAATGGAGAAAGGTTGCAGAATGCCCAGAATTATACATAAATCAAGTAAATTTGGTAAGATTAGAGTATTGGCAATATATTTCTACTTGTATTCACGAAATTTCAAGTATTATAAACGAACTTGGAAAATTTTATTGTAATAAAGCAATTAATCATAGAGAAAATTTGCACAATTTAGACAAGCATCATATTGATAATACTGAACTTAAAGAATGTATAGACTTTTCTTCTGTGTTCACTGAAATGAACTCCGATTTATTTTGACCTTAAATAATTCAGGAATTTTCAAATATCAAAAAAATTAAAAATTTATGTATAGAGAATAAACATTTTTTAATTAAATATAATAATTAACAGACTAGTTTTGCGTGCTATTTTGGTAATAGTGGGATAGTCTCAAAGTTCAAACCTAAAACGAAGGTAAATTGATCTTACGAAATTTCTATAACATACCTATTGATTTTTCTTTTACTGTTAAAATAGCTGATTTGGCTTTCATTATTATTTTTCTTCCAAAAACACATAATTCCTCACCACAAAAGTTAATTTTTTTAACTGCTTGTTTACTGAGCTTCCCAACATTTTCGAATAGAGCTCGAAACTTGCTGGTGATATTTTTTGACACATCGGCCAATTTAGTGATCATTTCAGAAAAAGAGAATTTTAGTTTTTTACAATTTGAAACGAATTTTGAGTAGAGTTCAGCAATGGAACTTGAAAAACAGCACTTTCCAAAATAATCACTTGTTTTATTCATTACCAAATTAAATAAAGATTTTGTATATTTGACCAACTCTCCTACCATTATATCAGTAAATTCATGAATTTTGTCGATATTTATGGATGGGAGCGAATATATTAAATCCATTAAATTAGAAAAAAAAAGTGCCATAGTTAATAATAAGATAATTAAAAGTTGGAAACTCATCACAATAGAAGCTCCTATAATTGTAATTGCAGATATTTATGAATTATTCAATTAACGTACCGATATATAATCCTGGTGCGGTATATTTACAAGAGTTACTTTCAGAAATACTTATGAATCCACCAACTATAAGTATTATTCCAATTCTTTAAATTTAGCTTTTTACTTACCATCATGTATTATCACTAAAATAGGAACCAAAATAAATGAAATAATACTAGTCCATTTCCAAACTGATATTTTTTTCATAGAAGGAAACTCATTGTATTTAAATGCTTTTACTAATGTGTTTCTTTGATCTGGTAATAGAAGCATGAGAGAGCACATTAGAGACATTGAAAGTGAAAATATTGAAGATAAACCAATCATTTCATCTAGATTCTAAACGAGTTAATTTTACCGGATATACTTACTACTAAAACTTACCCGATCACAAACAGCATTTGAATTAGCCTGAATTATTGCTAATGAAATGATTGAAACGGTTAAAAAGCTTCCAAAACCAAAATATAATATTCGATTGATTTCTTTTATTACTGTTTCTGGAAGATTGGCATCACTTAATGGCAATATTGAAGGGCTAGCTGGAGCAGTTGGAGTTTCTTTAACAGATTTTTCTTTAAAAAACATTTTAATTATCTACAAGAAATAATATCTGTGAATTTATTCCAAAACTAAAATAAAAAAGGATGCATGCACATGCAATATTTACTATCTCAAATTACATGCTAACATGCAATACTATTGAAGACTACAACATGGTCTCTTTGTTTTTTTAGACATTTTAAATAATTTTTTTGATGACTCAGATAGATCGTTACTTTTTTGGATAAGTTCATCCAAATTTTCCCCTCTATCTAAAAAGGACTTCAATGAGACATTAATAGCCTCCTAAAACATATTAGATTGATAGGAAGGAAATAAAAGAAACTTACTCGAGCCTTATCAATTTTTATCTGAGATTCAATAATTGCATCTGAAATAAGGGGCTCCTAACAGGGTTTATGAAAACGTCAATTGTTAATTATTCACCTTACTTTATATTTATTTAGTATTGTATTAATTGCTTTGTACATTTTTTTATTCTCTTCTGTTGAAAATATTTCTTGCTGATTTTGGTCTCTAATGTGTATGTAAGCCTCAAAAATAGAAGAAAATGCAATCCTACAAAAGATAATTCTGTTTAAGTTTTTTAATTAATATCTTACCTCGTAGGAAAGTCGCTATCACATATCATAAATATTGAGAGACCATCATTCCATTTATATGAAAATACTGTAAACTCATCATGAGTGATAATCTCTTGTATTCCTGGTTTTAGCTGTGGGGAATATATCGGATTTAAAGTTAATAATTTACTCACCTTAGGAGTAATTGATCTTACAATAAATTTAAAAATTTCTTTAATATAATTGCGTTCAAAATAAGAAAATCTAAGTGGCCAAATTTTTGGAATTTTAATGAAGTTAGTTCATCATACCTTGAAAGACTAAAGCAAGATGATAATATTTCAACACTGTTATCGTTATCCACATTACAAACGAAAATTGAATATGCTCTCATAATTGTGCTCAATAAATTATAATGAAATTTACCGCGGAGAAATATTCCTGAAGAATGTGTGATAATCTTTGAAACAATGAATAAGAAAGTAGAAATTATTTCTCAAACTCCTCATGGTATTATATCTTGTGAGAAAGATCCAGATATTTATAATGTTTGCTCATTTAGTAGCGAACATCGAATTGTTGATATGCTTCTTTTTGAATGTACTTGCCCAAGCAAAGACAAAGCATTTTGTTCGCATATAAGAGCAGTTTCAAAAAAATTCCAAACAAGATACAATCGTGAAATATTCAATATATATTCGATATTAAACGATATTAATATTAAAAATTCATTTGCATCATGCTATGATAAAGCAGAAAATCACTTCAACTTGTTTTTGAAATCAATAAATAAGCTTTTTCATTTCAATAATTTCTTAGAAAATCAAGATTTATTCTCTTTGGAAGCAAAACAAAGATATAAAAGAGTTCTATATGCTATTTTAAAAGCTTTAAGTTCTATTTCGTGGAGAAATCACTTGATAAAGACAAAAGATAGCAACTTTATTAATTCGATTAATTACGCTAATAATGCAAGAAATTCAATTAAAGTAGACTTGTTGTTAAATTCAATAAATTTTTCATTATCAAATATTAAGAGAGAAGATTTTCCTACTGTTATTGAATTTCTCAAAGCAATAGAGTCTAATTCTTTGCAAGAAATAGGGATTTTCAATACAACTAGTATTTTTAATATTCTAGCGAGTATTTTAAACGAGAAAAAAATATCAAATGCAAACAAAGAAATATTAATTAGTGGAATTTTAGAGTTGTTTTGTTCAAATAATTTTTATTTGCAATTTCAAGAAAAAAAAATAGAAAAGAAATATAATGGATTTGACTGTAAGTTTTTAAATACAATCATTAAAACAATTAAAAGATATGTAAATTACATTGATACAAAGTTGACCAGAGAATCAGTTAATTTTATTTTAATGGAGGAATTTGGATTAGATTTAGATTTTTTGGGTATAAGCGAAAGAGATATAATTCGAGAAATATCTTTGCTCAAAAACAATGCAATGCAGAATACGAGAGTAGTTGATTTATTATCTCTTAAAATTCATCAAATTGATTTATTTATTTCAAACTCTAAGGACCCTCTTAATAATAATTTTTTCACAAACTATAATTTAATTAATGTTATTCATTCGGCACCAATACTAATTGATTTATATGATTATTTATTTTGGTACTCCGCTAGTAACCATATTAAATTTGGGGAGTTAACGGAATTTTTAGAGAATAATATTGACAACGAATTATTAGGTCATTTTTATTTCGTTAAATTTTCAAAAAGTGGCAATCGACACAAATTAATTAATTCAATGTTAACTAATAATCAAATCTGCATTTATAAAGTTTCAAAGCCAAATAATGAGAAATATTCAGCTACTCATGTTTACTATTCATTTATGATTGATTCAATAAACCAATGTGATGGAATAAAAACTTTGAATTATTTTTTAGGTGGATGCATCCAAGAAAATGGAATTGATTATTTTGTTAAATTATTTCCAAAAGAAATACTAATGAACGATATATCATCACGCATTCATAAATCCTTTAATTTAATTGATTTTTTTTCATGTATTTTAAAACTCTGTCCTCCAATTCTATATGTAGATTTGTGGGACTATATACTAATAACAATTTTATCTGCCTTAAAAGTCGAAAAAGATCAATTTATTATGTCATTATATCGATTTTTTGTAAATAATAGTAATATATTTGAATTAAATAAATTGATTCATATTATTCCACTCCAAATGAAAAGTGATTTTTATTTCGAAGCATATAATAGTTCTTTATGCTTACCAGAATTATCTGGAAATGAAGATGATGGTTTGAAAGAAAATAATGAGAGTAAACAAGAGGAATTGTTCTTGAAGAATGAATTTTCTTCTGAAGATTTGATTTGTAATTATTGTTTGAGCCTTAAACCCAAGAATTTAATTGACTGTGAAAGTTTTATAAGGTCAATACAAAGGCAAAGATTTGGAATTTCAGATAATATTCAAGATAACGATTACAACCGGATAATTGAAAATTATACTAGAATAATAAACCAATCATGCAAAAATCTGTCCATTAAGCTTTATACAAAAACCGACCACTTTATATTTGAACTAATACAAAATGCTGATGATAATCATTATTGTTCTTGTATTGGTAGAATTCCTTCAATTATCTTTGCATTTCATAAAAATGGTGTACTTGTGATTAACAATGAGGTCGGATTTACAGAAAAAGATGTAAGTTCAATCTGTGATATTGGAAACAGTTCAAAAAATCAAAATGAAAAAACAATTGGTTGTTTTGGAATTGGATTTAAAAGCGTGTTTTCAATTACAAACACTCCATTTATATTTAGTAATGGTTACTGTTTCATGTTCAATTTAAATTCTGAGCATGGTTCTTATATTTTTCCAGAATGGGTTGATGATGAATTATGCAATTTAATTCCACTACACAAATTTCATAATGAATATGATAAAGAAATTTCAACTTATAGGACTAAATTTTGGTTTCCTTTCAAAAAGAATATTGATTTTGAAGATGTAAAACTAAATGAAAATATAATTTTATTTACAAATAAAATTAAAAGAATTAAATTAATTACTAACAACAGAGTGTCATTAATTACAAGAAATGACCAACTAATTTCAAGTGATGTTGTATTAGTAAATATTTTGAACGAGATTATATATGATGAATGCCCTAGCAAGAAGCGAAAACTCTCCTTTAATAAAAATAGAACAAAATCATTCTTAATTGTAAATCATAATTTTAAAGTTCCCAAAAATATTTCAAATTTAGCTAATACAAAAAAGTCAAATACTATCTCAATTGGAATAGAAATAAATAATGAATTAGATTCATTTGATGGAGAATGTGACTGTGGCAATAAAGAAATTTTTTCATTTTTACCTATTAGGTCATATGGGCTAAAATTTATAATTCAGGCAGATTTTGATCTTACGTCATCTAGAGAATCAATTTCTGTTGATTCAAATTGGAACATTTACATTCGTGAAAATATACCTAATGCTTTTATTCACATGTTGTCAAAGTTACGTGAAATAAGTGGTTTTCATTTGTTAAAGAAGTCATTTTTGAGTATATTGCCCACAAGAACAGACAATATAGACGAGTTCTTTCTGCCCATTATTTCCAAAATAAACCAAGTTTTAATTTATGAAAAGTGTATTTATACTTATGAAAGAACATTTACTCAACCTTCTAATTCTGTTTATATTAATAAGAATTCAAAGGTAAATGAGATATTAATACATATTTTTCCTAACACTAATGAGTTTTCTTATCTATTAAACAAATATTCAAATAAATTCTTAATTTGCAATATATTTACGAGTAACACAGAAAATGTTTTATTTGAAGACTTGAGAATATCCGAGTTCAATATAAATATGCTAATTGATTTAATTAGTGGAATTATTTTGGATTATTCGTATTTTGGTAGAAGCTATGAATGGTATTTCAGTTTGTTTCTCTTAATTGAACATTTAATGAATACCTCTGATGATATTAATTCTAATTTGAGAAAGTTGCAGAGACTTCCTTTATTTTTGACGGAAGAGGGCCGTTATATAGAATCAATCAATATTGATTCCTCAAATAAACAGTTATTTTTGATGGATGAGAATTTACCTTCAATTTCAAAATTAGGAATACATTTTATTAAAAAGGAATTCATTTTTCAGCTGAAAGAATTCTATAAAGATGAATTAATAAATTATAATAAGGTCATCAGTTTCATACAAAGTCTTGGACCTTATTTCTTAAAAAATGACGAGTATTATGAAATAATTAGCAAGAGTCTTACATATAACAATTTAAGTATAGATGATCATATTCTATTCACTTACTTGCTCGCAAAATCTGAATATATCTCAAATAATAATGAACAAATATTTGCAATTAATTCAAGTGACGAAATGTTGCCACTAACAGCAAGAAATTTTCATCTATTCAATAAAAGTGAGAAATATTCAATAATTGAAAGTGCCTATAAAATGATTGATAACCAAAGCAGGAATTTAATTAACGACCTTTCTTACAATACATTTAGCAAAAAGTATCTTCATCATGCAGACGAGTCCTTTTGGAACTCGTTTTTTAGAAAATTTGGAATAACAATTTTACCTTTTTATTTTGAGAAAATTCAATTTAACAATTTAATTGACTATAAAGAGTTTCTTAAATCAGTTAGCAAACTAGATAATAATAAATTAATAGATCAACATATTGAATCTATTTATAACATAAAGAATTCAAATCAAATTATGATTACAGATTTCTATTGCCATGGAATTGAGTCATTAGCAATAATAATGAGTGATACATTAACAAAACATACTGGAAATAAATATTTTGAGGAGTTATTGACAACAATCTCAAATCAAATTATTCATTGTATTTGTGATTTTTGGGAAGAAATTCAAATTTATTGGTCAATTACTATTCATGAAATAATAAAGAAGCCTTCTTTTGTACATTTTCAATTTTCATCTTATCCAATTTTTATCTCCAAATATTTATTTAACAATAATTTCATTTTTCAACAATTATGCCCACCAAAATCTTTGACATTATACGTTAAAACACAACATCATGAGGTAATTTCAAAATTTGTAAATTTTTTAATATTAGATGTTCCAGAAAAAAGTAGTCTGATTACTCTATCAGATGCATTTTCTTCTAGAATTGAAATTAATTTAGACTATTTATGTTTATTGGTTGAAGCTTTAAATAATCCCAAAGATAAAATAAGTTTATACAATAAAAACCAAATAGACCCAAATTCGTATATTTTACTACTTGAATTAATAATTAAAGAGTCAAGATCAAACTTTTCAATTAGTTCAATAAACTTATTAAAAAAAAATCTGATGGTTCCTCTTCAGGATGAAAGTAAAGATTTTGTTTGGAAAAGTATTCAGGACTTATATTGGAATGATGAAAACATATTACCAAAAAACTATTCTCTTTTATATCAATTTTCAGTTATACATAAATTGAGCATTTCAATTAATGAGATCATGAGTTTTTTTTTAATACTTGGAGTTCCCATAAAACCAGAAAAAAAGCATCTAATTACTCATTTATTAGAAATATATAAAATTGAACGAATTGAGGTGGATTCAAAAATATTACTGACTTATGTTGGCATTATTACTCAACTATATAAAATTGATAGAACAATATTGAATGATTTGCTGAAGTTACCTGTTGTTAAAAAAAATTATTGTAGGTGGCTTGACATGAATCTAATAAATGATTGCCATTTGATATTTTCGGATTCTGCATTGTTTCATTATTTTATTTATAAGAAGTTATTCTCAATAAAAAAAGTTATCTGGTCACCTATGCTTTTCACATTTATACAATCTAATTTAAGTAGTGAGAATCAAGATCTTGATGCACTAATTTACAATTGGAATATTTTTTGTTCACAATTATCTCCTAATTTGGAGAATAATAATTATTTTAATATTCCTTCTGAAAATCATTGCAACTTAGATTCATCTTTTTATTATGAAATTATTGTTAATCTTTTTGGGCCACTATATGAAGAATCTATTAAGAACCAAATTAAGATAAGAAAAAATTGGAGTCAATTAATTTCAAAAAGCAATATAATAATTTTGAGCTCAGACATTTCTATCAGATGCCTAGAAAAAACTTTATGTATTCCTGGTATATTTGATATAAAAACAAATAAGTTGTATGTTAAACACCAAAATAATTTGGGAAATGATGATATCGAAGAAATATTGCTTTCCATACTTACATTTATTAGTTCTTTCTTTCCAAAAAATTATCCCAACATAAAAAGTCTAATGGTAACAAAACTTATATTTAAAGATGCAATTAAGGAATTTGAATCTTCAAAAAATAATATGGCTTGGGAAAGATTCATAATTAATTGGATCCAGAAAATAGAAACAGAAATCTTCGGATTTAAAATTGATTTAAAGTACTTTTTGTTCTCGGATTATGTAGATTGCAGTGCTTTCCAGCTGAGCAAAAACGCTCAAATAAACGAAGGGTTACAAATAGAATATAATACTAACTGCCCAAAGAAGGTTATTTTAGATATAGGTAAGATGGGAGAAGAATTAGCCTTTGAGTACCTGAAAGAAAATTTTAATAAGGAGACGGGGGTTAGCGAATTCAATATAATTTGGGTTAATGAAAATGTAGAATCGGGTCTTCCTTATGACATAGTCCTAGTTTTTATTGATGAAAAAAGTGAAACTAAGGAGGAAATATTCGTCGAAGTTAAATCATCATCGAAAAAAGAAAAAAATTTTTTTTTTATTTCTTTCAATGAATGGAAGTTCGCAGAAAAACTACAGAATAATTATTGGTTACTCCACGTTTTGGGTGTTAATTGTAATTCTTCAAAATTAAGTTTAAATGACCTAGAATACAAAATAATTAGGAATCCATATGAATCTTGGAGAAATGGAAATTTAAAAATGATACTATCAGAGAGTTAAATTATATTATAAATGGAAAAATTGCTTTGCGATTGAGAGAAAAATATGATTCCTTGTAATAGCTGATGTACCATTTATGTGTTCGAATTGCATTAACATACATACATATAATCACATATAATAAAGCAGTCTTAATATATATAAGCTTTGAATTAAAAATAACATCGTTAAACAATGATAAATAGATCCCAATTTCACTGAAATAATGTGGACAACTAATAAATTTAAACATACCACCATAAGGAATACCATATTCTTCAAGATTTTTTCTCCTAATATTTGAGAGTTTAACGTGGGTTTTGTATTGAATTAGAGAGAAAATTCCGAAAGATACATATTGTAGAACTGCAAATTTTCCAGAAATATCCGGCGTAGTCATTATTGTAATAGGCATTACGATATAATAAGATAAGCCAAATAAGAAAACAAAAACGCTCATTCTACTATACTTTGTGTTATGACATGAAATAAATACTTCTTCATACAGTCTTCTAATCACATGTAATAAAAAAATAAATAATCTGTAATTTGGGTAGCTTAAATATATACAAACCATTGTTGAAAATATCCCAATAAAATAGAAATAACGAAACCACCTTTTGTTCACAGTAAACCCTAATATCAGGTATATCGTCTTATTGTTCGATGAAGTGCTCGCAATATTTTCCAAAGCTACAGCCTTCTTATATAGTTTACCATGTGCTGTAATATGATTCGCAAACTGGACGACACTAGAGGAAATTACAGCAACAATTGAAAAAAAAAAGTAAATCGTCAAAAAGAAATGAGTTCCATTCACCAACTTGTATTCAACTTCTTGCATCTTTCATAATAATAAAAATAAAAGGGGGAACACAAGGGAAAAATACGGGAAATAAGCGGAATCTGAATAAGAAGACGGGAAAATTCGAAATTTTCAAAACTCTATTCTAGACTGGATATCGTAAAACAATAAATTTAGTTAATTTTTATTTCGATTTAATAACTTTATCGTCTGCTATACCTTGAGTCGTATGGATCTGCTCTAGAGTAACGTGGCGGGGAGTGGTACCTAGAGGAGTGATAATCATCCGGTCTAGGGTATCTGTTGTCATAGTATCTGTTGTAATAATCATCACTGTGTCTGTTGTACTGATCACCTCTCGAGTGAGATGGTGGTGGATAGTCATATCTACTCCTAGTAGAAGGCCTAAATGAATTGCCACGATGAGAAGAACGAGGATACCCGGTTCTTGAATTATTATATTTGATTGATCGATATTGGGGTCCTTTATATTCTCCTGGGGTAGGATCATACGGCTTAGCACGTCTTGCTGTCTCAACCTTCAAAGTCGCATCTTGATATTCTTTTCCATCCAATGCATTTTTTGCACGTGCTGCCTCCTCCTCGTTACCCATAGTTACAAACCCAAAACACCTGCTTTCTCCAGATAATGGATTTGTAACTAAATGGCAATCAGTTACCTCACCATAATCTTCAAATAATCTACGTAAATCATCTTCTTTTGTTTTTAAAGAGAGCCTGCATACATAAAGCGTACATGAAGGGTCGTTACTACGCTCAATTTGGGGGACCGTTTGGTTTTTCTCATCTGACTCAGTATTTGATACTTCTTGAGCTGGTTCAGTCTGTTCCAATTCGTATTGAGTTTGATTATTACCCTCCTCAGCTTGACATGTTTGTGGCTCAGAATTATCCTCCTCCATTTTTCGCAAAATTGGCTTTCTTCCCCGTTTTTTTGCCTCTGGCATATTACGAAGGAAATATGAAAAATATTAATGGGTAGAAAATAGAAAGTTGTCCCCGCGTGGGACGGGGAATTTTTTTTTGGCCGCTTAAATATTTTGTCAAATGAATTGATTAATCTACAAACAAATTGTCAAGCTTACAAAAAATTTCGTTCAAATTTCGTTGTATTTGCTTTTAGAGAGAGCAAATGTACTAAAGTTTGTTTCCCCCCAAATTGAGCCACCCATCCATGTTGTAAAGTCTGGCCTTTGATTACATCTTGTTTTAATTTCCCATACCTATTTTAAAAAGTCGAAAACTGTAATATGTTTATTTAAACTTACTGAAGGTAGTAGAGAGGAAAGCTCTTTGTTCAATCTAGCCTCAAAATTTCTAAATTTAGTGGAACCTCCTATTATTAATATATTATTAGCTAGCAATTCTTGTAGATGTTTTGGTGACGATAAAATAGACTCTGAGACCATTTCTGCTATGCCCGCAAAGTTATAACCTCCATTTGATGGATTAAATAATAGTTCTGGAACTGCTATCCTTTCTGAATAAAGTTTAATGACCCCATTGGAATCATAATTTGCGTTTGGTTCTGATTCTAATTTCAATTTTAGATTATCATTTAACTTTAAAAGTTCAGTATTTTCGGGTGATATACACTCTTGAAAGTAGTAATTTGAATTCTTACTATTTGACTTTAATTCTGGGAGCTGATATATTTGTTCTATCAAATTATCAGATTTATTTTGTGATGGCCTGTTAATATCACTATCAAAATTCTTGGAAATATAACAGCAACTCTCTTTAATTTTAGATACAATTAAAGAGTTTCTAGATAAATCAACTTGTCTGAATGAAAGAAAATTTTTTAATGCTAGGTCCAAATGATATCCACCAATATCCAGTCTTCTACAGGCTTTATAAATTGGTGATCCCTGAAATAATGGGACACTAAAACAACACTGATAGCCGCAATCTAAAATCAAATAGCATGGATTTATTATTCGTTGATCAATTTTAGGAATAAGTTGTGGACTAAATGCAAATTGTGATATTGCGGGAGAATTTGTGACAATTGCACTGTTAAAACCAAATTGCTCAAAAATTACTTCAAAAAGAGAGTGCTGAAGTGAAGTTGGATTTAAAAATGGTTCAGTAACTAATATACCAAGCTCCTCTGGAGAAATATTCATTTTGTTGAAAATATATTCCCAAATATCACTTTCCATTGAAATATCCAATAGTAAACCTTCGGAGAACGGGGAATAAGAAAAATACTCGTTCAAACCAAAGATTTGATCTGATTTATATATTTTATCCTTTCTTCGAACTTTGCCGATACAATTTGGGAAACAATGCCTAGAAGGATTCAGAAAACTTTTTGTAAGACATCCAACTTACCTAGGTAATTCCTCACCTGAATACCCAACTTTTATGGTGTATGAACCATTATCTACAACCAAAACTTTATTCATTTAAATTGAAAAAAAATTAATTTAGTATTCAGAGTTTTCATAAGAATAAAATTCGGATAGTTAATGAGTTTAAGTATGAAATTATCTTTAATATTAATTTATCATCGTATTTTTCATTTAATTTGTTTTAAAAATTGTTTTCATATTGATTTTTTTAAGCAAATTGCGGTAATGTGAAAGAGTTTTTGAAATGTTGAAAAATATTTTATCAGCTATTTATTTTTTGTTATTTATTGCATTCATAAGTAACTTTGTATTCTGTGAACATTTAGGGCTTAACAACACGTCCATTTTTGCAAGCTCTCAAAATGAAAGTGATGCAATACAGATATTTGAAAAATTAACAAGAAATATAATTGCAGATGATTTAACTACTTCAATTTCAAGAGGTTGGTGGACACTTTCAAAGAAGTTAATTATTAAAACACACGAACAAGGTATTGATTTAAGTCCAGTCGTACGTTCAGCAGAACTCTCAATTAGAAGAGAGCTGAATGAACTTACTAGACTATTAAACAAAAAACACAGTGAGGTTGCAACTTTATCTCCTGCATTCCAGTGGGCTCAGTCATCTGATCTAGTTTATTTGAATATAAAGTTTACATACAGATGGAATGCTCCAGGTGCATTGAAAATAGATAATGAAATAGTTTCGATTCACGATAATGTATTTTTTTTTTCTGCAATGGGGTCACATTCTCACGAAAAAAAAAAATATGTCCTAAATCTCGAGTTGTTCGATGAGGTTGACTCAGATTTATCAGAGTGTTCATTTGGATCTGTTGGAAAGCTATCTTGCACTCTTTTTAAAAAAAAATCGAATGCTATTTGGCCAAGATTATTGAAAGACCAGAAACTTAAAATTCCGAATATGCATATATGGTGGGAAATGAGAGAAAAACATGAAAACTTAAAAGCTAATTCAAGTATTCCTGATGGAAATCCCCCATCAAGTGTTTCTAATGAGACTAAAGGTTTAAAATATAATTCAAATTCTACAATTAACGAAGAGCTCTAATCAAATAATTCATTTTATTCTGTATTACTCAATTTGATACCGCCATAAATCAAGTAATTGTTTAATAACTACAGCTTGCTGATTAATATGTAATACATGCAGATTTCCTGTAAAGATTATAAAAGCAAATTTCACTCTAATAATACTAACTCAATTTTTTCTAATTTTTTGGGTATTAATGTTGAATCTTTAATTAGGACGGGGTCAAAGCTAGATTTTTTTGTCTTCACACAAAATTCTAATCAGAAAGAAAATGACTTAAAAAGATATAATCCTAATTTTAACAAACTTTCATATATAAAAGAGAGCGAATTTGCGCAATCTTATAAAAATGGGTTAAACAACATCAAACTTTTATTTACTTATCAAGACTTTGATCTTCTGGAATTTACACAGATTCATGAAAATCAGCATTTAAAAATCAGGAAGAGATGTGAGTGTCCAGTAAGAAGTATAAATACACCTAAAAATGACATCTTGCCGTTATTTGACTTGCTTATTAATAACATTAATCAAATTCTACTAAAAAATGTAAATTTTCAAGATCAAAAAGAGCTAAGTAATTCTTCCTTTAATGAAAATCCTTCAATATCTAATGATACAGATATTATTGATAGATATATTATTCATGATATTAATAACTTTTTTGGTTCTGAAAAACAAACGCAATTATTTTTGGAAAAAAAAGATTATAAATGCTCAGTATTCCCAGTTAAGTTGCTTAATAATTATTATAAAGTTTGCAGCAAATCACTTATTGAGCTGGCAATTCAACTTATACGCATAATTAGCATAACTATCTTAAGAAACAAATATAAACTTTTTAATATTTATCCTGAACTTATTATTATTCTTTCATCTTTGATATTTATTTGCTTGGATATTATTTTTTACCTTTTTAATTGGAAATCAGCACCCAAAATTGGCATGGCTATTGACATAATTCATTTCGTATTTATATTCCTATCTTTTTGTCATATTACGAATTTAAATACAGAAATTTTTGATATTTGTGGTTGCCTTTTATATTACTCGTATATATATCGTATTATTTTTATTCTTCAGTGCAAATTTATCAGCAAATATAATAAATTTCAAGTAACGGAAATTATTAGAACTCAACTCAAACGAATTTTTTTTTCTTTTGGAAATGATATGAATCTAATGATTTCATCTTCTAAATTCGAAGATATTTGTGGAGAGTTAGGAATAGATAATTTTTTTAAGAGCAACCTGATCAACCGATCACTAGAAACGTATTTGTTTCAAAATCTAGATTGGATTTCAGGCGAATTGTTTAAATTTAAATACATTAATCCAATTTCATATACAAGGGAAAGCTATTTTAAAATAAATTTAAATGTTGATCGACACATTTTACTAATTAATCGTCAATATTATTTGTGTATTAAACAAGTCTGCACAAAGCTTTGTTTATTCTACAAAATCCAGATATATAGTTTATTTAGATATTTCTATATTAATTTAAAATTTAATTATTTCATTTTATTGAAAGATTTACCAAGAAAAATTATTCGTTTCAAATACCCAGATAAAAAAAATAATTCAACCACTTACCAAGAATATATTTTAAAAAAAAGAAACTTAACTTATGAAGAATTTGAAACGTTACTTATTTCTTTGGACAGCAAAAGAAGGTTATTGAATAAGATAGAAACTAATACAGGTCTATTTGACATAATTAATGGTTCTTGTTTGCTTCAGCAAAGAAAAATTATTTTTGAGCAATCTTTCTATAATATTACATTATTTATTTTGTTAGCAATATCAATCACTTTTATAGCAGAAACAGTTATTAATTATTTCGGTGATAATCTATCTAAAATCAAAAATTTCGTTAGTATAATACAAGCATACTTATATTTGTTGATAGTGATCACAAGTTCAATATTTCATTATAAATTGGATAAAATGTATTATAATTCATCATTGAAAAGTTACAATAGAATAATAAGTATATACAATTTAATTTATGGTAATTCTCAATTAATTGAAAAAGATCATTTACATAATAATTTCTCAAGAAATGATTACTTGGCCGAATTTTTGTCTTATCACAATGCAGAGCTGCTGGAAAAATACGTGAATTCGTTTTCAAAATATCTTCCAAAAGGTATAGCAATTTCACTCCTAAAAAAATATGAGTTTTCGGCATTGAACCCACAATATAAGGAAATAACAATTCTTTTTTCAGATATTGTCGGATTTACTAACATTGCAGAAAAAGTAAGTCCCTTCTTACTGTTTCATTTATTAACTAATTACTTCGATGAAATGGTTAACATAATCGAAGAATTCAACGGCAACTTACTAGAAATTGCTGGTGACGCAATCCTTGCCATCTGGAACTCGCCTGTGGCTGTTGAAAACCATTCAGTAGCAGCAATATCTGCATCTTTGAAAATGAAAAAGCAATTAAAATTAAAATTTAAATCTTTCGAAAATAACTACTTTCCGGAAATTAACATTAAATGCGGAATTCATACAGACCATGTTCTAATTGGGAATATTGGATGCAACAAAAGAATGAAGTATGGAATTATGGGCGATGGGGTTAATTTGGCAAGCAGAATTGAGTCTCTTACCAAGCGTTATTCAGTGGACATAATTATAAGTAATAATGTATTCGCAAATAAAAAGGTACAAAAGAAATTTATAATATGTCCATTGGATATTGTCATAGTGCAGGGGAAAAGTAACCCTACTGTAATTTATCATGTACTAAATACCATATATGATTCTGATTTGGTTTCATTATTGAAATCTAAATTTCACACTAAAGCACTGATATTTTTTATTAATAAGAATTTTAAAAAATCCCTGCTCTATATCGAAAAGATTAATAAGTTGGGGCCGTTTAAAATTGATCCAAGTACCATCAACCTGTCTAATAAATGCAAACATTTCCAAGACAAGAAATTGGATATTAACTGGTCTTGTGCAGAGGTATTAAATACAAAATATTTTAACGAATAGATTTTGGGTTATTATTTTACTCATTGGCCAATTTTAATTTACAAAATGGCATGCATTTATTTGCACTGTTAAACAGAGCGGAATTATTTTTATGATTTTTTTTTGTATACAATTTTTAAACCGCCAAGGTTACAAAAATAATAATTATGAATACTATTCATCCAAACACATCCTCACTTTGCAATGACATTGGCGATGACGAACAAAATATATCCGAATTCCCGTACATGGGAGAACCATTAAGATTAGATGATTCGGCCTTGAAGAATAATCATAGCTCAAATATACTCAACCAATTTTTTGGGAGTTTTTCAGAAGAAGAATCTGATTCAGAGAATATGCTTTCACTTGAATTTAGCGTTTCAAATTATACAAACAATAGGAAAAGAAAAAGAGATTCAAATTCTAGAAAGAAACCCAAGTCAAGGCAAAATGTTTCAATTGAAATCGAAAAATTGTTACAAAAGGCAAATGACGCTTATTTGGAAAAAAAATTTATTTTAGCAATCGAAATACTTGAGGAAATAGTTGTTAAAGCTCCGGGACTGCATGACCCTTTCCATATGTTAGGCCTCATATATGAACAAGAACTAGATGATAAGGAAAAAGCAATAGGATTTTATTTAGTAGCTGCTCATCTAGTTAGCACCGATTTTTTTTTATGGAGAAGAATAGGCCAAATGAGCGCCGAGATCCAAGATTGGGGCAGAGCAATTTATTGTTACTCTAAGTGTATCAAAAACATAGAATATTCTGCGAAACTAGGTGGGCAAGAGTCCGCTGCACAATTAGAAGATGAAATACGGTTCGAACTTAGTAGTGCATACTACTCCGTAAATGATATCAATAGGTGCATACAACAACTAAAAATATTATTTTGGAGGCACCCTGGTGACCCACTTTTGGGTAAAGAACTTGCAAGATGTTATCATAAAATTGGGAAATTGAATTTGGCGGCGGAAACTCTTGAAAGCTGTATAGATTACTGCGATGACATAAATATTGTAAATATGTTGTGCGAAGTTTACATAGATTTGAAATTATACCAGAAATGTGTTGACCTAATTCACAGTTATTTTGCAAATACTGATATTAAATTTAATAGTTTTAACTCAAATACTAAAAAAACAAATCTTTCCATAAGTAATGAAATGGACATAAATCAATTTTTGAAGAAAATTCCGATTGACATTGCAACAAAATATGCGGTTGCAAATGTCAATTTTGGAAATTACATACCTGCACTGCAAGTTTCAAATATCATTAATGAATATAAAAATTTCGAAGATTTTGTTGATTTACACTTGACTTTAGGAGACGCATATTTTCAAATTGGCAAATACGATAATGCGAATGTTCACTTCGTGGCCGTATCAAATTCAAAGTCATTTGAGTCAAACATTCCTTTTAATATTAAATATGCATACTCTCTCCATAAGCTTAATTTAAATGAAGATGCTGCATCAGTTCTAAAAAAAATACTTGAAACAAATAAAAATGTTTCTGCAGATTTCAATATTTCCAGGGCAAAAACGCTTCTAGCTTCCATATATTCAAAAATGGGTTATGATAATCTAAGTGAAGAGTTAATCTATACTATGAAATATGATGAAATTATACAGTCTAAAGATATCTCAATTCCAATTCCACAGGAAATGAGAATAACTATTGTTCTTGATTTGTTTTCTGATATGAAAAAAGGGATTTTAAAAAATGTGGGTAAAGTTGATAACAAACCATATCTTGAAAGTGCAATTACTGTTAATACACATTTTGAATCCAAAAACACTTTTTTTCAAACATATGCAGATCGATTTGCGAATATAATCAATGAATTTCTCATCGATATAAAACGTATAAACCAATTGATATATTCAAGGAAATACAATGAAAATAATAAAAGAAATACTTCTGAATATATAGAAAAGAATACACCCAATAGCACTAGTAATTCCAAAAAACCAAATGATACATCTGCATTAAATACAAATAAAAAGTTGCTAAGGGCAAATACCCAGTTAGCGAAAGTGAGGAGCGAACTTGGACTAATTACATTGGAGGATATTTTAACCTCTGAAAATGAACTTTGGGAGTTTCTATCACTAGGTGCAATTTTTTTAAAATGTTCAAAAAAAAATAAGATTGCTGTCGAATTATTTGAGAAACTGCTTAATAATCTAAAGTTGATATGCCCTGAAATGAGCGGAGATTCATTAACTAAAGGAAAACATTCATTACAAAAATTGCTTCTTTCGCTTTCATTTGAAGGAGGTATCTGGCGTGTACTACTTGGGCTTTTGAGAGAAGAATTTAACAAAAAAACCAACAAGAAAAGCATTTGTAAAGTATTAGGTAGCCTAATTTTAATGCCACATCTATTTGCTTCAAAATTAAATGTATTAAACAATCATTTTGTTCTTGAAAAAGAAACAATTAGTGAAACGAGATCGTGGATACAAAGACAAATCTCAAATTCAAAAAATAATTTGGAGCTTCAAATTATTACAGCTCACCTTTATGTTCTTTCAAATCGTCTAAACCAAGCTTCATCTGAATACTTAAAAATACACAGGCTAATTCCTTTTGATGATTTGATTTCTCTCTGTCTTGGAGTTTCATTCATTGGGGTAGCAGTAAGCAAAGAATCAAAGAATCGAATTTTTTCAATAATCAAAGGATTTTCATTTATTACAAGGTACACAAAAGGAAGGCAAAGCATTTATGTTAACGAAGAAATTTACAAAGCAGAATGCTTCTATAATCTCGCACGTGCATTCCATCAAATTAATTTGAAGTCAAATGCTATAAACTGTTACATAAAATGCATAAATTCTCTAAACTCGATCACTGATATACAGAGCTACGACTTTAATAAACTTAAAAAAATGGCGTGCTACAATCTATCACTTTTATCAAAGGTAGATATATTTGGTGGAATAATCTGGTAATATTATGACCCTTTTATTTCTTGATTATCTATACAATTCTTTATCATTGCATTGCTAAGCTCTTCTTCGAATTCAGGAGGGCAAATTGATCTTGATTTTAGGCACGGTAGACTTAATACTTCGCTTAAGCAATTACAATCTGTTGCGCACTCATCTAAAACCGCATCCTTAGATTCAAATCTCAAACATCTTTTAATACAATTATACTCCTCATTTGAAACATTTCTAGTACCTGTACTTTCATTAATTCCCACATTTGAATTGTGTAATGTAGGTGAAAGGTCTTCTGGTGGAGAAATTTTTCTATGCCCCCAATCTAGTACATCCAGAAATGATTGTCTTGCAAATTGTCCAACGTCTGATGCTGTATGGGTCTTGCTTAGCTGATAAGTCGCCCCTGCAAGAAATATTGCACAAAATGCTCGGATTGATAACATAAACCAATCGTCTCCCCTTCTTATTATGGAATAAAGTGGTTTAAATGAATCGATTACCCCAGTGTCCTCATCAAATAAATTGGGAAGAATCCAAAAATCGAAACCAAAGAACCATAGAAAAGCAAAAACAATCAATCTACCAAAAAACACAATCAGCATCACTGATAGGAATACTACTGAAATATACCAAACAGATATTTTTATTGCTAATGGCCAGGCAGGGAACATGAATAGTGCAACAACTGAGACCAATATTGATGTCATTAATATATTAGAAATTGTCTTATTACTATCGAAAGTAATAATGTAAAACGAGTGTTCATCAAAATTTTGATTGCTTGTTACGCAAAGTCTTTTTGGCCACTTAGGAGTTTTCAAATCATCAGTGTTTGTTCCCACAGGTTTATATTCTGCCCTGACGATAAATGAACGTTTAATCAACTCAGCTCCGACTTGATTTATATCATTAATAGATTCAAAAGAGACATTTTTGGCAATTTCTGGATAATTTTCCTTAATATTATCTGCATTTTTTCTCATCCACCTAATAAATTCAATTCCACGAAAATAATCTACTGCTCTTCTTCCCACTTCAATTGCGCCTTTAGTTCGTACACCAGTCTTTGAAGACAGTAAATATTTTACAAATTTTGTGTATATTAACTCTTGATCAACTTGTTCAACCATTTTTATTTGTATTCATTAAAAATCTTTTTTTTTGCGCCATAGCCGGATAAGAATTAGAAAAACATAATAATCCGGGAATGTGAACAAAGATTGCAAACTAATCAATCTAGTATAGCTTACAAGGTTTCTCTCTTTGAATGTTACATTAAGCACTATGAACATGTGTCTATAACTGTACAAGATAACTTATATCTTATATACTAATTCACTGAGATTTAATTCAAATATGAATCAAGAAATCATTAAACCGATTCTTAGACAATCACCTTTACTATTAACATTTATCACTATAATCTCAATTAATTGTTTCTCAATTTTTAATTTTCTAACATATCTCCGAATTGAACAGTCAAATATAATTTACTATCTTGGGAGTATAGCTTTGGCTTGGTACACTATTTTGAGCCTTCTTATAATATATTCACTTGCCTTTCTTGCTATAGTGGATCCAGGTTCTTTGGAATCACTTCAATGTGACACTAATGTACCAAATTGGTTCAAATCTACAATAAGGCACTGTAATAAATGCACAGAAAAAAAATGGAAGCCTCCAAGAGCTCATCACTGCACAACCTGCAATATCTGCATTTTTAAAATGGATCATCATTGCATAATTGTAAACAATTGTATTGGATATTCAAATCAAAAGGTTTATATTCTTTTCCTATTTTATTTAGTTTGTTCAACTTCTTTAATAGTTATTTTGTCATCTTTCCTTCTTTATAAGTTGATTACTTTTTCGTTAGAGAGTGGGATTAATCAAATGAAACATCAACTAGTCATCAGTTTAATAATTAACATTATAATTTTATTAACTGCGATGATATTTTTATTGGATCAAATAGACTATATTTTCTCAAATTCAACACTTGTTGAATTGATATCAAATAAATGTGGGAAAAAGATAGACCTTGTCAATAATTTTAAAATGATATTTGGGGAGAACAAGTATCTATGGTTACTACCTTCAAGGAACGTAATGAAGCCTAACTTTAACGAAGAACTATATGAAATAATAGATTATCCAAACTATAGGCATTTTTCTGAAACTAGATTAGCGGATAACAATGAACAATTAAAATCTTTCAGTGAGTTTTCAATCATAAATAAAAAAATATTGAAGATTGAATAATACTCATATCACTAGATTAAAATACAATATAATTCATTTCAATAATTTAATTATGAATATTCCTATCTACTGTTATTTTACAATTTATTTTTCTCAATATAGTAAATGAGTAAATATGTATTCGGCATTGCCGCAAGATTCACTTTAATAAATATGGGTTCATCTATTTCTAAAGATAAAGAACTTTCAATACCAGAAAACTGTTTGAAATTTATTGAGCCATTTTTAAAAAATGAGAATATAAGAGCAGATTTATCACTTTTGAATGAATTGCAAAAACCGGTCATTAACCAAATTGAAGATAATTCAACAATTGATCAATTTGTTTTTGAACGTATTTCTTCGAAACTATTCCTGAATAATGCAAACAGTGGTAATTTTCGCTCTTTATCTCTATTTTTTGCTGAAATACTATTTGAAAAAGAGAGGGAATTATACATTTCAATTGAAAACAACAAAGTGCAGCTTGATTATCAAATAGCGAGCATAAACCATATAATTGGTCTGGGTATAATAATTAAATTTATTATTGTGCACTATTTAAAGAACTTTGGAATAGACCAACTAATTAAATCCGCAGAACATAAACAGTTTCTTAACTTTGTTAATGAATCGAATAATGCAACGAGTGAATATTTTAAAGAACTTGAAAAATCTATTATTTTTAGCGAAAAATATAATGAAAAACAAGGAGTTATAAATAAAAAATTAGATCTAATTCTATATGTATGTAAATCATCAAAATGTATAGGAGAAAATGAACATTTATTAGAATCATTTGAAAATCTATCTGTGTTTGGGCAATTTTTCTCAAGAATACCTTCATTCCTGGTATGTTCTCAAAAATATATTGAAAATACTAAATCATTAAGCGAGATATGTAATTTGCTGATTAACCTTCAGAATGCCCTAATGGATATTATGTTGATATTATTTCTTCCTAAAATCGAAAATAACCTAAATTTAGATGAAGGTGATATTTACACATTTATTACATGTTTTCAAATTCATTCATTAATCAACTCTGAAAAAAATATATATTGTGAAGATGACTCTGATTACTTTGAAGATAATAGGTACCTATTCCTACAATATTTAATCAAGAAGTCACTAGACTCTGAACAAAAATGTCAATTATTTGAAATAAATAGGAAAAAATCAATTTTACTACTTGCAACAATTCTTTTTAATCCTCCAGAATTAAAATTCAATATATATGCTGAATGGATTAAAAATTTCTCTGATCCAAGATTTATTCCAGATAGTCTTGCTTCATCTGACTCCAATACGGACTCAGATCTGGATCTTAATCAAACTAACTTTGTCAACTTTCCTTACTTCGAACAAGCTTACCGTTCCGTAATTTTTGATGGCACTCTTGTAAAGCACCATCTTTCTGTTTTTTTGCTATATTCTTTAGTACATTCAAATTCATATTTTATTTCTTATTGTTTATCAAGAGCAGATCCAGATGCCTTAATACTTGCATTGCTAGAGCCCGTATATATTATCTCAAAAAACATGGATGAAACAAATTTACGTAAAATTGTCGCACTCCTCTCTATTATTCTCAGATTGACAAATGATCCTAATTTATGCAAAGCTTTGCATTACACAAAAATTGAAAACCTTCCATTTTGGTTAGAGGAAGATTCTTTAAAAAAATTAATTTACAAATGTAATAGTAATCAAGAAGAGAATGAATTTGAGCCATCAGAAAAGCACTCAATAACTATTGGAAATATTTTATTAATTGTGCTACTTAGAACAATGTTTTATAACTACAAATCCAGTAAAGATATTTATTTATGTAACATTATTTATTCTATTATTGAAAACGTTTCAATATATATGAAAAACTTTCATTGGCATGTTGCAGAAAAACTAACTCATTATATAATTTTCCTAAATAGCCAAGTATACTGCTCACTAAATACCTATAATGGGGATCAGTCCAACTTTAGATTCTTTAATCGATTCTATTGTGGAATTTTAATGCATAAAGCATTACTCAAACTAATTATTGAAAGTTTAAAAGACGAGAATTTATTATCAAATTCTGAACTTATTTATATAATAATTAAATTTTCATTAATTGCTGAAATTCAAAAGTTGAACTTTTTTCTCAAAAAATGTATATATAATTATAGAATAATTGATTCTAAATTAACTGTTGCAGGTAAAAGGTCAAACCCTTTCCCTTCCGTAACAGAAATTCTTAATTCAATTGTAGAGTTTTATGAACATATCAAAACAATCACAGTGAGTTTTGAGAATGAACTAATAAACATTGAAAATATTTCAACAACTGAAAACATATACACAATCTTCCAAACTATTCAAAATATTATTTTATCAAAAAGACAGCCAAATAAAATATTTTATACTAGTAAACATGCAATATTTACACGAAATGACTACTCAGAATTTAGATTTTATTTCAAGACGATTTATTTTGAATATTGGGGTAATTCCCTCAACTAAAATTATTGAATACTTTTTTTTTATCTTTAAAAATACACGAATTAACTTAAGTCAATATAGAAGTGAAATTAACTTGTGAACTAATATGCTGATAAAGCTTATTTCAGTATTAATACTCGTTTTGTAGAAAATACAGCTCAAATGAAAATTTTAGTACTGAATTTTTAGTATTTCATTGCATCTATATATTAAATGAATAAGTAACAATAAATACGTTTTCAAAGAGTATAAATAAGTTTTCTAAACGATCATCAGTCATCTTTGAACTAGAACTTAATCATTACTTTTATTATTTGTTACTTACAACAAAATAGCTACACAAAAAAATCAGCATTTCTGATTTAGTGACAAAAAAAATGATGAAATTTACGCTATATTTATTTTTAAAAAAAAACAATTTGAATAATATTTACGAGTAAAACCAAACGTAATGTTTTGTTTTTTCGTAGATCTTAACCTTTAATATATTAAATGTCTACTAAAATTATCTTTATGTGCCGCCGTAACTGTAGTTATTTTTGACATTTTACGATGCATTGTCATAAACCTAAACTAAAACAATCCAACAAACCCTTTAAAGGGAAATCGTCCATACGCAAGAAATCAAATCAGAAACTTAAAAAATGTAATGAAAGGTTTATTTCAAAACCACTTTCGGGAAAAAATAGAGAAAATCAAAAAAATCAGTTAAGAAAAAATAAAATAATCTCTAATAACTTAAGGAAAGAAGAAAAAGCAAGTCAGTTAGGAATTCCAGTACTATGTACAATTGTTCCATTTAATTCATATTGCAATTCTATTTCAGTTCTTAAACTATTATCGAACTACATTTGTCACAATTATCCTGGAAACAACTTCGATATCGAATTTCATTTTCAAAGTAATCCAAATGGTGTATTTACATTTGATATAGGCAAGTACAAGTTATCTATATGTATTGCAAAGTATAACGAAATTCTTGAGACATTAGATCTAATCAAATGTTCAGACTTTATTATGGCTTTATTTGGATATAATGAAGAATTTCGGGCATTCGACGAAGTTGGATATAAATTGCTCAAATCGATTAAACTCCAAGGTCAAACTAACACAATAGGAGTTTTTTCTTGCAATGAAACTTATTATTTCGGTAGTAAAATTTTGGATTGCGAAAAAGTGTTTAGGAAATCCTTTGAGATGGAATTTGAGAAGAATATGAAATTTTTTTCTTTGCAAAAGGAAAATGATATTCGAAATTTACTATCTTCAATTCCTATTATGGGTTATTCCAAACTATGCCTAAGGGATGGAAGGGGTTATTTACTTTCAGAGTCATCAAGCATCGGAGTCTGTAATCATTCTAATGAAATAAAAAGACAGTTGATTATCAAAGGCTATGTGCGTGGAGTAGGATTATCCATCAATTTTCCTGTCCATATAACCAATATCGGTGATTTTGTTATTGATGAAGTTAATCCTATCGATAATCCTTCGTTTAATTCGATTACTGTACTTTCAAGCCGTGATTTTCATATTAAATTAAATAACAAAAACAGTGAAATTTTAAATAAGGAAATTATTGGAGTTGCTGGAATAGAAAAGTCTCCAGCTATTGACAGCTCGTGTGAAAATTCCATCTTATATGGCAAATCTATGGAAATTGACTCCCCTAATAACTTAATAGTTAGAGACATGGAACACAACGAATACAATGTAGATTTAGAATCGGACACCAACATTACAAATGAAGCTCTAACTGATGGCTCTGAAGATGAATGCGAAATTTTAACAGATGAAAAAAGAGTTGAATCAGATACTATTTGTTGTACTCGTTTTAAAAAATATCGAGGGCTAGAATCACTCAGGACTTCTAAATGGGATCCATTTGAAAATCTTCCTAACGAATACTCCAGAATATTTGAAATAGACTCATTTAAGAAGACAGGAGAAATCTCTAGAAAAATCTACCTTGATAGCTGCAACCAAGAAAATTTAAGAGGCAAATATTGTGAATTCAAGTTGTCCCCTGTCTCTTCAGAAGCTCAAAAAGCATTAACAGATGAAAATATTTCGAGTCGGGTAATAATACTATCATCGATTTTACCATTTGAGAGAAAAGTGGGAGTTATGAATTTTAGAGTCAAAAGGACTGCTGAGAACATTGATTTAATCAAGAACAAAACACCATTAGTTTTACAGGCAGGTTTTAGGAGATTTTATATTTGTCCCATAATAAGTAATTGCCCTCGTATTTCATCCGCAACTATGATAGAAAGAAGTCAAATATTGAAACAATGCAAAATTTTTCTACATGGAGATCATTACGTTATTTCATGTTATAGTACAATCATCTTCCCGCCCTGTCCAATTTTACTTTTTTCATTAAAAGACATAAATCCAGACACTCGTAACAGCATTACTTATAAAAACTTCAAGCCAAATGATTTAGTAATAAATGATTGGCCGCTTGCATGGGGTGATATAATTGACGCAGACCCATACCGTGTTATTGTTAAAAGAATAGTGTTAATAGGCAGCCTATTTAAAGTTAGAAAATCTAAAGGTGTTGTTAGAAATATGTTTAATAACCCTGAAGATGTCAAATGGTTCAAATCCGTTGGACTAAGAACTAGGAGCGGTATTAGAGGAGTTATCAAAGAACCTTTGGGGATGCATGGGTATATGAAGTGCTTGTTTAGCAAGCCAATACAACAAAACGAGGTAGTTGGAATGCCCCTTTATAAACGAGTGTTTCCTAAATGGTTTCCGATTACATGGTTTGAAGATAATAAAATCAGAATAAATTAAATCTGAACTATTTCTAATCTATTTATATTTCAGGGGTGCCAATTAATAATGAATCACACTTTCCGAGGTTAATTAGTTCGTTTATTTTTGAGAATGCGATAATAAATTGCTCAGAATTGTCCCTAGATATACAATCTATTTTAAATGAAATACACTCTTTGCCTTTACTCGAATTTAATGATAGATCTATATTTCCATCTCGTTTAAATACCAACTTACCAATTGAACCTGAAGGAGTGTCATGTAGTAATGTAGGAATAGGCATTTTAATAAACTCGAAGTTCTTTTCGTTTTCTGGCATATATTTAGGTAATTGAAACACCGACCAACCCTCCAATTTTTCAGGAGTTCTTCCATGCTCTGATTCTTCAAGATTTTTGTAAATATTAATAGTGTTGTTTATTGTTAAATTAACAGAAACCTTATTAGAATCATAAATCAAATCTTGTTTTTCTGCCTTATTTATAATTTCACCTCCGTGAATAGGTGGTATTAAAGACGCGTCAAATTTGTGTGTATTGTCAGGCTGTTCCATCTTCTCAAATTCCAATTTTCTGACAAAGTTTATATTTTTCAATGAAATATTGTCTGTTCGAGCATCGTTGTTAATGGCTTCATTGGAATCTAATGCGCGGACATTTGGGACAAATTTAATACCATTGCTGATCTTAGTGTCATTGTTACTATTAGTCTTGCTTGATAGCTTTAACTTTTCGCTCAGCCTTGACGGCGTCTTGAATGATTGCAACCTCCTCATAATAAAAAAGAGAAAATCCTTTGCGCGGTTTCGATTTAAAGTTTATTTCCGAGGCAATGAAAAATGCTCAATTTCGAGAATATGTTTTTTAAAAATGAGAAAATTTTATAACATATACGTTACTCCATCCAATTAAAATAAACAATACTGTTCACATTCTTTATTTTATTAGAAGTTTAGTAATTCGAATGAATTTTTTGCAGGTTTTTTCGACTTTATTTTTTTTTCTTTTGCTTCGATTTTCAGAGTATGCTTTAGGTGAGAGCGACACAATTACATACTCTGAAAATAAGCTAGGGGCATGGAATAGCGAGTTAGGAGGTGATAAAATCCCAAGTAATGTAGATAAATCGTATCAAATAAGCGACCAGCATGTTTCTCAAGACTCCTTAAGTGATAAATATGGCACAAATTTGCCAGAAACGTCTTTACCTGTTAATATTACTAATGATGAGTATATAAATAGCTCTTTGGATAATTCTCAAATGATTCTAAGAAACGATTCGACCATAAGGTCTTCGTCGTTCTTTGGTCCAATGGATTTAAATATTAACCCATTTTTTCATATGAAGGAAAAATTTTTAAATCAATTTAAACCAATACCAACAACTACCACTACTACTACCACTACTACCACCACAAC